ATCAAAGTGAGGGCAATCGGCCGCTAGGTAGCGAGACAAGGTTGGGGAGTCCCTTGGCGGCAGCTTTATGCAGCTGCGTTTATTAGTGGCCGTCGATAATGCAATGGTGGATGCGTTAAGTGTCGAGAACGGGGTATTGCATGCGAAAGTGAGCATGTGATGCATGTGGCTTTCACAGAGTAGCAAACCAGATTGGTGTTTCAGTATCTGGATGGACGTTCCTTGCTGGAGACGGGCAGACGGCGAGTTCTGCTGAATACAGTTTTGGTGTAAATATCGGCTCAAAGCCACTTTGACTTGGGTGGTGCTCCTGCTCGACCAACTGGGAATGGTCGTTGTTTCTCCCCTATCACATACGTCTTGCCTCCATGCGCTCTGAGACTTTCTCTGTTCACACCGCCGTGGGCACTGAGGCTTATCGAACAAGACGTCTATCACGGGAGCCCATTGATTTAAGAGCGGACCTTTTTTTCAGCCCTTGCCGTACTACCTCTGTCGAATCCTTCCTATAGGTGAAAAGGGTGGTCTCACTGCTGGTTGCTGCAGGTTCCGTGATGGTGCTTGGGTAGTGCTGATGGAAAGACAGACGGGACAAATTTGCATCCTAAATGAGTCCACAAGACCCGGTGTATCTCTCTTGCACGATAGATACAGATAAGGACGGCAATCAAAGCGCGTGAAGCAGTATATCCAGATTCAAGGCGAAGCTGTATTGAAAGGCACGAGGAGACAGAAAGAAGCAAAGAAACACAAACTTGACAGGGTGAGGAAAAAAGGGTGTCGGCGAGGGGTACAAGGGGAGGACTTAAAAAGATAGCCTAGGAATGTAGTGCGAGAAACTAGCAAAGCCGGTGAAGAAAGAATCAATGTAAGGAAAGTGCAAACTACGGTGTACTCCGTATGTTGCCGTTGCTTCGGCGCAGGCTAGAAACCAAGAACGTGCCTTCCCGTCCAAGGTGACAGCCACAGCTGAGCCGACACAACGAAGAAGGAAAACCAAGTGGCACTAAAAGATCCAATTTCGCATCTAAGGGTTCTCTTCCAACACGATCTGGGCCTTGTCTGGAAAGATCTACTCCCCCTCGGCCAATCTACTCTCTCTGGTCATGATCATCTCCCCACATTTTTCTAGTTAAGACACTGACAATGATCTGGTGCGACGCGCTATGCCGATTCGCTGCTGTTAGCAACGGAGATCGCGACAGAGCAGAGTGAAGAGAGGCAGGTTGCTATAGCCCAAAGGCTGCCTCCCGCCTCAATGTGTCGGGACGTCTGGCCGGTACCATCGAATCATGTATGGTCTGTTCAGATGCAATAATCAAGTCCCAAAATAAAATAAAAATTCAGACCAACTCGGCCGTGAGCACCGAGACGGGCCTATTTACGGAGCAAGCGGTTACAATTGTTTGGCCCGCTTTTTGCTTCCTTGGACTCGAAAAGCCGGTTGGTTGTGCGTGAAAGGGGAGGGGAAGGCGATACCTTGTCTTTGTTTTAGTAATGAAAGCTATCAAAGCAAGTTACAATGGGGGCATGAAGACCAGAAACAGGATTGCAGTCCAGTCGGGTAGCAAAGTTCGACGAGATAGGATGAACCAGACCAAAAAAAAGAATTACAGTATGAATGTTTGTTGGGAACGATTGGGGGATCGGTTTCCACGTCATACAATTCAAAATTGCACGCCGACACGGCATGGCAAATTCCGCGGCGGTCGGCAGGAAAGTAGAATAGACTTTTACCACATCTGCCCCTGAGTATCTGGCATAAAAAGCTTTTTCTTCCTCGTACTATGTACAGGACCCTAAGAAATGGAAGCACGGGAGCTGGAAGCCAGACATGGCAAGCGGTGGGCGGTAAGGAGGTACATACATGTGAAATGGGCAAATAGGCCGTCTATCAGTGCAGTTTTAGAGACGTCTCGAGACCTTTGGTTAGGCTAGCCTGGACTAAGGCTATAGAAAGTTTCGTTCGGGCACGAGCAGACGACAATGGCAGAAAAGAATTGGTTGTTGCTAGACCCATGAACCATGTCGTTGAAGACAAAGGATTAAAATGGGGCACAGGGACCAGTAATACGAATGACTATGTACTTCGTATCTGACTCTGTACTCCGTACTCCGTATTCTGTACGATTACTCCCAACGAACTAGCATGATAAATCGGAGTATTGCCCGACCACAACGCCCCCTGCTTCTCGCCAAAGCACCACAGCTTTGAGGTTCCATCATTTTGCGAGGGCAGCGAGCTAGGCATACTGGTCCAATCAGGTTCGCGTCTGCTTTCTCTCCCCTTCCTAGTTTTTGCTGCTAGCCATAATACAGCCCGAGACAAGTGCAGTAGTAAAACCCGCTACCAGCACCAGCACAATTGCCACAGCGGCTGCCCACGTTAGCCAACCCAGCTCTGCGTGGTGATGCTCCATTGGGTGGATCTGATATTGATGACGCATAATTCACACCCTGCAAGCATACGACGTATTTTTCGTCCGCTGGACATCTATCTAGCATCTAGCCGGTCTGCAATCGGCAATCGTATGCGGATACATACATGGGGGTGTAATTGCTAGGCGACGATTACATAAACTGAAATCATGGTGTCTGTGCAGCAGTCCTCCCACACTAAGGCACGCTAATGACGGGAATTTATGTATGGGGTGCAGGTGCCAACAGTGGATATTGTACTCCGGACTCGTAATGTTTCAAGGCTGCGAGATCGCAATATTCAGATTCAGCCATGTCGAGGCCCCTCTTCCAACTTTGGGACATTTGATCCAGGCCTCATTGCATGTGGCTTGCCGTTCTTTACCTGTGACACAGTCGTCACTTCGTGTGCTCCGGGCAACTCTCCCTTTCATCGACATGTGTTGTCTCAGCACATCTGGCACATATTTTTCTTTTCTATTTGCTTTTTGGAGCCCTGGATTGCTGCGCAGCCCCTGAGGCTGTTGCACGGGGCGAGTCTCGGAGACGGCATCTCAAATTTCAGCTCACTCTGCCCGGATGTCACACGTCAGTCAGCTGGCCAACGCGAGAGAGAGTGATGCCCGACCTCTTCAAAAAAGAAAGCAGACTGCAGGTGTTGGATATACCGAAAAGAAGCCAAAGGCAGCGGGGATTATGGGCTTTGCCTTGGCCCATGTCTGCGTGCCCTACACCGGGAATTGCCTTTTTATTTAGGCATTTGACAGCTGCCTGACCACACCGTCGCTTGCCTGTCGATCAGCCTCATCAGGGACGTCATACCGCCGCCGATCATCGTCCCGGTCCTTGGTCATGTCGCAGTGGACGGCATGTTGCATTAGGAGGTGAAGCCCACAACAAAATCACTCCGTGAAGTCTCCCGTTTCCAGAAGTTCGGTAATGCCAAGATTAACAAGAAGACATACCATAAATAGCACCGCAATGCCAGCGATATCCATCCGAATGCATTTACGGAGTACCTAGGACGTTTTCAGCTTGCATCGCATATCTGGTGGACCCGTCTTTCTCCTAGATACCTAATATGTAAGAGCATCTAAGACACTGGGCCATCAGAGGTTCCACGGAAAAGTGAGGCCGCCCATTTCCCCATCTAGATTTTTCGCATTTTACCTTCCCGCACTTCTCCCTTTCGCATATCAGCTCCGTTTTAGTTCCATGATGTCTCTTTTGGGCTGGCCCACATCCCGACAAACCGTGAGACATGCAGCCCCAGCCCAGCGATCGCATACACCACCCTCCATGTGCCAGGGATTGTAATTTCTGTTGTTATGTTCCTTTTGTTCCGGGGTTATTTTCCCGACATATTCGAGACCTAATACCTTTGTGTACTCTTATTACCGAAAACTGTCCCTCTCGTCGATGTTTGCCTTCGCGAAAGCTTACGTATGGTTGTAGCAGTGCTTCTTCTGCAATCGTGCCTCAGCCGATCGGAAGATGCTCCTTAGCTCACCCGCCGGATCCTATGCCAGTATTCTTTGGTCGAAATGTTCGCAGACTGTACATAGTAAGCTTATGGTCAGAGATCCGTGCCCTGCTCTAGGCTTGTTCTTATTGCTTCATGATGCTCGAACCCGAAAATGATTGGATACCGGGCCTTCTGCTGAATCACTCAAAAGGTACATACCGAACTTTTGTATGGAGCAATGCAAGATATTTTATGTCTAAGAAAACAAAGACCATTACAGATTTGCGCATCCCTACGAGCCATCAGACGGATGACGTTACCTAAGACGATGTCCAACGTGCATTGGATGACGATGAACCTAATCAGATATCGCCTGTTACTGGATTGCGCCGTACGAGTCCGCACTGTGACACATATGTTGAATCTGACAAGATTAAAATGCTAGGGTCGAAGTGAAGTGACGATATAGTATCACCTGTTTTCGTTTGTTACCTTAGATCTTGGTTTCCTACTAAAGTACTATACCTCGCCAATTGTGACGGCATTTCACTTTGCCAAGCAAATGCTAACATTGGATAGAGCTCTTCTTTTATTTTACCAGAGCTTTCAACTGCAACGGACTTTCAGGAGCTCGTTTCCGAATGTCAGTCATGTATGATGACATGCTAGCACAGCCTTAATTCTGTTATAGTATGTGATATTATCCTTGCAACTTGATGTCGGTCCATTGACTGGCCGGCTGCTCTCTGCAAGTCAAGACGAACAGGACATAGAAAACCGGGTATTTATTTCACGTAGAAAGCGTTATAGGCATGCCACACGACTGATGCGGCGTGTTGTTCCGGCCCAACTGCGGCAACAATTAATAGATAAAAGGAGCAAATAAAACTTAGTTTATGGCTCTTAACCACGCTTTCTGATGTCACTTGCTTTACGGCTACTTTCAAGCCTAAGATTCGTACAATCAAAACGCGAGATACACATATAGGACAATCGCATGAGCAGACGAACAGAGACACGTACACGTACGCGATTACCAACCGTGCCATCAATTCAAGCAAACCTATTGCCCCATATAGCATATCACGGCATACATGCTCCTCACCAGTATGTCCAATTATCTCTTGACCCAGGCAGGCATCTTTCTTGCCTTCACATGACCGTGCTTCTTCCGCTCCACCATTCTCGGGTCGCGAGCGATACAGCCGGCTAGATTGCGCGAAAAACATATTGTTAGCTAGGGCAGCTTGTGGCGAAAGAGAACGGCTGGTATTGAAAGCACAAGGATTGCAACGTACCTTTCCGGAGCGCCGTCTTGAGCGCTGGCTCGTGAGCTACGAGAGCCTTGGCCACTGCCAAGGTGAGTGCCTCGGCCTGTCCAGTGGTGCCGCCGCCTTCTGCCAGCGCCCAGACGTTGTACTTGTCCATCCGGTTTGTCGCCCGCAGAGCCCAGGTGGCGCTCTCGCGGTCGTGCACACGCCCAAACATCTCGCTTAGGCTCTTGCCGTTGACCTGCATCTCGCCCGTGCCCTCCACCACCCACGCCCGCGCCACCGATGTCTTACGGCGGCCCACGCCGACAGCCCGGCCAAAGCGGTCTATCGTGAGCTGCTTGGCCACGTTGTCAAACGGGTTGACCTCACGCTTAAACTCGTTCAGCGCGTCTGCCAAGCCGGCCGGCTTCAGGGTCGGGTGGATCTTGTTCAGATGCTTGACGATGGCGATGCACTTGTTGTATTGTGGCGCCTTGATCTCCTCGCCGCTGTTGTGCCGGTAGTCTCGCAGGCTCCTCCAAGCAACTCGTTCGACCTGTTCTGCCGGGACCAGAGGAAGGTGTCCGTACTTTCGAAACAACGTCTGCAGCCGCAAAAAACTGTCGTTGAAATTCGGCTGCCGCGAGAAGTATGACGGCGAAGCCGGTACCGGCCGGGCGTATCCGGTCAGCGTTGAAGTTGCTGTACCATCCAACGATGTGGTAACGCCATCCAACGCTCCCCCGCCCCTCTCAAAGCCGGTTATGGCCAGAACATCTCCGACCGAAGAAATCTCGTTGGACCCCGTCAGACTCCCGTTGTCCGCACCGCCGAATGTGGAGCTCCTCCTGGTCTCGGAAGGTGTTCTGCTGCTGTTGGCAGTGGCTGTTGTGCTCGGAACGCCGGAGCCCACCCGCAAGAGAGAAAATTGTCGTTCAAGCTGAAGCGGCAGAGAGCAAACGGCTCTCTGGGAGAGCAGAACCGAGCGCAGGCTCGACATGTGGAAGGATTAGGGCGGTTCTTCAGAAAACTTCCATGAGGGGGCCCATATAGGGTTTCTTTCCAAGTCTCAGCCTCGGGGATGTGGGGACCGATAGACTGATCGTAGCACTGCTCAAGCTGTAAAGCTTCACATCAATTGAGCGCTCAAAATTTCCTTGAAAATCCGAAGTCACGTGCAACAGAAAGACTTGCGACAAGCGCGTAGCTACGGCACATGGAACCTACGACGTAAATTTACAGCCCCACCAAGCCCCTCGCCAGATTGCAGAAAAGCAATGGCCATCACAACTTTTTCTGCACTAAAAAAATCCTGCCTCTTCTTTTTCCTCCCCAACCCCTCCATTAACTTCACGTTCTCCCCTTTACTCATTTCCCAGCGTCCCTATATATAAGTCGCAATGTCTTTCGGAAAGCTGTACACATTTGAGGTTGGTTACTCGTGCTCAAAGACGAGATACTCTCGTGAAACCTCTGTTGAGACTGACATGTCTCTCGTCAGGCCAACCCGCGGTCGACGGCCACTCTGGCCATCGCCAAGGCCAACAACCTCGACATCGAGGTTGTCCTTACCAACCCGGCCAGCCCGACTCCCGAGTACCTGAAGCTGAACCCGCTCGGCAAGGTTCCTACCTTTGTTGGCTCTGACGGCTTCGTCCTCACGGAGTCCATTGCTATTGCCATCTACGGTAAGATTCAAATAATGCGCCTCGGTGCATGAGTGCACGAGAAAATTGTCGATGAGAAACGACTCCCCTCACCCTTCTTTTCCTGCTACAGTGGGCGGGAAAGATATTTGCATGATGAGCTAGACATTTTTAACAGTTATCCCTGGCTGAATTTCCTGTGTTGACTTATTCTAACTTCTGACCAATATCTTGTCTATTTTTTCTTGTTATTTTTGGCTGTTGCAGCTCCCAAAGTTGAGGAATTAGTGCGCTAATTCAACTGTGCGCTACAGTGGCATCCCAGAACGAGAAGACCACACTGCTGGGCAAGACCAAGCAAGAGTAAGTTGATTGCGGCATCTCAGAATTGGCATCGCTCGAGATTCTAACTGCTCGCAGCTATGCCTCCATCCTGAAGTGGGCATCATTCTTCAACACTGAGGCTCTGCCGAACCTTGGTGCTTGGTACAACCCTCTTCTGGGCAAGAAGCCCTACAACAAGAAGAGCGTTGATGATGCGTCCAAGGCGGCTCTGAAGGCCTTCTCCGTTGTCGAGGAGCACCTTCTGCACAACACCTTCCTGGTGGGTGAGCGCATCACGCTGGCCGACCTGTTCGCTGCCGGCATCACCCTGCGCGGCTTCCAGTTTCTCTTCGACAAGGAGTGGCAGGCACAGTACCCCAACGTCACTCGTTGGTTCATGACCCTGTACAACACCCCCATCTTCTCGTCTGTGGCGTTCAAGATCGAGTTCCTCGAGAAGACCACCCTGGTCAACCAGCCGCCCAAGAAGGCCGAGGCACCTAAGGCCGCGAAGGCTGCCCCCAAGGCTGCTCCTAAGGCTGCCGCCAAGGAGGAGGAGGAGGAGGAGGAGGCGCAGGCACCGAAGGCCAAGCACCCGCTTGAGCTTCTGCCGCGTGCCACGTTCCCCCTTGACGAGTGGAAGCGCCAGTACTCCAACCTTGACACTCCTCTCGCCGTGAAGTGGTTCTGGGAGAACGTCAACTTCACCGAGTACTCCATCTGGAAGGTGGCCTACAAGTACAACGACGAGCTGACGCTGACGTTCATGTCCAACAACCTGATCGGTGGCTTCAACAACCGTCTGGAGGGCTCGCGCAAGTATCTCTTCGGCTGTGCGTCGGTGTACGGCGAGAACAACGCTTCGGTCATCGAGGGCGCCTTTGTCATCCGCGGCGAAGACTACCTGCCAGTCTTCGATGTCGCTCCGGACTACGAGAGCTACGCGTTCACCAAGCTGGACCCCACCAACGCTGAGGACCGTGCGTACGTTGAGGCCCAGTGGTCGTGGGACAAGCCTGTCGTTGTTGACGGCAAGTCCTACGCTCACGCCGACGGCAAGGTCTTCAAGTAGACAGCTCGCCGACTGCGAAGTTGCAAACTGTGGACTGGAGCTGGGGAGAAAAGGGAGGGGGAGCTCGCACTTGGCTTGAGAAGACTGGTTGAGGTGGTTATTTTGGCCTGGGTTTAGCGCATTGCTAGAACCAGTTGAGCCAATGCCTCCGTAAGGGTAGGCAGGAGAACGGATGAATGTTTATGTGCATGATAGAAGGAGGACATGAAGGAAAATATCTAAGCACCAAATATGAAGCGGAGTGGTGTCTCATACCTCAAGTGTCAATGCGACGTAAATTGGAATCGTGTTTTCTTCTCCGTGCTAAAGGTTAAATTCTACCAACATACGGAGGTCCCTACCAAAAGTTATGCCCACCCTGTTTCACCGCTTTTCCTAATAAAGACATAAAGTTACAGTATATAAGGTGTTACGTGCACTGTACATTCTCGCAAAGCTATCAGCACGTATTATGCTGTAATTTCCTTATATGCAGTAATTCTTAGTGGGACTATAAGCTAACTGTTATCAGTCTATCGCTAAGTTTGTTCTCCGTGCACACAGCAAATCAGACTGTATACTGCCGATGTCACATCGAAGGGGGTGGGCACGACTTTAGGTAGGGACCTCCGTAGTTATACCAAGATTCATGAATCTCTTAAAGTCTTCGTCGCCATGAAACCGAGTCTGGCTGTCCCGCAGCCTGCAAAAATCAAATACCCCTTTCGTTGCTGGAGCTGGCGCAACCGTCTAGGCGGAAAGGATGATGCCGCATGTACGCACTGACGTCCTGCTGGAAGCATAGTTTGTTGAGATAGTCATGGACCTGCGGGAGCACGTCCGGCGCATCGGCCACATCGCCCTGGAACTCGGGAATAGCGATCAGGTTGAAGGGCTCGCTGCGTGCCTTTTCCTGCGAGTCGTCGATGAGGACGGTGTTGGCCTGTGACCAGAGGTCACTGCCGGCAGCCGAAGCAAAGCTCGGGTGTGACCGGGCCACGGTCTTGTCGCTCCACAGGGCGGACAGCCGCTTGTAGCACTGAACCCGGTCGTTGTAGTCCTCGGGGCTGAGGTGGAAGCGATCACGGCCCCACTTGGCGACGAGCTTCTGGAGCTGGGGCGGCTGCATCAGCTTTTGGCACATGGCCGTGACGTTTGTGGGCCGGGCTGACGACCAGACGACGACCCAGAAGGCCTGGAGGCAGTAATCAAGGAACTGGGCGGCGTGTGGCCGCATGACAAACATTCGAGGGCGGTCGCGGTACGGCCGGTAGAGCAGCGTCCCGTTGAGGTCGATAACGACAAGCAGGGGTCGCGGGGTCTCTGCAGGCGGCCGCAGCAGCTGTGCGGCCTGTTCCAGGTAGGCTGCTGTCGGCTCGGGGATGCCGCCAGACTGCTCGGACGGCGGCCGTTTGGGCGACCGCTCTCTGGCCAGCGGCTCTTTGGCCAACGGCTCAGTGGGCTGCTGCTGCCGCCGACGTCCCCATTGTGGTTCGAACTTGGGGGACCGGTTTGGAAACCGGTTTGGAGACCGGAGTCTCTTATTGGGCTCTGTGATGGCATTGTCCCCGCCTAGGTGCTCGGATGTTTGTGTTCTCTCCCGGAGGGCTTTTTCAAGTGCCTCCTTCATTGCCTTTCTTTTTTCTTTTTTTTTTCCGGTAGGCATGGCACCAAGATCACCACCTTTTCCATTCGGCGGGGCTGCCAAGTGGACTTTGTGGTCGCCGTTTCCAGTATCTGCTGGATTGACGGAGAGATCGCCGACAGTATCGATGCCTATGCTGGCGTCCTTGGTAATGGTCGAGGCAGCATCTTGATGTATTGATTCAGCGGCAGAGCCGCCCGCTGCTTCTTCCATAGGACGTATTGCTGCCCGATCTGGGCCGGTAGACGCGGTACTCTTACTGTAAATTAAAAACTGCCAGTTTGTCCGGACGGATGGACTGGCAGTTGCAGCTGTAGCTGATCTGGCCAGACGTGATGGCTCTGCCAGGAAGGTATATGGCGCTGAAAGTGTTTTGAGGTGCAGAACTGGTATGCGCTGAGCTGGGCCGATGGAACCAAGCACGAGGGATACCCAATGCCTCTTGTGAGAAGTTACGTGTGAGAGCATAGATGTTCCAGAGTGGGTTTTTTTTGAACTGAAAGCAAAACTGTCTGACTGGCAATTGAAAAGAGTTCTGTTCCAGTTTTCCAGGAGATTTTGCAGATTTAAAGAATATGAAGGTTAACTCTGAAATAGCAATGGCGTAACCAAAAACTCAAAGTCAGATACACAGGATAGTAATTCGGATAGGTTGAGGTATATCAACGTCGGATGCAATGTAGATCTGAACAGAAAAACGGTTAGGACCAGTGGTGGTATCTTAGGTGTGGTACTGTGATGTGATTGGCCGGATGAGCTAGGCGCAGTTTTTTTTGGAGCCTATTAAAAAAAATCGACCTAAAAATTGCAACGTCAATTGCCTGGTCAAGGCATCATATTTCTGACCAGTACGGAGTACATAGCGACGATTTGCAGAAAAGCCGCCATATTTGAACCAGAGCTCCAGGAGTGATCGCTATACTGAATAGAGGAACACCAGGGGCGAGCATTGGTTAGCACAAGCACTCAGAAGAGAAGTTCCGTGTCTTATCCACTTTCGGTTGCTCAGATTACTACGATCATGGATTCTAAAAGAAGAAAGCTCGGGGTCGAGAAGGCGGAGCGACACTCTCGGCCCGTCAAGCGGGCAAAGGTGGACGAGACGGACATGTTCGAAGACGAAGAGGAACAATTAGAGAGCGAGGAGGATGCTTTTTCAGGAGTACGCATTGGCTCTTAATGCATATCGCCTTGCAACTCTGCTGACAGTTCGAGCAGGTATCGGCGAAGAGTGAAGGAGAGGACGAAGAAGACGAGGAAGACAGGAGCGACGAAGAGGCAGAGGAGGATGAGGACGAGGATGAGGACGAAGATGCAGAGGTGGAAGCGCCGCGGTCGCCCACAGACGGGCTGTCATTTGGCGAATTGCTGAAGCGGCGTGAGAAGGATGCAGCGAAGCGGAAAGCGGGCGGCAGCGGAACAAAAGCAGCAAGCGAACCGGCGGCGGACGAGGACAAGGAGACGGCAGCGGAGAAGGGCAAGGTGAAGCAGCGGGCGGCGCCGCGGACGAGCAAACACGCGCCGGCCGAGGTGACGAGCCGGTTTGCGGTGAAGCGGGGACGCAACTGGCTGAGCGGCGACGCGACGATTGCGGGAGTGGACGTGCGGCCGGCAGAGATGCGGTCGCGGGATCCGCGGTTCTTGCTGGCGTCGATGAGCGGTCCGGCATCGCGCAAAGATACGCTGCGGGCGCGGCGCAACTATGCGTTCCTGGACGAGTACCGGGACGGGGAGATGCAGCAGCTGCGCGAGACGCTGACGACGGCAGAGCGGGCAGTCAAGTCGGTGCGAAAGTCGGCGGCGAAGCGCGGCAGAAGCGGCGGCTCACTACCACCACAGCAGCAGCAGCGGCTCGAGGCGGCAGAGGCGGCGGCAGAGGAGCTGAAGCGGAAGCTCGCGTCGATGGAGGCACGCAAGCGCGACCGACAGGCCAAGGACCGGGAACAGGACGTGCTGGAGGAGCACAAGAAGCGGGAGCGGGAGCTGGTCCGACAGGGAAAGAAGCCGTTCTTCCTCAAGCGGTCGGAGCAGCGGAAGCAGCTGCTGGTGGACCAGTTTTCCAGCATGTCGGAGCAGCAGGTCGACAAGGCGATGGACCGGCGGCGGAAGAAGGTGGCATCACGGGAACGACGAGAGATGCCGCTGGTACGGAGGGGGTGAGGAGGAGGAGGGATGAGAGAAGGCAAAGCAACAAGAGACAAGGACAGGAGACAACAAATGGAACACAAGCAAAGAGCTGCAGCATGACAGCAAAGACATGAACAACATGATATCATACATTTCTATATTACAGAGGGTGAAGGGGTGATTTCATTCAGTCAAGCCTGGTCATCGAGTCTGTCCTCGAGGTCGTCGCCCTCCAGTTCGGCCTCCCCGTGAGCGGCCTCCATCTGCCGCATGCTATCTTCAAACAGGGCCCGACAGGGCACGCGGCTGCCGAGGCGTGCACATAGGAGAAAGGCACCACTGAGCTTGCGATGGAGGCTGTAGGTCTCCTCGGGCGGCGGGGTGAGGCGTTCGCGCACCATGGTGGGAATGAAGGAGCGCACGCGGTCGGTGATGGTCTGGCCGTCAAAGTCGTAGACGACGGGCGAGTCAGCGCGGAACGGCTCCGCCAGCGTGAGGACCGACTGCGTGTGGGCCTCGAGCATGGCGCGGCTCTCGTGGCCGGTGAGGTAGCCGAGGGCGCGCGAGCAGGTCTGGACGCCGGCATGGTCGTTGCGGGCGGCGGCGGCCAGCAGGCGGACGTACTGCCGGACAAAGACGCGGGGATACTCGCGGGCGGCACCAAAGTCGAGCAGCTCGAGCCGGCGCTGCGGCCGGGCGCCGAACAGAAAGTTGGTCCAGTTGGGGTCTGTCTGCATGAAGCCGAAGCACGTGATCTCCAGCAGACACAGCCGCAGCACCTGGGTGCCGATCCAGTCGCGCTCCTCTTGCGGCAGGCCCGAGGCAGCCTGGGCCACGGGGACGCCCTGCATGAACGACATGGTCAGGACCTGCGGCCCGGATGCCTCGGCGTAGACGGCCGGCACGGCAAACGCGTCGGCCGCGGGTCCGGCATTAGTCAGCAATTCACGGAAGCGCTGCAGACACGCAGCCTCGCGCGTATAGTCGCACTCCCAGGCCAGCTCCGTGCGTGCGTTGGCGATGGTCTTGTCGAGGTAGAGGCCGCGCGGCAACATGCGCGTGGCCGTCAGCAGCACGGCCAGGTTGTCGAGGTCGGCGTGGATCGAGTCGGCCACGCCCGGGAACTGGATCTTGACGGCCACCTCGACCGTTTCGGCGCCATCACCATCGCCTGTCCGCAGCGTCGCCCGGTGCACCTGGCCGATCGATGCGGCCGCCAGCGGCGTCTCGTCAAACTCGTCGAACCGCTGTCGCCAGTCGGCGCCCAGATTCGTCGCCAGCACCCGGTCACGCTGCCACGCCGGCATGTAGTCTGCCCGGTCCTGCACCCGCTGCAGCACCTCTTGCAGCGGTCCTGGCAGTGACTTGGAGTCCTGGATGCTCAGCATCTGCCCTAGCTTCAGGGCGGCTCCGCGCATCCGCGACAGCCGCGCCACCAGCCGCTCCACGTTGCCCGCGCTGAGCAGCACCGAGTCCGCGCTCTTGTCGCCTCCACCTCCAAAGCTGCGGCTGATCGTCTCGGTCACTGCGCCGCCCAGCATCCCTGCTGCCAGTCCGCCGTAGTTCCACATCCGGCTCAGTCGTGACGCTGGCACCGTCGACTCCTTCAGCTCGTACTTGCGACGTGGAGTGGGTGAACTGATTGGCTCTGAACTCAATGGCTCTGGTTTCAGCAATGCTTCCGATATACGCTCTGAAGGGGCTACAGCCTCCTCGGCAATGGTGTCTGCTTCCTCCAGCTTCTGGGTCTCCTCCTTCTCCACCTTTGCCTCACTTGTTCGAAACGCATCCGTGCTGATGCTGTCTGCCAGCGTCGGCCGCACAGTTGCTACCCCTGCAGGTGCGTATGACTTCTGGAAGCGTGGGTCCAGCGGATGTGGTCGCGAGACCCCACCGGAAGTTGGTGGCGGTGCATCGGCCTGTCGGCGCTCTCGAAGCACGCTGACGGGCACTGCGAGCCCGAGGGACGACCGCTTAGCAAACGTCGGCAGAACCGGCTCTTCCGCATCGACGGATCTGACTCTCTCTTCGCTCGGCTCAGCTCTGGTCTCGACCACGGGAGCGGCCACAGGAACAACCAATGTCTCGACAGCTGCTGTGGAGGAGCTGTCCGGCGCTGTGCTGTCGCGAGGCCCTTTATCGACGGACTCGTTCGATGCTGCCGGACGGCCGTCGTCCTTGGCTCTGCCGTTGTCAGAAAACCGGACGTCTAGCTGGCGTGTCCGCAATGCTGCGTGTTTTGTGGCAATCGAGCGGGATGCTGTGGCCAAGGCCGCCAGGTCCGCTGCCAGATCCAGGAACTTCATACTGCGTGCCCCAGCAGCAACAGAAAGCGACAAAAGAAAACCAGAAACGACGAAACTACCGCGACAACGACGTCATCATGTCGTGGCGTGGGCTGCTCTTTGCTGGTGCGAAGCTGTGGTCGAGAAAAAAGCCGGCAGCTTCTGGAGCTCTAAAATTCTGAGCCTCCTAAAAGCGGGGCTATCGGGCACATCTACTCGACTATTACTCCGTACTCGCTGCAACCGCTGCCTTTTCAATCAAACTATCGCCAGATGCATGTGATGGCAGGTCCAGCCTCTGCCGGTCAGCACTATGGGTATCGATATTGTCGCAGCAAACAAGTACACCGTCGAACCGCGCAACCCCCTTCCAAAGAAATAAACGCCGAGATACTCCGTACCTCCTTGCCCTACCGATAAATGCTTCGCTGTTCTCTGAGCCTTGCCCGCCGGCTGCCCTTGCTTGGGTTCCGCGGTCCGCTCCCGCTAGCATTGAACGCAGACACCGCGTCGTCTCGCCGGCTGCCGCCAATCTTGCTCCAGAGCCGCTGGCCGGCCGGCGTCAGATTGCCGCGCATCCGCGGGCTGTTTGGGTACGGCGACGACGACGGCGATGCGGCGTCCACGCGACCCGTCAGGCCTACCCGTGCTGACGTCCGCTTGGACTGTGCAATCCGCTCCACCATGCGATGATGCAGGCCCTCGCGCCTACTCTTGGCCTGCAGCTGGAACGGGTTGGGAGCGGCGTCGACTCGTCCAAAGTGCGCCATCAGCTCGGCCGACTCGCCGCTTGCTGGGGCCTCGTCCGGTTCGTCGTCCACAAACGCGTACCCGTTGACGCGTGGCGTCTCGCCGCCTCCCGTCACCGTCGTCGTCCCCGATGTCGAGTCCCGGTCGCTGCGTCGTGGACGGCCGGCAATGGCGTCACGCACGGCCGACAGCGTTGGCGACGGCGGCACTGCCACCGGAATGACCCCCCGCTCGTTGCTTTGTGTAGAGCCCATCCCCGGAAGCCGTGTGTTCGCGTAGACGATCGACCTTGGCGGTGCGTGCGACTCAGCCTGCGCGCGCTGCGCCACCGTCTCGACCCCGTCGTCCATCCCCTCAGCGCTGAACATGAGCGTGTTCTTGGCTGAGAACCGCCACGAGTCTGGTGCCGCTGGCCGCTCGTCGATGCTCCCCATGGCCAGCCTCTCCCGCTTGAAGCCGTCGTCGACCAGCTGGCTGCCCGATGCCAGCAGCTTTGTCTCCACCTCCTTCTGCCTCAGCTGCATCTTGGACGGCAGCTTGTTGCCATCCCACAGCCACGCGTGCTTCTCTGCCCGTTTCTGGTTCTGTCGGTCCAGCAGCTTGTAGAAGCTCTCGTTGTCTTCGCTCGTGTACCTGGCTTGAAACGCCCCTAAACTGACGTCCACATTGACAGCTTCCTTGTTTGCTTCCTCCGCTTTGTCTCCATCATCGCCACCGGCACCACCACCGCCGCCGCCTGGCGTTCGCTCTGAACAGGTCGATGCCGGTGTGTCGCCGGCATAGCTTCGTGGCGTCTCTCCAGGTCCCGGCGTTGCGCTGGAGCCGCGCAGAGACGGCGTCTGTGACCGCATCCGCTGTTGTCGTCGTCGGCCGGGCGTCATCGCCTCCTTCAGCCGCTGGCCGGCGCTTGAGATCCACGCATTGTCCTTGGAGGCCAACGCGTCCAGATACTCGTTTTGTGTTTCCGACTCGACCAGGCCTGGGAAAAAGTCGCGCGCGATGATTTTTGACAGTCCGTCCGCGTATGTATCTTCGTCAAGAACAGTCTTTGGCCGCTTTATCTGCTTCGGCGCTGGTGGCGGTGGCATCAGTTCCGTATCTGTCCGCTTGCGTACCAGGCTCATCCTGTCGGAGCCGTCTTCCGCCGCCATGGCTGCTATGGCAAATGCGCGAGCTTTAGTCGACGAGGCTTCGCAATCTGATGTACTCCGTATATACTCGGATATCGAGCAGGCAGGTGGCAAAGATACGCCCCGATTACTGCATGTGTGGGGACAGCCGCTCCAATATGCACCTAATCCATCCGAGAAAATGCTTAAAAGAAAAAGAATATTCGGCCGCCTTCGGTGACTTGCCGCCACCACCGTCGAACTCCACCCGTATTACTTCACGCGCAGTACATTTTGCTCGGCTTAAAACCCAGTTACCCCCTCCAGTCTGGTTCTGGGCCGTACTCGTTTATACATACGCCTGCCTCTACCTTGCGACAGATCCCGGATTCTCTTCCCCACTATGGCTACTGATAAGGACAAGGCTCTCGCCTTGAAGAACGAGGGCAACCAGGCCTTCCTGAAGCACAACTGGACTGTGGCAATCGAAAAGTACTCCAACGCCATAGAGCTGGACGGCTCGCAGCCGACATACTACGCCAACAGAGCTCAGGTGGGCTGCTCTCGTCGACGTGCTCTCTGACATATGGCTGACTATCCGGTTCTCTTATCGCCCATAGGCATATCTCAAGACAGAAGCTTTCGGGTATGCCATTGCTGATGCTACAAAGGCCATTGAGCTCGACCCCAAGTTTGTCAAGGTACATTAGTTGCGGATCGTGTCGGATCACGGCTGTGCGCCTCTTGTCTTGGGAGGATCGGCTGGCAGGGCTGATATGTTTTCCTCTTTCATTCATATAGGCATACTATCGCCGTGCGCTTGCGGCAGCAGCCATCATCCGGCCGAAAGATGCCCTGGTCGACTTTAAGATCTGCGTTCGCCTGGACCCTGGAAACAGAGATGCCAAGATCAAGCTTGCCGACTGCCAGAAGATTGTGCGCCAGCTCAACTTCTTTGCCGCCATCGAGGTCGGCGACGAGCCGTCGGCGGCCGAGGGCCTTGATGTCGAGTCCATGGCCGTCGAGCCCGACTACGACGGCCTGAAGCTCGGCGACCAAATGACCCAGGACTTCATCGACGACATGACCGAGCGTTTCAAGACCGGCAAGAAGATCCACCGCAAATACGTCTACCAGATCCTGCTCGCCGTCACCAAGCTAGTTCACGACGAGCCAACCATGGTCGAAATCGAGGTGCCAGAAGACACACAACTCACAGTTTGCGGCGACACCCATGGTTTGTGCCCTCTCTGCCATGATTACTCGTGGCACTCCACACCCGCTAACACGCACCCTGTCCACAGGTCAGTACTTTGACCTCATGGAGCTGTTCAGGCTGAACGGCAAGCCGTCCGACAAGCACTGGTACCTGTTCAACGGTGACTTTGTCGACCGAGGATCCTGGTCTACCGAGATCGCACTGCTGCTGTACGCGAACAAGTGGCTGCGGCCACAAGCCTTCTTCCTGAACCGGGGCAATCACGAGACCGACGACATGAACCGCGCGTACGGCTTCGAGGGCGAATGCAAGGCCAAGTACAACGAACGGTGAGTTTTCAGCTATCCCTTGGGTGTGTGCTGCCATGAAGCTAAGCTGACTATCGCCCAGTGTTTTCCGCCTCTTCTCCGAGAGCTTTTCGGCCTTGCCGCTGGCCACTCTAATTGGATCAAAGTACCTCGTCTTGCACGGTGGCTTATTCTCTAACGACAACGTCACCCTGGACGACATCCGTAAGCTGGACCGGCATAAACAACGCCAGCCCGGCCAGGCCGGCCTCATGATGGAGATGCTATGGACCGACCCGCAGACAGAGCCCGGTCGTGGCCCAAGCAAGAGAGGTGTTGGCATGCAGTTCGGCCCAGACGTGACGGCCAGGTTCTGCGACAAGAACGGCCTGGAGGCCATCATTCGGAGCCACGAAGTGCGCATGGACGGGTACGAGAAAGAACACAACGGAAAGTGTATCACTGGTAAGTCGCACCACTCTTGCAGCTGGCTGGCTTCTTTCCCCTGCTGACCATCGTTTTCTAGTCTTCTCTGCACCCAAATACTGCGACATGACAGAAAACCGGGGCGCCTACATCAACCTGGGCTCCGATTACAAGCTCGAGTTCCACCAGTTTGATGCCGTTCCACACCCCAACATCCGCCCCATGGTAGGTTGATCCGTTGTCTGCCCTTTGGCTTGAGCTCTCTCCCAACTAACATCCGCCCAGGCGTACGCCAACAATTCGATGATGTCCTCCTTGGTATAAATAGGAACAGGGGCAGCGCATAAAGGACCATGGAAAAGAAGAACATGAAAGAAGAATAGCTCTCGTGTAGACCAGTAGTTGGTACTGGAAGAGGGTAGCATGCCAGGGGACTCCCGTGCATTCTTGGGTCGAAGGGCGTTTGATCAGGGTATTTTCTGGGATCATCATCGACACGGGATGGGGTTGGCATTATTCTTGTGCCCTATCGGGAGGGGCTTCCATGTCGGTTTATCTGTTGCCAAAGCATCATACCCCTTGCTCTTCATTTTCCCCTGTTCGATTGGGTTTGCGAATATGAAGAAGCGATCTGAGCGCATCGAAAGCTGCTTTGTATCTAGCTTTTGGTATTTATGTATGACGAATGGACGTCGGAAACTTGGAAAGCGATTGGTTTTCACTGTTTGGAGCCAGACCGCCTTGTGGACACTCTCAATGCGCTCGGTGCTCATGTTTCCCACAGCTGCGGCAGTCGTGTGCGCCCGAGGAGGCTGCCGAGCCAGTTCCCGGACGCGAGCAGGCGCAGCACTGTGGTAACGCCGTCCTGGTCCGTAAAGCTCCAGGCCGCCAGGGCGGCCGCAAAGAAGCTCAGGTCCTCGCGCGGCAGCCGGATCCAGAACTGTCGGCCGTCGATCTTGAGCAGGTCAAGCGGCATGCCGGCCCCGGTGGCGCCCACAAACTGCTTCAGGGCCGCGGTACAGTACGACCGTATCTGCAGGGGGTCTATCACAGAGCCTACCGTGTCTGTCTGGCGAGAAGTGGCCGCTTCAATGTGGACGTAGGCAAACGGCGGCTTGCTGATGGTGCAGCTGTAAAGCTCGCGAGTCTTTCCCTGCTTCTTGCCCCGGTTGCGCGTGGCAGCCTCGATGGACGCCGCTAGGGGCGTGTCCTCCATGGAAGCATCCTCCTGGTGCTCCTCCGACGCCATGGCTGGTCAGGATGGCGGTATGTTTAGGTTGTAGAAAGAGAGGCTCTTTTTCATACCAAATCCCAGGAAAATAGCTATTTAGCGAGAAGACGTTCGCCTATTTGCATTCAAGAGCTAGAGCTGCTGCTATGCAGCTATAGGGGCTGACTTTCTCACCGCTAGCCGCTAGCGGCAGAATCCCTATTCAGAAGCACCGCGAACAGAACGCCAGTTCTTCACCCTGCAGCCAACGCCATCCTGACGAGTGCAGCTCCGACTTCTGCTCCAGAACAGTCATGTCTGAAAACTACGTCGCCCCTGGCCAGCAGCGCTACCTGCGCGCCTGCATGGTCTGCTCGATCGTCATGACCTTCCAGGTAGGTCCTCGAGGTTCCTTGAGACACACGAGAGCAAAGGGAGCTGACGAGTGCAGCGCTTCCGCGAAGAGGGCTGTCCCAACTGCGAAGAGTTTTTGCACCTCGCCGGCTCGCCCGAACAGATCGACATCTGCACCAGCCAGGTCTTTGAAGGCCTCATCACGCTGGCGAACCCGAACAAGTCGTGGGTGGCACGCTGGCAGCGCCTCGACGGTTACGTGCGCGGCGTGTACGCGATCAAGGTGTCTGGGCAGCTGCCGGACGACGTGCGGACGCAGCTGGAAGAGGAGCACCGGATCCAATACATACCGTGAGTCCTGTTTCTTTCTTGGCCTGTCGGCCCTTGTTTGTGTTATCACGTTTCTGACAAAGCTCTCTCATTGCCAGGCGTGATGGAAGCGCCACCGAGGCCGACTGATCTCACCAAACGGTCGTTGGCTGAACAAGATGGGGAAAACGGAGCTCGTGGCCGTAGGCGATGGAGCTGTTGCGCGTTTCTGCTATTCTGATTTGGGTAAGGAGTTCTGGCTTTATATGTGCAGAGCACATGGCGTTATCTGGCCACCATTGGGAGAAGCGAGTGCCGACTAGGAAAATGGAAGCATGTAGCAAATCACGGAACTGTGTAATCTGAAATTATGGAGCAATAGATGCTCAACCTGTCTAAGCCAAACCGTCCGTACCCAAGGTTACCCGTCGCTTGAAAGACCACAATGCCGCCACGCTCCCAACGATATAACACACATATCTATCCTAGACCCTTGGCTTCTTGTTTGGTCCGCTGGAGCGGCCGGCTCCATGGCTGGAAAAGTCGCGCGACCGCTTTCGTTCCAGCTCTTCCTTCATGATGCGCTCAGCCTCGCTCATCTTCTTAGGCAATTCAATCTTCTTGCCCCCCCCTCCGGATAACGCATTCTTTTTCGCAGCAGCAAAGACGTTTTTGGGCTGCGGCTTGCTCAACCCGCCGAGCTTGAGCGACACTGGTTTTGCGGCTGTGGGAACAGCTGCTGGTGCCGCCAAGCCAGCCGGCTCCGTCTTCTTATCGACTCCGGCCTCGTCTTCTGCCTTCACACCAGATGCAGGCTGTTGTTCATCGGAGACTGGTGGAGCTTTTGCCTCTTTGGCCGCCGTGGATTCAGGCTTTGCGCTTCCAAACGAGAGCTTCACTTTTTCGCCCTCCTGTCGCTCCAGAAGGTTGTTCTTGTCGTCCTCCTCGTCCTCATCCTCGCTGGCCTGTTCGTCTCCACGACGTTCCTTTGCCGCTCGTTCGGCGCGCTCAATCTGTGCCTTTAGCATTCGCCGCTCCCACTCCTCATCGCCACGGTCTTGTGCTTCCTTCCTCCGCAAGGCTTCCTGTCGTCGCAGCGCCTCGGGCGATGTGTCGATCCATGAGATGAAGATGCCCTTCTCGTTCTCCTCGACGCGACAGATGCTCTCCTGGCCGAGGTGCTTAGCTAGCTCGGTCAACGAGGACCAGCGGGTGGAGTTCATGTGGATGTGGTCGCGTTTCGCAATGTATTCCTGGTAGAAGTGGTTGATCTGCACCTGTTTCTCGCCGTGTCCCGTGCGCAGAAGCTGTAGGAAGTCCTTGAGAAACTGATCCGAGTATTCGTTGATGACCTTGCGCGGGTTGGAGCCTACTGCAAGCATGTTGCGCACATGGCTCTCGCTTAGGGTGTGTTGCTTGAAGCTGTTCTCGTCTCGCAGGGCACGTTCGCATACCTGACAATACCATCGCAATCCTGCATCGCTCGTTAGCGGAGTGGCAATGTTGGGCGAAGAGGGAAAAACTCACGAGTCAGGCCTCTGGCCTTCATCTGATTGTTTAGGTGCTTCACCGATCCGACTTCTGCTTTTCCCATCTTGGCGGCGGTTGCGCTAAACAGCTGTGTTGGGGAGACGGTTTCTGTCGGCTCGCTTCAGAAACAATGTTGAAGCAACTGTGAGAGGCTCTCAGCACATGAACCTATCGGGTATATTTCGGCCAATCTTTTAGGCGTCTAGTCCTCACAGCCGTCACTCTTTCAGAGATATGTGCATAATAAGCGGGGCCGGCTGGATTAACGATTGCCCCGCCGTTCTAGACAGGTACGCATTATAATCCTATTGCCAGAAGCCCACCTTGATCAACGCCAAGGCAGCACCACATTGAGGGTCCCCTTTTTCCACGACGAAGGATCCGGCAAAAGGACAAGTCATCGCCTGGACGCGATACTCTTGGGACTTCGGCGCGCATTTACCCATCGGTCTGGGGACTAGCTCTCAGGTGGTTGTCGACGACGCCCAAAAGAGGCTCTTCGATTTTGGTTGCCGACAATGTCGTCCCGTAAGGACATCCCCTAGCTGGCAGCAAAGGCCTCAAGCTCTAACAGACATGGCGACGCGCAGTCAAGCAATTCATTCGGAACGTGCGAGCGGCGAAGACGATTGCGGATGAACGGGCAGTGATTCAGAAGGAAAGCGCTGCTATTCGGGCTAGCTTTCGCGAAGAGAGCGCAGATCACAACGTCCGGTAGGCACGAGACAAGAAGGTCGCAGACGATGGATTGGCGTGCCGAAGTGATGCTGACTGTGTGGTGTGCAGGCGGAACAATGTGGCGAAGCTGCTCTACCTCTTCACTCTCGGCGAGCGGACGCACTTTGGACAGATCGAGTGCTTGAAGCTGCTGGCTTCACCGCATTTTGCAGACAAGCGGTTAGGCCACCTTGCGACTAGCTTGCTGCTGGATGAAAACCAAGAGGTGCTCACGCTTGTTACAAACTCGCTGAAAAAGTATGGACTGGCCTCCCTGACAGCGCAGGTCTCAGTCTGCCCGGCTAACGGATCTGCAGTGACCTGTCTCACTCGAACCAATACATTGTCGGCCTGGCGCTATGCACGCTCGGAAACATTGCGTCGGTGGAGATGTCGCGAGACCTGTTTGCGGAGATTGAGAACCTAGTGTCGACGTCGAACCCGTACATACGACGAAAGGCGGCGCTGTGTGCGATGCGAATATGCCGCAAGGTTCCCGACCTGCAGGAGCACTTTGTGGAGAAGGCGACACACCTGCTCTCGGACCGGAACCACGGCGTGCTGCTCTGTGGGCTGACGCTTGTGACCAGCCTGTGCGAAGCGGATGAGGAGGAAGGCGGGGAGGAGGGAATAGTCGAGCAGTTCCGACAGTTTGTGCCGTCTCTGGTGCGCACGCTCAAGGGACTTGCGTCGTCTGGATATGCGCCGGAGCACGATGTGACGGGTATCACGGATCCGTTCTTGCAGGTCAAGCTGCTACGGCTACTCCGTGTTCTTGCGCGTGGCGACTCGAGGACGAGCGAGATGATCAACGACATTCTGGCACAGGTGGCGACGAACACGGAGTCGTCGAAGAATGTAGGCAACTCGATTCTGTACGAGGCCGTGCGTACGATCCTGGACATTGAGGCGGACTCGGGGCTGCGCGTACTGGGCGTGAACATCCTGGGCAAGTTCCTGTCAAACCGGGACAACAACATCCGGTATGTGGCCTTGAACACGCTGATTAAGGTGGTGGCCATCGAGCCGAATGCGGTGCAGCGACACCGGAACACGATCCTCGATTGCCTGCGCGACCCGGACATCAGCATTCGGCGGCGTGCGCTGGAGCTCAGCTTCACGCTGATCAACGAGAGCAACGTGCGGGTGCTGATCCGCGAACTGCTCGCGTTCCTGGAGAGCGCGGACAACGAGTTCAAGCCGAACATGACGAGCCAGATCGGGATTGCGGCGGACAAGTTTGCGCCCAACAAGCGCTGGCACGTGGACACGATGCTGCGGGTGCTCTCGCTGGCGGGCAATTACGTCAAGGAGCCGATTCTGTCGTCGTTTATTCGGCTGATCGCGACGACGCCGGATCTGCAGACGTATGCGGTGCAGAAGCTGTACGCGAACCTGAAGAAGGATATCACGCAGGAAAGCCTGACGCAGGCGGCGTCGTGGTGCATTGGCGAGTACGGCGATGCGCTGCTGCGTGGTGGCCAGTACGAGGAAGAGGAGCTGGTGCAGGTGGTGAAGGAGGAGGACGTGCTCGATTTGTTTTCGACCATCCTGAACAGCAGCTATGGCACGCAGGTGACCAAGGAGTATATCATGACGGCTCTGATCAAGCTGACGACACGGCTGTCGGACGCGGCGCAGATCGAGCGAGCGCGACGAATGTTGCAGGCCAACGAGACGAACCTGGACGTGGAGGTGCAGCAGCGAGCCGTCGAGTACACCAACCTCTTCGCGTACGACCAAATACGGCGCGGCGTCCTGGAGAAGATGCCGCCGCCACAGATCCAAGAGTCGTCGCGGGTGCTCGGCGAGGCGGCAGCGACGAAGAAGTCCAAGGCGGGAAATCGGCGGTCCAAGATTGTGAAGCCATCAGAACAGGATCTGCTGCTGGATCTGATGGGCGACACGGCTCCAGCAATTGTGGCACCGGTGAACGGTGGCGTCAACAATGCGGACCTGCTTGCGGATATCCTCAGCGGCGGCTCTGCGACATCGACTGCGCCAGCAGCTGGCGGTCCGCCGTCCAACGTGTCTGCCATCCTGGACCTCTTTGGCACGACATCACCGGCTGCATCGGCATCACCATATCCGGCTCCCACAGGCACGCCTGCCGGAACGATCCCGGGCGACCTGTTCTCGGCTGCTGCGGCCCCTTCGCCGCCTATACAGCCACCGACAGCACCGGCAGGCTTTCCATGCTACAACGGCAACGGGCTCGACATCACGATCGCGACGCAGCGGAATGCCGAGGGCGCGGTGCAGGCGACAGCCCGGTTCCGAAATGTGGGCGGTGCAGCTGTTTCTGGCGTCGGTCTGCAGGCGGCCGTGCCCAAATCGCAGAAGCTGCAGCTCCTGGCCATCTCGTCGTCCGACGTGGCACCAGGCCAAGAGGCCAGCCAGCTGATGCGGGTGATCGGCGCAAAGGGGGTACGTCTGTCCAAAAGGCTTACATTTTTTATTTAGCGTGCTTTTGCTAACTGTCTTGTGATTAGCCTCTCCGTCTGCGGCTGCGGATTACGTACACACACCCATCGGCTGGCCAGGTCCTGGAGCAGATCAATTGGACAGAGCCGTCTTGAGGCGAGATGGCGGGGTGATGTTGGACTCGGGACAGGGGTTTGGAGGGAAAAGCCAAAGCGGGGAGCTTGTTCAGCGTAGGTTCTTTGCAGCATCAACAGTAGCACCACAGACTCTATTTGGAAATGGATTGGGGCAGAGAAGCCGGTGTGTGAGACATGTCTGACAGCTGCTGACAGCTGCTGGAGATCCGTTCTCCAGTAGAGCAAGTACGAGTAGGGGGAGTACATACGTTGAGCCAAACGCCAGTGTATTACGTAATCAAACTATGAAAGAAAAGAGAGACGAAATGAACAAGGCAAGAAGTGTAAAATGCCGCCCATCCAGATTATGTTGAAGCCTGTCTATTGACCCAGCCTGACCGATCCGCGGTCCCAAGACACAAAGAAAAAGCAGGCGCACGAGGAGGAGCTCATGCGGACTCGTAGAACCAGTATTGGGCAGCGTACTGGACCTGGAAGGCGGCCGGCATGCCAGCGCAGGTAGCAGGAGAGCTTCCGCCGGCGGTCTGGACGCGGTAAACCTCGCGCAGGTTGCCGGTGGTGGTGGAGGAGTCGTGAGCGAGCAGCTTGAGCCAGGGCACGGCGGGCTCGCCATGCTGGCCGCGGTTAGAGACAGCAGAGGAGGAGGTAGTGGTGGCAGCGACAGTCGAGGTGGTGATACTGTCGGAAGGAGCTGCCTGGGTATTGTTTTTGGAGCAGGCGGCGTGGCCGAGTGGCTGGGACGGGGCGTCGAGGTTGAAGAAGGGCGTGGAGGCGGTGGTGAAGAAGTGGTGACCAGACACGTCGAGGTTGGAGGGATAGAGGCGATCGGAGAAGGCGGTGACGTCGTCGTCGGTCAGATTAAAGGGCAGCACGACAGCCGGGAGCAGGTTGAGCAGGTCCGGGTAGGCGGCCGCGATGCAGGAAGCGTTGAAGAGGGTGGCGACAGCGCCGACGGCAGCGGGTGCAGCGGTAGAGTTGGCGCTGCTGCAGGTGTAGTTCTGGGTGCCGCGACCGATGGCAACGTGCTTGAGGACGAGGCCGTCGGAGGGTGGTGGCAGCGAGGGAGAGACGGCTGGCCAGTCAGCGGGGGACATGGATGGAACGAACCCAAAAAGCTCATGGTGTCAACTCACAGCTCGACGGCAGCTGGGCCGCGGTCAGATCGCATGCCGGAAGGGCCGATCGGCTCTGCTGGACCTTGTCGGCCAGGAGGCTGAAGTAGGCCGAGGCCGTGTCGAGCGCGTCTGGCGTGGCCGCACTGCTGCTGAGGGCCGGATAGGCAGGGGCAGCCAGGACGGCCACGGCCACGGCTGACAGGAGCAATGCTGCTGACGGATGCATCGCGTGAAAAAGGCAAAAGACAACACACAAAGCCGGCTTGTGGTCGGAGAGGCGGACACAAAAAGGACTGGGAAGCGAAGACGGAGGGCCTGCCCAACGATGATGACCGACAGTGGAAGAAAAAGAGGACTTGCTGCGAGCCGGGAATCAAGTCCCAAAAGAGCGGTAGGCGTGGGTCCTTCTTATATCGAACTTTCGTGGCCGTCGTCGACTTCTCGAATCAGGCCTGGACCCAATCAGAACAGGACACAGACGGCGGCACGCACACCATCCTGGCAGCGCACCCAAGATTAGAAGCAGCATCGACATGGGTCCGCCCGATGGAGGCTGGGGGGGGATGTCTGAGAGGCTCACAGACGCGGGCTGTGCGGTGGGGTTGAGGCGGTCGGTTCAGGCGGCAAGTCTGATCAGCTCGTCTGGGGGCGCGAGCATGATGGTCGAACGGCGGCCAATGAGAGGACGGCATGTCGCAGCGGCCGCCTGATTGGCTGGTTGGCTCGAGGACCCTGTACATAGTATCGCACTACGAGTAGCCGGATTGGGCAACGCTGGCTGACCGTCGCGCCTTCCACGACTCGATGCCGTGTCGCTGCGCGTCTCCAAGGGGAGGACAGGCGGCAACGGAACAGCTCTCCGTCACGACTGCCTCCGTTGTCCTCGGCGCAATGGCCCTCAGCACTACGATATATAGTATCTTACATATTCGTACTATGTACTCTGTATCTTACTATGTTAAATTAGCGCAGGCGGCTACGGAGAGAAAAATGGATCCAAGCTGTCGTCAGTGTAAGCACGTGTCAGGACCCATAGTACTAAGTAGAGTAAAAATAACACGGCGCCTTGCCTGCTTGGGCCTGGAGTTCGACTTTATGCTTATGCCTTCTATACGAGTATGCTCGTATGCACTCGATCCTGGAATTATGCCATATTATGCGTCGTCCTTCCATTGGCTCTCGTTCTTGTTCAATACTCGCAGGCCGCACCCCACAGCCGAGTGGATACAATGGAGCCCCGGAAGGTCGCCGCAATGGCCAGCGGTTGTTAGTCCGCGTCGAGGCTTGGCCGAGCGCTTATTGTGTGCGGTGTAAGAGAAAAGAGCTCATTCTCTGCCACGCTGACGGTCACCTAAGCAGAAGCACAGTCATCGTAGAGACCCAGGCCATCTTCTCCGTGGCAGCTCCTCTTTCAGTGACTGAATCCTTCTTCCTGCCACTGTCCATGTGACGATCCGCCAGCAGCAGCTGCTGCACCGCCCGCAATGCCACCGCTGCCGCCTCCACTGCCCGCAACAGCTCCGGCAGCCCCGACAGCCCCGGCCGCTCCGCCTGCTCCTCCACCGACAGCTCCGCCGGCCGCCATCGCCGCGCTGTGCCCAAAGTTGCTCGCGTGTGTCTGCCCGTCCAGGCTGCTAAGCCAGTACAGCGACAGAAAGACGACCAGGTGCAGGGTCACGCAATAGGCCGCAAACAGGTTGCGGCTCGTCCGGCTGGCCATCACCATGCGCGTCACCGAGTAGACCACGCGCTCCGGCAGCGACAGCCGTCGATATGCCCGCGCCGACTCGCGTCCGCGGAACGCCTGGAACGGTGACAGGTTGCTCTCGTATGCCTTGCGGTAGCGGTCCAGCGACACGCCGCCGCCGCCAATCGCCACCGTCGCCGGGTTCGGGTTGTTGCCGTAGTCCGACGCCGACGAAGCCGACGTCATCGCCGTTCCTCCGCCCCGGTAACTCGACATGTACCGTGTCTTCTCGTACAGATTCAGGTTGTCCTTCTGCAGCGCTGCCGTCTCCTGTCGCAGATGGGACACTGTTCGGTGCTCGTCCGCCAGCTCCTGCTCCAACTGTGCGATCCGCTTCTTGAACCGGTCTCGCTGCGCTGTGATCATTGGCAGCATCGCCGATCCGCCTCCCGTCGCTGAGTCCGGCCCCGAGAACTGGTGTCCGTGATGTCCGCTGCCGACCCCAACTCGCGAATCAAACCCGCTGATGATTGACGATGTCGGCGATGTCGACCGCCCACCGCTGCCCGAAGCCCCTCGCCGTCCTCCTCCACCCCCACCTCCTGATGTTGTCGCTGCTGCATACCGGCTGACATAGGTTCCCGCCACCGATGCGCCCGATGGAAACAGGTTCGTCGCCTCCGCTTCCACCGTCGCCAGGTCATTCTCCAACTTCTCGTTCAGCTTCTGCAGCCGCTCCACGTCCGCTTGCCGTTGCCTCAACTGTCCCTCCACCGTCGTCAGCCGCGTCTGCAGGTCCTGGTGCGACACTCGCAGGATCGTCAGCTCGTCGCCCAGCTTCTTGTTTCGCGCCAGCAGCAGCTGCTCGAGCGTGTCGTTCTTGTCGCCTTTTGCCCGCCCTTGTTCTCGTCCGGCTTGCCGACCCCCTCCTCCTCCTCGCCCGTTGCAAACTCGATGCTTTTCAGCACCTCCAGCTCCTGCTTCACGTCCTCGTAGTCGCTCCACCGCTGCACCTTGGTCTTGAGCCCATCCCGCTCATCGCGCAGCAGTGCCACCTCGCGCTCGAGCCCGCGTAGTCGTCCATCCAGGCCACGTTTCAGCCCGTCTCGCTCCACTCGGCTGGCGTCCAGTTTCCGCACCAGCGACGAGTTCTGTGACAGCACCTGCAGGTATCCCGGGTCGTCCTCCAGCCGCACCGCCTGCTCCGGCAGCGCCGACTTGGCCTGTGCCAGGTCCACCAGCAGCTGCTCGTTGCGCGCCTCCACGTCCGCCAGCCGTCCGCTCGTCCGCTCCAGATCTGCGTGTACCATCTCCAGTTCCGCGCTCGTCACGTACGCACCCGCTCCTGCTCCTGCGCCCTCGCCCCCACCCCCTGCTCCTTCCGCGTGGCCGAGTCGCTGGTTGACCTCGTAGCTGGCCTTGATCTCCAACAGCAGCCGCTCTTGGTTCTCGATCTTGTCCTCAAACGTCTTCTCCTTGGCCTCCCAGTTCTCCCGCTTCTCCGCCACCATTGCCGTCCACGACTGTTCCACCTCCTTGACCCGGCTCTCCAGCGTGTCCTCCAGCTGCTTCCGTGCTGTCCGCTCCGTCTGCAGCTTCGACTCCGTCAACTCCAGCTGTGTCGTCAGTCCTGCCACCGACCGTTGCAGGTGCTCGTTCTCCGCCGTCAGCTTCGGCAGCGTGTCTTCTGCCACCAGCATCGAGTCCACCGACGCCTCCAGCAGTGGGTACGGGTCTGGCGCCTCTGACAGCGCATTGTACGCCTGGATGAAGGCCGAGTTGACTGACTTGGAGTGGTTCGTAAGGAGATCGATGAATGTCTGGTAGGCTTTGAGGAGTCCCTTAATGTCCGCGAGCTTGCCCGCATCGTCCAGTTTCCGAAAGTCCTTTGTCTTCTGTGCCAGATCCTTCCTCTGCACCGTCGAGTCGCGCTGGTACGCCACAATGTCCGATGCCGTGTTGTCTAGGTTTGAAACCAGACCTGCCAGGTCGATGTCTTGAAATCGCAACCGTCAGTCAGCACCCGCTCTCGTCCTGCCATCGCAGAACAACGCAGACCATCACTCACTTCTCCATGCTAGGATCGCATCTTGAAACTTGTTGCTCGAGCTGGCCTCTGCTGCGCCATCTTGGCCGCCCGTAGCCCCAGCTACAGGGGGACTAGCCACGTCGCCCATTGCTCAGGCAGGCCTCTGCTGTGTTGGAATGTCAAAACGTGCGATAAATGAGCGTACTTTTCCGTCGGTCGATGTCCGTCTTGGCCACGGTCGCGTTCGCGTTTGATCAGGAGCTTCGGTGCAACAGGTAGGGAGCGTCGTCGTCCGTTTGTTTGTTGTTCGTCAACAGAGCGAAAATGGTCTAGGACGCTTTGCGGACTACAAAGGCGGAATATGCACTCGCAATATTGGCCCGTTTCGCCAAGCCACAGAGACTCAGCGCTCTGGAGCTAACAGCCACAGTGCCAATTACAGGCGGGGAAGGCGCGCGCGAGACGCTTTGTTCCTGCAGACAGCCTCGTCATCGCCTCTTTCGCTCTCTCGGCTCGGCGGACTCGCGATTCTGCTGACTCTCCAACGAAAGATCGACAATCCTCCAGATCAGACAGTCTGGGCCGAACCACTCCAATTCCAACCTTCCACCTCTCAGGCTCCGTGCGGCTGCTCATCGCTGCCAGCTGGCAGCCCGCCTTCCGACAAACTGCAACCCCTCTGGTACTCCGGATATGGGCAGATTTTCGTGATCGCCTCAAAATTGCATACGCCCTACATTCATCCGCTGCTCTTCGACACTGCCGCCAATCATGGCCGAGAGCGATGACGGCCTCTCCCTAGAGCCAGGACCATTTGTGCTACGCTCTCTGCTCGACAACATTCCACTCTCGGCCGACGGAACGGACGAGGACATCAAGATCAACTGCGTGGAATACTACGGTAAATCCCACCACCGTCCACCGCCATCTTCCCCTGTGTCTAGGCCAGCACTGACCCGACTTCCTGCGGTAAAGATGGCAATCTCTATGTAGGCACGTCGGCCTCGGAGCTCCTCCATTTTGTCCAGATCCCCCCCGATCCCAATGACGAGAAGTCGACGAGCGTCTTCATTCTGGCCTCACGGCTCAAGCCACCCTTCTCCGAGTCTGCCAATTCTCCGTCCAGTCCACGGCCGGGCGTCCAGCAGATTGTCCTTCTCCCGCCCGTCGGCAAAGCCTGCGTGCGCTGCAACTGGACCGTGACGTTCTACTCGCTGCCCGAGCTGACCCCCATCTTCCGCGAGGTCAAGAACTGCAACTGGATCGGCGGCGTCGACCTGACCGAGGAGGCCGCAACAAGTCATTCGCCGCGTGTCACCATTTTGCTCTCGCTGAATCGCCGTCTCCAGGTCGTGCGCATCGGCGATGAGGCTCGCGCCATCAAGAACATCGACCTTGCCTCTAGCATACGATCTGCTCGCCACGATGCCATTGCCTGCGTGGCCGACACCAAGAGCTATACTCTTGTCCATGTGGAGCAGCAGGCCAAGATCCCGTTGACCAACATTTCCTCTTCTGACCAGACACCGCCGCCAGAGCCGGCTTCCCGAATCCTGGCCGGCGAAGCTGGCGACGGTCTCGCGCGCAGCTCTTCAAACGCACAACCACAACGACGTCCCAGCTCTGCCGCTTCACCTGATTCCCACAACCGCAGCACAAGTCTCGGCGGTACCGTCACCGGTAGCGCGCCGCAGCAGCAGGCGCCTAAAGAGTCTGATGCCAACACAGGAACCCATGATGTCGCAAAGCCAGCGGCAACATCGACGAGAAGCTCAGAAGAGACAGGGTCCGACGAAGCCGGCCGCATTCGGCATACAGCGCACATTCCCCCAACTGCTCAAGGTACGGCACTATTGCGGCCCAAGCCTGGCCCATTAGAGCCTCTAATAGCGGCCCCCACGCCAGAAGAGTTCCTCATTGTCACTGGCACCAGCCCTGTCGATCCCGGCATTGGAATGTTTGTCAACCTGGATGGCGACCCCACACGGCCGACACTCGAGTTTGCCAGGTACCCCAGCATGATCGTGGTAGACGGAGGCTCAGCCGACCCGTCCTCTTTGCGCATGTCCCTCGGGGGTGCGGGCGGTTCAGGTGAAGATGAGGGGGACGGATATATCCTTGCAGCCATGTCCAGAGACTTCCCAGACGGCCTACATCACGGCCTGGAGATCCAGCGTTGGGACGTGAACAATGGCGAGGATGAGCCTCCCAGATCGTGGCTAGAGGTTCCGGGCAACGGCCCGGCCTTGCCGGTAGGGATCCATCCCCTCGTGAGTAGCCAGGAAAGCCTGGTCCGTGAGGTGGTAGTGAAGCTGTGTCAGAAGCGCGTGTCCCTGCCCTGTCAGCCAAAGGACGGCCCGAACAGCCCAAAGGTCAGCAGCAAGCCGGTTGCGGTGGAGGACGAAGAGGCCAGCCGCTACAAGTCCGAGGTGGTCTTTGCCAGCCGGCTTGCCAAGACAAGCGGCCGAATTGCCGTCTGGTCCGGGAACCAAATATGGTGGGCAATGCGAAATCCACTGGTATTGCAGCTGGAAGCAGCTCTGGCTGCAGACAGGCTTGGAGACAAAATAGCCCCAAGCACGGCTAAAGAGAGAGTGCAGCTCTTCACCGTGCTCGGATCATTTCGAGGCCGGGAGGCCAAGACGGAGCTCGAGTTTGTGACATTCAGCTACATCCGGCAGAGGGCCGGCGGGCTGCTCTTCATGGGTCTCCTCCAATCTGATGGATCGGCGCCTTTCTCGGACGGAGAGCTGAAGGCGATGGGCGAGGTTCTGCTCGACAGCGGACTCGACCCGCGCATTATCGTGGCCATGATCCCAGGGCTCCGGGAGGAGATCGTGCAAAGCCGCAAGGGAATCTGGATATTCGGGGGCGTGAAGGACATTGTAGAACGATACCTGAACAGCGACGAGGCCGGACGGGTGGGCAAGAGCGTGGGCTCTCTGCAGTCGCCGATCCTGCACTTTCTTCGACGATTCCTGATCGCGTGGAGGCGAAAGAAGGGTTTTGGCAGCGTCGCAGACGAGGGAGACGTGTTCCGCAGTGTCGACGCGGCCCTGCTGGCGGTGTTGCTGGAGCTGGACCAAGGCAGCCCCAAGGGGCTCGTCACGGCCAAGACGGGCTCGGTGCGGGGGGACCTGAACGACCTGGTGGACAAGGGTGTGGACTGCTTCGGACGGGCGGTAGAGCTTCTAGAGGCGAAACACCGACTGTTTGTACTGAGTCGTCTGTACCAGAGCCGCAAGCAGGCGGCAGATGTGCTGGCAACTTGGAGGCGGATCGCAGAGGGCGAGCGAGACGACGGCGGCGAGCTGCAGGACGGCGAACAACGAATCCGTGAGTACCTAGCCAAAGTGAGCAGCCAGACGCTGGTGCAGGAGTATGGCCTCTGGCTGGCGAAGCGTCGGCCGAAGCTGGGAGTGCAGGTATTTGCCGACGACAAGGCGCGAGCGCCGCGATTCGAGCCAACACAGGTGGTGCCGCTGCTGCGCAACGAGGCTCCGGGTGCGGTCAAGTACTACCTGGAGCATCTGGTGTTTGCCAAGGGCCAGGCGACGTATGTGGACGAGCTGATTGCATACTACCTGGAAGTCGTCACGGGCGAGCTGCGGGGATCCGAGGAGGCACGCAGCACGATGCGGGCGGTGTATGAGGCGTACCGAGCGCTGCAGCCGCCGAAGCCTACTTTCCACCGGTTTCTGCGGGACAACACGCTTCCGGATGACGAGGTAGCTCAAAGCCGGCTGCGACTGCTAGAGCTACTGGGTAGTCCGTATCCGTTTGACGTGGGGGCGATTCGGCGACGGCTGGCCGAGTCATTGCCGGCGGCGACGGCGACGACAGCTGCGGCCGAGCAGCTGCTAGTACCCGAGGCCATCATTCTGGACGGCCGTGAGCACCGACACGAGGACGCACTGCGGCTGCTGGTGCATGGTCTGGGCGACTACGACACGGCGGTGTCGTACTGCGAGCGAGGCGGGTCGAGTCTGTATGTGTCGGTGCGCGGGGCAGACACGGCAGAGCTGCCGATGCTGCCGCCGACACCGAGGCGACGCGAGAGCCTGCCGCCAACGCGCGAAGAGCAGGCCGGGCTCTTCCGAGCGCTGCTGGTGGAGTTTATGGCCATCGAGGACGTGAGTGACCGAGTTGAGCAGACAGGCGCGCTGCTGGGCCGGTTTGCCGGCTACTTTGACGTGCTGGACGTGCTGCAGCTGCTGCCGGACTCGTGGGCTGTTGATGTGGCCGCTGGCTTCCTGGTGCACGCGCTGCGAGAGCTGGTGCGAGACCGCAATGAAAGTAGCGTGGCGAGAGCGCTGAGCGGAGCTGAGAACCTGCGGCTGCACGCCGAGCTGATTGCGCAGATCGACAAGAAGGGGCCGCAGACGGAGGAGTTGTCGCTTGAGGGATCCCATATTGAAGCGGAGACATGAAGGGGGTGGAGGGGGGTGATGAGGATGAACGAGGAAGATGGAGAGGAAGAGAAGATATTCAAGAGGGGGAAAAGGATGGCATAGAAGAGCTTTGATAGATCTCAGCTTTTGATTAATGGAACACGAATAAGGCAAGAGCTTCTGGGCCAGTCGACCCTCTGAGAGGAAAGAATGAGCGATCGAGGTCGTTTAGATTACTAATTATATAGACAGATGAAAAGGAAAGAGCTTTCTGGGCATCCTACCCAAACAGGCTAGCACCCCAACTCCGAGACAGTATACAGAAGCCAGACGAAAGCAAAGGCAGCCCGAAACCAAGACCGAGACCGAGACCATATCCAAGACCAGAAAACACACAATCTACGGCAGGGCAGTCGTGCCGGCGCGGCGGAAGGGGTGCGCTTCGGTGTTGAAGACCCACTCGTCGAGGCTGGCGAGATCCCACTCGGCAAAGACGAGGTAAAAGTACTTGAGCGTCTCGCCCATCCAGAAGCTCTCCATCTTGTCCATCGGCGGCGGCTGAAAGGCTTGGGTGACGTCGAGGATGCCGGCAGCGGCGACGGGGTGCGCGCCAGAGCCGTTCGGGTCGTCAGCAGACACAGCACCGGCCGTGCTAGTGTAGCGCGCAATGCTCTGGAACATGTGCCAGGCCTTGTCCTGCCATGCGGTGTCGCCGGTGAGCCGCCACATGACAAAGACAGACTCGATCGCCTCGGGGCGCAGCATGTACTTGGGGTCGTCGATGTCGACGTAGCCGGGCGCCATGCGGCCGCTGGTCATGAGCCTGTCGATGGCATCGGAGGAGCTGTCCCTAGGGGGTTAGCAGGGAAGGGGGAGTAGTAAGGAAAGAGAAAGGAAGAAAAAGGAAAGAGGAAAAGGGAAAAGGGAAAAGGGAAAAGGAAAGGGGAAAAAGGAAAAGGGAAAAAGGAAGAGGGAAAAAGAAAAAGAAAAAAGAAAGAGAAGCATAAAAAAGAATAAGCCTACTTTGCCAGCTTCCAGTGCTTCTCCAGAGCGTCCCGCCACTTGTCCGGCGTGTAGCTGCACCGCATGCCAGCCTGATCCTCGCTCGCAGAGCCGCAGGTAGCGTAAAAGAATTTTTCCGGTCCGATGCCAGTGGCGGTCACGTTGTAGGTCCAGACGCAGGCGTCAGTCAGCTGGGCGGCCAAGGCCATGTCGCCGCGGTCGTTGCTGGCCTCGCCAAAGGCGCGAGCGGCGAGCCCGACCATGCCGCCGACAAAGCAGGTCAGGTGCTCACCGCGCGGCGAGTTGACGACGGCGCGACCGGTCTGCGGGTCATCGACGACGCGGGCATCGCCCGAGAAGACGAGCGGCCAGTTGTGCTCGTTGAGCACGCGGCGGAAGAGGTGCTTCTTGGCCACGGGCAGAAAGCGGCTGTACATGTGACGCGGCTGGTCGAGCACGCCACCGAGAAGGAGCCACTGCTTCGGCAGGTATTCGTAGAGCGAATCGGACTTGCCGCCGAGCGAAAAGGTGTCGTCGCCGTCAAAAGCCGGCACGGCAGCATCCACCAGCACCGGCCACATGCCTGGCAACCGCGTGCGCAGCTGGTGGTGGTCCAGCACGTCCGACACGCGCGCCGTCGCGTCGTAGAACCTCTCGTCGCCCGTCAGCTGCGTCAGCTTGGTGAACTCGAGCGACAGTGAGCCCAGCTCGGCCGCCGGCATCGCCCGTGCCGCCTCTGTCTGCATGCCACCGCGCACGTACGCTCGCCAGTCCCACTTGGCCAGCGGCATCCGGTTCGGCGTGTCAAACGCCCCCAGCAAGATCTCCCCCACCTCCACCGCCTTGCGCAGCAGCACTGGCTCCGTCTTGCCGCTAATCTCGTACGCCCCCAGAAAACCGCCGAGGTACCGGATCGTCACTTCAAACAGGTTGATCACGTCCGCCTCCGTCCGGCTGAAGTCAATGTCCGCGCACGCCCGCACTGCCATCCGGAACTCGTCGTGCATTCCCATCATCCAGAGCGAGTCCAGTGCGTCCACCATTGTCCCGCCCCCCCAGCCCTCCCCAGCTTGTTGTAGTCCTGCAGCGGCACCCCCGACATCGGCATCACCTCGTCTGCCAGCCACGCCACGTCCTTGTATCCCTTCCAGCTGCGCTCAAATACCTCCTTCACCGCGGCCAGACGGCCCAGCCGCACTTCTCGCGCCTCCTCGCTCTCCTTGGGTGCCGGTTGCTTCTGCATCGGCGGCACCGCCCCCTCGCGCCGCTCCTTCGGTATCAGCTTCAACGATGTCACTGGGTAGCGGTCTGGCAGCTTGGCCAGTCGCATCTTTGCCCGTTCGGCCGCGTCCTCCAGTGGCGGTGGAGCTGGCACCTTGGCGCTCGGTGCGTCCGCTACAGGCAGTGGTTGCATCGGCGAGATGTCGTGGTACCGGTCAATCAGTTCGGTCCTGTTCCGCGTCGCCAGCAATACCGTGCACACCATGAGACCTGCAACCACCAGCAGGGAGCGCCATCGGCGCGGTGGGCTCATCATGGCTGCTGTTGAGTCGTCGCTGGCTGCTGTGTTGCTGATAAACAGTAACAATAGCAGACGAAATCAGCATCGATGAGCGAGAGAGAAGTGGAGATAGTAGAAATAGTAGAGAAAGGGCACACACAGAGAGAAGGAGCGAGCAAGAGAGAGAGAGCACCACTAAAAACGGAGCCCAGAGCAGGGACACTGTGGCACCAATGGCAGCGAGCTGGGGGGTTAAATCAGGGCAGCTGTACTATGTACGTTGTATGCCCGACGTCATCGTCGTGCCAACAATGCAATGCACAGGGTGTGTTGGCTCTTTGCAGACAGCAGCCTGCGACAAAAGTCCAAAAGCGTAGCTTGCTAACAGCAGCCGAGGCGACTTGGCATCCCCATAACATGGCTGAAAAGCAGCTGAAGGCGCTAGCGAAAAAGGTACGCAAGCCTCCTAATTTGCCATGACGCGGCAGGACTCGCAAGAAAGACACATAGATACCAGCACGTGACAAGGTGCAGGAGCTGAAACAAGTTGCTACGAGCGGGGGTTGCGACCCCTCCTCTCACCCTCTTGCTGACCGCAGATCGCACGGAGAGGAAGGAGGAAGTGAGCATCAGGCAGGAGCAGCAGTCCGACCAGACGCAAGGCTACATGTAGCAGGTGGCATGTTTGGGAATATTGGGGAAGCTAAGGGAGAACAGCAGCGCTAAATGGCACTGCCACGCTCCGCCTGCACCATGTTCCTAAACCCTACCCGTGACAAGAGCGGTTGCATATGATTGCTCGCCAGCCTCGCATGCTGTGGGCCGACGTCTGGACATCACGAAAGAGCAGAGGGCCTGGCAGAGTAGAGACTCGGCGCGTGTTCTGGTTACGATGCAGCTGAGGAAGAACGGATCTTTGTAGTACCAATGCGGATAACAGCAGGGAGACATCATGAAGAAAGGAATGAAAAGTAGACAAAACATCGTCAGCGAAATCCGTCAGCCGCGAATTCCTTCTGTGCCATGCCAGAGCACAACATGGCCGTCATTCCACATCCGCCGCCTCGCCTCTTCCGCCGTGCTTATTTCTGCATCATGAGCTGCACAAACTCGTTGTCTGTAGCCGCCCGTTAGCTTGCTGTCCGCTGTCACTGTCACTGCTGCTGCAGCAGCAAGAAAGTCGGAAACTCACAGTCGATCCGGCCGTCGCCGTCCTGGTCCGCCTCGCGGATCATCTCGTCGACCTCCTCGTCCGTCAGCTTCTCGCCAATGGTCGTCATGACGTGGCGCAGCTCAGCCGCTGAGATGAAGCCGTTGTTGTCGCGGTCAAAGACTTTAAATGCCTCGCGAATCTCCTCCTCCGAGTCGGTGTCCTTCATCTTGCGTGCCATCATCGTGAGGAACTCTGCCCACCACCCGGTCAGCACGAGGCCAGAAAAAAAGACAAGACAAAGACGGGACGGAAGAACGCCGCGCGCCCGTCTAGAGACATACCCGGAAAGTCAATGGTACCGTTGTTGTCGGCGTCCACCTCGTTGATCATGTCCTGCAGCTCGGACTCGGACGGGTTCTGGCCGAGCGAGCGCATGACCGTGCCGAGCTCCTTGGTCGTGATCTGGCCTGTCCGGGAAAATGTGTCAGCACAACGCGTCACCCGCCACAGGAGAGGGTGGACGGTCTACGGACCATCGCCATCCTTGTCCTATCAAGCGCGGCAAGCGCGGCCGGTTAGCAAAACGTCCGGCCGAGAGGAAAAAAGGGGGCCGAGCCCGGACCAGATGGCCCCGGGCAGACGGCAAATGCCAGGGGAAAAACGTACAAACAGAGAGAAGGCCTCCTTGAACTCGGAGACCTGCTCCTCGGTAAGTGAATCGGCCTGGGTCGCGCGTCAGTAGGGTGCTGCGCGAGAAAGAAGCAGACGCAAAACGAGCACGCCAAAAAAGGAGGGCCGATCGAGTCGGGCTGTGGTGCGACGAACCATGATGCTGGCGGCTGGGGAAGCAAATCGGGGATTCCGAAAGGAAAAAAACGAAGACGGGCAAGAATGCGAGGGAGCTCGGGGATGGAGAGAGCAGAAGGGCGAGAGAGGATGCTGGAGACAGTTGTAGGAAGGAAAGCTCAAAGCCTTAGCCGACAATTGTTGTTGCCTCGCGTGGTGGGTTAATATACTAATGCGCACACCTAGACCCGACTTTGCTGCATGTCGAAAACAGCCCAGGACAAGGAGGGGGGTGAGGGACCAGCAGAGCTTCGCAGGGCGGGGCGGGGCATCGATTTCATTTCAGGAGGCCGCACAGGGGCTTTGCTGGGGCGCAGAGCGATCACTGCAGCTCGTCTACCTGCATGGCAGTCTGCCTTGCCAATGCCGATAGCTGCATAAATCGGCATGTTCTGCTGCACTGTCTACCTGCATACTACGCCGGGCGGCCCTGTCAATGCGAGCTGTCCGCTTCCGTTCGTTTGCGTCAGCGAGTCAGCCACACGATTACGATATCTCGACAACCCGTCCACCTCTACGACGAATCAGGCCTGCGACGACGCCCAGCACGCAATTCACGACGCCTCGAACACCGCCTTGCTCTGCCGCCCGTTGCGATTGCACCCTTGCGCCTCGCATTCCATCGGTCATCTGCCTGTCAAGCGCGATTCGCCGTGGCGACGGAAAAGACAAAGAACGAGACGACTGCAAGCCCGAGACGCTTTCGAAGCTCGCCCGCCGTGCGCTCCCGCCGTCCTCGTTCCGTCCGCCCGCACGAGGCAGGCTGCTGGAGGTAGCTGTGATCTTGGCGTGGCGTCTGCCATGTGGCGAGACCGTACCAACCTGTGAGTATAAGTCAGTCAGTCTGTGAGTGAGCCGACGATGTCTGACTGCCGACGATGCGAACAGCTACATCTCCTACCGCCAGTCCTACGCACACCACCCGAAGAAGCGGACGCGGTACTATGGCGGGCTCACCGGCGACTCCGTGGGCGCGGCCGCCAGCAGCGCTCTCGACGAAGACCGGCGCGGCCTGCTCTCGGGTCCCGATCCGTTCTACGACCATGCCGACGAGACGATTAACGCGGCCGGTGACGCCGTGATCGAGATGGACCTGCTCCCGCCGCGCTGGGCTGATATCTCGGACGAGGTGACCGAGATCCTCGGCGACGTCGCCCGTCAGAGCCAACAGCTCGACCGGCTGCACCAGAAACACGTGCTGCCCGGCTTCAACGAGGACGAGGCGGCCAAGCGGGCCGAGGAGGGCGAGATCGAACGTCTGACCCAGGCCATCACGCGCGGCTTCCACGACTGCCACCGCTGCATCCAGCGCATCGACCAGATGGTGCGCGAGTCCAAGGGCCAGGGCAGCCTGTCGCGGGCCGACGAGACCATGGCCAAGAACGTGCAGATCTCACTGGCCACGCGGATCCAGGAGGCCAGTGCCACCTTTCGCAAGAAGCAGAGCACGTATTTGAGGAGTAAGTGGGGAGAGCGGGAAAAAGTAGAGAATACAATGACGAAAGAGAAAGAAAAAAAAAGAAGGAAAAAAAAAAGAAAGAAGCTGACCATCCAGAACTCAAAGGCGTCTCCGGAGGTCCCGCATTGGCCATGGCCGGAATCAGCTCCAACTACGCTGCCGACCCGTCACTCCTCGAGTCCGACGCCGACCGGTCCTTCTCGCAGCTAGCACTGCAGGAAGCCTCGTCTTCGCAGCCGCAGCAGCGCCAGCAGCAAATACAGAAAATGCAACGCCAGTCCAACGATGCCGTCATCGCACAGCGCGAGCGTGAGATCGGCGACATCGCCCAGGGCATCATCGACCTGGCCGACCTGTTCCGGGACCTGCAGACCATGGTCATCGACCAGGGCACGATGCTGGACCGCATCGACTACAACGTCGAGCGCATGAACACCGACGTCAAGGCGGCCGACCGCGAGCTCGTCGTGGCCTCGGGCTACCAGCGCAAGACCACCAAGCGCAAGATCATGCTGCTGCTGCTGCTCATCATCGTCGGGCTCTTCATCCTGCTGCTGATCAAGCCAAAGCGGCATAGAGGCGGCGGCGGTGATGGTGGTGGCTCTGAAGCTGCTAAACAAGTGCCTGGAAATGTCGACAGCGGCGGCGAAGAAGCAGAGCAAGACTCCCCTTTCCTAATGTCGTTCTTGTCATAGCACGGAGTCCTGCTCTCCTGTTCCCGTCTTTCTCACGCCGCGGCACGTCTTCTCGCCACATGCGTTAGACCGTCTGCGGCTCTGTACTTTCATCTTGTTTCCATCTTTTCCATCTTTTCTTACCTTGTGTTTCTTCTTTCTTTTTCTATTGCATTCCCCCTTCTTCGCACTTGTCCGTTCGAGCACGCTGTCATGCCTGTTGTACACTATCGTTTTCTCTCTTGCACTGGAAGTCGGGTCCGATTATAGAATCGTTAAAAGGAATGGGCTAATGTATCTTACATCGGTGGTATCGTCGTCTAACTAGTCTATCTCGTTTCGAGTATATCCATGCATAACTGCGTCTCGTCATCATCCTGTGCTCGGCTCTATTCCAGGCTGCTGTGAGACAGCGTCGATGAACGCCTCTCGTGACATCTTCTTCTTGTCCCCCCTTCGCGTCAGCTGGTTTCCAAACGAGTTGGCCACCGGCCGGACGGCCTTCAATGCTTTCTCCAACACATCCAGAGCCGGCAGCAGCTCCTCTGCCTCTGCCGCTCCTCCTCTGCTGCCGCTGGTCGCCCACGCCGCATCGCATAGATCCTTGACCTCCCGCACCGTCAGCTGGTTCGCCGATCGCGCCGGCTGCCAGTAGCGTGTGGCCATCGACGGGGGCCCAAACACGGCGGCAATGCACACCAGGGCTTCTGACCGGACAATGGCCGTCGGCACTGCAACTCCGCGATCCCGCAGAATGGCCAGTAGGCGGATCCCACCGGCCAAAGAAAAGTCTCCCGGAGAGGCCGCCTTCTTCGCACCGTCTGACGGTACTGGTTGTTTTCCCAACCGGTTGCCTATAGGGGATCGCACGTTCTGTCCCTGTCGGTACGCCAGCTTCCGGTGGAAGTACCATCGAACAACCGCCTCAACCATGCTGCGATCGAATATCAGGCTCAGTGGGTGCAACGGGTGGTCCAATGCCAGGTCGCGCGGCAGCAGCCGGTAGCCAATGTCAGACGTCTGTGATGGACTCTCATCACGCAACACATCGGGCACATCGGCAACGTGGACCTTAAAGGCAGCGTTTGCGCCTGGTAGCGACGACGCGGGCGAAGTCTTTGGTGCTGGAAGGGCCGCCGCTTGGATGGAAACATAGCGGCTTGCAACGTCCACTGCAATGGCTTCCAGGTCGGCCAGACGGCCTTGTCTGCCGAGCAGAACCAGTATGTTTTGCCACGCCTCCGTGGCTACAGGTAGACGTAACGTCGCCAGACGACGGCATAGGGCTATGCAAAAGTCGACGTCCGGAATTGCGTTGGGGTCAAACTGGCGTGGGACCTCGGCCAAAATCAGATCGGACATGGACTCGCAAGTTGACGGCAGCAACTCGATGTTCTTGGCAGCGAACTCGTCCATCAGCTTCAGGGTGGCCTTCTTCCTTCGCTGGTCCAGACAGGTCTGAAGCAGCTGATTAGACGTGGCCACCAGTGAATCTTCCGACACCGCGAGACGCATAGCAAGCAGCAGATGGTGTGTCTCCCAGTCGCCCGTAAACGAGGCAGAGCCGAGAACATAGCGCTGCAGCACCACGTCGTCAAACACGTCCGGGTGTATGGTGGAATGGAGGAATTTGTCCAACGTCTCCCCGTCACCCATCTTGGCCAGGTGGCGAATGCCTCTGGCATAGTTGGACTGTCCGACGCTGATTTGAAGCTCGTCCAGCTGCTGTAACCGACGTGAAACCCCAGCAGGTCCGTTTTCGCGCAACGCAATGGACTGTAGGGACAGCGGCCCAATCTCAAGAATGCCCAGACCGGACACGAGATTGATCGCCGTGTCCAAGGACACCCAGCTGGTTGCAAACCATTTCGCTCCGATCTTGTCGTTGAATTGCTTCTCCTGGATGCCAAATGTCTCGCCGTGGACACGGTTCATGAGATGGTAGAGATTTTTCGGCATGTCCGCCGTCTTTTCTGCAGGCTGTCGGGGAGCAGGGGCCTGGTTCACAGGCCGAGAATTCAGCACCGTCTGTTCTTGGCTATGGAGCTCCGTTTCTGGGTAGTAGCCGGCAAGGTACTGCAGAAACGGCCGTGACGCTCCTGTCGACAGCGGTATGTCGTCGTGCCGGATAAGCGTTTCGCGCCACGTCTGTGCCAGCGTTGAATGGCCCTCAGACCACAAAAGGGGTACAATAGTATCGTAGAGCTGGCGGTGGTGGCTGGTGGCATAGATGCAATGCAGCGTGTCCTGGAGCTCGGGCTCGGGGTCAGAGATGAAAGCCTTTAGCATGTCGAAAAAGTCACGCCTCGCAACACCGAAATGTGCGCCCAGCCGCAGGTGCCATTGTAGTGCCCGGTCATATTGCCCATTGTCCAGGCAGAATGTCACGATGGTTCGGTAGTAGTTTGGCCAGTGTGCGTCGTGCTCGTCGTGCATCCACTCTGCATATGCCCATGTGCTCTCCAGAAAGGCCTCGTCCTCGAGGGCAGACTCTACCACGGACTGCCAGAATGAAATGGCCACAACACCGTCCGTTTGGTGAAGCTGCTTCCTATCAAGAATTTCTCTCCACACCACCAGAGCACCCTCGCGGTCTTCACGCCTCTGAGCAAAATTGAAGATGGCACTCCAGAGCCCCAGGTCGGTTGCATGTTCGGGCAGGTCAACAGATCTCTTGGCGTCGCGCACGGAATGCGAAGACTGCGTGAGCCCAGCCTCAAACATGAGCCGGTCGTAATCGAAGAGCAGATCGCGCCATTTCCCGTAGTGCTGGGCACCCAGCAACGATCGTCTGTTATGTTGGAGCCCCAAGCCCGGGCCCTTGTCAGCTGCTGGGTCCCGCGCCAGTGGGGACGGTAGGAAGTGGCCGCGACGCTTCAAGTGGTCCACGCCAGATGATTGTGATGCCACATTCGCAGTTGTAGCCGACACGATTGTCGCCCCATCACTCGATGTATGTTTTTCCGAGGATCCAGGCTGCTGAACTGGTCTGGAAGCAGCGATTGCGACGGCGGCGGAAGAGGATATGTGGCGTTGGGACGTCTTGATATTGTTACGTCCACGCCGATCGAAAGTAGGCTCTGCAGTCGCTACATTGGTCCGGAATATTCGAGCCGGTGAAGGCGGAAGTGTTGATGCTAAGGAAGAGGAGCGAACTGCGAGCCTCAACCGCGGAGACGCCAATGGCATTGCTATGGCCTTGGCGGCGCTGGCGAACCAAACTCTGACAGACGGACTACCATGACATTGATACAGCTTAGAATCCCCATTGGGAGCACGATGCTTTCTCGCTTGCCTTACAGCTGGTTGGATGTAAGTCCTCTCTGATTTAAATGACTTTTTTGGATAACGATTTCATCAAGCATATCGGCTCCACATACAGTGATTAGTCATTTTATCTTCCAGCCAATCGGGACAGACTATTTTCCGACGTATTTCCCTCGGGTGCGTCGCTCTCAATCAAAAGCTTTCTCACTGGATCGTACCACCATCTGACGCAACTCGGTCAACGACGACAAACATTGACTCTTCATAACTCTCTACTCAACTCTCGCAAACCGGCACAATGGGGTGAGTCTCCCCCTTTTTCTGGCTTTGTCGGCGCCTCGCTCCAATGGCTGCTGGCCAATGCGACGTGACTCTGTCAAAATTCTGCCCCTCGACGACAACGACGATGGCCATGGTGTCGGATCACAAAGTATGGATCGCTAACGCTCGTCCGCGTCTCCCTTTTAGTCTCATCGACGCCCCCAACAAGGTTCCCTACTTCCAGCGCACCTACCAGGCTGCGTTCCGCGGACACACCCGCCTCTGGAAGATTGTCAGTATTATGTCGCAACCAGTCCTTCGTTCACACTCGCGCGTTTCCGTTGATCCGGGTTATTCCATACAAGCATCTAGGACTGTAGCTGACAATAGTCCGATACAGAACCCCCGCAGCAATGTGCTTCTGACGCCGTACATGGTCATCCTCTTTGGCTCCGCTGCCGGTTAGTGCTCAAAGTCGCCCGATCATCGTAGCCTGGCTCCCATACTAACATCACGAACAGCTACCACATACGGCATGACCCGCAAGGTTCTTGGCTACAACACGTTCTGGTAGATGGAATGCCATGGGGTTGGATTGCTAAGCAGAGCTCGTTGTTCGGCGATAGTATGGAGCGTGGCAATTGAAACGCATAAGTGGTGAAGATTGATGCAGTCCCTTGAACATTGTTGCGTACAAACATGAGGCTGCTGCCTCTGCTCTGCCTTGCCTTTTCGTGACCGGTTTCGCGCTCAGGTTGCTGCAGCCATGTGCTTTTGTAGTTGCCGATGTCGGCAGGCTTCGGGATGCGCTCTAGTCCTGTACCAGAAGACAAGGCACCAGGATGTTCTATATGTTGTGGAAATTAAGGATAACATCGGGACAGCGCCCAGACAACTAAAAGCTGCAGTCACTATTTAAATGCACAAGTTTATTGTCTTGATATTTTGGGCATCTTCTGTTTCTCTGAATTATATGCAAGGAACCCAGTGTCGTTTTCCCCATCCACATGCCATGACATCATACGAGATATGTAGAAGTAGAAAGAGGGGGTAGAGGAAAGCTAGTAACACAGACAGGTAAGAATAAGGGGAAGGGGTAAAGAGAAGGCAGAAGGGATGCTCTAGAAAGAGAACAGTAGCCCCTACATATTTCCTCCCATACATTTCAGACAGTGCTTTTACCTTGAACTTCGGACGGTAATCCCACAAGGCCTCCTGACAAGCAAGAGGCAAGCATGCGTTGCAACCAAAATAGTCCCATAGCCAACCAGCCATTGTCCGCAGGGCCATCTCTCGACCCCGAACAACTGGTCCCGAAAGAAAAAGAAAAGCGTTCCAATAAAAAGAGAGATACATAACGCCATGACCGACATTCAAGATGGTTGCATAAGATCCAAACCGTAGAGGGAGAGTGGAGCGGGTGTGTTGTGTTCTGGCTGAACAGAGCGTCTCGAGGGGAAGCGAACAAGTAAGAGAGTACCCCAGACGCAGCCCGGTAGAAAACAGAGAAGGGGAAAATTAAGATGGCCATTTTCTAGCTTTTTCTACTTCAGCACTCTCTCTCTCTCTTCTTGTTTTGTTGCTCACTCGCTTAGAACGGGACGTTGTTTGGTGGTGCGTGAACGGGGCTGCCGTCGGGGTTGAGCTCCATCTCTTCACCACCAGTCTCGATCGAGATGCCTAGGCCAAGCTTGGCTTGTTGCTGCAGGCTGTTAGCAGTAGGAACTGGGGGGGGTTATAGCAACGTCACGGAATCGAGGCCTACCGAAGCGTGGTCCACATCTGCCGCGAAAGTCATCATTACGGGGGCGGCCACCCGCTTCTCCAGCAGGACGCCTAACTTGCCCTTGGAGTCCAGCTGTGCGCGGAAGGTCGACATGCGGAAATCGTACTTGGCGCCAAAGGTCGTGACGCCCTCTTTCTGCAGGCCGCCACCCATCAGGCCGGCGGCCGCGTTAGGCACCACCTGCAGGGTCATATCGACACCGGCCTGCACGTTTTCGGCCAGGCGGCGCCAAAACGTCGCATTGATGGCACCCTGTGTCTGCAGCTGTGCCGTGGCCACCCAGTCACCCGACGCATACCGGCCGCAGTACGAGAGCAAGGCATCGGGCGGCTGCGACAGCGCGCCGCGCTGCCAGACCCCCTCCAAGCCGATGGACAGCTTGGGAGTGACCGACTGCAGGTAGTTGCCGATGAAGATGCCGGTCAGGCCGCCGTCGAGGTACGACGGATTCATCGTCTTGAGCGACGCCGTGAAGTCACGGCCCGTGTATTCGTGCTCGATCTGGACCATGCTCTGGCCGTCGCCGGGAGCCAGCTGAGCCGACGACTTGGAGACGAGCCCGTCAGTCCAGCGGTAGTTGAACCGGGCCGCCAGCTGTCCCTCGTTGTCTACGTGTCCTTGGCAGAACACCTATGCGGAAGAGCACATGCTGTCAGCACCACGGCCTCTCATCGCCACGCAGAAACCTCCTTCCCGTCCCTCTCCTCGGCCTCGCCCCGGCTCCGGTCGATTCTCACCTTGTTCGTGCCGTAGAGGGCTGCAAACGTGTATGGTTGTAACCGGTCGCCCATGGCAAACTGGTGGGACACCTGGAACAGAGGAGACACGCTAAACGGCTTCGTCAGGTCGGCTTTGATGCCAGTGAACATGTGGTTGTTGAGCAGCACATCGCGCTGCACCTCCTTCGCAATAGCCTCGACCGTGCCCGGATTGCTGAGGCCCAACCGGTCACGTCGGTCTGAGAATGACTTCCATGCCTCTGTGATGGACACTGCCACAGGATTGGCCTGCAGAAACGTCCACATGTCTGCGGACGCCATTTTTTCAACTGAATTGCCCCCGCCGCTTTTCGGGTTTTATGCCAGGACGCGATCACAAGACGGAATAGACCGGGACGGCGACAGCAGCGAAGAAAGTGGAAAGAGAAAGATGCCGCCGCAGATGCACTTCGGTTCCGTCAATCGTCGTGTGCGCAGCGTGGAAATGCGAGGTAAGGTGGGTGGGTATAACCAATCTCGCAAGTATTTTGAACAGGTCGTCGGCGGAGGAGAAAAATTTTAGAGATTAAAAATAATTAAAAAAAAGATAGCCAGCGTAAACCCGTTTCCCAACGCAGCTTATAAACGTTAACTCGGGCTTACAAGCGACAGAACAGCGGCAAAGATAAGCAACTTCACTTCCATTAGCTCTGACAACAAGAGAAGTCCAGACGATCATCCAAACAACAACAAGATATGCTTTTAGACTCAATGTTCGCAAACACTGGCGATTACCGTAGGCCATCGCAGAATGCGCAGTGCGGCCGCCCCACAGGGACGGCCTAAGAGGGCAGAGTACGTGCTAATGGTGTACTCACGTGACCATACGTGGAGGCCGACGGGTGCCGAATGGAGCGCGGTTAGTTCACATCGCAATGCAATGCTGATGCAAAGTATTATTCATCTGCCCCGGCAGCAGGTCTCGTCATTGACGTCGCTGTGCACTGCTGACCTGCAGGATTGAGAGATCTATACCTGATTGGCCGGCTTGGAGCAGACGCGCCGTCCAACCAAGCCAGAGAAGAATATCTCTGGAAATATTCGCACTTTTCATTGCGATGAATGTTCTGCATCGCGTATTCTTTTTGAGTCAATGCTATGTGTCAACAGTTGTCTGTCTTCTCAAAGCGCATTGTATCAAGACCAGGATTTGCGCTCACATGGAACTCGTATGTTTACCGAGCCTGCGCCTAGTTATACGAATGTATGCTAAAGTTCGTACAAGTTCGAAAATGCCATGTCGCCCAGTCACAGCACTACTCGTAGAGGGGCATGTCGTACCGTAAGATCCCTCCATCTTTGCGCCATTTTCTCCATCGCCGTTTTCTATAAATTTCACAAAAGCTCGCCTGTTCCTTCCTGCTTCGCTTTGCCTCGGACTGTTAGCTGGGCGCATGTCGCCGTTAGTCGCCTCGCTTTGATCGGCGTTCTGTAAGCAGCTATTGTGCCGAAATTTCCATATTAGGACAGCCGAAAAGCAAGAAAAGGAAGCTGTCCCGCCTGCCCATTTTCTGTCCCTTTCACCTTCTTGTCCCATCCATCAAAAAGACGAGTGCGTTCGATCCCGCGACGACAGACGCAACCACCAGAAGGATTGTCTTCTGAGTAGAATACCCGCCTTTTCCAGCCTTGTCGCCGTATTGAGAAACCGAGCCGGGAAACTGCCCCACTTATCAGGAACCCCCTCCTTCCAGGGCCAAGTCGAATTGCTTCCCGACTGTTGATCCTCTTTTCAGTTCAAGCATAGCGTCGAGCGCATGACCAGTCTGCTCGCTTCGGAAAATGGATACTCTTCTGTACGTATTATAGGCCCCCTGTCTCTCAACCAGTCTGCTTCTCAGGCCGCTGCGCTATCGCGGCCGCATGTGCGAGCTCGAGGGTGCTAACCACGAACCGATGTTGTCAGCACAGCCGAAATTGCGGCCAACGCGCCGCGGTACCGTCGCAAGAGCTCGACATTCATTGACGGAATACACGATGTCTCTACCGAGCCGAACCACATGGCTCCGGCCCAGCTGTACAGCACCATGTCTGGCCGGCTCTTTCATTCGGGTCGCATTGCCATCGTCATGGTTGGGCTGCCAGCACGAGGTAAAACGTGAGTGAAGCTCTTTCAACACTCTTGTCTGTGCCTTACAATTGACTGACTCTCCCAACAGACACATCTGTGTCTCTCTGTCTCGTTATTTGCAATGGTAAGACTTGTCCCCTTGGAGTGAAAGTCCTCCGACGTCCTACGGATAGCTCATGCTGGCATGGCTAGGTTGGGCGTCAAAACGCGCATCTTCCACCTTGGCGATTACCGTCGTGCGACCATTCCGGGTGGCACGGTGCCAACAGACTATTTCTTCCCAAACGCCACCCCGGCATCAATCATGTTGCGCCAAAAGATCCTGAAGAGGTGCCGGGAAGATATCTACTCCTGGCTCAACCATGCCAACGGCCAGGTAGCAATCTACGACGCCGTGAATCCCACGGCAGCTGGTCGACGAGCGCTGGCCAAAGAGTTTTCTAGACATGACGTCCAGGTGCGCACCATATAATTCCTAGCCCTATCGCGCGTCGACGCTCACACAAGCTGCAGACACTGTTTTTGGAGTCCTATGTCGATGACCAGCGCATCCTAACAGAGAATGCCCGAAGTGTGAAAATATCTTCTCCCGATGTAGGTCATTATTCGATCTGCCACTATGGTTGTCCAGCCTTGCTTATGAACAGTTTGCTGGAATGGAGCCGGATGAGGCAGCAGCACTCTATCTCAAGCGTATCGGTGCCAAGATTCCTGTCTTCGAGACAATGGACGAAAAAGAACTCAATTTTGTCAAGATGATCAACGCTGGCCAGAAGTTCTTTTACAATAACGTTTCCTTCAACTATCTCTCTCATCGCATCGTCTTCTACCTCACCAACCTGCACATCAAGTCGCGTACCACCTTCTTTGCGCGTTCCGGTGTCGCCGCCGATATCCCGGACGAAGACGAGGCGTATCGTGCTGATCCGCCTTTGGGTTCGGATGGCAAAAACTACGCAGTGCTCATGTCCGAGGCGTTGCTGGCCCGCCGTGAGCAGGAGCACAGGGCCGCGGTAGCGGCGCATCCGAACGGCGACGTACCGCCCCTACGACCACTTACCGTCTGGACATCGACGCGCCTGCGCACGATTCAGACGGCCGAATACCTTAAGGAACGTGGCTACAAGGTGCGGCAGCGTCCGCAGATGAGCCAGATCAACCCGGGCGTGTGCGAGAGGCTTCCTGAGCGGACGCTGAGAGCGCTCTACCCAGAAGAGGTGGAGCTCCACGAACTCGACCCGTATCACCACCGCTTCCCACGGGCCGAGGTATGTTATCGTTCTTCTCACTCAACCCTACGCGGTATGTGCGCATTGGCTGACCGTGTTTAGTCGTACCATGATTTGGCTGTGCGCCTGGAGCCTATCATCCTGGAATTGGAGCGGGAGCAAAACGACCTGCTGATCATTGCACACGAATCTGTGCTGCGCGTGCTGTATGCGTATTTGATGCACTGCAGCGCCATGGATATTCCCAAGCTCAAATTTCCGCGCAACCAGATCATCGAGATTATCCCGGCGGCCTACCAGAACGAGGCGCAAATCATTCGGATCCCCGGCGTTGAAATTCCACAGTCGCGAGCCAGCAACAGCCCGGACAACATATTTTTCCACTCGCCCATGATAGTGCACAACAGCGGCCTTCTCAGCGGTGGTGCTTCGGTGGTAGGGAGCGGGGCCGTGAGCCCGATGCCGCAACTGTCGAGCCCGGCAGAGCTGCTGGAACCGCTGTCACTGCCGCCGCCAGGGAAGACACAGTCAGTACCGCAGTCCCAAATCCACTCGCAGATCCAGTCTGCCGCGCAGTCAACTACACACTCCCCGGTGGAGTCTCCTATGTTGCAGTATGCACCGGAACGGGTGGTAAACACTTCCAAGGACGCTGTGGCTGACAAAGTTGCGGACGAGGATTGAAAATGCGAACAGGGATGAGATCAGGGGTTTTATAGGAGCCCGGGGGATTGACTCTAGGGTTATTAAATTAGGATTAGTACGAGTACGGAGTACTTCTTGCGAAATTCGGCTGGTATCTTGCGGATATTTAACTTTATTCTGCTGATCCGTTATTTTGTTAGCCGAAAACGGCAGTTTGATTTCGCAAGGGGGCTTACTCCGTACGGAAAAGATACAGGCCCAGGAGCCCGCTAACTAATCGTGTCTTAAGTAAGATACGGCCTGCGCTGTGGCGCAACATAAAAACGGCAAGCACGGAGTACGGAGTATGTAAACAATTGGACCCACCGAGTCGATTTCACTATTTACTTTTTTGCGCGCAACAAATGGCCGTGCCCCAGATACGAGTACGAGTACGACGGGGCGCGCGCGACCCCTTTTTCCTGTCCTGGCGAACGTCGTAATTAATCGCACTCGCTTCTTTCTTTGCCTGTTACATCGTCGATCCCCCCCCAGTCTCTCTTCGAAAGGCTGCTCTTTCTACTTTCTTTTAAGGGGGCGCCTTCATTGTCACTCGTTTGAATTCTCGTTAAATTTTTAATAATATTTCATCCCGGTTTTTCTTGGCCATTCTGTCGGCCGAAGTTCTGCTCACTATGTCGGCCAGATACTCTCTACGGCAAACGCCCAAGTAAGATCCACCATTGCTCTGCCGTCCGATGCGTAATAGCATAGAGATCCCATCAATTGAATTGTGCAGTCTGACGCGCCCTGGCAGGAAGAAGGAGCTTTTCAACGGCATGGTCGAGACTCCGAAATCGCGGTCGCGATCGCGAAAATCTCTGTTGCCGAGCGATTCCGACGCAGAAGGCGATTCTAGCTCCGCTGCGGAGAGCACCAAACGGCCAACTCATCGCCGACGCCTGCCCAAGTTTGTTGAGCACATTGACGAGACAGACGAGGACGTATCCACAGCGGAAGGCACTCCACTGCCGGAGACAATCGGGAAGCGCATCTCGAATGGAAAGACTAATGGCGCAACGAACGGCTATGGCATCGGCAAGATAAACGGCACGGGAAATGGCCACGCAAACGGATACTTGAACGGCCACACCAATGGCTACGCGAATAGCAACACAAACGACCACACAAACGGCCACACCAATGGCCACACCAATGGCCACACAAATGGCTATACGAATGGCTACACCAATGGCCACACGAACGGTTATACGAACGGTTTCACGAACGGCCATACCAATGGTCATACGAATGGCCACACAAATGGCAACACAAATGGCTATGCCAAAAGCGACACGAACGGCCATGCCAACGGCAACTCGAATGGCCACGCCAACGGTACGACGATTGGTCATGCTAACTGCATCACGAACGGCCATGCCAACGGCACCACGAATGGCCATGCCATTTGCGCCACAAACGGCCATGCGAATGGTGAGGCTGTGAATGGAAACGGAGTCGCGCATGGACACGTTGTTGATGGATGGATGCCTGGCGCAGACCACCGCATCGATTACTCGGGTAGCAAAGAGTTTGGCGGCGCATTGGGCGTGTCCGCCATGATGATCTTTTTCCCAGTGTTGATGTGGTACATGTGGATTGGCTCGACGTTCTACAGCGGCCAGGTCCCGTTGCCTGCGCCAGGTGAGTCCTGGGCCGACTTTGGCCGCAACATGGTCAATCTCGTGTACACAAGCGCATTTCCGTCCGTCAAGGCCTGGACGATGTACTGGACGTTCCTCATCTTCGAGGGCGCCTGCTACTGCCTCATGCCCGGCATCTGGGCCTACGGCAAGCCGTTGCCGCACGCGGGTGGCAAGCAGCTCCCGTACTACTGCTCTGCGTTCACCAGCTTCTACTTCACCGTCATTGTGGCCTTCACGTTGCATTTCACCGGCGTCTTCCCGCTGTACACCATCATCGACGAGTTTGGCCCGCTGCTGAGCGTCGCCATCCTTTCGGGCTTCCTCGTCAGCTTTGTGGCGTACTTCTCAGCAGTCTGGCGTGGTGCCCAGCACCGCATGACGGGGTCGTTCCTCTACGACCTCTTCATGGGTGCCGAGCTCAACCCGCGCATGTTTGGCATCCTGGACTTCAAGATGTTCTTCGAAGTGCGCCTGCCGTGGTTCATTCTCTTCCTGCTTTCATGCGCCGTGGCAGCACGCCAACTTGACCGCTATGGCTACATCTCGGGCGAGATTGGCTTCCTGGTCATGGCCCACTACCTGTACGCCAATGCATGTGCCAAGGGCGAAGAGCTGATCATCACGACCTGGGACATGTACTACGAGAAATGGGGCTTCATGCTCATCTTCTGGAACCTGGCCGGCGTACCGCTGTCCTACTGCCACTGCACCCTGTACCTAGCCAACCACGACCCGGCCGAGTATGCATGGAGCAAGCCGGCGCTGATTGCGCTGTACGGCTCGTACCTGTTTGTCTACTGGGTGTGGGACAGCGGCAACAGCCAGAAGAACCGGTTCCGCGCACAGGAGCGCGGCACGCTGGTGCCTCGCAAGACATTCCCGCAGCTGCCGTGGCAGACAATCAAGAACCCCAAGTCGATCAAGACCTCCACCGGCGACGCTATTCTGGTGGATGGATGGTACGGTCTGGCACGCAAGCTGATCTACACCTGTGATGCTTTCTTTGCCATCTGCTGGGGTCTCATTACCGGCTTCAAGTGAGTATCCCTTTTCTTACCCCCGTGTGCAGCCAGCCCTTATCCGGCCGAAGCTAACGTTTCCCTAGGAGCCCCTTCCCCTGGTTTTACCCTGTCTTCTTCTGTCTGATGATTGCCCATCGGGCCCAACGCGACATTGAGCGCTGCCGTCTCAAGTACGGCGAAGCCTGGACAGAGTACGAAAAACGGGTGCCGTATCTTTTTATTCCGGTAAGTACATACAAGCCTCGCCGACATAGCCCAGTTGTGTTTCTGACTCTCGCGCAGTACGTCATTTGATCGTGCCGACAGATTGACCCTTGCCATCAAATGGACTTGACCTAGAGGGCACCTCGCCCCGACCAAGGTGTAATCCTCTCATCCACACCAAATAATATTTTGCAGTACGTTCTGCTCTTCTTTTATTTTTCTGATTTGTATATACGTTCTGTATTAGTTCATTGTAGTCTCGTTTCTGAAGTCGTGGTTGCTTCATCTGTTCTGTGTTTCGATAGCAAACAAGGGGTTAGGATGTAAAGGCAAAGGGAGCCATCGGGCTGGATGGCGGGACCAGAGAAGATTAACCCCAATGGTTTAGACCTCAATGAGATCACTCTTAATATATACGTTAATGTGGGCCGACAATACATCTCATGAAGCACAGGTTATGTTCTGAAAAGCAACAAAAGTCAAGAATTGCGAAAAAAATGCAACGATAGTAGCGTTATGTGACAATAGTACACGTTATGTTTTGACGGCCATCTGGCCCCAAATCGGAAATATGAACGGTCCCGTTTCCTTCCCACCAATCAACAAAATCAGTAGCAGTAGCCACTCCTACGTACACGACCTCGCCTATTCATCTATGATAAACAAAAAAATAGACAGCTATATTATGATGCCCAACAAAAATCCGCCCACGACCTTCGCACCAACCTCCGTAATCTTTGTGTGTGCCTAAAGGCCGGTACGCATCTCAACCTTTCCCAGATGCTTGCTTTTGTTTATTAGGTCGTCCTCGCTTCGTTACCGGATATCGTCAAATTCGGTAGAGAAACATGAAGCAGTATGGTTGGCAAAAGTAGCGAAAAGATGGTTTCGATTAGCCCTCATAAAAACCACTCGATACCAACGGCCCCTAGAAGAGCCCCAGCAGTGTGTGAGCTGCATAGCTCAATTCTGCCCCATGCTCGCAAAACCGTTGTCCTCGTCCGAAGAATCGGCAATATGACACGGGCGATGCTGCTTAGCAGCTGACGTTGATGGTGGCCTTTGAGTTCATCAGAAGAGCGACAATCAGTCCGTAAAGACCTAAAATTCGTGTGTTAGCAATAGAACAAGCGGCAATAAACGCGTGGGCTGCAGAATTAAGGAACGCACCCAGGACTTCGGCAAAAATGAGAATCAGGATCATGCCGACAAACAGTCTCGGCTGTTGGGCAGTACCGCGAACACCAGCATCACCGACAATGCCAATGGCAAAGCCGGCAGCCAGACCGGCCAGACCGACGGCCAGACCAGCACCAAGCTGGATGAAACCCGTGTACAGGGCATACTCGTGCTGCTTCAAGTTGTCGGAGATCAGGACGGAAACGACCAGGCCGTAGATACCGATGATACCGGCCATAATAACGGGGACAATGTCTAGAGGGACGTGTGTAAGCAAGGCATGAGCGGGATACCAAGGGCAATTGGATGGACTGAGAGATGTCAAATGAAAGACGCACTCTTGACGATCAGGTCAGGCCGAAGAACACCCATGGCAGAGATACCGACACCAGACTTCGCTGTGCCGTAGGAAGCACCCAGGCATGTGAAGACAATAGCAGCCGTGCAGCCCATGGCACCAAAGAAGGGCTATCGCGTAGCAAGAAGTTAGTTAAAGCTCATTTGTCTGAGGGCGGAACCCAGAAACGCGTGCTGGCATTCGTATTGCATGTCGTCTTGGGCACGGCATCGATAGACTAAGTCGGTAGATGAAATCGAGAAGGGTAGAAACTAACCGCGTAGGCGGGGCTAGAAAAGAGACAACAGTCAGCGATGTTCATATATTAACATGTCATAGCTATCACGATGGAAGCTTCCAATGCAGCCGCAGCTATCCGAGGCGTCCGTCATGGCAGTGGCAGGCAATGGAGCTTTATATCCATGTGCAATTGAAGGTCGGTGCATTGGGTGTAGCTTTGTGAAGCCAGTGAATGAGCAAATAGCTACTTACCAAAGATCGCCAGACATAGTGAAGGATGTTGATGGGTTGAGGTCCGGGGTAAGGAGTGAAATAAAGGACGAAGCTGAACGAAAAGAAAACTGTAGCTGTCTCTTTAAGAGCGTATTAGATTGTATGGTTGTACTAGACGTTTGAAGCGGTCGATGGGGGATGGATAGTGGTCAGGCGTGTGATGACGGGGGATGGGAAAGAAGGAGTGGAAGAAGGGTAGGAAATTAGGAAACGAGGCCTTTTCGGTTCGGTTTTGGCGAGGTGTTTTCGAGCAACTGGTTGGCTGCTGACAGGGAGAACAGAAACACGCTTGCTTGTCTAGGCAAGCAATTTTCTCGGGTTACAGACACGCGCTAGTCCATACTCGGTTTCTCGGATAAACTATCTTGCTGTTATTCTCCACTGTACTCTGTAGCGCCAAAAGCATCTATAAAAAGTAGCGTTCCACCGATGCTGTCTACGAGCAACGTGTACGGAGTATTCAGTACGTAGATCATATGTGCTGGCAGGATGTGTTTTCAACTTCAGCATCTAAATCAGCTGCCGAACAAGATGTAACTGACTACGGGTCAATGCAGAAGGCCCTTTTCCTCTTGGCTGTCAATACGTTTCATCCCATGTGCTCATACTGTCATAGTTTCTCTTGCTTATCACTCTATGCAGACACAGCTATTAGTTTCCTACTACTAAATTGATGCGTATGCAGGCAGCTCCTATGTAAAAGAGTTTCGTTCCTGCTTGCCCACAAGCTACAAATCTTCGGTGTGATACGTCATGCGTAATAATTCAGCTCCAAGATCCACTGCTTGTCACTGGCCCCCATAATTCGTCCCTACGAGTAACAGGTTCCCCCCCCCTCGTGCCCCGCCATTTTCAGTGCTGCAGCCCGCAAGTCCGTCAGTAGAAAGTGCGACCGACGTTGCGCTCTTGGCCATACTATGCTTTCACCTCGTTCTCTCTGGCTAGAAAACGCAGTGAGCAGCGACTAACGTAGAAATCATTCTTCGGGTCTCTCTATACTCTCTTAAAAACGATGCGACCCATGTAAGAAAGGGCAAAATCCGGCCGTTGGCGCTGTCTCTCCTCGTCTCAACAACGCAGAATATTTCATAGGCGGCCCCCCGATACAATACCATGCCGACCCTTGCACGCAAGGTCATCATCTATGCTGCTGTGGACGGCTTGATCCTACAGCCGCTCTTATCCAAAAAGGAGCAGAGAGCTAGCCCCCCCGTCAAGGTGCGATACAGCGACAATGCCATATTGCCCGCATCTCGGGACCTTTGTGTCGACACATCCAAACAAGCCACAAGCTTCGAAGCCTTTGGAATCATTGGTGGGTTAGGGGTGTAGCAGCTGCAAGGTTGGGGCACCTGCCAGATGTGATGGCTGATGTTTTCACAGGTCTCATCAGTCTGTCCAAGTTCAGCTATCTCATATCCATTACCAAGCGCGAGCACGTGGCAACTGTCAGAGGTTCTCCTATCTATGTAGCCACAGAGGTAGCTTTGACACCTTGTGCATCCTACAGTGATGCCAACGAAGCCGTGCGGAAGACAGCCCTACATCTCCAAAGTAAACCCGCAAGTGACCCGGCCGACGATGAAGACAGCAATAGCAACAGCGGACAAGCCAGTGATAGGGGTGACGCCGATCCGTCTCTATGGATGACAGATGATATCGAAGGCGAAGGGTCTTTCAGCGACAAAGAGAGTGCCAAGGAGAGGAAAGCGACCACCCAAGGCAGCAACGATATAAACAACAGCATCGCTGAGAATGTTATCTCTCGAAGAGGCAGTTATGGACGGTTCGCACAACGGTGGTTTAGCCGCGCTGGCTGGATGCAGGAACAAAAGCGATTGATGGGGCTGACAGGAGACAACAAAGCGATCGACATCGAAGAGGAGGCCGTTGGAGACGAAAGCGCGAAGACAGACTCGGCACCATCTAGAGACCGGCCAGATGGGAATTCCAAGCCAGATCCAGCATCATCTGAGACACCTACATCCGACACGTGTACCGATACTTCCAATGATACAGTGCCTGGGACAGGGCCATTGGCACCCTCGATAGAAGCAGCAGATGCTGTCCTAGCAAAAGACAGCGCGGTGGTCAGCTTGCTTCCCAAGCTACTGCGTACGACACAGATGTTTTTCGGAGTATCAAGGGCCTTCTACTTTTCATACGATTACGACATCACCCGCAGCTTGGCAAAGCAGCCCAGGGCGCGTTGGAGCGATATACCTCTGCACAAGGTAGTCGACCCTCTATATTTCTGGAACCGCCATATCATCCAGCCGTTCATTGATGCCGGCATGGATGCCCTTACCCTGCCTCTAATGCAAGGGTTTGTGGGTCAGCGCTCTTTTGTGGTAGACAGTAACCCACCTCAGACAGACGACGATGCCAAGGACTCGGTGGAGCTGAATGACTTGTCGTACCGGTCAGGGTCATCGCCGTTGATGAGCGCGCGGACGTCGAGCGAAGAAGAGCAGCGGCCTTCTGAAAAACAGTTTGACATCACACTGATATCACGGCGGTCGGTGAAACGGGCCGGCTTGCGGTACCTTCGTCGAGGCGTGGATGAAGACGGCAACGTTGCCAACGCGGTTGAGACAGAGCAGATCCTATCGCCATCGGCTGGCTACCAAGTGCAGGCTGTAGTGCCATCTACACCAGATCATAAAGCATACTCATTCGTCCAGATACGGGGCAGCATTCCGTTGTTCTTCACGCAGTCTCCGTTCTCACTCAAGCCAGTGCCTGTGCTGCAGCATTCGCCCGATACCAACTTTGTGGCGTTGCAGAAGCACTTTGACGGCTTGCAACAACAGTACGGCAGTGTGCAGGTGCTGAATCTGGTGGAAAAGCACGGTGTTGAGGCTGCACTCGGAACCAAATACGAGGAGAACGTGTCGCGACTCAACGTGGAAAATGACAAAGGCAAGACCAAGCATGGCATAATGTTTGAGTGGTTTGATTTCCACCAGGCATGCAAGGGCATGAAGTTTGAAAATGTGTCACTCCTGCTGGAAATACTGAACCGAAAGCTGGAAGAGCTTGGGAGCACTGTAGAAGAGATCGGCCCAGACCCGAGTGGGAATGCTGGAAGTACGGGGACTATTGTGCAGCAGCAGAAAGGCGTGATTCGCACCAATTGCATGGACTGCCTGGACCGGACCAATGTCTGCCAGAGCTCGTTTGCCAAATTCATGCTAGATTCGCAGTTAAAGGAGCAAGGCTATGACATGTTGCTGCAACACGACCAGGAAAACTCGTGGTTCAATACGGTATGGGCCGACAATGGCGATGCGATTTCCAATCAGTATGCCTCGACAGCGGCCATGAAAGGCGACTACACGCGGACGCGCAAGCGAGACTACCGTGGCGCATTGACAGATGCTGGTCTCTCCCTGACACGGTTCTTCAACGGGTAAGCTTGCTTCCACCTTGGCTCTGCTTTGATGGGAAGACAAATCTAACGAGGCAGAATTGTCAATGACTTCTTCCTGCAGACGACGATTGATTTTCTGCTTGGCAACGTGACGGAACAGATCTTTGACGAGTTCGAAGCGAACATGATGACTAAGGACCCGGCTATGTCGATGCAAAAGATGCGCGAACAGGCGATCGATCTCTGCCAGCGACGCGTGGTCGCAGACGAATCGGAGGAATTTGTCGGAGGCTGGACGCTTCTTGCACCGCACAACGCAGACGTGAGCTTGACGGCGCCGCCGTTTGAGGAGGTGGTGTTGCTTCTGACGGACGCAGCACTCTATCTGTGCCGGTTTGACTGGAACCTGGAGAAGCTGTCGACATTTGAGCGAGTGGACTTGGGACACGTGGAGCAGATCAAGGTGGGCACGTATGTGCTATCGACAGTGTCACCGTTGCAGACGGACGAGGCACGCAACGTCGGGTTTGCGGTGTCGTATCGGCCAGGACACAACGACATCTTGCGCATTAACACGCGGACGCTCTCGAACATGTTCATGGGCGACGGGGATGGCGGGCCGGCGTCCAGCAAGGCCAACACGCTGCCGTCTAGCTTGGCCGAACTTTTGGGCAGACGGCATCCGGAACTACCGCTTTCGAAGCGCATGGCTTTCAAAGCTCTGTACACGGATACCTCGCTGGCAACGTCGACGGCAGTAGCAGCCAAGGAATACGGCGGGAAGCAGACGGAGAAGCAGCAGATTGAGTCGATCACGGCGGAAATCGAGCGGCTGGTGCTGCTGTCCCGGACAGAGGCGACGGGAGGCCCAGAGCAGACGCCAGTCATCGTCAGGGCAGACATCGTCTCGCTGGCCGAGGCGCACAAGAGCACTGGGCTGCTCGGACATTTGGGCCATTCGTTGAAGAAGCTGGTCTGGGCATAAAGCTGGAATGTGTGCTAATGATTTTATACAATAGAATCTCTTCTCTCTTCTTTTTCTTTTATTCTTTTTTTATTCTTTTATCTTTTATCTTTTTTCGTTTTATATCTTTATCTTTCTTTCTTTCTTGTATTTCCTTTCTTACTTTTCTTTATACCTAAACCTCTGCTGTCCTCTGTCCCAATGCTCTGTGCAAGCCTTCATGTCCGGACGTAGAGATGGATCTGGTAGCGCATGTCCTCGAGGCGGATGGGGTAGACGAGAGCTGGTGGCAGGCGGAGCCAGATGGAGTCGTCCTGGTGCAGGCGGGTCCAAGCCGGACCGAGCTGTGCATCGGAAGCATCCTGCAGGAGGATCTTGTCGAGCAACCAGCGCATAGGGTAGCGGCGGGCCTGTGTGCCGACGGTCGTCTCTGCATAGCTGCCGGGGCTGTCGACGACGAGCAGCAAAGTTCCAGGAGCAGCGGCGGTAGCGGCAGTCATGCGGAGTAGGAAAGCGGCAGCAGCACCGAGGCCGCCGGCCGTGAAGAGCTCGTTGAGGGTGAAGAAGAGCGATATGAGGGAGGGAGAGGGAGGAGAGGAGAGGGAGGAGACGGGAGCGAGCAAGTTGCCCATGTCATCGTCATTGACCTGCAGGATGTCCAGCTGGCGGACGTCGACGGCGAGCCGGTCTGAAGGATGAATGAGCGGCGAGGGCTGACGCAAGTCATCTGTGGTGGCAGTGGTCATCGTCATGGCTGCACACAACTTCTGCACGACGCTGGACCAAGGAGCCGAGTCGACGAGGACGATGTGGCCTCGGTCGGGACCAGGACCGGCGTCGACCAGCCCGTCTGCGAGCAGGGCACCAAAGGCAACGGTCTCGGCAGCACCACCGCCGAGGGCGACCATGCGGAGCGGCTGTTTGGCGGTCGTGTTGGCCTGCCATCGCTGCAGCACGAGGGGGCTGCTCAGGATGGCCGCATAGCAGAGCGCGCGAGTTGGGCTCCAGCGGGCGGCATAGGCGTCGAGAGGGGGTGGTGTGTGTATGTGTGCATTCCCACCTGCTTCTCTTGTCCCTCCGTCTGCTATTCCTCCGTCTGCTGGCCCTCCTGTCCCTCCTAGAAAGGCTCCAGCAAAGTCGCGCTCAAAGAGGGCTCTCTTGACGGCCTGCAGAGCAGCGGCCAGCTGCGGCGAGGCCAGCGTGGGCCGCAGCGCTGCAGCAAAGACGTCCAGGAGGCGCTGCTGCTGGGAAAACGAGATGATCCGCTGCTGCTGCTGGCGATCGCTGCGGACATCCGCCGTCGTGGTGGATGTGTCGGCGGGATGGCGGATGACCGTCTTGCGGCTGTTGGGGCCAGCGCCACCGCCGCTACGGGGCTTTCCCATTGGTGCCGACGTGTGTACAGACGCTGCTGGCTGGCTGGCCGTGCTACTGGGCCATGCTTGCAGGGATGTTGTCTGCCGTCGTGTCGTCGGGAGGTAAAGCGGTATGATTTTCGGCGATGCGTCAATTTGAACGCAACTGCTATATTAACCGATTTTTGGCCCAGATGTCTGTCAATCCCCGCTATCCTGCACTAACACCGCCCTGAAGGCACCTGCCCTGAAACTGCTGACCGCCCAACACAACTGGTATTAGTGAACAAATTACGGGCCTCTGCTCTAGCTCCTCTCAACACGCCTTCCGGACGACTGTCGTCCGGTCTTCCTGTGACAATTCCGCCAATCGGACGGCACATCTGGCCCAGGCCTTGCCAAGCCCGGCCACCTGGTGCTTATTCACGGCAGCATACGGAGGCGTGGCAACGATTCCAGTTGCAGCGGTGTCCGCCGGAAGACCTGCTGCCGCTGTGCCAATGTGCTCGCACGAAGTGTTAGTATACAGCCTGAATAGAGAAAGGATTGCGTCACTTTGCCATCGGTCCCCCCGCTCCTGCCCGGAAATGCGAGGGAACGGGCAGGAACTCGGGGAAGGCGGCATCGACCCCCCACTTTGGTTTCCGCGAGCTTTTTTTGCGTCATAACCACCTGGCTGTCGTTGCAGACTGGCAGAAAATACAAGGCTAACAGGTGCAAGCCAGGACAAGACCAGATTCTCGCTCCGATTTTGCTCCATTAGTGCCGACACCTCTTTTTAAAAAATTCACCCGTTCCCTCCCCTCCTTCCCTCTTCGAATACTTCTCCTTCTCTCTCCTGCTCCCTTCCTCTTGTCATTCTCCCCCAAACCACACCATCTCTCTATCCGTCACAACAACCGCCATCATGGGATACACTGACGTTGACCAGCTGGCTGTCAACACTATCCGTGTTCTGGCAGTAAGTCGTGCTTAGTTGCTGCTACCCCGCCCCCGCTCTTGCTTGCTCTCATCGGTGCGGCATGCTTCCTGCTGCTTATTGCTGCTTATCGCAAGCTGCCGTATAGCTTGCGATGCCATCTTGTCTTCCACTTGCTGCTGGCACCTTTCTTGCTTCTCGATAAACTGACACGGTTATCCTTAGGCCGATGCTACCGCACATGCCAACTCTGGCCATCCCGGCGCCCCGATGTAAGCTGCAGACCTTCCCAGCTTATTAGCGGATTGGTGAAGCATCACTGGAAGACAGCTTCTCAACACATACACGGAAGCTAACCACGCTCACCTCCACAGGGGCATGGCGCCGGTTGCTCACGTCCTCTTCAACCGTATCATGAAGTTCAACCCCAAGAACCCCAAGTGGCTCAACCGCGATCGTTTCGTCCTTTCGTAAGTGCCGAGAGATCTCCACACCCCCAGAGCTTTGGCTACCGGATGGTCCGGCGGCAGCTAGCTGACAGGGTATCTTCAAGAAACGGCCACGCCTGCATGCTGCAGTATGCTCTTCTCCACCTTTACGGCTTTGGCCTCACCATCGATGACCTGAAGCAATTCCGCGTATGTGCCATCCAATCCGATCCGATCCAATCCAATCCAACCCAATCCATTTGCACTGCTGACCCCCTCCAAGCAAGTGGGTAGTATCACTCCCGGCCACCCCGAGGCCCACGACACTCCCGGCATCGAGGTCACCACCGGCCCCTTGGGCCAGGGTATCTCCAACGCTGTCGGTCTGGCCATTGCCCAGGCCCAGACGGCTGCCACCTTTAACAAGGATGGCTTCCCCCTCGTTGACAACTACACCTACGCTTTCCTCGGTGACGGCTGTCTGATGGAGGGTGTCTCCAGCGAGGCCTCTTCCCTGGCCGGCCACCTGCAGCTCGGCAACCTCATTGCCGTCTGGGATGACAACCACATCACCATTGACGGTGACACCAATGTCGCCTTCACCGAGGACGTCACCAAGCGGTACGAAGCGTACGGCTGGCAGGTCATCGAGGTCAAGGACGGCGACCACAACTTGGAGGGCATTGAGAAGGCCATCAAGGCCGCCCAGGAGGTCAAGAACAAGCCCACGCTCATCAAGCTCCACACCGTCATCGGCTTCGGCTCGCTGCTGCAGGGCACCCACGACGTCCACGGTTCGCCCCTCAAGGCTGCCGACATCAAGCAGCTCAAGGAGAAGTTCGGCTTCAACCCCGAGGAGAGCTTTGTTGTCCCGCAGACCGTCTACGACCTGACCGCCAAGAAGATCGCCGAGGGTGCCGCCTTCGAGGCCGAGTGGAACGAGCTGTTTGCCAAGTACGGCCAGAAGTACAAGGCCGAGCACGCCGACCTGGTCCGCCGCCTGAAGGGTGACCTGCCCGAGGGCTGGGAGAAGAACCTGCCGGTCTACAAGCCGACCGATGCCGCAGTCGCATCGCGCAAGCTGTCCGAGATTGTCCTCAGCAAGATTGAGGAGGCCATTCCCGAGCTCATTGGCGGCTCGGCTGATCTGACGGGCTCCAACCTGACCCGCTGGAAGGGTGCCGTCGACTTCCAGCCCCCCTCGACCGGCCTGGGCACCTACGCCGGCCGCTACGTCCGCTACGGTGTGCGTGAGCACGCTATGGGTGCCATCTTCAACGGCATTGCTGCCTACGGCACCTTGATCCCCTACGGCGGCACCTTCCTCAACTTTGTATCGTACGCCGCTGGTGCAATCCGCCTGTCGGCCCTGTCACAGGTCCGCCTCATCTGGGTTGCCACCCACGACTCCATCGGTCTGGGCGAGGACGGCCCGACTCACCAGCCGATCGAGACCCTAGCACACTTCCGCGCCCTGCCGAACTGCATGGTGTGGCGCCCCGCCGACGGCAACGAGACGAGCGCCGCCTACTACGTCTCCCTGACCTCGAAGCACACCCCTAGCATCATTGCCCTGTCGCGCCAGAACCTCCCCCAGCTGGAGAACTCGACGATCGAGCATGCCATCAAGGGCGGCTACGTCGTTCACGAGGACAAGAGCGCCGACGTCACCCTCGTCTCCACCGGTTCCGAGGTCGGCATCTGCGTCGACACCGTCAAGTACCTGGCCGAGAAGAACGGGCTCAAGGCCCGCGTCGTCTCCCTGCCGTGCTTCGAGGTCTTTGATGCCCAGCCGAAGGAGTACCGCCTCAGCGTTCTGCCAGACGGCATCCCATCGCTGTCCGTCGAGGTCATGTCCACCATGGGCTGGGAGCGCTACACGCACGAGCAGTTCGGCCTGAACCGCTTCGGTGCCTCGGGCCCGTACAAGGACGTGTACAAGGTGAGAACATCCCGCCCCTGGGTGCGTCCTTTGATCCTCTGCCGCCTACTGACACATTGCAGAAATTCGAGTTCACCCCCGAGGGCATTGCCAAGCGTGCCGTCGCAACGGTGGACTTCTGGAAGGACGTCCCCAACATCCGCTCACCCATCAACCGTGCCTTCCAGCAGATTGTGTAAAGCAAAGGATGTTATTAATGCTTAGGCTTACAATTGGTGTTAATATGGTTCTGTGGGCAGCTATTGAATATATATGCAGCCTGGTAGACCTAAAAATGATAAGAGAAGTCTCGTCCGCCTGTATGCTTCACCCTGACCCTTGGGCTGCCCAATCCTGCTGGACAGCATGGCCGATGCGCTGTAACCGGCCAGTGGCGCGCCGTGCATCACGTAGAGATTGCTCCCCCGGAGCCAGAACGAGCCCGACCAGCAGTGGTCCGCCGCCGTTCTCGTCGTCGTCGTCGTCGTCCGCGTAGTCGTGTATGTCGATCGGACCCTGTGGTGAGTAGAACGGGCTGCCGCTCTCGGAGAGCCGTTCGGTTGGGCTGGGCGTTGACCGTAGAGCGAGGTCGGCCCGGAGCGTCCTGTGCGGCTGCTGTACCTGCAGCTGCTGCAACTGGCGCATCTGCTGCAGCTGTTGCTGTCTCTGCATACGCTGCAGGCGCTGCTGCTGTAGGGGGTCGAGAAAGCTCTCGATCAGGACGGCGCCCGACTCGTAGGTGACGACGACGTGCTCGGGCGGCGTCATGCCCCAGGCGGCCATGGCATCGTCCGTCAGGCTAGGCATGCCGGGCTCTGGGTCCAGGCAGTCGAGGCCGAGGCCCAGCCGTGCGGCTGCGTCCCGCGCGCGAAACGCCGTCGTCGTCAGGTCGTCGAGAGCCTCGGCGCGCTGGCGGCGTGACGGCCGTTGGCGGGTGTCGGCGGGTGTGGCGGCACCACTGCCGCTGTCGCTGTTGTCGTCGTCGTCGTCCCCCTCCTCTCTCTCGCCGTACAGACCCAGGCCGGCCGAGGAGATGATGGGGATGTTGGTCTCGTCGGCCAGGTAGATGGCCAGGTCGGGATACTGGAGCGGGAGAGCGGCCATTCTTTATCCCCTCCGCACGGACAGCGAATGGAAGAAGAACGAGAGGAAAGGGGAGATGAAAGGGGGAAAGATGAAAAAATATTAAAGAATAAAAGACGAGACGGCAGTGCTGGATGTGTTGCGGCTGCCGGCTGTCCAAGTTGCCTGTTTCGATTGGCTGTTTGGCTATGCCGCTGAAGAGTCTCGTCATTAATAATGGAAGAGCGAGCTAATCACTAAACTACAGGCGGGGCAAGGAACCAAACAACGTGGGGGTCTGGCATAATAACCACACTCGCAAGCTTCGCTAGTGCTTGCAAGGACACAAGGCAGCTGCAGGTCAGAGGCTACACGAGCGGCTGCAACTTACTCGTCCTCTGTACCCGTAGGAGGCAGGAGGCACAGTGCGGAGAAACGAAGCCGTACTTCTCGCACGGGGAAAGTCCCTGGCTCGCAGAGATGGCCACGAGAGAGATAAGGCGATCGTGAGGCCATGCTGTCGAGCTTGAGACAAGGGTATCGTGGCGGGCACGAGCGCACTTATGAGACGGTGCTTTGAGTTTGCAATAGTCATTTGTGTCTTGGTTGTCAACTATGACCTGGAATGCTGAGTAGTACAGTGCGTGCTCGTACAGCTCCCGCTGCGCCGAATTTGTTTAGTGGCAGGAGTACGGAGTACTCCGTACGGCGTAAACCCACTAGGAACAGCTAGGGGTGTAGCTTGCACCTTCCCTCGCTCCCCGCTTGGGAGTGACGTGTTTGCAACCTGTTCGTATTGGCCGAATTCCAACGGCCGATACTGGAACGAACATTCGAGTTGTTCTTCTCACGCAGCCACTTTGTCACCTTCGGTCGAAACGATTCCCGACCGGCCAGAATTGTCTTGCGATCAAATCAAATCAGAAGCAGAAAGCTCTTCGCAAACGCGTATCACTAACCCCCCGCGCCCATGGCGGACAACGAGAAAGCCAAGGCCGAGAGATTGGCCGCGGCCAAGAAACGCGTATGCTGCCTTATTTGTTGCCTAAAGCAGTACGTGTCTCTCTGTCTGCGGAGACTGACGTGAACAGGTCGAGCAAATGAAAAAACAGAAAGCCAAACAAGGCAAGGACAAGAAAGACAAGGCGGGCAGCGCGGCAACGGAGGCAGCTGTTGAGAGCAGCGACAAGGACGGCAAGAAGCCAGACGACAAGGATGAAAAGGACGAGAAGGAAGAAGACAAGCCGAGCGAAAGCTCCAAGGACAATGGTGACAGCGATGAGGTCGATGAGGACGACAATGATGCTACCGCCTCAGCACCAACATCGCCCAAGCCCACTGTCGCAGCCGCAAAGCCCGAACATTCGCACCTGCGCTCCACGTCCTTCCGTTTCGGTTCCTCCGGGCCGCTGAGTCCCAGCGCGGAATCGGCTGCAGACATCTACCGCAAGCAGGCTGCGCGCATCGAAGAGCTGGAAACGCAGAACAAGCGCCTCAGCAAGGACGCGACCGACGCCGAGAAGCGCTGGCGGAAGGCCGAGGAAGCGCTGGCAGACGTGCGCGATGGATCGTCTAATGCCGACTCGTCCAGCGAGCTCGCCAAATTGGTAGGTACCCGGATGCGTTTCTGTCGCGGTCTTGACGTGTTCCCGTCGCTGATGAGCAGAAATCCGAACTGGCCGGCCTGCAGCGGCAGAACGCACAGCTCCAAGTCCGCTCTGCACCCCGCCATGGAGCGTCGCCCTCGATCAGCACCTCGTCGCCGTCCATAACGGAGCTCGAGGCGCAGCTGCGGTCCAAGTCGGAAACGATCGAGAACATGGAGCTGGAGGTGTCGCGGCTGCGGGCCCACGTCGAGCGGCTGTCTGCGGGCGGCGAAGGCGGCAGCGACGAACCGTCAGGGAAGAGACAGGACCAGGTCTCGGCGCTGGAGGAGAAGCTGGCACGGGCTGAAAAGGCTGCCGGCAGCGCACAGCGCGAGCTGGCCGAGCTCAAGCGAAATCTCGATCGAGCGTCCGAGAAGGCGGTGCGAGAGGGCAGCGCGCGGACGAGCGCAGAGACCAAGCTGCGGGCGGTCGAGAAGGAGATGGAGGAGCGCACGGCTGAGTGCGAGGAGCTGTCGCGCAAGGTCGAGGCGCTGGAAAAGAAGGTGGCAACGCTTACGACGCTGCACAAGGAGCACGACGCGCGCACGCAGGCCCTGCGGCGCGACAAGGAGCGCATCGACCACGACCTGGGCGAGGCACGGGCGCAGGTCGAGCGGCTCGAGACCGAGAACCTGAAGCTGCGCAAGCGAGAGGCACAGGACAGCGGCGGCACGGACAACGACCACCTAGACGAGCTAGAAGACGAAGAGCGAGAGCGGCTGGAGCGGCGGGTGCGGACACTCGAGGCCGAGAACGCAGATCTGCGACACGGCATCTGGCAGGACCGACGAAAGGAGCTACAGCTGGGACCAGACGAGGGTGGCAGCGCGGCCAAGACTCGCAAGTTCAGCGACGTCGATCTCTCGCCGGCGGCCGGCAAGAAGAGTGCCAGCGGCGGCATCGGAGAGTTATTCACAGCGCTCACAGGCGTAGGTGGTCACGACCATCAGGGACACCAGGGACACCAGGGACACCAGGGTCACCAAGGTCATCACCACCAGCACAGCGCCACCGACGAAGACGGCTTCCTCGACGACGATGACGACATGGACTTTGACGAAGAGGCCTTCCGGCGAGCACAGGAAGAAGAGGCACGCAGCCGGCTGGAACGTGTGCGGGAAGCCAAGAGGGCCCTCAAGAACTGGGAAGGCTGGCGGCTAGACCTCGTGGAGAGCCGACAGGGCGGCACGGAGGGCATCGGTCCCATTTTCGATGTCTGATAGCAGGTGGAGATGTCGTTGAGATTAAATAGGGGCGTTTAGGGACAGAAACGGGAGAGAAGCGTATTACGGAGTATCGTATCTTACGAGCATGTCGATTAGGGAGTACATAGTCAGCAATACAGTCAAAAGACAAGCAGGGTAGATATTTTGGTTCGTCAATCGGGACGATGCCTCGATTTAAGGCATGGCGGACACATGGCCAAATCTGACCGATATGCCACAAATAGCCGCAACACGAAACTCGGCGTACAAGTACATAGTACATAGTACTTGTACTACTTGTACGAGGGCACGCCGTCAGAGTGGTAACCAGGGGCGACGTTGCCGATCGGCGTGGACGAGGGATTGCGAGACCATTCCGCCACCAGCCGTGATGGCGAAGAAGGGAGCAAAACGAAGAAAACCCTGACGATCCAGGGTGACCGTTTATCTATCCGTATGACAGGAGGAGTAGTGGACATCGTCCACGGGTCGTCGGTGATGAAGTGCTGCCGATCAGCAGCAGCAGAAAGGAGAAGTACACATGGTACGAGTATTACGACGTAGTGTGCATAAGATTCTAGTACGGGGAATTCCGTCGTCGAGAGTAAGATACCGACACGCTTGCAAAGCACAAGTACGATATTATGTAAAATACGGTTGCCAGCCTGTACCCCTATATCCGCTTCACTACTTTGTACTTTGAGTATCTTACATTAGTGCATTGCACGATTTGCGGAGCCCAAAACAGTGCCGTTTGTAACAAGTTCGGCCAAGAAGCGCAGCCCCTTTTGCCGATCTGACGTTCGTCCGCGGCGTCATAGCGCATATTGGCTGCATTTGCGCCCTATTCGATACGTGGTAATCATTCTCTGGTACTGCGACGTACGGGAGTACGACGTACTTGTATGTGAGCACGGAGCACTGGCGATGGTTTAGGGTTGCGCGTGATGTCGGTTCCATTCACCTGTTCGCCGTCGCCATTTTCGTATTATCTGCAGATGCTTCGTATACCGGAGTCTGGATGATATCTTATCTCGCGCATTTTGCCAGCCGCCTCTTTTTCCAGTTGTTTCCTGCCAAAATCTAGGCCGGCGTTCCAGGCAATTATGAAGACCCAGTTTTCTAGCACATGGCGGACCCGCTCCTCCTTCCCTGGTGCAAGATGCTGCTGGCAGCGACTGGTTCCCGCTGTACGGAGTACGTGTACTCGTATGCCGCTGTTACAGGGGGCCCTGCACCGTCGTATGCGTCTAGGGTACTGTGTTTCAGGGCGTTTGGCCTGGACATACGGAGTACAGCCGTCTCCACCCCACCGGAAGGGAGACCCCGGTCGCAATGAGGCCGATGCGATTCTCAATAATTAAATACGTCTCTGTGCGGAGAAGGCAGCCACTTGCAGTTAATGCCCGTGTTGTTCGCGGGCTCCTGGCGCGATCCTTTCTGCTTTTGGCGGCCTCTTCACAGTGTACTATGTACTTGTAGTCGTTCTGTCTCTCTGGAAAGGGACCCCCCAGTTTGCCCTCCTGCTCCTTTTGCTCGTCGGGACAGCTCGGTAGTGGAGCCAAGGCCGTTTTTCTCTTTTTACTACGAGTACGGAGCATGTACGACGTAATTGGTTTTTTCTGCTGGATGGCACCCTGCGTTTTTCGTCTTCGCGGTCCTTCCAAACCAGCCTATCGGATGGCGCCTCCTTTTTCCCCTGTGGCCTCTTCACAGTACGAAGACTTTGGAAATCCCGCTAGCGCACGGCCGGAGGGCTCTTCGCATATCCGCTTTGCATACGTCGTGAAGAAGGAAGGAAACGAACCAAACTGGAGACGACTCGGAAGTTTGGGGCTTGTCAGCCGCTCTAGTATCGTATGTTGGCTGCACAAAGACGAGGCAGGAGCGGAAAGGGCTGCCCAAACAGGCGCTCGGCCAGTCGGCGCCGACGGCAGTTAGTAGTTCTTCTCCCACCCCGATCAAATAGAAATCTCGTGCCGAAGCTAATACTTACGGAAACGATGCGCTCATGGTCACCGTGCGCAACGACAATTCGTACGGTGTGGTGATGATGTTGTCCTGTTGCTGACAGACGAAGGAAAAGCCGCCCCCCTTTTCTGGAGTATCTGCCCATCGTCCCCTGTTCGGGCATGGCTCTGCATGGCTTAGTACTATTGTACATGAGCTGCCGGCGCCGAGCAGGAAATGAGAGGCCACAATCGGTGCTGGTCGACAGGCAAGGCCAGTCCGCCGGCACGAGTGTGTGTTCGCACAGCAAAGCAACGAGACCGGAGTCGAGTTCAGCCACCGGAGGACAGAACGAAGAGACAGGCAAGGTGGTAAGCCCGAAAGGGCCGGACGGCAGGTCCTGCTGCTCCTCTTGAATGGATACTACGCTGTATCGAATGCAGCATCAACACCTTTCCTGGTCATCATTCCCTCTTCTCCTCTTTTGCCGTTTTTGCCTCTTTTGCCTCTTTATCTCTCGCCTCCTGTGCGGCTCCGCATGCCCTTCCAACGCCCACCGCCGTGCGTGGAGCCGACGTATTATGTATATTAAGATATCTTACGGAGTGCCATTACAGAAAACGGGGAGCCAACACCAGACAGAAACTGGCCGGGGGGCGCGCATCCTCATTATAACGTTGCAAAACCCTCCTCGTGGAGGCTCCATACCGGAGCCCGCCTTTTCTGTCATTTTGGTCGTCTCTCATTCTTGCGCGTAGTATTGGCTCCATGTGCCGCATGTCGTACTCCGTATATCTCTGTAATGCCTTCGATTTCCACACCACCTCGTCTGTTTCAACCGTCTTTTGTCTTCTTTGCTTCCGTCCTAAACCTGTACCGGTACTTTACTTGCGCCCAGTCTTCCCGTCTATCCTGCGAGCACGTCCGGCAGAAGCCAGAAGCCAGAAGCCAGAAGACGTTTCCAAAGGCCCAAACGGATGGTCCTCTGAGACTCCTTCCGCTCTCTACCGCCAAGCAGCAAAAAGCAACGCAGCAATCGTGCCCCTATTCTTGCGTCAACCCTTTTCTTTTCGCTCCCTCTCTTCCCTTCCTTTACCCTGCTCGCCCTCCCCTGTCCAGCGCCGATCCGCCAGGTATCCCATTAAGGGGGGATCGTTCGTCTCGTCCTCGTGCATTTCTCGCGTCCAGAGCTTCGGCGCCTCCGTCCATCTCATCGACCTTACGATTATCAACACCGGCAGCTTACGACATACATCTGACAACCTCAGCCCTTCAACTTGTTCTTTCATCCTGTCGGACCTCTGTGCTGCTCGTCTTTATCCTCTTTCTTTGCCGTTAGATGAAAGGGACCCACTCTTCTTCCCCAGTCTAGCCTCATTGTCACGGACTGCAAAGCGTACCACCCAAATAAAGAAACGGGCAAAAGCACCCGGCAGCGACAGACTAAGCTATCTTACCAGCGCTGGCCGCTCTCCACAGCGCTCTCCACTTGCTTGCCTGGTTCACGCCCCTCTGTTTTTTTTTTTTTTCTTTACCATCTTTTAAACAACCGACTTCTCCATTCTTCCCCTAGGGGGACTGTTTCTGACGACGAGCGAAAAAAGCCTTTCCCAGGGACCCGAGAGGTTGATATTGTGAATGCCACTTGGACAGGAACCACTCCACCCTCCCCCTTCCCCTTCCCCTTCCTTCGTCACAATGTGCTTCGGCGCTCGCAGCAAGAACAGTGAGGTCGATGCGGCACGCTCGCGGGAGCTGGACAAGGCCATCCGCGCCGATGAGAAGCGGTTGTCCCGGGAGATCAAGCTGCTGCTGCTAGGTAAAGTCTTGTGCCTCGGCTCGCACAGTCTCGAGCGCCCATGCTGACAATCGCAGGTGCCGGCGAGTCGGGCAAGTCGACGGTGCTGAAGCAGATGAAGCTGATCTACTCACAAGGCTTCAGCAACAATGAGAAGCTCGAGTGGAAGCCCGTCATCTTTGCCAACATCGTCCAGTCCTTCCGGGTCATAGCCGATGCCATGCAGGAGATGGACGTGGACTTTGAGCACAAAGAGAACGAGGTATGTGGCGACAACGCCGAGTCAAGACGAGCAGTGCGCTGACACCACAGCAGAGCAACATGGCATTGGTGTTGCGCGAGCTCGAAGTCAGTGCCAGTGACCCGCTACCAACCGACTACCTTGAGCCCATCAAGGAGCTGTGGGTGGACGCTGGTGTTCGGCATGCCATCACAAAGGGAAACGAGTTTGCCCTGCACGACAATCTGGAGTAGTACGTCTATTCTCATGCTCGGGTGTCTGCTTTCGTGTCCTAACCAACGAATGATAGCTTCTGTTCCGACCTCGACCGCCTCTGGGACCCCAGCTATGTGCCCAACGACCAGGATCTGCTCCGGTCACGTCTGCGGACCACTGGCATCACCGAGACCGTCTTCGACCTCGGCCACCTCTCGTACCGCATGTTTGACGTCGGCGGCCAGCGGTCAGAGCGCAAGAAGTGGATCCACTGCTTCGAGAACGTGAACTGCCTGCTCTTCCTGGTGGCCATCTCCGGTTACGACCAGTGCCTGGTGGAGGACAAGGACGGGGTAGGTTGCGCGAAGGAATGTGTGACGCCGAAGACAGGCCACCTGCTAACGAAGACGTCCTGCAGAACCAAATGAACGAAGCCTTGATGCTGTGGGAGTCCATCGCCAACTCGCACTGGTTCACGAAGTCGGCTCTCATTCTCTTCCTCAACAAGATGGACCTCTTCAAGGAGAAGCTGGCCCGGAGCCCCATCTCAGCTCATGGCTTTACCGATTACCAAGGTGCTCCGGACGATGCAAAGCAGGTCAGCCGCTACTTCATGGACAAGTTCCGGGCCCTCAGCCGCAACCCAGACAAGGAGATCTACGGCCACTTCACCAATGCCACCGACACCAATCTGCTCAAGATCACCATGGGCTCCGTCCAAGACATGATCATCCAGCGGAACCTCAAGCAGCTGATCTTATAAGAGGACCTGGGGGGACACGCTCTCTCCCGCCATCCCTCTCTCCCTTCCTCCTTCCGATTCGCCGGAGGAGGCAACCTCGACATTGCATTTGCAACAGAAAGTAAAGAAGCAATATTCTAGCGACTGTTTATATTACGCATTATTATACCTTTTGGCTCGGCGACTGTCTTTTCTCTTTCCTTCGGCTGTACATCTACACTTCCCTAGCTACTACACACCTACACTGGTACTTCTCACCCTGTCGTTACATATTTCCTACCTCTACTTCTGGCTTGGATCGACAATTTTCTTTTATTTTTGCTGCTCGTCTCGGCGGCTGCCATCATCGAAAGGGTTTGTGGCTCGGCCGACAAGCTGAGGACCTAGACTCTCTGTCTTCTCTTTTGGGAATGCTTTACGGAGCTATCCACGAGGCCTCATACATATCACTTTGTACTTGCCAACGCGAATGCAGCTCATTTGCGCGCTTATAACTATTGACACGCCTGGTGTCCTCTACTTATATCAACGACATGATTACGATAGCAATCTGATTCGGTATCATCCTGTTTCATGTTGACAAAGAGTCACTGCCTAATTTCTCTTTTGTGCTGCAGCGTCGAGAGGACCGATCCATTGGGCTATAGAAAATAACACTTATTAGCAACCCCAAATTCAAGACGATCGTGCAGTCTGGGCAGTGGCTGGAATGCACGCTTTTGACTGGCTGCTTAGCCGCGTGAATGCAAGTGTGCCGCTGTGCCTTGACTCTGTTCTCCTTCCCTTCTTTCCGCCCCCATTTCCGTGTCTCGATGTCAGCGTCACACAATAGCACTGCATATTATGACGATCTTGGCTCTCAAATGCTCCACTTTTCTCGTCGCCCAGTCCACGTCCCGTCTGCAGACTTTATGTATGGGATGAGCCAGTACCCAATCAAACTGCTCTGTCCCGATCAGCTTTGACCAACACACGGTGAGTCGAGGCCAGCCGTTGCTTACCATCGTCCTAGCAACATCCTCGTATCACACTATGCTTAAAGGAACCTTGTTTTTCAAGACATAAAGAATCCATGATATCGAATAGGACAATGCATCAGTACAAAATGGCGTGAACTCTATTTTCTTTCCTTTCTTTCTGCTCTCTCCTCATTAGTACCCATCAATCGCTCTTTTGGGATCGATAGTACCGTCCGAAGAAGGAAGTAGCCAATGTCCAACTGCCTCTTCCACAAAACACCATTAAATCCACCGAAGCTTGACGTATCTTCCACGCCGCCTACAAGACGCCGACATCACACTCATTTCTCGATTGCTTTTTGCTCGCCCATCACTCAAAATGGAGTACGCTCGCTACGAACCGGCTGTTGACTCCAACTTTGCCAAGCAGCAGCCCGGACCGGGCACCCAACACTCCAGCTGACTAGCCGACATGAAAAGCAAGATCCCACCGTTTCTCCGGACCAAGAAGGGAATAACCATAGTCGTTGCATGTACTGTCATCATACTCGGCGGCGGTCTCTCGGGGCTGGCTGCGCTTCACAACCGAGGCAGCCACAAGTCTCGTGGTGACACCGGTGACAGTTCCGGTATGCAGGTCATCACCAGCGACTCCTATTTCTATGGCCAGTCTCCTCCTGTGTACCCGTCACGTAAGTTAGCCATCTTGTGAATGGCCTATGTCCCATAATTTCAGGTGAGAGCTCTGCTGATCTTTGCCACCCCTTCAGCAAGCATGACTGGTGTTGGTTCCTGGGCCGTCAGTTACAGCAAGGCAGTTGCACTTGTCAACAACATGACTCTGGAAGAACGTGTGGGCTTGACCACCGGCGCGTCCTCGTACTCCAACGGCTGCTCTGGCTACATATCGCCCGTGTCTAGAGTCGGATTTCCTGGCATGTGTTTAAGTGATGCCGGCAACGGCTTGCGCAACACTGACTTCGTCAGCTCATGGCCTAGCGGCATCCATGTTGGTGCCAGCTGGAACCGCGACCTGGCCGCACAGAGAGCCCGCGGCATGGCCGCTGAGTTCAAAAAGAAAGGAGTCAACGTCCTCTTGGGCCCAGTTGTTAGCCCCGTCGGTCGGACTGTCCGGACTGGACGGTTCTGGGAGGGTATGTTTATCTGATTCGCTTTCAGCCGCAGCCTGTTTGATCTACCAGTCTGCTTACACGTGAGTAGGATTCTCTGTTGACCCGTACCTCGCTGGCATAATGGCATATGAGACGGTCACAGGCTGCCAAGACGAGGGGGTAATCACAAGTACAAAAGTAAGTTCTCTTTCCTGCCTTTATGGAGATACCACTTTGGCCAGACGACAGCAATAACACAAGCCAGCATTTTATTGCCAACGAGCAGGAGACGAACCGCCAGCCTATCGACGGTAAGGAGGCAGTGTCGTCCAATATTGATGATCGCACGATGCACGAGCTCTATCTTTGGTACGTTGTTCCCTTTACATATAAATGTTCCCTGTCGGATCACGTCTCTCGTATATACACTAACACGGCAACATATCCAGGCCTTTTCAGGATGCTGTTTACGCAGGCACGGGAAACATTATGTGCTCTTACAATCGAGTGAACAATTCGTACGGGTGTGCCAATAGCAAAACCCTGAACGGATTGTTGAAAACAGAGCTCGGATTCCAAGGCTTTGTCGTGTCTGACTGGGGTGTAAGTCTGCATCACTTGGTCTTATACATGGCTTGCCCATCTAACGCGATGCCCCTAGGCACAACACGCTGGTGTGGCTACATCATTGTCTGGAATGGACATGTCTATGCCATCAGGAAGCGCCTTCTGGGGGAGTCATCTGGTTGAAGCGGTACAGAATGGATCTGTCGCAGAATCACGAATCACCGATATGGCAACAAGGTACGGCAGAGGTCGTTACAGTATCCTCATCCCATTGTAGACTGACACATGGCCAGGATCATTGCAACATGGTACCAGATGGACCAAGACTCAGACTTCCCGACGCCTGGCATTGGTATGCCGGCGGACCTCACAAAGCCGCACGATATTGTCGACGGCCGCAACTCTACTGCAAAACAAACTTTGCTAGATGGTGCCATCGAAGGCCATGTGCTGTTGAAAAATGACAACAATGCCTTGCCGTTGAAGGCGCCCAACTTCATATCGATATTTGGATATTCGGCAAAGGCTCCAGATCGGAACGACTTCACCCCAGGTAGCACTACAGCATGGAGTTTCGGGGCAGAACCAGCAAACGAAACGGACACGTATCTGGCCTTCAACAGCGGTCCGCCGAAATCCCCTTCAGCTATCGCACTAAACGGCACGTTGTTTTCTGGTGGCGGCTCGGGCGCTACGTCTCAATCACTCGTTAGCGCACCATTTGATGCTATTATGCAACAAGCCTGGACTGACGGTACCGAGTTATTTTGGGATTTTTCCACGGCTAGTCCCAGCGTTAACGCTGCCTCTGGCGCCTGTCTCGTTTTGGTCAATGCATGGGCATCAGAAGGCTATGACCGGCCCGGAGTTCGGGACGACTACACGGACGAACTGATCAAAAATGTCGCTGATCAGTGCAGCAACACCATTGTTGTTGTGCACAACGCTGGCGCGCGTGTCGTCGATTCATGGATCGACCATGCCAACGTCACGGCACTGATATTTGCTCATCTGCCGGGCCAATACTCTGGACAAGCACTGGTGTCCATCTTGTATGGCCAATCGAACCCGTCGGGAAAGCTGCCATACACGGTAGCTATGAATGAATCTGACTACGGCACTATCTTGGATCCGGCATTGCCAGAAGGAGAATACATCAAGTTTCCACAGGCCGACTTTTCAGAAGGTGTATTCATTGACTACCGACGCTTTGATGCCAGCAATATGACGCCACGCTTTGAATTTGGCTTCGGTCTTTCGTACACAACATTCGGCTACACAGGCCTCCAGATCACCAAGTCATTGTCTGGAAGTGCCTCAGGAAATGCCAGCACTGGCAACGACAACAGCACTCTATTTGCCCGCTACCCGACAGGCGCTGTTCGGCAAGGTGGCCAGGCTGACCTTTGGGATACGCTGGTAACAGTCACGGCAAACATAACCAACACAGGCAATGTAGATGGTGCCGAGGTTGCACAACTCTATATCACAATTCCAGGTGGTGGCAATGACACCAGCAGCGATTCGGCTGTGCCAGTTCGCCAGCTGCGTGGGTTTGAGAAGACATTTCTCAACACGTCGCAGACGGCCACAGTCGAGTTTTCGCTGACGCGTAGGGATCTGAGCATATGGGATACGGTGGCACAGAAATGGCTGTTGCAGCGAGGCAGCTACGATGTGAGTGTAGGGTCAAGCAGTCGCAGCCTTCCTCTGGTGAAGTCTTTTGGTATTCTTTGATGACTTGTTGGGTCTGGAGTAACTTGAACGGACGATTGAGAAGGATGAACGATACGATGACACAAAAAATGGGTAATGGTTTTGGGCTTGGTTTTGGGACCTTTGGCGTTCTCAATGTTAGTATTCAGCTATTTTTGGCCTTTGAATTTCGGTGTCATGTTCAACTCCGAATCACAGATTTGATTTTAGCTATACTGAGGTTCCATTTAGAACAAGTGATGCAGACGATGTTTGGGGTAGGTTTCATTTGCGAGCAGAAAGCGGCTTGAAGACGTACGACATCCCAGACAAGATCAGACCAGAGGCATCTATACGAGATAGAACTTGGGACTAGATCGACAGAAACGGCAAGCATGGCAAGAGAACAACCATAATTCACCTCGTTCGGATCCGCCCCTTGCAAAGCATGAACTTTGCCGCCCTCTGGTCCACACCACCCCAAACGAAACCGGCCTTGTTTTTAGAGTAAAGTACGAAGTATATAAAATCGGCATATGCTAGTCTGCCAGATGACTTGCCAACTCGGACTGGTCTCACACATATTTTCACAGCCTCGCCGTTTGAGGAAGGAGAATAGATGGAAGGTGTGTCGACTTGCAACAGATCGCCTCCCTCGGTGCCAAAACTAGACAGATACGAGAACAAATGCATGAAGCACAGGGCACAGAGCGCAATGCATGCGAAGCGCTGATCACTCGGGCGTGACGGGGAGAACATGCGGTCCAGCTAGCTGTTGTTGCTGTTACCGTCCCAGACAACCTTCTCGTTCTGTTGTGTCCCTCGAAGCACTGGACACCTGCTGAACGCTGCACTCCGGCTTCCCCGCCCCGTGTCTCTTACGCCATATGGCAAGAGGGACAGACCGAACCAAGATGTGCTTCAACACGCGACATTTTTAGCACACATCCAAATTTGGCAACACATCTGCAAATCTCTGGCTCGGAAGCATGGCTCGGTGGTGTCCGTCATCCCAATACCCCCTTTAACACACCCTTTCTGATCATCGTCGGCTGACTACTAATCCGCGCACGGTGGTGGGTTTGCGCCTCTGAAATAGAACACAGAATATTTCGCTTACAATGAATGATGCGTCAGTTCTCCTTTCACAAACACCTTTGCTGAGTCCATGAAGACAGGGGGAAGGGAAGGTGGGTGCCAAAGCACCGGGTGCTTCATCTACGTCGTACGCATTGCTCGACAAGAGCACCGGTTGGCTTGGCCAGGTCGAGCTGCATTGCCTCCCAACATTGCAAATCACAACTTCGAATGCGACTTATATTGAGCTACTGCTGCAGCAGCGCGGACCTCTTGCTTCCCTGCATACCGCCCGAAATAGGGCCGTCAATGTAATATGTAAGAACGTACCGGCATGCAAGTCACCTTGCGGTGGTCGGACTGATGTGATGGTGACGACGATATGCGCGTGAAAAGGCACGTTGGCACGTTGGACGGTGGTATGGAGCTGGGATCGTGGGAAAAAAAGGTGAAAGCGAACGAAAACGCCCGCTTGGCTTGTCCGGGGTCGCTTAGATGCTTTTGGCTCTGCGGATGCAAATAACAACATCGTGAACAAGCCTTCTTGGCAGAAACCAGGACTTGTTCCCTGCACGTGCTGATTACGGGTTGCGGGCCTCATGCAAGTTGCAGACCGGCGCAGGTCGTAGTATGTCTCAGGTTCTGATCCCTGTCTGGAGCACCAGTCTGTTTTCGGCATCGCGGCAAAATGTGCTTTGGCGATGGGAAAGGATGATATCAGAGCGGACGGCACAGAAGGCACCTGTAAGAGACATAGCAAGCAGTAACGATTGTGAATGGCGAGGGTAGAGCCAGATTCCAAAATTGACCACGGGGCATGTTTGGAGGCGATTTGAGACTGTGATGCCGTAGAAGCAGTGCAATGCAACAGGCCATTTGTCTATTAAAAGGCTGCTCAGCCCTGTGAGCAGACTGGGCAACTAGTGCGCTTATACGGAGTAGTTGCTCGTCCTACGTATAAAGGAAGGTGAGACGAAAATGCTCCGTAGCTGGGAAGGCAAGCCTTGGGATGCTTTTCAATGAAATAACAGGGATTTCGGGTGATTACTATGTAGGAGTTCGATAAAGTACTCCATACCTTAGCGAGACACGTTTGGTCCTGTAGTGGCGGAGAAGACTTCCGTATTCGTGGGCAGCTACAACGTGCCTAGTATTAGAAATAAGCTCTCCTAGTAAGACACGCTTCAGAAACGACGGACTTTTCGGACATCGCGATGTTCTCCCCTATGTAGAAGCGATATCTTCCCCCCACTATCTTAAATTTCTGGTGTTTCTCCTATGGAAAGGCCCCCCTACGACGTACGTCCCTTATGGGGTACTTTGGAATATAACGAACCCTCGAACGAATGGCTTTTACAGAGGACAAGCCAAGGGTTTGATCAGTCGCCAGATGCAGGACTGCGCTATCTGCAAAACCTTACTCTTATCTGTTTTGCCTTTTTCTGGGACCTGTTCTTGTCGAAGACAGCACAAAGAAGAGGAGATTCTGCAGGGTTGTGTAAATGCCCCCAAGCTGCCCAGTTCGACCGAATTCGACCGTCCCTCCGACTTCTTTATGTATGCATGCGACATCGGCGTGGTAGTCTGTGCGTTGCATAGCCATACTATGTACGAGGACGATGTGGGAGTAGGAATACGAGGAGAGCATGACCGAAATTGTGCGCACGGCATGCAGGGTCGCTTCCGTTCTACGAGCATATATTCGGCCGTCTATGCGCATTAGAACATCGATTGGGATTAGCACGACGCCAAAGCGAGGCCGAGACGAGGCCAAAGAGAGATAGACAGGAGACATAACTCAACGTCAAAGATTGACGGCGTGTGCGCACTATCTACATAGTAGGGGGGCCGGAATGAGAGTCGATCTTCCGGCACGTTTTTAATATACAAGTTGAAACAGGCGAGACGATCGACCAGGAGGCGGGGAGTAAGATACCAGGAAAGCAAACTTGCTGCTCCGTACTGTTCGTCGATCTCTTCGGCAATACAGAGTACATACTATGTACGGAGTATGGAGGACTCCATACACATATCTACCATGCTTTTCCTCACATCTGCTACATAGTACGTCAGGTCAGACAAGTGGACCAGGACAGGCCAAATGGTTTGAGATTGAGATTTGACAGACTGGACAGTGGGCTGGGTGCAGTTGCAGTGCAGAAAACCTGCAGCGTGACTGCAACGCTGTGGCCGGTACAAGTGATTGAGTCAGGAAGATTCGAATATCGCGAGGCAGAACGGGCCAATGAGAGCGGAGAACTTCGAGGCAGAGGTGGATTTGTCGGAAGCCCATGCAAGGGAAATCACAAGACATGTTCTCCTTGTCTCGTCCCCACGGCTCGCCCTTTCCTGTTACGACGTAAGGGGATGTTGAAATACTCCGTACTCATGGGCGGGACGTTTATGATTTGGCCGTTTTCAAAGCCCAAAGCCGATCGTCGATTCGAGCCCGGGCCACAGATAGCACCTGGATCGTCGGCACAAGTGCCGTACCGACATGAAAGCCTGGAAGCCTGGAAGCCTGGAGAGCAGTGCCCGTCGTGATGATTCACGTGAGATACTATGCATGCACTTTGCAGCTGCTATCACTGGATGAGAATGCAAAAAGGGGATTTCCCCCCCCTGGAGCTCCACAGACTGGCATAATCTCTGCCTGTACTGAATAAGATACATGATAGGCGATTGTTCAAATAGAGCAATGCTATGATGTGCTTGGCAGAACGGGCCGCTCGGGTGGTGACGTCTGACTGAGAGGAAGAGTAGAATAACGGGCGAAAGTGTCCGAGCGGCGAATTGGCGAATGGGAGATGGCCATTCTGAAGCTGCAGGACGCTATCTCTATCTGACCACAGCCATGTAGGACGGGGAGATACATCCTATAGGATTAGCAGGTGCACAGACCGCACATTTGGCGACTTGACTGCAAAGACGGGTGAAGGGCGTAACAAGAGCAAGATGTGCGAATATGCCTCGTCCAACAGTGTCGTAGACAGCAGATAAGCCTGTGACGAGGGCGGTCGGACCTCGTTGTGACGACAGTACGGAGTATACACAGGAGTTTGGCGTGGACACTACTCGCACTCTGTAGGAGAAGAAAGATCCTCCTCTGGTATCGCGTAAGCCTCGGCTAGCGCGTGTACGCCGTATAGCTGTCGACAAGCGCGAGAAGAAAAAAAGTAAGGTCTATTCTCCGAGCAGAGACGAGACGAGAAAGCATCGGCCGATGGAGGCTGAGCTCTCAATTTGCTGCATGCCAATACGAGCTATCCCGTCCCGAATGGCAAAAAGCGTACGAGCAGACAGTAGTGTAGAGGTCTAAGCCGACATAGGCTGCTGGCCAAAACCACGTTGTCGCGGGAGACAGGCTCCGTTGCTCCACAGCCTTGACCGGTGGAGGATGAGGGATGAGGATGTGTGTTTCGGGTGATCCAAAACGGGTTAGAGCAGCCGATTTCCAAGGGCGAACCAGGTTTCTGATCACTGCCTCCGACACAGAAACGCGCCCGAAAAGGCAAGGCGTCAGAGTGCTTGCTGACTAACATTTCCCCTTGGCCCCCTTGACAGGGATCCATGCGCCCCACGAACTGGACCTACGACGTACGGAGTAAACTCAATGAGCTCGAAGATATCTTACTCCGTACTCCGTACATTGAGTAGCATCGCAATGTCAATCTGCATCTGGCAGGCATTGCCGTATGCACCTCGGGTGCGACATTCACTGCAGTTTGCTGGACTGCTGTTAGGCGAAGATTACTCCGTACTTGGTACGAAATGACAATTTGACAGCACACGTGATGCTAGAGTGGAGCCGGTCGAGCAATTTGGCTTCCGACGATATTGCGACTCTGTTCTCACTGTGGAGCTCACACATCGGAAGATACTAATTCTTCCTTACAAGAGTCGATATAGACAAGCATAAATTAGGCTATGCCGAAAGCAACTATACATAGTACTTGCAAGCGTTGGAAAAAGGCCAATCGTGATTCAGCGCGAAAAGTCCGATGTGCCAGAGGCCGCAGAAAAAGGGGGCGGAGAATAAAATGAATAAAAGGAAAACTGGAAAGATACGAAGAGGCAAAAATGGGTAAGACGAGGCCTAAACGGAAGTAGCAAGGGCAACCTGCCGAGGGGCAGTCCCCATCTTGTTGGTGCCTGCCCGACCAAGCGATGGCTCAAGCGGGTTTCACGGCGTTTGCCCCATATTCACGGACCCCTGTCGTGTTTGCCACTTCTCTCCTCTCTCTCCTCTCTCCCAGACTCTCAGAGCCTCCTGGGTAGCATTGACGGCTCCTGGGGGGGTTCTCGCCTCGCCATTTCCGTCCTTCCCGGCATTCCTCTAATCTCGGTACGAGCTCTGGGAGGGAAAGGAAATTCACGCGCCAAATCGGTTGACGATGCCGGCCTTTCTTGATTCTACTACGACGTATGTATCTTACAGATACATGGTACGAAAGTACGAGAGAGAGTGCTCAAAGGCCTTCTTCTGGAATTCGTCCGGCTTCCCGGAGCAGCAGCTGGTCGCCGGGGCACCGTTCTCGTCCCGGATCTCGAGCCCCCCTGTTTCGTTTGTCCTGCAGCCAGGCTTCGGTGCGAAACAGAAACCGGTAGCTTAGCGACTGTCCGGCTTGCCAAGGAATGAAAACGACACAAGAACACAAGAATAGAAACAGGACGTCCCGCGCGAGAGCACCCACCCCCCCTCCGGCTACCACACCCCTTTTGCTCTACTCTGTACCGCGGATGCGACAGACCTTCCGAGCACGGCGGCGGTGCACCATTGCAACGCCCAAAGAGGAACAGTGCACGCCTGCTGCAGTACGGAGTAGTATTCCCCCCTTCTAGGCTGGCTGTTCTGGTCTAGTCCATCGCACTGCAGCTCTGGCGTTGGCCCTGTTTCGACCTCAGGGCAAATCTCATACATACGACTACGGGCACAAAACAGCCAGGACCCCTGCCGGGATGGGGCCGATGGTGTTCTTAAGACGGCCGTGTTAAAGAAACGGGAACAGCCCTCTGGTTCTTCTGCTGGCAGGTGGAGAAGCAGTGCGCTTGGGCAGAAAAAAAACCTCCAAGAACCGAACCAGAAAGAGCTGTGTCGTTCCCATCCCAATTCAGCTTCTATACTCGGATGCTCATATTATAATAATCTGTAGTCGGATGCCACCGAGAATACTCATCACGCTATCTCGCTTGCTTCCAATCTCAATGCATCGGCCTTCTACTCATCTCCTGCGCGCAAAAGCCCCTTCACCAGCTGCAACCATAAGGTCTCCGAGCAAAATATAATACGAGTAGCGGCCGTTTGTCTGGACATGCTCGCTCGCTCTGCCGTATGGAAAGCTTCCAGACGACCCAGTTATATTGATTACACCCATACAACCTGCTTGTATCTTGCTACCCACCCCTTCACATAGCTTGCTACATATATTCGGAGTATAATACATACCCTGCACGAGAATCCCTCCCTCCTGCAACTACGGTGCCCCCCCCTCCACACCAGCCGTACTACCCTAGAACATGGACCACATTCTTAGCTGCATGCTTGATGCTGGCTACAGCCACCTTGAGCACCAAGACGCTGGGTATATAGAAAAGGCAGCTGCCTCCCTGCCCATTGACCCGCCACTGGTGAGTTCTGCATTACCCAACCTCACCCCTGCTCTGCCTTGCTTGCTGGTTATGCTGGTTTGGCTGGTCCGTCCATTTCAAGCAAGACTTGCACACTCGCACGAAGATGTCCAAAACAGACGCTCACATGTCGGTTCTCTTCCGCACCCCCAAGCAGCAGGCGCAGCAGACGCAGCAGATGCAACAACCGACGGAACAGCCAGCACAGGAGAAGCCGTATGTCTGGAGGATGTATTCCCAGACCGAACGGAAGTACCAGCTCTTCCCCAAGGACAAGCAGCAGCTGCCGCCCACCCCGGAGACGGGGCTTGACCCCGAGCAGGCCTTTGCCCTCGCCATGGGCCAGAACAGCAACGGTGCCGGCGCCGACAAGACTGCGACACCCCCCAACGGCCTTCGTCTCCGGATCAAGGAACACAACCTGACGCGCCGGCGCAAAGTCAGCGTGCCCGAGCTGGGGCCCATGACGACGGTGCAGGAGATTGCCATGGATTCACGTAAGAGCCAGCCGCCTTTTTGTCGGACCTTATTCGCGTGCAAAGCTGACCGGCGCCTGCCATTGCCTCGCATAGCCACCATTCCTGGCCGGCCACCTCTCCACGAGCGGTCCATCAGCGCGCCGGGAACCAGCTGGAGACAGCACCATCTGGTGGACTGCATGATCCCGCAGACGGTGTACGACGACGAGACGAGCGAGCCGACGGACGTTTCGGAGACCCAGCTCGACCCACCGCGGTGCAACTCGGCCCAGGCAGTGCTGTCGCCATCGACGACCAACGCCAAGGCCGCGGCCAAGAAGGCGGCAGCAAAAGCAGCTTCGGCGAAGGCGACATTGCACCACCCGCTCTCTCCCAAGAGCCTGACTCCTCTCGTGATTCCGGCCCCCCGCGTGCATGCGTCCTGTATCCGGCCGGCCATCGCCGGCCTGTCCGGCACCGGCCGAGGGATGCGTTCCGGCAGCAACTCTGCCGACTCAGCTCTGCGGTCAGCCCGCTCGGAAGACTCGCCTCGCAACCGCACGCCATTCACGCCGCTGTCAGCCTCTCTTCTGTTCACAGCACCGCCATCTGCCGTATCGGCCACGTCCAGCGCATCGACGCCTCTGAGTGCCGCGTCCACGCTGCCGACTCCCCTGTCAGCCATCACACCGATGTCAGCCACCGAGCCCCGTGCCTCGCCTAAACCCCGAGCAGCAGCAGGGGAGGGTGCGGAGAAGATGGGCGAGAAGCGGGCGATTCTTGCACGGAGCGCATCGACGAGCACCAGACCGGCTGCCAGCCATCGACGAGGCCAGTCGGAGTCGGGCAGCATCATGGAACGTGGCCGGCCACGGAAGCGCAGCGCATCGCGCGAAGGAGCGTCGACGTCTCTAGGCATCGCATCGTCAACAACGGCGATGGGCACCTCGCCGAAGCAGACGGCCAGTCTGGCGAACCGGAGTGCCGAGAGACGAGCATTCGAGCTGCTGCCTCGCGGCTGGAAGGCCCCCGAAGCGGCGGCAATGCTGGGGACGGCAGAAACGATGGCACTGGCGACACAGGCGCTGCAACAGGCGGCACGATTCGAGGTGCTGCGACGGGAGGACGTGGAGAGTCTGTCACGTGAGCTGCGCAGTCTGGACGAGCGCACAGAGTACCTTCGGAGCACATACACATCGCTGCGGTCTGGACGACGCAACCTGCACTCGCGCATCTGTCAGTACCTGCGATCGCCACGAGTGGCGCGGTTCAGCCACGACGCGATGCTGCGCCAGGAGGAAGCGCTGGCCGAGCTGGACGCCTCGATCGACGACTGGGTCACGAAGCTGGAACAGGCAGAAAACCGGCGGACGCGTGTGCGCCAGAAGCTGCTGGAGCATGTGGCCGCAGCGGCGACGCTGCCGCTGGTCGGTGCAGAGGTTTCGGGCGTCAGCGAGTCGCTGCAGATGGCCATGGGCCTGATGCAGGCAGCGAGTAGCAGCGGTGGTCAGACTGGTGTCAGCAATGCGGCGACGTCACCGAAGCCTCATCACGACGGCACCAACATGTGCACACCGCCACGAAGCCCGACCAAGGCAGCCGTGCCGACTGCCAGCAGCTATAGCCGCCTTGTGACGCCGGTCTCGTCGTCGCCGTCGCCGTCGCCACAGCGACCTATTGTGGCCCGAGTGCCGTCTGCGATCTTGGAGCAGCCGATGGTCGAGGAAGCCATGGCGATGGGCGAGCAGGAGGAACGCGAGAGGCTCGAGAGGCTGGGCGTGATGGGCTCGCCAATGACGTCGATCTCGTCGCGCCGCGTGGACGTCGAGAGCATCCGAATCTACGCGGGCGACGATGTCTATACTCTCTTGGCTGATGTCGAGAGCCAGATCACGCAGATGGGAGGCCAAGACGGAACAGCCGAAGCCGGCCTGTCGGACGAGGAGCGCAAAAACCTGCACCGGGCACATAGCCATGAACTGCTAAACGGCCGGTGTAGCGACGTCGGAAGCCGGAAGATGGCGCCTGCTCCTGCTGCTGCTGCTTCTGCTTCTGCTGCCAGGACTGCTTCGCCACCACCGGTCGACACCACCGAGATCTTTCTGACGAGTGCCGTGTTCCAGCCAGAACGCAGTGTTCTTGCCATCTGAGAGCTCACACATCCGTTGCTACACAGCCACTTGACAGCGTCAATCGGGGATTTTTTTCTTTTCTTCTTTCATTCTCTCATTCCATTCGTCTAACGATTCATACGCTCTTTTGCATCTTTTTCTGGCTTCTTGTTCCTACACATGAAACGACATGAAACGGCCGACCCGCATACAGCGTCTGGTTCTCTGTAATAGGAAGAACAGCGTTGCCTTTTGTCCTGGACCCAACTTACTCGACACCTGACCGGACCGCCGTTGATACCCTCTTCTTTCTCGCCATTCATTTACAGCTTTTTATTACTTTTTTTTTTATTTTTAACTTGGTTTCATCAGACCAAACACACTCATTGTTCACTTCAACGCCTGTCTTCATACCATGTACTTTGCATCTGCCTTGCGGCCCTCACTGCCTTCATTGTTGTCATTACCATGTCTTTTCTTGTTCTCGTCTTCATCTCCAGTGCCCTGTCACCAGACTCGGCGTAGTAACGGCCGTGTGTTCTATAGGCTTTGCTTTTGGCTCTGATTTACCTGTTTACAGGTCCGCCTCGCAGCACGAGGGGAGTAGCAGTTTTTGCGCATTTTACAGCACTGTATTTTCACCTGTCTTTCTATACTGTCATACATACTAGCCGGCCGTGCTATCAGGTACAAGGCCCATCCACAGAACTGCCTTTTTCCAGCCGTAGATCAGTCAGTGCTAAAGCCCAGCGCTATCTTAAATGGATCGCGGCGCAGGGAAGGTGGGGTCCTGCTATGTCACGCCCGCCGCACCTTCCTACATAGTGCTCTTTTTCCCACGTTCCTTTTCTCTACGACTATTGGTATCGTTTCTCCTCCTGCCGAATAGGCTGAAGTCTGCCCACAATACTTCGTATTGCTTCGTTTCCCGCCTTCTCGACTGCTCCTTTCGCTCGACCCTTGTCGCCGCCGTCGGTACAAAAGCCGGGTGTCGCTGCGTCGTCCATGCGGAGCGTCCTGGTTTTGCAAAGGACCGCCTCCGCTTCCTTTGTGCCTTTTTTGTGCCGTCCGAGCGGGTCACGTGTGAGCATCACCACCTTTACCTATCTGCTTCGACAGGACTTCCGTTCAACGCATATCGACCACTCCGCCTCGCATAGCGATCACACCGCCATGGCGAAGCGCGACTGCAGTACGCTGTCCAACTATGACGCATGGCGCACGCGGCACACGACCGCGAGCCTGCGCATCGACTTTGCCGCCCAGGTACTACGGGGTCACGTGGTGCTGGAGCTGGAGCGTCAGGCTGGCGGTGCTGGCGGCCACGGAGCGGCCGAGATCGTGCTGGACTCGAGCTACGTGGACGTGTCGGCCGTCCGGGTGGACGGTGCGGCTGTACCGTGGGAGATCAAGCCGCGCACGGGGCCGCTGGGCTCGCCGCTGCACATCGGGCTGCCGATCGCGACAGCCGGCAGCACCTCCACGTCTGTCCGCATCGACCTGGCCACGACGCCGCAGTGCACGGCGCTGCAGTGGCTGACGCCGGCCCAGACGTCCAACAAAGACGGCGCCGTTCATGTTCTCACAGGCGCAGGCGATCCACGCACGCTCGCTGTTCCCGTGCCAGGACACGCCCGACGTCAAGTCGACGTACTCGTTCCGCATCGCGTCGCCGCATCCGGTGGTGGCCAGCGGACTGGGTGTGGAAGGCGTGGAGGGCGAGGACGACAATGCACCCCCCCTCGCCCCGGGCGACACGCTCTACCGCTTCGAGCAGACCGTGCCCATCCCGGCCTACCTCTTCGCGCTGGCGTCGGGCGACATCGCGACGGCACCCATCGGCCCGCGGTCGGTCGTGGCCACAAGCCCGGACCAGATCCGGGCGTGCCAGTGGGAGTTTGAGCAGGACATGCCGCGGTACCTGGACGTGGCCGAGAAGCTGGTCTTTCCGTACCCGTGGGGCGAGTACAACGTGCTGGTCCTGCCGCCCAGCTTCCCGTACGGCGGCATGGAGAACCCGGTCTTTACGTTTGCCACGCCGACCATCATCAGCGGCGACCGCCAGAACGTGGACGTGGTGGCCCACGAGCTGAGCCACAGCTGGAGCGGCAACCTGGTGACGAGCGGCAGCTGGGAGCATTTGTAGGTTTTTTCCTCTCTTTCTTTCTTTTCTACTCCTTTTTCTTCTCTTTTCTTCTCATCTTCTCCTCTTCCACTGACAACTCAGCTGGCTCAACGAAGGCTGGACCATGTACCTGGAACGCCGCATCATCAGCAGCATCCACGGCGCAGCTCACTTTGACTTTTCCGCCGTCATCGGCTGGAAGGCACTCGGTATGTAGAGAACAAGGCAACAAAAATGTTGGGCACACTGCTAACCCGCGCAGAGGACGCGGTAAACACGTACGGCCCGACGCACAACTTCACCAAGCTCTGCATTAATCATGAGGGCATCGACCCGGATGACGCCTTCAGTACCGTGGCCTACGAGAAGGGCTTCCACATGGTGTACTACCTCGACAGGCTGGTCGGCCGCGAGAACTTTGACAAGTTCATCCCGTACTATTTCACCAAGTGGAGCCGCAAGTCGCTGGACTCGTTTGAGTTCCGCGACACCTTCCTCGAGTTCTTTGGCCGACCGGAATATGCCGCTCTCAAGGACGACATCGCGTCGATCGACTGGGAGAGCCGGTTTTACACGCCGGGCCTGCCGCCGAAGCCGGACTTTGACACCTCGTTGATCGATGTCTGCTACGAGCTGGCAGCCAAGTGGAAGGGCAAGGACTACGTCCCGACGGCGGCCGATGTGCACGGTTGGGTCGCGAACCAGAAGCTGGTCCTGCTGGGCGAGCTGCAGAGCCTCGAGCAGTCCATCACGGTCGAGCAATCGCGAAAGCTGGGGACGGCCTACGGGCTCGTCGACTCGGCCAACGTCGAGCTCAAGTCGGCCTACTATCTGGTGGCCCTGCGGGCCAAGGATGCCAGCACTTACGAGGGTGCTGCCGAGCTGGTCGGCTCCGTCGGCCGCATGAAATTTGTCCGGCCGCTGTATCGCGCCCTCAACGAGGTCGACCGCGACCTGGCCGTGCGCACGTTTGAGAAGAACCGCGACTTCTACCACCCGATCTGCCGGGCCATGACCGAGAAGGATCTAGGCCTGAGCGAAGACGGCAAGAAGGCATGAACATGCGCAAGAACAGACAACCGTCCAATACCGTAGAAACAAGTAGACAAGTTGATCGCCTTGATAGACGGGCTGCAGCCTTGCTGCCGTGGCATTGATAGCGCAATCTCCACGTGAAAAGGAGCAATTTCCCACTATGACGAAGTCCGGCCGAGCCAATTAGGGGGCACAGAAGCTGGACGGAAAGCCTCGGTTCCGTACTTTGTACCGATCCACATAATAGGAAAGTGAAAGAATATGGAAGGCGCGCGCCGCGTGGGCCAAATTTTGTTTGACGCGGGAACTACGGAGACTGTCATTTGCGCACATAGAGCCAAGTGTGGTCCTCGCTCCTTCTTCCAGCGGCCACGACTCGATCTCCCGACGCGACAGTAGCACTGTGCCGAATGCTCCTTCCTCTCGACGTCGGACTCGCCCGCCACACCGCCACGTGAAAACGACGAAACCCGCTGACGACCTTTTGACGACGACCATTGATCATCTCCATATTTCCATCCTCGATCCTCGCCGTCTCGACAGACCCGCGCCGGCGCCGGCCTGATTCCGCCGCTTCGGTGTATGTCTCTACAGCTCTCGACACGAATCCCGATCGCCGTGTCCCAATCTCTCCCAAGCGTCGCCACTTTTGGGGGGCGGAGGGGCCGATTCTGTTCATGCAGCAACGGGCCTCAGCTGTCCAGCCGCAACCGACGCTACGATCGCGAGACATGTGCTGGAGCCGACAGCTGAACTCTGCACCGTTCTGGCCGTCCGCAGACTCCGGCCTTTTACCCTGACACGTCTTTGGCTCTGGTCGGCAGATTCTCCCACACTAAGCCGGCCATCGAAAGTACGAGCACACTTTATCCTGAGCACGGCACGACGGTACAACACGGCACACCGGCTGCTTCCGTCGGCCTCCTTGTTGCGTAGACAACCTAGCAGCGAGAGGCTTCGCTCCCTTGGGCGGAGTCTCTGCTTGAGCTATCGCCCGACATGGCTCCAGGCGGTGGCGGAAACATCAAGGTGGTAGTCCGGGTTCGCCCTTTCAATGGACGAGGTAAGCATGCTACGAAAAGCGGCCAAGACAGCGCGACGGGTGTGTGGACTTGCTGCTGACCGTGCTTGCGCCCTGTAGAACTGGACCGCAATGCCGTGCGCATTGTCGAGATGCGCGGCAACCAGACCGTCCTCACGCCGCCGCCAGACACGCATCAGGCGGGAGGAAAGGGAGGCAAGGACCAGAAGGGTGGCAAGGACATGGCGCCCAAGGTCTTTGCCTTTGACCGGTCGTACTGGAGCTTCAACAAGAGCGATCCGAACTACGCCGGCCAGGACAGCCTGCACGAAGACCTGGGCCGGCCGCTTCTGGACAATGCCTTTCAGGGGTACAACAACTGCATTTTTGCCTACGGCCAGACCGGTTCGGGCAAGTCGTACTCCATGATGGGCTACGGCAAGGAATACGGCATCATCCCGAGCATCTGCCAGGAGATGTTCACGCGCATCGAAGAGATGCAGAAGGACAAGACGCTCAAGTGCACCGTGGAGGTGTCGTACCTCGAGATCTATAACGAGCGCGTGCGCGACCTGCTGAACCCGTCGACCAAGGGAAACCTCAAGGTCCGCGAGCATCCGTCCACGGGCCCCTACGTCGAAGACTTGGCGAAGCTGGTCGTCAGCAGCTTCCAGGAAGTCGACCACCTGATGGACGAGGGCAACAAGGCCCGCACGGTCGCGGCGACCAACATGAACGAAACGTCGAGTCGCAGTCACGCCGTGTTCACGCTGATGCTGACGCAGAAGAAGCACGATGTCGAGACCAAGATGGGGATGGAAAAGGTCGCCAAGATCAGCCTCGTCGATCTGGCCGGTTCCGAGCGAGCGACATCCACGGGCGCGACAGGCGCCCGGCTCAAGGAGGGCGCCGAGATCAACCGCTCGCTCTCGACGCTGGGCCGCGTCATCGCCGCGCTCGCCGACCTCTCGACCGGCAAGAAGAAGAAGGGCGCGGCCAGCCAGGTGCCGTACCGCGACAGTGTCCTGACCTGGCTGCTCAAGGACTCCCTGGGCGGCAACAGCATGACGGCCATGATTGCGGCCATCAGTCCGGCCGACATCAACTACGACGAGACGCTGAGCACGCTGCGCTACGCCGACTCGGCCAAGCGGATCAAGAACCACGCGGTCGTCAACGAGGACGCGAACGCGCGGATGATCCGCGAGCTCAAAGAGGAGCTGGCCGTGTTGCGGGGCAAGCTCGGGGGCGGTGCTGCGGGTGCCAGCGTGGCCGGAGCGGCCGGCGTGCCGCCCGACGAGGTGTATGCCGAGGGCACGCCGCTGGAGAAGCAGATTGTCAGCATCACGCAGACGGACGGCTCGGTCAAGCGGGTGTCCAAGGCAGAGATAGCCGAGCAGCTCGACCAGAGCGAGAAGCTGCTGACGGACCTCAACCAGACGTGGGAACAGAAGCTGGCCAAGACGGAGGAAATCCACAAGGAGCGGGAGGCCGCGCTGGAGGAGCTGGGCATCAGCATCGAGAAGGGCTTCATCGGGCTCAGCACGCCCAAGAAGATGCCCCATCTGGTCAACCTGTCGGACGACCCGCTCCTGGACGAATGCCTGGTCTACAACCTGAAGCCGGGGACCACTACGGTCGGCAATGTGGAGTCCAACGCGGAACACCAAGCTAACATCCGGCTGAACGGATCGCGGATCCTGCATGAGCACTGCACGTTTGAAAATGCGCCGGACGGCACGGTGACGATTGTGCCGATGGCCGAGGCGCCGGTGATGGTGAACGGGAAGCGGATCACGGAGCCTAAGCAGCTGCACTCTGGTTACCGTGTCATCCTCGGCGACTTCCACATCTTCCGCTTCAACCACCCGATGGAGGCGCGCGCCGAGCGGGCAGAACAGAGCCTTTTGCGGCAGTCGGTGACAGCCAGCACGCTGCAGAGCCTCGACCGCAACACGTCGCCGTCGCCGAGTCCGCGGCCGGGAGCCGGACACGAACGGTCGATCAGCAAGGCCGGATCAGAGTTTGGGTTTGGCGGGAGTGACAGCCGGCCAGAATCGCCGTCGCCATTTGCACGGTTTGGCCGTGACTCGGACTGGTCGCTGGCGCGTCGCGAAGCGGCCAACGCGATCTTGGGGACGGACCGCAACGTGGCCAGCCTGACGGACGAGGAGCTGAACACGCTCTTCGAGGAGGTGCAGCGGGCGCGGGCAGAGCGAGTGACGAACGGGCGCGAGGGTGACGAAGACCTGGAGTCGATGGCGTCGTATCCGATCCGGGAGAAGTACCTGTCGACAGGGACGCTGGACAACTTCTCGCTCGACACGGCGATCACGATGCCGACGATGCCATCGACGCCGAAGCAGGGCGAGGTGGACGACCGACTGCGCGAGGTGCGCGAAGAGATGCAGCTGCAGCTGGAGAGGCAGAAGGAGGAGTTCCAGGACCAGCTGAAGAGTGCCGAGGTGGCTAACGTGGAGGTGGAGGAGATCAAGGTGGAAAAGGAGCGGATGGAGGAGACGCTGCGGACGCTCAAGGCGGAGATGCAGAAGCAGCTGGAGGTGCAGCGACAGGAGTATGAGGAGAAGATGGAGCGGCTCGACCCGCTCAAACGCCCCAAAGCGAAGCCGAAGCTGTCGGAGGAGGAGATGGAGCGAGCGCGACAGGTGGTGAAGCGGTGGCGTCGACGGCACTATGTGCGGATGGCCGAACAGGTGCTGCAGCACGCGGCGACTCTGAAGGAGGCGCAGATCCTGAGCCACGAGCTGAACGGAGACGTGGTGTTCCAGTTTGCGACGGTGGATTTGGGCCACGGTCTCTGCTCGTCATACGACATGGTGCTGAACGGGCTGGTGAGCGAGGGTGACGACGTGGCGCTGGAGGAGGCCCCGAAGCCGTGTGTGGGCGTGCGGCTGATCGACTACAAACACAACGTAGTGCGGTTGTGGAGCCTGGAGAAGCTGGAGGAGCGGGTGCGGCGGATGCAGCAGCTGCACCAGTGCCTGGACGACCAGCCAGAGCACCGGCAGCAACACGTGGACGAGGACGACCCGTTTGCGGAAGAGGCAATGCCGGAATACACGCTGATCGGCGATGCAGACGTGCCGCTCAAGGCGGTATTCGAGTCGCGGGTGCAGGACTTTGCAGCGTTGGACGTGGTGTCGCCATACACGAACCAGGCGATCGGGATCATCCGGCTGGCATTGGAGCCATCGAGCGCGCGGGCGCCATCGAGCACGCTCAAGTTCAACGTGGTGATGCATGAGATGGTGGGCTTTGCAGAACGCGAGGGCACAGAGGTGCATGCGCAGCTGTTCATCCCGGGTGTGTCGGAGGAGGACGGAATCACGACAACGCAGATGATCCGGGACTTTGACGAGAGCCCAGTGCGATTTGAGAGCGTGCACAGCATGAGCATGCCGCTGTTCGGGCCACAGGACGTGACGCTGCGCGTGGCCGTGTTTGCGCGGGTGTCAGCGATGCACCTGGACAAGCTGCTGAGCTGGGACGACATGCGGGATGCAGTACCGATGACACGCGAACGGGCACCACGAGCCGCGCGCATTGCTGAGTCACAGTTCTTTACGGAAGAGCGGCACGACGTGCTGGCGCGGCTGCAGGTGCTGGAGATGAACGAGGAGGGCACATACATGCCGGTAGAGGTGGCACAGACAAGCGAGCTCGACACGGGGACGTTCCAGCTGCACCAGGGGATCCAGCGGCGGATCACGATCACGCTGGCACACAGCTCGGGCGACCTGCTGCCGTGGGACGGGGTGTCATCACTGCGGGTAGGCAAGATCCAGCTAGTCGATGCGGGCGGGGCGGGATGCTGGAGTCGGCGACAGTGCAGGCGACGACGGCGATGGACGGGGACGAAAACGGGGCCAGCAGCAGCGACAGACACGGCAATGCCAGTCGACGTGGGGCTGAAGCTGGTATCGGCACCGTCGCTGCAGAGCCATGCGGACGGGACGCGGAGCATCACGATGACGGGTCAGTGGGACTCCAGCCTGCACAACTCGGCGCTGTTGGACCGGGGTGACGGCGGACAAAGTGCCGGGTGCAGATGACGGTGTGGTGGGAGATCAGTTCGGAGCGGCTGGCGGAGCCGATGAAGTTCTGGGCGACGGTGTGCTGCCAGATCCTGTCGCGGCCTTTGTGCGGCAGCCGTCGATGTTGTCGGCGCTGTGGCAGTCGGTGCGCTTTGTGCGGGCGTCGACGGCCATCTACACGATCACGATGCGGCCAGCGCCGATCAAGCGGGTCGGCGATCTCTGGCGCATGAGCAGCCAGCACGACTACGTCAAGGGCGAAGAGAACCTGGCCGCCTGGACGCCGCGGGGCGTCTCGCTCGTGAGCGACTACATTGTCGGGCGCAAGCGGCGGCGCCGGATGGCCGAGATCGGGGCGGCCGCGAACACGCTGAAGCGCATCGGACTGCCGATACCGCGGTCGCAGCCGCTGGACGAGGGCCTGGACGGGCTGTCGGGCTTGGGCCTGGGCCGAGACGACGAGATGGACTCGATCGATGAGCTGCTGCGAGACTCGCCCGAGCCAGAGGCAGAGGAGACAGCAGGAGAAGAGGTTGGGGCGGCAGGAGGCCCGGAAAAGGCGGAGACGACAGGCACTCCGGCAGAGACGGAAACAACAGAAGAAACGGCAGAGACAGAGACGACGGGAGCAAACACCCCGGCAGAGGGAACAGGAGACTCAACAGAAGCAGAGACAACAGGAGCAACCACCGCGGCAGAGAGACCTGCAGACACTGCAGAGATGCTTGCAGAAACACCAGGCACACCAGGCACACCAAACACACCAGACACTACTTCCCCATACTCTGATGACGAAACACGGCTTCTGAAACGATGCGTCAAGCTCTGGAAAAAATACCCCGATCCACTAGCCCAGATCCTGAGCTCGGAAAACACAAACCCGCCAGCGAACGGGGTGATCACGGACTCTTCCGAGCCGCCAAGCCTCATCACAACCGTCATCCGCGTGCCCAAGAACCGCAAGGTGATGAAGGGCGGATACTTGCTGGTGCCGAGCACCGATGCGACCCGATGGATCAAGCGTTTCGTCGAGCTCCGACGGCCCTACCTGCACATCCACAGCATCACGGACGGCGACGAGGTGGCCATCATCAGCCTGCGCAACGCCCGCATCGACAGCGACCCAGGCATCCTCGGCCTGCTGGAGAGCCAGCATCCCGACTACCGCCACAACGGCTTCGACATCCGAGACCTCCAGGACGACCACGGTGATAGCCGCGATAGCCGCCGGATCGAAAACGGCCGGACCACCGGCTATGCCAACGACGACAGCACCGAGTACGGCGGCTCGGACACGAACGGGAGCGAGGGCCAGCGCAACCGGGACGCGTCTCCGACCGACTCGATGGGCACGTCGCCCCCGGCCCTCTCGCCCGTACAGGGTCGTCATCGGCGCAAGTCCTCCAGCCTGGGCGCATTCGCGTCGATGTGGACTGGAGGCGCCAGCCACAGCCACAGTGCCAGTCAGGGCCAAATCGGCAACGGCCGCAACGGGCAAAACGGTCAAAACGGTCAAAACGGTCAAAACGGTCAAAACGGGAGCGGCCAGAACGGTCGGAATGGCCGGAACGGAAAGCACGAGCGGGGAAAGAACGACCGGAATGGCCGGCCGGGACTTCAGCGACTCAGCGAACGGTTGCAGGCCGGCGTGTTTGCCATCTATGGGACGGACAACACCTGGCTCTTTGCCGCTCGCAGCGAGCGCGACAAGCTGGACTGGATCGCCCGGATCGACCAGAGCTTCACCATGGCATCCAGCGTGCCGTCGCTGGCCCCCAGCCGCGCCGCCAGCCCGGCCATCTTCTGAGCCGTCCGGCTGTTGATGATGCCACGACCAATTCGAGTGTCTTTCTGTACCCGTTTCGCGATCCCGCCCAATCGCTTGCTTTCTCTTGTCCAGAATGTCAGCCCTCCCTCCTACTGGCCTGTCCTTTTGCCCTGGCTTGATTGGATTCTGCAGCCATGCAAGGACATATACCCGCCATCCTCGCCCACCGTTTTTCTTTCTTGTCATGTTGTCATTTTGTCGTTTCGTTTGTTTCGTCCATCTCACGAGAGGCAACCGGCCCCGGCCGGCGCGAATGTAAAGCACGATGTATGTAGAGGCTGGGGATGTACAATGATCAATGATGTTGTACGAATAGGACCACAAGACAATACAGAACATGCTCTTTTCTTCAGGCGACAGGGGGCGTGACGACGCATCCTATCCGCGTGCTGTGTGCTGTAGATTGGCAGTGCCGCAAGGCCGGGATAGCAGGCCGAGAGAGGGGCTCTTCTACGTTTAGGACACACAAGTGACAGGTGACCATTTCAAGCCTTATATTGTCCGTCCAGCTTTTGTCTATAAACCCAAATACCAAAGGAGGAGCACGCCTCCGGAACCGCAAATCCACCCCTGCTTCTGCTCGAACATCTACTGCAGCGCCTTGGCCGCAAAGGTCGGCAGCACAAAGCTGGCCTTGTGGATCTCGGCGTTGTAGTACCGGCACAGCTTGGCCTCCTCCTCGGCCGTCCAGGACCGCAGGGGCATCTTGAGGTTGGCGTTGGGGTCCTTGCTGCAGACCATGAAGCCGATCTGGCCCGATGGGTACGTCGGAATGCTCGTGTAGGCGTACTCGGCCACGGGGAAGACCTCCTTGCAGTCCTTCTTGAGCTTGGCGATGAGCGGCAGGTGCAGCCACTGGTTCTCGGCTGTACGTTCAAACGGTTAGCAGGCAACGCTGTCTTTTTGCGACGGAAAGCAAGCCTTTGCCAAGGGCAAAGGGAGAAGAGAGAAGAGAGGAAGGAACAGAAAGAAACCCCCCGGAACTGCAAGATCCCCCCGGTCTGGCTTCGATCGGGAGCCCGGCACACAGCGACCCATTGGGAGGACCGTAAGAAAGGAAAAAAACCTGGGCAAGGGAACATACAACCTTGGGTAGTAATGACGCCGCCCTCGCGCAGAGCGCTGTGCAGCAGCTGGAAGTAAGGCTTCTGGAAGAGGCTCTCGGCCGGGCCCTCGGGATCGGACGAATCGGTGATGATGACGTCAAAGTGGTTCTTGTAGTCGTCGAGGAACTTGAAGCCGTCGCCGACGTGGACCTTGACCTTGGGGTGGTCGAAGCCGACGGACATGCCGGGGAGGTACTGCTTAGAAACGCGGATGACGGCCTCGTCAATGTCGCACAGCGTGGCCTCCTCAAGGCACTCATGCTTGACGACCTCGCGGAGGACACCGCCGTCGCCGCCGCCAATCACCAGCACACGCTTCGGGTCGGGGTGTGAGTGCATGGCCAGGTGCGTGATCATCTCCTGGTACGAGAATTCGTCGCGCTCTGTGCACTGGATCACGTTGTCCAGCACGAGCACCTTGCCGTAGTCGGTCGACTCGAACACCAGCACATCCTGGTACTTGCTCTTCTCGTGGTGGAGCACCTTCTTGACCCGCAGAGTCATGGCCTGACCTGCAGTCGGAGCGTTAGACTGGTCATGGCCATGGTCAAGGGGAGCCTCTTCACAAGTACGTACCAGGCCACATCTCGGAGATCTCGCGGAACCAGCCATCTGCGCAAACAGTGTTAGTCGATACACAAGAGGGGAAGATAAGCGATAGTCGATAAGATAGAGAGGAGGGGCGTAAAAACTAGCAGAACATGGCCGAAGCTGGGTTGAAGACAACAGGGAGGATAGAGATAGAGGGGGTAATCGAAGGAGAGGGTAATTGAAGAGAGGTTGGACAGAGAACGACATCGAGGGAGCAGTAGACGAAAAGACGAATGCGACAGGCTCGACACTGCTTGAGACGTCATTCTCCAGCAAAAACATACCCTGGATGGTGGCATGGGTGATTTCGTTGGACATTTTGGCGGCTGGGTGGGTGTGAGAGATGCTGACTGCAAACTGACGGTGTTGTTGTTGCGACGACGAGTTCGAAGAAGTCCGGGGACAGAAGGGGAAAAGTCTTCGCGGTCCTTCTTTTAATAGGTGAAGCGCCAGACGAGTTGTGCCCATTTATGTGGAGAACTAGTCGACGAGGAGGGTTGAAAAAAATAGGACAAAGAATTTTTCAACGGACATGTGCCAAGGTTTATTAGGCATCGCCCAGGCGGGCATTCATCCTGGCTTCTATACGGAGCACAGCATTTGAGACTATGGATTAATTAGGAAGGTACTGCCAAGACCATGGCTTCTCTACTGTAACCCCTAGTATCTACAGGCAATCCGTTAAGCGTAACATCTTCTTTCGGAGCTGCTGGCAACGGACCAGAAAACGGTCGGGATTCGATGAAATTGGTTACACAGTCCATAACCAAAGAGAATTGGTATTTATCTTTGACACCACACCTTCTACTCCGCGAAGCGCACGTTGCCGGCACTGACGTCTGGATAGACGTCAAAGCGCCGCTGTTCGCGTAGGGGAATTCCAGTGCGGGTTTCTTCGATGCGGCCAGCGCTGAGCTCGGCTGCGACAATGGTCTCGGACTCGTCGGCCTCGACCAGCACTGTGCCCATGGGATCGGAGACCAGGCTGTGGCCATACGCGTGGTAGCTGGCGGTGATATCGAGGGCCGGACTGCAAAGGGCCACGTAGACCTGGTTGTCGATGGCCCGCGAGCGGCCCAACAGCTGCCAGTGCAGCGGGCCGGTCGTCGTGTTGAAGGCGCCGGGGTAGACGAGGGCGAAACAGCCTTTGCGGGCGGCCACGGTGGCGAGTTCGGGGAACCGGATGTCATAGCAGATCGCCACGGCAATCTTTCCGTACTCTGGCAGGTCGACAATCGTGATCTTGTTGCCGGGCGACAGCACGTCTGACTCGCGGAACCGGATGCGCCCGGGGATGTCAATGTCGAACAGGTGCACCTTGCGGTGTGTTGCCAGGAGCGTGCCAGCCGGCGAGAAGGTCAGCGACGTGTTGTAGTACTTCTTCTTGCTCGATCCAGAGCTGTCGGAATCGGGAGTCTCGACCAGCTCGGGAATTGACCCGCCCACCAGGTACACGCCCGCCTCCTTGGCCATGGCCGCGAGCGCGTGGTAGCTCGGGCTCGCCTCGGCCGGTGGCGGCGACGGTTGAAGAGACTCCGCATACGATGGGAAAAAGTCGCAGCCGTACGGCGAGTTGAAGCACTCGGGCAGCACCACAATCCCGGCGCCGCCTCGCGCTGCCTCTAGCACCTTTTCACGTGCGTGCGCCAGGTTGGCCGCCTTGTCCGCGCCGCTGGCCAGCTGGACACAGGCCAGCTTGACGGGCCGCTTCAGCAACGGCAGTGAAGAGGCCATTGCTGCCGTTGTCGTGAATCTGCACGATGGCGATGTCTGAGAGAGGAGAGGAGCGGCCCGGCGACAGAATCCGGCAATCGGTCGGCTGGCACAGGTGGCTGGTCGTGTGGCAAAGCTGCGGGTGACTGGTGCTGTGCGAGGGGCGGTAGCAAAGGGAGTTCGGGAGTTCAACAGAGCTCGAGGCCGCATGACTTTGTCGAAAAGCTTCTCAAACGGAGGATGACAAAGATTGCAAAAGGAGACTCATCAGAGCTGTAACGAGGGCAGGTGGGGGGGCATTGCGCCAGTATCGGGAAGGCGGGGCCGTTGGCCGGAAGCTTTAGCGAAGGCATTATTGGCTGGCACTCAGGACTTCCCGATCGGGAAGCTTTTACACGGATAGCTACTTCCACCTCGGCGGGCGTCAGGCCTACGACTATGCCGTCTCTTCTGGTAGGACACTTGTCATTTCAACGTCTCTATTTTCATCGTCCACATTTGCGGCTATCGGCACAATGAACTGGTTCGGAGCACCATCACGGCCATGGCAGCGTCGTCAAGACGACAGCCTGCAAGCCAAGCAGTCCAAGTCGGAAAGCGATGCGAGAAGTCGCATTCTGCGCGAGATTTCCGGTCGAAACCAAATGTCTGACGACCTTCCGCCTTCTCAGTGCAAGTATCCCTACGGCTTGGGCAGACCAGAGCCACGACCGGAAATCGGGTGCCCTCTGGCCGTTCCTCCGGAGCCACCCCGTCCGGCCAGCAGACAGACACAGAAGCGGACCCACGAGGAGCAGGAAGACGAGCTGAGGCTTAAGAAAAGAAAACTTTTGAACATGGACGACTGGACAGGTGCTAGTCTGAGGAGGCCTCTTGACATGCATTTTGCACCTCTCGACGGTGACGCCCCGGTTTGGGGGTGGGGAGAAGCAAAGAATGCGGCACGCAGTCCTACCGTCCATTCTCGACTGGCAGCAGCCATGAAAACCTCTACAGCCCGAGAATTCAATGTGATGTCAGGTCCAGGAAACTGCGATCCCAGACCTTCCAGCCGCGGACAAGAACCGCCAACCAGCCAAACCTGGGCTGGATCGTTTCGTGGCACAAGAAATGCTCCGTCAGCCAATACATCGCGGTCGCTGATGGCTCAAGGCTTGCAGAACGAGCCTCCATTGACACAGGCCGACAACATTGCCGCTGTCTCGCCACCCACAGTATTTTCAATCCCGTCAACGCCTCTTGCACAACGGACACACTGGGACAAAACTGGAATACAGAACAGCAGCAGTACTTACCAGGAAAGATTCGAGAACGTGGGCAAAACGTCGTCTCTCCTCTATTCAAGTTTGAGCCCACAAACTCATGGGACAGTACTCGAGACGCCCCAATCGTTGGCTGTTTGTGTTGACGAGGTTGAAGCGGCGGATATCGACGTCAACAATTCTACCGAAGGCGCCTTTGACTTCAAGAGTAAGAATGCCGTAGAACCCGATAAAACTAGGAGTGAAGCTTTTGCCGTTAAACGGTTGGACATCAGGAGCATTCCAGACTACACCGACGATCCCATTGAGGAGGATTCGTCAGACCAAGAACTCGCTCGGCATAGAAATGACAAGAAAAAAGCTGCAGCAATGTTTCGGCCGCGAAGGATACTTTGAGCGCCTTCTCTCGGTCCTCTAGCACACGAAATGGCCAAAAGAAATGCATTTGCTCTTGTCAAGAAGCTATCTATTTAACCATCAAATAGCAGTTACAGTTTGGCCGAGGCATCCAGTCGTGCTTCCGGGCCCGTTTGCCCATAGACGACAGTAACGTCTGTGGCAAAGCCTTCCTGAGCGGTCAAATTGGCACGTTGCTCTACAAAGCCCTTCTTTGCGAGGAACCGGCGGGACATAGCTGCAGCCTCCGGTGCGCTATCACTGCGGGCATCGACCAGCAACAGTCCGGCGATGAGGATATCGGCAGCGGAAAAGAGGACGTTGCGTGCATCGGCGAGGAGACTCTCACGAGCGGCTCCGTCGCGGCTGGCAGCTTCGATGCGGAGGCGCAGGTCCGTCCAGCTTTGTCTGACGGCGTTGGAGTCGGAGGACACAGTGATCGTGACCAGCCAGTCCAGCGCATTCAAGCTGGCAGGCCCAACGGCTGAACTGGTCAAAGTGCGCAGAAGATCGGTGCTAAGAACGTCAGTGGTACCCTCCCAGATGGCGTTGACGCAGCCATCGCGGAAGAGGCGGGCAAGGTTGAGCGGTTCAGTCTCGTGGTTGAGCAGGTAACCGACACCACCCAGTGCCTCCATGCAGGCGCCATGAAGCAGTGGGACGGCTTGCTTGCAGCAGTATGCCTTGTGCAGGGAGCTAAGGGCACGCAACAGAGGGGCAACGAGATGGGAAGGGGGTTGGAGGGAGGGAACGGGCAGCTGATCAGATCTTCTAGTGCGTCCGAGCCTCTCTTCCAACCCCATAATGTACGCTGTGTACATTGTCAGCAGCATCATGCCATGATACTCGCCCGTGAGATCGGCCAGCGTTCGCATGTGCAGCGGGCTCTTATACAACGGCATGCGCGAGCGGCCGCCAGGACCACCGCTAACATGACGCACCAGGGCATAGGCCTTGGCGACACCCAAGGCACGGCCAGCCAGACCCAGACATGCAACAGAGCAGTGGACGCGTGTGATAGCCAGCATAGTTGCGATCTCGCGGATGCCGTCACCCTCGCGACCGATCAGCCAAGCGCGCGTGCCGCGCAGCTCCAACTCAGCTGTCGGTACCGGCCGTGTGCCAAACTTGTCCTTGAGCCTCTGTATGCGCACACCGTTGAGTTCCGTGTTGTTGGGGCCAGCCATGGCTGTGGCCGGTGAGGAGGCTCTTCGTCGGCGCCGCATGGGCGCGAAGAAGGCCGACAGGCCCTTGGACGAGTGTGTGCGGGCCAGCAGGATGGCCATGCCGGCGTCGGTCGCAGACGAGAACCACTTGAAGCCGTCAATGGCCCAGGGGCCCAGCGGGTCCCCGTTGGCATCCACATCGTCATCTCCGCCGGCTGTTGCGCCCACATACGTTGCCACCGTTTCGGTCTGCGACACGTCAGAGCCGCCAGGCCGCTCCGTCATCCACTGGCCACTGGTCCAGGCGCCAGCCGGGTTGAGCGAGGTGAGGCGCTCGAAGGCGGCTTGGAAGACACGCCTCTCGACAGGCTCCAGCCGGTCCGGCTTAGCCGTCAAATGGCGCTGGAGCAGGCGGGCAGCACCGTCGGTCATGGCTCCGGGACACGTGGTGCTGGCAGCTGATGCCTCCCAGAGATGAAAGCTGCATGATTGTACTGTCAGCGGAAACGGGAAGAGCTGTTAGAATTCAGGGAGTTAGTTGAACTCACCGCATCATCTGCAGCAGCCGAGAGTGGGCACCATAGTCGGTGGTGTAATTGTACGCAACGATCCTGTTTGTGCGAGCAGTCAGAGGAAAGGAAGAAGACCAGAACTGACGACACAAGATTGCTCACCCTTTCTCTATGCCAAATGCCTGCAGGCTTCGCCAGCCCTCACCCGTGACCAGTTCGCTCATGGGTCGGCCAAACGCATTATGGCCTCCGCCACGAAGGTACGGCAGGTTTCGTTCGGCATCGGTGATGTAGTCGAAGATGCGTGGCTCAAGAACGTCAGCGCCGAGTTGAGCCAGCTCTGGTTCTACCTGCTGTCGCAGATCTGCCGGCACGAGCACTGGCTGGATCAGTAGATGTGTGAAGGGAAAATCAAGGGGAATATGTCTTCTCACACTTCAGAACCCTCTGAAAGCTGACGTCATCGAAGAACTGGTTTCGCAGCTCTGGCAGCTCCTGGAAAAAGCCCGTGTCAGAACTTGAAGGCTCCATTGTGTCTGCGATCAGTTCTGTCTGCACAACAACTTTGGGTCCTGGCTTTGGAGATGACAGGCATGGTTCTGCTAACCTCCGCATCTGACGTGCCGAGGCTACATACGGAGTACCCCATAGACCATTCACTGTTTGCCGTGCATTGGTTGCGGTAAGCATATGCGGGGCACTGAAGCTATGTATGGAGTACAAGGCTAGCTGGCAGCTTTATTAGTCAAGATCACGTGCAAAGAAAAGTACATCCAACTATTCGCGTCGCGCTGCATCCTCAATGATAATTGGTCCAGCGCCACTCTCTTCGCAAATGCTATATACGGCGGGACAATGGCCGCGCGCGGGGCCTCTACGGCAGATGCAATACAGCTGGATGAAGATGAGGTGACGGAATCCGATGGTTCAAACAAAGCCTGTGACGAGACGGAGAGACACGGCATCAAACGAAGACACGCGGACAGAGTCGGTGCCGAGAAGGGCGTTCCAGACGAGGAGGTGGAGGTGAAGGTGGAGTGGACAGACTCGTCTGATGGAGCATACGGGCGTCTGGCGAAGCGCAAACGGAGTGTGACAAGACGCGGCAGTGGCAGAGGACGGGGAGGAGGCAGAAGCAAGAAGACGGCAGCAGGCAGCAGCAGACGGTCAGCTGAGAGAGGAGGTCGACGAAGCTCTGGCCGAAGCGGTCGAACTGGGCGGTACTTGTCGAATGCTAACGACGATAGCGACAGTTCCGGTGCAGCAACTGCGAATGAGGAGGGCAACGACAACGTGCCGGACTACATTGTACAGCGACGCCACGAGTTCGAGGAGAGGCAGGCGGTGCTGAAAGAGGCGGGCCTGCGGCTTCCACCCGACTACACAGACGTGTATTTTTCGGACGACGAGCGGGCGATACGGCGGGTGACGGGGCGGACACGGGGACCTCTGCAGAAGCGGCCACAGTTCGACAGTTCGGTGCGGCCATCACGCGAGTGCAAGGACGTGCAGCTGCAGTATTCGGGCGGAGTGATCCCGGGATGCATAGCACAGTACCTGCGAGACTACCAGATAGAGGGGGTGCAGTTCCTGCACCGGCAGTTTGTGTACCAGCGAGGCGGAATCCTGGGCGACGACATGGGGCTGGGCAAGACGGTGCAGGTGGCGGCCTTTCTGACGGCAGCGTTTGGGAAGACGGGCGATGAGCGGGACGACAAGCGGATGCGCAAGATGCGGCGAGCAGCAGGGGATGAGGCGGGCAGCAACGGGCGATGGTACCCGGTCGTTCTGGTGGTGTGTCCGGGGTCTCTGATCCAGAACTGGCGCAACGAGCTGCAGCGATGGGGCTGGTGGCACGTGGACGTGTACCACGGAGCGGGCAAGGAGGATGTGCTGCAGGCGGCGCGAGCAGGACGGTTGGAGATCATGGTGACGACATACGCAACGTACAAGAACCATCGGGAGCGGATCAACACAGTGGCGTGGGACGCGGTGGTGGCAGACGAATGTCACGTGTTGAAGGAGCGAGACTCAGGGACGACGCGGGCAATGAATGAGGTTAACGCGCTGTGCCGGATCGGGCTGACGGGCACAGCAATCCAGAACCGGTACGCGGAGCTGTGGACGCTGCTGGACTGGACGAACCCAGGGCGATTTGGAAGCCTGGCTGAATGGAATCAGACGATTAGCCGACCTCTGACGATTGGGCAGTCGCACGACGCGACGCTCTACCAGCTCAGCTTGGCACGACGCACGGCCAAGAAGCTGGTACAGAACCTGCTGCCGGACGTCTTTTTGCGGCGCATGAAGTCGCTGATCGCGGACCAGCTGCCGCGCAAGACGGACCGCGTCGTGTTCTGTCCGCTGACAGAGCGCCAGGCAGCCGCATACGAGCGCCTGGTCGACAGCCCGGACGTGACCTTTCTACGGACCGTCTCGGACCCGTGTGACTGCGACTCCGGGGCCAAGCGAGGCTGGTGCTGCTACCGCACGATTCCAGGGCCTCACGGCCGGCCAGTCAACTGGGCCAGCCTGGTCTTCCCGGCGATCCAGAGCCTGCAGAAGCTGGCGAGTCACCTGATGCTACTGGTGCCGGGGACACACGCCAACACGGACGAGACGGCCGACCGGGCGGCCGATCGACACGAACGGCAGATGCGGCTGCTGCAGACATGCGAGCCAGACGGCTGGGCGTCGCTGTATCGCCACCGCGACTCGATGGTGCACCTGGCCGACCCCGAGCTCTGCGGCAAGTGGAAGGTGCTGCGCAAGCTGCTGCGGTTCTGGCACGACAGTGGCGACAAGGTGCTGGTGTTCTCGCACACGGTGCGGCTGCTGCAGATGCTGCAGCACCTCTTCCACAGCACCAGCTACAGCGTCAGCTATCTGGACGGCTCGCTCAGCTACGAGGAGCGGCAGCGCGTGGTCGACGATTTCAACACGGATCCGGCCCAGTTTGTCTTTCTGATCTCGACGCGAGCCGGCGGCGTCGGGCTCAACATCACGTCGGCCAACAAGGTCGTCATCGTCGACCCGCACTGGAACCCGGCCTACGACCTGCAGGCGCAAGACCGGGCCTATCGCATTGGCCAGGTGCGCGACGTCGACGTGTTCCGGCTGGTGTCGGCCGGCACCATCGAGGAGATCGTGTACGCGCGCCAGATCTACAAGCAGCAGCAGGCCAACATCGGCTACAGCGCCTCAACTGAGCGGCGCTACTTCCGTGGCGTCCAGCAGGACAGCGCGCGCAAGGGCGAGATCTTTGGTCTCGGCAACCTGCTGGCCTTTCACGGTGACCAGGTCGTGCTGCGCGACATTGTCAACAAGACGAACATTGCCGAAGCCAAGGCGGGCGTGCAGCTGACCAGCATCGACATGGAGCAGGTCGTCGCGGACGAGGACATTCAGGTGCTGGTGAAGCTGGAGGGGGATGGAGGGAGTGGAGGGGGTGACGACAAGGACAGCCGGTCTAGACAGCCGAAGAGCGATGCCGTCCAGGCGATTCTGGCCAGCGCCGGCGTCGAGTACACGCACGACAACGCGGAGGTGGTGGGCAGCAGCCGCGTCGAGGCGCAGCTGTCGCGACGAGCCGAGCTCGTGTTGGGCGAGGAAGAGGAGGAAATCGACGAAAACGTCGAAGACGAACAAGACGAGGATCGGTCACGTGCACATGACCGGCGACATGCAGACGATTTGCTGCTGGCCGATACGAGCGCCGCGTTTGTCAGTGCTGGCGACGACGGCACTGACGGGGACCCGACTCGCCGAGGACGGCATGCCCGTTTCCGTCTGTCGTACAACCCGCCGGCCGATGTGATGCGGCGGCAGTTTGGCAGCATGGCGCGCGAGGCCGGCTTTGGCACGGCCACAGAGTTTGCGCTGGTGGTGGAAAGCTGGACGCCCGAGCAGCGGCGACAGTGGCTCGAGGGGTTCTACCGACGGCGGGAGCAGCTGTTGGGGGGGACGGAGGAGGACAAGAGGGCAGAGGAGAAAGAGGATGCCAAATGGACCATCAAGGAAGAGAAAGAGGATGACAAGAAAACTATTGTCAAAGAGGAGAAAGAGGATGTCAAATGGACCATCAAGGAAGAGGGAGAAGATACCAAGATGGCCATCGTCAAGAAAGAGGACGCCAAATGGGCCATCAAGGAAGGCGATGAGCCATTGATTCACTGCAAGACAGCCCCGACCAAGGAGACTCCGGGCTTAGTCATCAAGCCAGAGCCGCTGCTGCCCAAGATCAAGGCCGAAGACGACGACACGGCTACGAACAGCCTCTACAACATTATCAGCCTTGTATCGAGCAGTCCGCCGGCAGCTGCCGATGACGATGATGATGAGACAGACGAGCTGTGAGTTTTATGGGCGGGAACAGTATCTCTATCTGCGTTTCTTGATACCCTTTTACGGCGTTTCACCACCCAGACCAATGCGGCAGAGCCGACGGTCTATCTGACTAACATTCTTGATTTCACCTCGGGTTTTCCTCTTTTCTCATGTGTTGTGCCTCTAACCCAGCGAGGCTTTCTGTTTCCTGTTTCTGTCTCTTTTTTGTTTTCTTACAAACATTGGGCATCCGCAAACAAAAGACCAGCCGCCATCCGGTTCGAGACAGATGAATATAACCAAAAAAATGCGCGCAAGACGAGAAGGGGATGGATGGGTCCGGCAGCATGGATGAGCCGGCGTGCTGACTGCTGCCTGCTGCCTGCTGCCTGCTGCCTGCTGCTTGCTGGGTATTATGAACAGACGGACAGACGAAAGGACGGAAGGACGGCGGCGGCAGGCCTCTCAGAGCTGCAGGTTGGTGGACGGGGCGCGACTGGCGGGCCTGCGCAGATGTGCGGACGAGCCCTTGAACAGGCTCTGCCAGATGTAGGCCTCGCTGAGGAGCAGCTCAATGTCTTTCTCGGTCCATTCGCGTGTCGGCAGCGACTGCAGGAACATCATGATCTCCTGGAAGTCCATGCCGCACAGCTTGGCCGACCACTTGACGAGGAAGGCGGCGCAGACGTAGAGGTGGAACTCGGAGAAGCCGTTTTCCTCGGCCTGACGGGTGAAGTGTGAGCGGGGGAAGAAAGAAGAAAGAAAACAAAAGAAAAAAGAAAAAAAGAAAAGAAAAAGAAAAAACTCACCATGTATGTGTCCCACATGCGGATAGTGTTCTTGACGCTGATCTCGCGCATCAGCAGGCAGTTCATCCAGCGGAAGCTGAACTGGATAAACTCGACGTGCTCGTCCTCCAGGTGGCGGGCCAGCGGCGAGTCGATGCGGGCGGTCAGGTCACGCAGGGCGGCCACTTGGCGCTGGATCCCCGGCTGGGCCACAATGTAGTGGTCCTGAATGCCGTCGAGCAGCTTGGTGAGGCACCAGAACGAGTCGGCCTCGACGGCGTCCAGCACGGCACGCGGCAGCTGTCCGGGGTCCATGCCGCTCTCAATGTTCGGATCCGAGATGTAGACGCCCAGAAAGACTTGCCAGAAGGGCGTGACGAGGTCGTTGATGCCCTGCACGTAGCCGCTGGCCGGGTGGCGCACCGCCCACACGTACAGGATTCGCTCCAGCGACCGCTGTGTCGCCTCGAATCCGTACAGCTCCATGTGCGGGTTCGTCCGCGGCACGTCGATGCTGATCTGGTGCCAGACCGCCTCGTCGAGGCCGCGGCCCTTGGCGCTCGCTCGGTTGGCGCCGGCTCGGTTGGTGCCGGCTCGGTTGGCACCGGCTTTGTCGCCATCGCTGTTCGTGTCACCACCACCACTGCCACTGCCACCTACGCCATCAAACGCCTGCCGCACGCCGTCCAGATACTCGCGCCGCTTCCGCTCTAGCGCGGCCACGCGCCGCTCGCTGCTCGTCGGCAGGTAGCTCAGCAGCAGCTGCCAGGTCATGGCGCGCACCTCGTGCGGGATGCCCGACCAGGCGAGTGCCCGCAGCTCCGGCAGCGGAATCGTCGATGCCTGCAGCAGCTTTTTGAACTTGTTGATGCGCGAGATGCGCGCGCTGACTGCCTCGGCCTCCTTGGCGCTGGCTCCGGCCGGCACTGCCGCGTGGCTGATCAGGTGCAGCGCGTTGGCCGGGTCCCGCAAGATGTCCTTGTACTGCGGCCGCAAGATCTTGCCCTCGCTCTTCTTGGGCACCGGATACGACGGTGCCGGTCGCTCCACGGCAATGTCTGCGCTGTTGGAGTAGCGTCGTGGCCGCTGCTGCTGCTGTTGTGTCGCGCTGTTTGGTGGCCGAGAGCCGAACCCGTCGTCGGCCTCCTCGACAGCCCCCCAGCCCACATCGCCGTCTCCGCTGCTTCGTAGCCGCCCGCTGCCACTCTGCGCTGCTGCTGCTGCTGCTGCCATCCGCCGGGTCCGTCGCTTCATGTTGGACAGGCTGGGCAGCCCAAAATCGTCGCCGTCATCCTCGTCATAGCCGTACACGTCCTCCTCCTCGTCCGCATTCCAGTCCTCGTCCGTGTTGGACAGGAAGCTCTTGTAGTTGCGAAACGGCGGCGCCTTGGACCCTGAGCTGCTGCTGCCGCTGCCGTGCGTCTTGGTCTTGTGCGATGTCGATGGCGGGGGCGATCGTGGTCGGGACGGGCTGCCGGAGAGGCTCCTGGGCGATCTGTCAGCAAACACGAAACCAGAGAAGAGTCGAAAATAAAGAGGCCGAATCATGCGCACAGAGAGTCGAACTTGAGCAGGTCCGCGTGCGAATAGGCTGCGCCGACGACCTTTGTTGGGTCGCGCATGTTGTTGCTGTTGCTGTTGCTGTTGCTGCTGCCGCCGCTCTTCCCTCCGCCTTTCTTTCCGGCCGGCTCGCGAGGAGGAGCTCGCCAGAACGGGGAGGCAGAACTGCCCCTGTTAGCCACAGACGACGCAGACAGAGCGAATGCTAAAGGACGGCAGAACATACTCTGCTCGGTCTAGAAAAGGGCCGGCATGGTCAGCAACAAACGCCAATCTGCCCGGTCTGCGGCTCGCCGAGACAGGCGCCTCCTTTGCAACGTACCGACCTGCACCATCTCCTGCTGCTTTCGCCGACGGGTCAGAAAGAGACGAGACAAAAGTCGCGGGAATCTTCAACGACCGACACATACCTGGGACGGCGGCTTCTTGCCGTGGCCCGACGAGGAAAACATGGCGCGTTCGGATTCGCGATTCTCAGGCGGCGAATAGGGTGTCGGTCGAGTGCAGCGTGTTCATTGCGAGAGGACGAGCAGAGCGAGGCGCAAACAAACGAACGAGCGAGGGGAAACGAACAGGAAAAAGAAAATCACGAGACAGAGACGGATGGAAAGAACGGCTTGTTTCGCGACCCAAAAGGCTTGCTGCGCGGTTGTTGATCAGATCGTACGGGCCTGTCGCACTCCCATTGCTTTTGCTTGCTGCCGGCTGTCGTTGGTGCTGCTGCCTCTCTGTTTCCCCCCCGCAGCTTTGGGCCGTTTGGCTGGTCGTGATGCGAATTCGACGTTGCTCTGGGCCCCACCCAGCGGCCCCGTGCGCCCTTAGTGCGCCGGAATCAGGATCAGGTGATATCCGCTCTACACCTTGGCACGTGACCCGACATCTCAACCTTTTTTTCAATCCAGTTTTGCACCGGTTTTTTTCCTCTCACGGCCGAGACAAGTCGTGCTCGTCTCTTGCGGCCGGACCCTGCTCGATCCTCGATCCTGTTTGCTCCTCGCCAGACCATCCACACACCTGTCTTCCCCGAGCTCTCTTCTCCCAGATCCCAGGAAAAGAGAAAGACAGAGACCGACCCCACCAATGGAGGCACAACGACTCTTCTGGCGAGTTGCCGGCTTGCCCACCAGACAAACTCGGACAATGGCATCAGCAACAGCAGCTGCTGCAGCTGCAGCGACCTCTGCTCCGAGAACACGGACGTGCAGCTTGCTCGTATCGTCTTTCCCCCTCTCCGCCTCCTCTTCCACCGTCTCATCCTCCTTCTTCTTCCTCTCTTCGACAATACCGGCTGCCCGTCGACACCAATCCACGGCCAACCGGACAAAGCGAGCACTCAACATCCCTCCTCATGCTTCCTTTCTCGGAAAGACTCCGGACGCCTCGTCGGCTTCAGTCATCGGCACGCTCGGCAGCTCCTCAGCCACCCTCATCTACAACCCCCCCGCCAGTGCCCCCTCGGTCTACCAGACGCCTTTCAAGTTTCTGCCAAAGACGGATCCACGACGACGCGCCAACCTGATGTCGCTCTTCTCCTCCTCCTCCTCTCCCGCCTCCTCTACCTCTTCTCCCACGGCCCCCGTCGTCAAGCCCCGTCAGCTGTCGGCCGACCAGCAGAAATACCATCTCACCGAGGCTGACGTCGCCGAGATGCGTCGTCTACGCACTACCGATCCCCTCGAGTGGAGCGTCGTCCGCCTCGCCCGCCACTTTAACTGCTCTCCCATCTTCGTCATGCTGGTCGTTCGCTCTAGCGCCGACCACCGCGCCCAGATCAAGGAGCGCGTCGATGCTGCCCGCGATCGCTGGGGTCCCATCCGCACAAAGGCCCGTGCTGAGCGTTTGAAGCGCCGCGAATTGCTGTACAATGGCGAGTTGTGAACGGCTGGTGGCTGTCTGAGTGGCCTGGCTTTCGGCCTTTCTATTCATGTAAGATACACATAGCTTCTATAGCACATACATATCACGGAAAAGAACCACAAATGTCCGCTCCGCCCTTCACGGCTGGTCATGGGCCCTCGCCACATCTCTATATTTCCATTATAAGGAGTAAACCTCGCGAGCCTTTGTTGATTCTGCCAAACATTTGTCAGATCTACGCAGCGCCGACGAATCGTCCTCGACCACTCCTTTTTCCAGAGGGAACACGTATACCCGTTTACTTCCCTCGTGTCTATACCAGTGCAAATAAAAAAGACGTCCTGTTCCTACCGCGTCGGTGATCCCTGTCCTTCCGTCTGCACGTCCTTGGTGCTGGGAATAGGCCGCCAGCACCAGCCACACCAACTTCTTGCCTTGCCGGTTTTTTCTCTCTCCAAAATGACCCCCCTGGTGAGCTCGTCCTCCCAGTCGTGCACGCAGGCCCCCACACGCACCATCTTGACCCGTGTCCTCTTGACGACCCCGCCAATGCCCTCAATCTCGTGCCTTGCATATCCAGGTCCGTGGGCCGGCGACGGTGTTCGCCGGTTCACCAGCGCTGCCGCCACCTCGGGAGAGTACAGCGGCGAGCCCACCGTGGCTGCTGCCTGGGTTGCCGGCGCTATTGGCACCGTCCAAGGCGATGTTGGAATCGCCGAGGCGGCTGATGCCAGCGAGCTCAGAGACCCAGTCGACGAACCAGCTGTCGATCCAAACGATGACGCAAGGCCCAAGTATTCCGCGTCCCGTGCGTCTTCCGCGTCGCAGTCGATCTCTTGCGCTCGCTCCTTTGCACGACAGCATTCCGAGTTCCTTCCGCAGATTACTCCTCTGTCGCCGTCGCCAACCCCAGTGCCGAGTCCTCCAATCACATCGCCGTATTGCGCCCGCCATTTCCAGATGCTGTGGCACATGTGAGCTGCTCTGCTGTTGACCAACAGTCGTGTTCCGGATGCCTATCGGGCAAACTTACGCCATATACTCGCTGTCATCACTGCGGATGCTACGTCCGCAAGGCTGGCACAGCCACACACCTTCGGTTGCGCAGTTGCAGATGGCCCGCCGCATGAGGTCGGATTGCAGCGGCGTGCCGGCCGCAACCGGCGGCTTCGCGAGCGACATGAGTGGCGCCTTGGAACAACCCGTGCACAGACGGCGGTGCCGTTCACGCAGAACAGGAGCGGCCGGTGGCTTGATCGCACAATTCTGATGGGGGGGGATTGGAGATCCGCCTGTCAGCCACTATACGCTTCAACATGCATCGGTCATAGCAGAACAAAGGCTCACCCTGCAGACGACAGTGCCACAGCGGCGGCACTCCGAGACCATGTCACGCGCACACTGGCCGACCTTGCCGTGCGAAGTTCGGCTGGTGTCCTCCATGTAGTACCAATTCCCAGCCCGGGCTCGATAACGCATCGTCTCTTCGCCGTCGACAGTCATGCCGTCGTTCGTGCATCGTAGTGTTGATGCGAGCAGCGGCCGCCGGAATTGGAGCAGGGCAGCACGGACCTGACGGCAGGAACGTGCCAGGCTGTCGAGCGTGTTCTGGTCAATAAAGGAGGCGATTGTGGCAGCGATACTGATGGCCGTCCGACGGCTTGGTTAGTTATTCCCCCCAAAGGTATAGCCAAAGCCAAAGGTCATGTCAAAAGCAAAGCCAATGGGAAAAGGGGAAAGGTGCAGCTGCCTACGGATAGCATCCCAAAGCCTCCGTCATGGAGTTCCAGTTCGGAGCCTCCGTGACAACAGGCTCGCGAGCCTCCTCGACATTGGCCGGGATTGCCGGGGTCTTGTCAGTCTCCAATGGCTGGCTGTTTGTGCTCCAGAGCACCTTGCCGCCAGCGAGGTGCTGTGACGGGTCGACGTCATCGTCGTCCAGGTCTACAAACAGAGCCATGGCGGGCGTCCTGTGGGATCGGTCGAGATGCCGTGGGCATGCGTCTGCGTGTCCGTGTGTCCAAAAGAAAGGGGAGACAGCAAGGGGAGAAAAAGAAAGCCGAGCTGCAATGGCTTTACGAGCAATGTGTATAATGCCGGCGATGCCTGCTGTGCCGGGATGCGCAAGAGATAAGCCAGGACTAACAAGAAAACCCAGGAAAATCAGGGGGCAGGAAGAGGGATGAGAAAGAGGCAGCCGAGCACGAATAGAGGATCATTGAAGCACACGGATTGAATGAAGAGGAAAGGAGAAGAGAGTGGGAGGCGAATCGATCGTTCTTTTTGTTCGTGTACTTGGATCGGTGAGGCGGTTGCTCCTTCCACGCTATTGCACAACCGTCGCGTCTACGACGTAGAGTTCTCCTTTGAGGCAGGTGGGGTCAGACAGGATCAGATGGGCTTTTGCCTGGAACCCCACCAGATGGCTGACGCTCCATGTGACATTGTGGAAACGAAACCTGGCCTTAGGCGGTGACCTAGCGGAAGCAGCACAGCGATAACAGCGCTCTTCCCCGACGCTGAAATTGCAGCCAGCCGGCCCTGAGCCTTAACATGGGCCGCGGTTGAGCATGTCCTGCTGCAGGGTAGCTGTGAGCCCACGTATTTGCTAGCGCAATGGGTGTGTACCGTCCCTGGTGTTCCAGAGCTTCCATTATAGTCTGCCACGAAAATCTATTAATACTACTCGGCTTTCTTCGTGTCGTCTTTTCCGCCCCCACCATGCTCTTGAAAGAAACAGGTAACGTACACCGTAATGCGTGGAGTGATGTCCTGACGACTTTCGACAATGTGTCTCTGTCTTGTCTGCGTGTCGAGAGGACACAGGTTCCCCGGGCAGCTGTGTCCGAGGAACGCGGCTGGACCGAACGAGGAACCCCGGGCTAGCAAGGATATGGGGTTAGGACGCCAAAAAGAAGGAATCAAAAGGAGTGTGAAATGTGGGTGGCTTCAGTTTCCCCAACATAGCAGGGCACTCGGTGATTCAGTTTGACAAGACGACTCAACCGTCTCTCCGCATCGGAGCTGAGACAGGGGGGATCGAGGTTGCCTAGCACGCAGAATGGACAGCTTTGCTATAGACAACCCTCCTAGAATCCAAAATAGAGCTCCAGCTCCAGCTCTCATCAGAATCGTGGCAGCTCACAAACAGCTCCCAAAATATATTGCATGTTCCCCTTTTGAACGCTCAGCTCTCGGGAGCTTCTAGATAGAGGTAAACCTCCATGCAGACGCTGTTTCGTGATGATGGACGTCCCTGCGGCGTTCCGGCCTCGGCGAGCTCTAGCTCTAATCGTCGTCACCTCTCTTGCCGTCTCCACTGCTTTCCACAGGACAAGCCGTTACGTACGGGTAGATTATCTTCTTACATTAGTGCTTGAGCCGGCGCCTAAGCCTTGGGCAAGGCGAGAGGAGCAAGGTTATCCCTGAGTTCTACGACTACGAAGTACGGAGTACGATTACGAGGTAAAGTGTACTACTATGTATATATCTTGCATAAGATATGCGCATAATGTGTCGATAGGATCTCGTATCTTATGCTCCGTACTCCGTACTGCTCGTACAATATGCCCCCGTCGCCACTCTGTACTCCGTACATGTTTCTTGGCCGACCGCTTAGCAATACAGCTTGCATTTCTCGGTGCGGAGCTACGAGACGAGCCAGGTCAGAAAAGTCAATAATTCTGTTAAGATACATACAATGCTGGAATGAAGGCCGACGGAAACAGAGAAAGTGAAAAAAATGTCTCAATAGATCTAGGAATTGCCGTTTCCGTCTCATGACTGAATATCTGAATTTTTCACCAACCCCACAAATTACGTGAAGAATCTGTCCTTTTACCTGCTCGTAGGAGTATCAGCCCTCTCCTTCCTTCCCCAAATTGTGCCCATCCCTGCCCTGGGGGCTCTCTTCTCAAACAATATGTAGACTTTTACTGCCCCGTGATCCACACTACGGGCAGCCTATCCGCTTTGGCCTAGCGCACCTCTACAGGTCGTGGGGGTCGTCATAGCCACTTTCAGCGCAGCTGCCCAGATCAAACAGCGTTTCAGTTAGCTAAAGGCTAGAGCTCCAGCGCACACGCACTAATCCAGGGCACGTCCCCAACAGGAACAAGCTCCCCTGGCATGCCGGTGGACCAACAGCTTTCCGAGTCACACTCCGTAATACGTGAGATGGTCCTGGGGACTATTCACGTTCTCCGTAGCCGCTGTTATCGCCCTGTGAGTGTGCCCTCCTTGCAAAGCGCATTCGATAACAACCTGACATTAAATAAAATGTGGCGCCAATGAGCGTAAAGCTGTTCTGCGTTGACAAACAAAACCCATATAATCGGCAGTTTGTCCTTTCAGTGTTTAAAAGCCTCGTGGGCTTCGCCGGACTCTCTCTCCATCTTCCCAATCCGTTTCCAAAGCAGCGGACCTCCATTGGCTCAAATCTTGCCCGGCCTTTGATACCACTCCCCGACTTATCACCTGTCTTTCAGCTCCGTTGGCGCAGCCAAACTACGACCAGACCGCTCCATTTCCTACTTATTTCGCGTGTCCATTCCGTGGGTCTATCTCTACTGGGAGTCCCGTTCTCTCTCCTCTTTATTCATCGAGTTTTGCGTACCGATCGAGCTGAGCCGATCTGTGCTCCTTTGCCTCGACGCATATCCACCAGTCAGTTTGACGTCAAGGACCACTCCGTTGGCCATCCCCGAACAGATTGTCCTTGCAAGGCGTGAGTCACTGGGTTCGTTCCACCCCTTTCTGACTTTCCCGCATTGCAAGGAGCACTGTTGCCATTGTTGTCGAGACGCAATTCCTCGATCGGCCAGAGCTAACCTGCTTCATCCAGTTCACCGCTGCTTCTCGCCATGGCCGACGATATGGCTACGCCGAGCGTGTCCCACCCCCGCAGCGGCTCGGAGGACTACGGCGCATACGATGATGCCAAAACGTATTATACCTCTGACGAGCGCCACATGAACACTCGGGCCGGTGCGCGCACCCGCACATATTCCCAGAACAGTCTGCAGAAGCAGTTTGCCCGTCTCGGCCTCAAGGAGCCATTCCGACGAGGCAGCCACGATGAAGCCACGCCGAAGCTGGGCCGGCGCTTCCTCATCGATGTCGACACCACGTTGGAGAACCTGCAGTCCCAGGAGGACACGGACGGCAACATGCAGATCACCATTGAGGACAGTGGCCCCAAGGTGTTCACGCTCCGCACCGCTGGGTCCAACGGACACAACCGTTTCGACATCCGCGGCACATACATGCTGTCCAATCTGATGCAGGAGCTGACTCTGGCCAAGGAGTACGGCCGTCGTCAGATCATCCTAGACGAAGCCCGTCTCAACGAGAACCCGGTGAACCGGCTCTCCCGCATGATCCGGGACCATTTCTGGGACAGCCTCACGCGTCGAATCGACGCCTCCAGCATCGAGGTTGCTGCCCGCGATCCCAAGGACTGGACCGACGACCCGCGTCCACGCATCTACGTGCCGCCCGGAGCCCCAGAGCAGTACGCTTACTACACCAAGCTGGCTGAGGAGAAGCCCGAGATCCGGCTGGACGTGCAGCTGCTGCCCGAGACCATCACCCCGGAGCTGGTGCGCGACATGAACGAGAAGCCCGGCCTGCTGGCCGTGGCCATGGAGGAGGTGGAAGACCCGGACACCGGCAAGACTACGCTGCGTGGACTGCCGTTTGTGGTGCCGGGCGGCCGCTTCAACGAGCTGTACGGGTGGGACAGCTACATGGAGTCGCTAGGGCTGCTGATTAACAACAAGACGCACCTGGCCAAGAGCATGGTGCAGAACTTCTGCTTTTGCATCCGCCACTACGGCAAGATCCTCAACGCGACGCGGTCGTATTACCTCTGCCGCTCCCAGCCGCCGTTTTTGACGGACATGGCCCTGCGCGTTTTCGACCGCATCCGGGACGAGCCCGATGCCAAGGAGTTCCTCCGCACGGCCATCCTGGCTGCCATCAAGGAGTACTTCAGCGTGTGGACGTCGGAGCCGCGCCTGGATCCCGTCACAGGCCTGTCGCGCTACCGGCCTGAAGGACTGGGTGTTCCGCCTGAGACGGAGGCGACACACTTTGTGCACCTGCTGGAGCCATACGCGGCCAAGTACGACATGGCGATTGCCGAGTTTGTGCGGGCCTACAACTACGGCGAGGTGAAGGAGCCGGAGTTGGATGACTACTTTCTGCACGACCGTGCGGTGCGCGAGTCGGGTCACGACACGTCGTACCGCCTGGAGCGGATATGTGCAGACATTGCCACGATCGACCTCAACTCGCTGTTGTTCAAGTACGAGCTGGACATTGCGCGGACCATCCGCACAGTCTTCAACGACAAGCTGGAGATCCCGGCCGAGTATTGCGTGGGCAGCATGCAGCCAGGACAGGTGGAGACATCGGCGATCTGGGACCGTCGGTCCAAGCGGCGGAAGCTGGCCATTGACAAATACATGTGGAATGAGGAGGAGGGCATGTACTTTGACTACAACACCAAGACGCGCGAGCGTTGCACGTACGAAAGCTGCACGACGTTCTGGGCCATGTGGGCCGGCGTGGCTAGCCCGAAGCAGGCAGCGGCCATGGTGTCCAAGGCACTGCCCCGGTTTGAGGCCACGGGCGGCCTGCTCTCGGGCACGAAGAAGTCGCGGGGCGAGATCTCGCTGACGCGACCCAACCGGCAGTGGGACTACCCCTACGGCTGGGCGCCGCAGCAGATGCTGGCGTGGACCGGTCTCTCGCGCTACGGGTACGAGGAGGAGGCCGGACGGCTGGCGTACAAGTGGCTGTTCATGATCACCAAGGCCTACTACGACTTCAACGGCGTGGTGGTCGAGAAGTATGACGTGACGCGACCGGTTGATCCTCACCGAGTGGACGCCGAGTATGGCAACCAAGGGCTGGACTTCAAGGGCGTTGCCAAGGAAGGGTATGTGTTTTCCTCCAGCTCCCGTCTCTCGCTTAGTGTCATCTCGTGTTCTAACCGTGTTGCAGATTCGGCTGGGTCAATGCCAGCTACGTGTATGGCCTCCAGATGATCCAGGCACACGCACGCAACGCGTTGGGCACGATGACGCCTTGGGAGGCATTCACGGCGGCGATTGAGCACGAGAAGGAAAAGGCTCTGGCGACGATGGAGTAGCGGTCACTGTCTCGGGTTGAGTCGTGTTTTTTTTTTTAGCTTTCTTGTAGATCTGTCATCGATTGTCGGGTTAGAGGCTGCGAATAAGTTTCCTGAACCTAGAATGAGTATCAACGCCTGTTTTGCCAGATGCATGATCAAGGGGGGGGGATCTGCGGACCCGTCAGCTGTAAAAACCCCAAATGAGGGGACGTGCAGACGGGCAGGAATCCAGGCTGTCATGTGAAGGATGCCGAGCTAAGGCGAAGAAGCTTGTGTGGATCATCGCGGAGAGGTTGGCCCCAGCAGTCACAACGGAACTAAGTCGCAACCGAGGTTCGGGTAATGAGAGCTGTCGTGCCAGAGAGAGAAGAAGCAGCGGCGTCCCGAAGTTGGACAAAGGAATTCGAAGCGTGAGAGATGGTCAGACGCACGCAGCCGACAGGTTCGATTCGACTGAACGTGGGCCAAAGAAGGTTGTCACATGCTATTATCCCCGGCCTGACAGGTGGCACGAGAAAAGCAGGAGATGGAGGCTAGATTCGACTATTCGGTTAAGTGCATGCAGGCGGGTTCGCACTGGCATGCAGGAAAGCGGTGGTCCGGCATAGCGGAAAGCCATGGCCGACACGGCTGCGTAGCGGGCCATACTCCAGACATCCAGTTGTCCGTCGAAGAAGGAGAAGCCGGAATAGTGCGCTGGATTCTGGGGGGTCGAGTCACTTTCTGGCTGGGGCCCTTTTGCCGTTCCCCCGCAATTGCAGTTGTAGGACCGGGTTGGGCGAAGCCGTGATTGGCCGACAGCCAACTACCTTTGAGCCGAAAGGGAGAGTGGACACGCTGTCGGAGCCGGAACGGCGAAAGTAGGGCTGTGTAAGTTGATTGGCTTGTGGAGGACACTGTACCCCGTATACCACCAGACAGGGCCCAAGTGGCAAGGGGAGAAGAACCGCGGTGTCTCATTGTCCCTGTGGGTGGCGAAGAAGTACATTTCCGGTACGCGTAGGCCGTTCCGTCTTTGAACCGGCCAGGTAACCGGTCGGGCAAACGGCTCCGTCGCTCTTTCCAATGGAGTCGCGTGCTGGGCTGTTTCCGCAGCGTTGCGGCTGCGTAATAGGCCGTTTCGCCCAAACTAAGAGTCATCCAAAGACCTGCGTAGCCGAACATGTGACGACAGAACGGGCCAAACAGGCCAAGATGGCATTCCATCTGTCTGTCAGGATCCAGATTTCTTTCATAATACCTTCGTCTCCCCCTTCCGTTCTTCTTTCTCGGGCTTCTCATTATCTCAATTTCCTCCCATCCTGACTTCTCTCCCATTGGCCTCAGCCTCGAGTCTTGTCTCTTTTCCTGTCTCTTAACACGTCATCATCCTCTGACCACCCACTCCATCTCGATCTCCCTCCTCTCTTTCTCTCTCTCCCGCTTTTCCCCAGTCTACTATCCTCTCAAAATGGCTTTCAACAACATGCTACCGCCGTCTATCGACGCGCTGGCCGAGGACAAGGTGTTTGCAGCCGAAGTCGAGCAGGTCAAGAAGTGGTGGAGCGAACCTCGGTGGCGCCAGACCAAGCGGCCGTTCACAGCAGAGCAGATTGTGTCGAAGCGTGGCACGCTCAAGATCGAGTACCCCAGCAACGCGCTCTCCAAGAAGCTCTGGGACATCCTGGAGAAGCGGTTCCAGACCAAAGACGCCAGCTACACGTACGGCTGTCTGGAGCCGACAATGGTGACGCAGGTGGCACAGTACCTGGACACGGTGTACGTGTCCGGCTGGCAGTCATCGTCGACGGCCTCATCGACGGACGAGCCGGGCCCGGATCTGGCAGACTACCCCTACACCACGGTGCCCAACAAGGTCGGCCACCTGTTCACGGCGCAGCTGTTCCACGACCGCAAGCAGCGTCACGAGCGGCTGAGCCACGCACGCAAGCAGCGCGACAAGAATGCGGCCCACATCGACTACCTGCGGCCGATCGTGGCGGACGCCGACACGGGTCACGGCGGCCTGACGGCGGTGATGAAGCTGACCAAGCTCTTCGTCGAGAAAGGTGCGGCCGGCATCCACATCGAGGATCAGGCGCCGGGCACGAAGAAGTGCGGCCACATGGCCGGCAAGGTGCTGGTGCCGACGAGCGAGCACATCAACCGGCTGGTGGCCATCCGCGCCCAGGCCGACATCATGGGCGTCGACCTGGTGGCCATTGCGCGCACCGATGCCGAAGCCGCGACCCTGATCACCAGCACCATCGATCCGCGCGACCATGCCTTCATCGTCGGCTGCACCAACCCGGCCCTGCAGCCGCTGAGCCAGGTCATGGCCGATGCCGAGAGCGCCGGCCACACCGGTGTCGCCCTGCAGGCCGTCGAGGACAAGTGGCTGACCGAGGCCGGACTCCTGCGCTTCGACGATGCCGTCGCGGCAGCCATCAAGGTCAGCGGCGCACCGGCCAGCCTCGAGGCCAAGTACCGCGCTGCTGCCAAGGGCAAGAGCCACACCGAGGCCCGCGCTGCCGCCCGCTCCCTGCTCGGCACTGCTGCCGACAAGATCCACTTCGACTGGGACGCACCGCGGACTCGTGAGGGCTTCTACCGTCTCAAGGGCGGCTGCGACTGCGGCGTTGCGCGTGCCATCTCTTATGCGCCCTACTGCGACGCCATCTGGATGGAGAGCAAGCTGCCCGATTACAAGCAGGCCGAGGAGTTTGCCAACGGCGTGCATGCCGTCTGGCCCGAGCAAAAGTGGGTTTTTGTTTCTTTCTTTTCTTTTCTCTTTTTTTTCTTTTTGTTTTTTTTATAACTAGACCACTTCCTAACCATACAGACTCGCCTACAACCTGTCGCCGTCGTTCAACTGGAAGACGGCCATGCCGCGGAACGAGCAGGAGACGTACATCCAACGCCTGGCCAAGCTCGGCTACTGCTGGCAATTCATCACACTGGCCGGCCTGCACACTACGGCCCTCATCAGCAATCAATTTTCCCGCTCGTTCGCACAGGTCGGCATGCGTGCCTACGGCGAGCTCGTGCAGGAGCCCGAAATGGAGCAGGGCGTCGATGTCGTCAAGCACCAGAAGTGGAGCGGCGCCAACTACGTCGACGACCTGCAGAAATTGGTCACCGGTGGCATCAGCAGTACGTCTGCCATGGGCAAGGGTGTCACCGAGGACCAGTTTCACTAGATAGAGGATGAGGATGGGGACGAGGATAAGATGAGTGTCATAAAGTTCAAAACGTAGTCCAACCACGACGAACGAAAAGTTTGTCCATTACACCGAGAGGATTCTCTCACTCCATATTTCTGCTGTCATCAGATTTGCAAGCCAAATAATATGAGATATCATTTCACCCGTTTCTTCCAAAACAAAGAACAGCAGCTTGCAACAGCGGCTCGTTGCAGCCAATCAGTCGCGCTCATGCACGTAGAGTGGGTCCGACTCCAACTTCTCCAAGCTTCGCTGAACAGGCCATATCCATCGCGTCACGAGCTTTGCGTGACGTCTAGACCTGGGGAGCTGACACCAAGGCACGAGTTCGCTTCATCGCTCCTGCCGTTTTCCTGTTCGCGCCTATATCCAACACTCGTCTCCTCCTTTCCGCTTCGCCGGGTTTTTGTCAATTGAGATTCCACTCCCCTTTTTCACACTTTCCTGTTTACAGCTATCTAAGCAGCTGCATGCGCATTCCAACACAATCGACCTCACCATCACTTCACGCAAAATGGCAGAGAACGCTACAGAATCCCATGATGCGGCCCCGGCTGTTCTTTCGGCCGTGCTCGCGGACATTGGCACTTCCTCCGGCATGAGCACACCTGGCGGTCCGACTACGGGTACCGTGACCCCTGCTCTCTCCGAACTGCCCCCCGACCAGGCCGAGTACAGCCTTAGGGTGTCTCTGGCCGACTTGTGCGCCAAGGCGGCCGTTCTGTACTCGCAGCAGAAGAAGTACGAAGAGGCCGCCGAGGTCTACGCGCGCGCCGCCGAGATCCAGGCCGAGATGAACGGCGAGATGGACCCAGAAAACGCAGAGATTCTCTTCCTCTACGGCCGCACCCTCTTCAAGGTCGGCCAGGGAAAGAGCGACGTACTGGGCGGCAAGGCACCCGAGGGAAACGCTGCTTCCAGGGTCGACGGCGGCGAGAAGACCGCTGGCAAGGCTGGAGCCGGACCTGGCCTGATTGCCTCTGCTATTGCAGCCGGTAGCAGCAGCGAGGCCGGGGGCAGCGCAAGCACGTCCAAGACGGAGGGAGCAGCTCTCGATGCGAAGAAGCCGCTGTTCCAGTTTGCCGGCGACGAGGAATGGGAAATTTCGGACGAAGAGGTGCGTTCTCGACTCTACAAGTTATTGTCAGCTCTTGGCGACACGGCTTGGCTAACGTGACAATCTACATATAGGACGCGGCCGACGTAGAGGATGAAGAGAACGTCGAAGAAGAGGAGGACGATCTCGCCGTGGCTTTTGAGATCCTCGATCTCTCCCGCGTGCTTTTCGAGAAGCAGCTCGCACAGAAGGAAAAGGAACCGACCGAGTCTGCCGGCGCTGACGATACCACGGCAGCGGAAACTGCCCGGGGGAAGGCTGTCACAAAAGACAATGCAGAGAAACACGAGCCAGAGGATGAGGCGGGTGCAGAGACCAAAAAACTTTGTCCTTCAACTCGCCACATCATGGAGCGCCTGGCTGACACCCACGATCTTTTGGCTGAGATCTCTCTGGAGAACGAAAGGTAGGCCCAGGCGGAAGAGCTTCTGCACCAGATGTCTCTTTGTCCTTGGGATCCTCCCCCCGCTTCAGCTGAACCGGAAGGACTATCTCGTGACGCAAGGGGCGGCAGCCAGAGCAGCCCGGCGAGAACAGAGATTAATCCGGTCACAGATACCCAAATGCTATTGTGGATTCCCGAGCCTCTCTGGCCTACAAGCAGAAGACCCTCCCGGAAGAATCTGAGATCATTGCCGAAGCACACTTTAAGCTTTCACTCGCACTAGAGTTTGCCTCTGTCACCACGTCCACGGAAGCAGACGGCGCGGAGGAGGCTGCTGGATCTGCCGACAAGAAGGGGCAGCAGGTCGACCAGGAGCTGCGCGACGAGGCCGCGCGGGAGCTGGAAGCGGCTATTGTCAGCACCAAGCTCAAGCTGCAGAACAAGGAGGTTGAGCTGGCCACCGTGCACTCGCCCGAAGACAACGAGTCAACACGCCGGCAGATCACCGAGGTCAAGGAGATTATTGCCGACATGGAGCAGCGGGTACGTGTGCAAAACATTCTCTTGTTGTATTTCTTCTACTGACCGGCATCACAGCTTGTCGATCTGCGGAAGCCGCCCATCGACATCAACGAGGCCGTCAACGGTGCCGCTGGTGCCGCAGTCGGTGGTCTTCTGGGTGCTCTCGGCGGTGCCGCTGTCGAAGAGGCCAAGAAGGGGGGCAAAGGCCTGACAGGCCTTGTGCGGAAAAAGGCCAAGGACACAGCTCCCGCAGCGACAACGAACGGCAACGGGACCAAGCGCAAGGCCGACACACCCTCTCCTGATGAGGAAGAGTCAAAGAAGGCCCGTACTGCAGACGAGGTGTGAACTCGGTTCGATGCGCTGTAAAAAGGAGGTCGCTTTGCTGTTTGTTTGTTTGTTTTTCTTTCTCTCATTGACCAACTCTTGCTCCCCTTTTTGGATCAATCAGGACAACAGACGGTGTAGTCTGACCAGGAGAAACCCGAGGAAATGGAGGAGTTTTTGATTTACAGGCTTGGGAGGTGTTGCTGTCGACAACAAACGGAGGACAGGTCGAGACGCTTTACATGGCTGACTGTAGGAAATCTCTAGTGTATTTACTTCTATGTCAACGTAATTAACAATCCCGAGAGGGCCTCACAGGGCACCCATACTGTTTCGACGTACCCTGAATGCCAATCTGTTGAGAGGAAGAGCTGCAATCCCGTTTGGATGTCGAAACGCCAGTCTGGCCAAGGTTGTGTCAAGCTGACGCTTTGGATCATTATGATGCTAGGCGTCTCTCGTCACGGCCCGATTCTAACGAGAGTCCACCGGCAGCCGATGGTCATTCTCGGAGCAGAGCCCAGCTGGCGTGACAGCTTCGAGAATCTCTGTGCAAACGGCCATTCGGAGAGGGCAGAGGCCCCAGACCCGGAACGTAAGGGTGTGTAGACCACCACTAGCCAAGCTCTTATTTTCTTGTCATCATCCTTCTCTTCCGGTCCCGATGCTCTTCGCTGTTACGGGCTATCGCCATCATCAGATGACGTGGCTTCCGTCAAGAAAGGAGGGATGGCTCGGCAGTGCACGGCATACCGACACGAAAAGAGACTCTGTGATAGGAGGGGTGCGGGAAGAAGAGGGGGCAAGGAAGATGGGGCGAGCTCGGGAAACGATACCGGACCTGTGACTCCCATCGGTCTGTCCCTCCTCTCCAGTCCTTTCTCTTAATTTCGGTTTATTTTTCTTTTTTATTTTTTCCTCGCCTCTCTCTTTGATTTTGCCCCGGTCCGACCGACAGGCGGCGTACTGCAGGATTGGACAGACGAGAGGCAAGCGTGTAAAACATGAGAGGACGGGGAAGACGGTGGATGCCGCCGTCGGGCAAGACGGCCACTGGGCTGGCTGAACTCGTGTCTGCCTTCGCCCTGCTCTCTCGTCGGAGAGTTTACCTGGTTGCGTGTTCCACCACTTAGCGCACCCGGTGGCGAATCAAGGACAAGGGGCGAGAGGCGAAGGACGCGGACTGCAGAGATGGGGGCATCACAACTTTGAGACATGCTGGACGCGCAGACAAATGGAACGAGCACATTGTAGGACGTCCCGGAAAAGACAACGGGAAAGGAGAAGGGGGTGTATGCAGGAATCCTCCTGCGAGATGCTCGCACGGATTTCTGCAGTCCCTCAACAAGGACGGGCAGAGGCAAAGAGCAAACACAAAGGTGTGGCATCCCAAAGGACCCCCTCCCTTGGCGACAAGATACACACGTATGCCTCATGTCCTTGGTCATACTCTGCGCATCTGCAGTTGGTGTGAGGGTATCGCCATGAGGGCCAATACGGACTGACGCAGAATCAGGCGTGTCCGAGAAACACTGCCGTTTCCCAGGCATAGCCTACAAAAGTAGGAAGCGTAGAAAGACAGCAAGCCGGAGAGGTATGTCTGCTCTGCAGATTTGTCTGTGCCACTCACGGACACTTTGAAATAACCAGAGACATGGTGCCAAGAATGTTTGAACGATATGCTTGTATCTTTCTCCTGTTCTTGTTCCGTTGATGCCAGGCTTCGTGGGGTAGAAAACTGGGAAACATGGCATGCCTTGGAGTGGCCCAGGAAACGGATGCAAGCAGACGGTGTGTAATAAACCCAGTCATAAGCCAGATCTGCCACCAGACGGCTTATCTGACGACATACTTTTACTCCTTCCTCTTCTTTCATTGCCTGCAACAGAAAACAGACACGCAACGTGGTGATGGCCAGCTTCTCTGCTTCCCTGCTCGCGAAACCAGCCTGCTTTACTTCTCACGCCTTTACGTCCAGCCATAGCTTCTCTTCCTACTCCACGCTCACGACAGGCAGAAACATATACACACACACCCCTCAGCCTCCCGCAAACAACGGCCGGGATGGTAAGGTCCAGAAAACTAGCCGCGTCAGCCAGATCGCGGTGGTTGAAATGGCGAGATATAGATGCAGTGTTCAGTGTCCTGTCCGTGTTTTCCGTGCCTGTTGGTGCTTGTCGTGCATGTGTGAATCATACGACTTTGGGATCAAGGTATCATCTTCGTAGACCGTCGCTGGCTTTCTCGCACTATAGTTTTCCGAGAAGAAGAAAACAGTGAGACAAGAGGCAGAAATACGGACTGCCAGTGAAATGGCCCAAGCAGGAGCAGTCAAACCTCTGCCAGTCAGCGCTCGGTGGACAAGACGAGGCACAATGGAACTCCGTGCCGGCTATCTGTCAGCGGTGGGGTGGCAGAGCAAGGCCGACCGCGTGGAGTGGCAGACAATTCCTGTAGAACAAGCTGGAAGCCGAGAGGGGGGTGGGCAGGGACCGGATAGCAAGAAGGAGCAGCGGTCAAGCACACACAACGAAGCCTGTGGCTTGGGCTGAAGCCAAAGTCATAGCGGCCCTTCCGTCGCTACGAGCTAAACTCGGGACCGACATAGACTTGTAGGATTGTGTCATGAGGGCGAGAAGGGGGGGGCAAGATATGCATGAGCGGGTGCATGAGACAAATCACGACTGCATCCAGCACTTTTCAAACCACTGGCCGTCATCCTCCAGCGTCGAAGGGCCGGTAGGCGCAGCCGCTCACTTGCCGAAGAGTCCAGCAGAGCACCGATATAGGACGATGTGCTATTTAGGAGTCCAGACTCCACCGCTCTCATTCGGAACGCAGCTGAAGAACGCAGAAAACAGATAGACAGAGGGGGGCCTAAAAGAGGACTGCTGTATTGTACTTACGAACACAGTATTGGCACCGCGTGGCTTCGGAAATCCCCACGCCTCGGTATGATGTCGGCATAGTGGATCTTAAGGCCTGTCTGATCAGAGCTGACTTGCAGAGCAAAAGCCCCTCAGAGGACACTAACAACACTCGGCCTTGATGTTAGAACAGACGGGATGACCGCAAGCGTCTTTGTCAGCTTACGAGTGCCGCTCCCGTAATGGCAAGCTGCTCTTGAGATGCTGGGAGATGCTGAGAGATTGGGGCTTCGCGCTAACTAGCTCTGAAAAAAGCATAGATCAGTGGATATATTGCTGTTATTGTTAGCTAGCTGTCAAAACAGGCAAGACGGGTTCCCACTAGTTACTTTCCGGACTAGCACTTCTGGCCATAATCGCCTCAAAAACACTATTGAGACGAAGCACGGTCGGTATCTTGTCCTGTTCTTTCGAGTCGCCGGGATGCGACACCTATGTGCCCCGTCAAGGGTAGCAGCAGACCTTGAAACAGGGCTGTGCACATGTGCCAGCAATTGTTAGCCCATCCCACTCGGACCAAAAATAGCCTGGAACTGAAAGCCACCTAGGGGATCGCACTCATGTCAGCAAGGGTATTTGTGTGCGCCATGGGAAGACGCATACTCCGTACGGAGTACAGGCGAGTAGCATTGCATATATGCTCCTGGACGGACAGGGCTCTCTAAACATCGACTGGCTGGCTCTCTGCGGTTGGCAGAACAAGTTGGCCGATCTTTTCCTGGGGCTGGATTCTTGCCAGGTAGCACAGGATGGCATTCCGGGTCGACGGCTGGCAACTCATTTGCACAATCCTCGAAACCAGCGCACGAGAGACTATTGCCCCGGTCTCCCTTGGGTGAATCGGATGTCGAGCCGGCCTTGCTGCACCATACCTAACGGAAGAAATGCGCGCCCTGAGCAACAGCAATAATTAGAGTAAAGTCGATATGCGACCGCTGGCTCCTGTCCCTGTTTCTTGGGCAGCATAAGGCCCTTTGCTCGGTCAGAGAGACGTTGGAATTCAGGACCAACCCGGCCGACTCGGACTGGCTTCGGAATGGGTTGGGGGTTCTGGCCCGTCGTCCTTGCTATCCTTGACAAGCTATCCTTGACAAAAAACGGTGCTGCGTGTGAGAAGAGAGGCATGCCCTCCGATACCTCGTACTGGACTCCACCAGCCTAGTTGTAGACTTCTGACCACCCCCCTTCTCGCCTTGTTGACACAGACAGGGTCGCTGAGACGTCTGGCAATTAACCTTTTTTAGCTAGCACAAGTGATTTTCGTTGCTGCACAAACAGTCAGAGTGGGTTGCATCTGCATCTTTGCCGTGGCTGTTGAGCCCGCTATATCCGTTGCACCCGCTGTGTCGAAAGTTCTGTGTACTGTGTACGGTGTCTTTGTCCTCTGTACGACCTTTCTGGTGCCCTGCAGGCAGTTGACAACGCCGGCCTGGGAACAAAGTAAACAGTCCCCCTTCCCGAGGCGCGGGACTGAAGTGCCAAAGATTCGAGTGCGTACTGGTTGATCGGCTGCAGACTTCGCTCGTCAGCTTGTTGTGGCTTAGTATAGCTCTTGGCCGAACTACCATCAGCACTGGCGGATCGCTTTGGGCACCGGCAAGCAAACACACTTACGTATGCCGTGTACGTAGTGCACGCCAACTTCAACCTCTCGTCATCGGGAGTCCACAAGAAGTATAGACGGCGGGTTTGTGAGCTGCAGTGCTCTGGTATGTGGAGGTTGTCTCTTATCGAGAGAGAAAAAAAAGCAACGTGATAGGGGGGGTTTCGCCCGTTCGCGGACAGACAAAAAAAATCGGCATGCCGGAGTCGACAGAGAAGTATGCCGTGCCAAGTCCTACAGCCCTCAACGAGGCAGTGTGTTGGGGATGGTCGATACTCGCTTTGGTGAAAATCAATGAATGGCACGTGCAATGCACTGGTAAAGCCGTCTCAGCCTCCTTCAGTGTTTGTACCTGCCCAGTTAGGCGCAGCCATGGTGTATACGTGAGCAGAGATGCACCTGCCCTCGGGTGGTGGCTTTGGTAAAATCTCAAACACCGGATAAGACTCCGAACTGGAAATGCCAAAAGATTCCGACGTTCAACAGGTCACAAAAATGAAACAACCCTGCTCAGACTTTTCGGAACTGACTGCCAAGCCTTGTTCATCTTCATCCTTCGCATTCCTTGTCCCTTTCCTGTCCACTCTCCCAGACTCTTTCTTCTTCGTCTGCTTGCCGAGTAAGCTAGCGGGTCATATACGTCTGCTGAGAACTGGTTTATCATGATATTGTCATTGGCTGGACGCACTCTCTGCGCACGCAGACCTGTCTAGAATCACAGGGTATGTGGGCCGCAGCGCGAGGAAAACGCCATTGCAAAAGCGGCAAGGATGGCGACTGTCGGGAACGAGGAATACGGCGCGAGAGATACATACGTCCTATCCTATCGTTCTGACCAGCCACTGTCTAGCAGCTCCATGCATACGGGCTGTGAGCACGAGTACGCGTTGCGTGGACGCTAGAAATTAAGCGTGCTCAAATGGCAGCTACCATGTATCTTACGTCGCAGAATTTGGATGCACCTCTTTTTCAGGTGAGATTTGTCAACTATGTGCTGCTTCAAAAGCCATACACTAACCCTATTCGCTTTGATGGCTCGGGAAAGCGTGATTCCCCATGCCACCCTACTTATCTGAAACACAGGGAAGCACGGCATACATGAGAGCAGGCCCAATTACATCTCGCCGCGCCCGTCTGTACTTCCAACTCCAAGCAGAACAGCCGGAAGGACATTGTTACCCTGCAGCAAGTCTACTACATAGTACTTGCAGACACTCGCCCATATGCGCACGCACGCACGCACAGATAGCCCTTCAAGTATTCTGCGCAACGAGTCATGACGCCTTGCTGCGTTGTATGCATCCGTACCATGCCGATACGCATATTCGCACCACGCACATTCGTACACAGGACGCGCACACACGCAGACTCCGCAACATCACACATCAGCATTCTACGAGTACAGTGGGGTGGAGCAACTAGGCCACCAATAACCCGAATGCACCATACGAAGAGACCCTACATGAAGAGGATGCCACGTATCGGGCAGATGATGGTCTGGTGTTTCAAGAGATTGTCCCGGCTATTCGCACTGGCCCCCACATCTACTGGCTTGATCCTTGCACAAGTACGGAGTACGGAGTATGTGTCGCGAATGCTCTACGCCTCGGAATGGACCAGGGGGGAGGCAGTGGCTCCGCCATCATACCCACAGGGCACTTCACAAGCCGTTAGACCGACTGCTTGCTAGCCAGGCGAACAGAAGTAAGATACGAAAAATAGGCACCTCTCTCGACTAACACAGAGCTGGTTTGGAAGGGCAGCCTCCAGGAGACCCGACGGCTTCTCTCGTCTTCATATGCGCCGATGTATGCTGCATTTCTTCTCGCCTTCCGCGTTGGCCTTCCCTGCATCGCTCCCTGCTTCCTAAAACTCGGTACATGGTCTTTGTCCACTGGCTGTTTCGGTCCCGCTAATACCAAACATCGATGCCATTGCTGGACGGTCAGATACAAATCCGGATGCAGGCTCCTCTACCCACTGCAACCCGCTATTACTACTTCCTATCTGGCCCCTACTGATAATACATGCCTTGTCTTCGAACGGTCGAGTTTCAAGCTCCATGCTGTCTCAGCTTCTGCCGATCTCCGGCTGCGCCCCTTCATTCGTACAATCGTCGTCGTCACCTATTCCATCGCCGTTTTGCATTTCCATCCCATTCGCCACTCCCTTCTGCTTCTCTTCCAAAACCAGACACCACCCGCACTGAAGCTTTTGCAGGTGGGGACTAGACAACCTCTCGTCTTCTTGGAGTAGCAGTGGATGGTTTATGCAGTATTGAGTACCTATTCCAGAGGAGGGAGAGCAAAGAGGTGTCTGCCGAGTACCCCTGTGAAGATCATGATGGTTCAGACGACCATCTTACACTACCCCTCTCCCCGTAACGATAACGACCGTTGACTGGCACCACACTCCCCTTATCCGCACACCGAAGTGAAGGTCTAAACTTTATACAGGACAAGCCGTTCGCCCCCTCCATGAACACGATCTGACACATACCCTTCACCAAGTGACATCCTTGTAGTGTTGCCTCGACCGCCGGGAACACGCACACATAGTACACCTCCCTAGCCCTTTTTTCTTTCCACCCCCCTACACCCCATTCGCCCCGTCGAACTATGGTCAAACCAGGATGGAGTGAGAGATAGGACACACACAGACCAAATTGACTTTATTCGACGCATGATATAGCCTCCGTCTTGCTATTGAATCCTGCCAATAGTACGCAACACAGTAACCACTTATTCCCCTGCTGGCCCTCTCCTCTTCCAGGATAAGGAACATCAGCAACAAAACAACTGCCGTCATCGAGGGGCGTGGCTTGTCATCAGACTTCAACACACTCCCTGGCCAAAACTCAGCCGATCCCTTCTCAGATCTTCGGATTGCCAGGCCTCTCTCTGAACTCCATCACGACCGGAACTTCTTTTTGCCCATCTCAACTATTCATCTCACGTCGTCTGGTCCGAGTTGCCCCGGCCCTACACTCAAATCTTGAACCACCAACTCGCTGCTCTGCTATACGGAGTACTTTCGCGTACAAGGTTACCCTCGTCTGCATTGCCATTTGCATATGTCTGGTCCTGTTTATGCGATCTATTAGAAGCAGAGGGGAAGATAGGCATTGAGAGGGCACTCTTGTAGTGCATTCTTGATAATACCCTGTCTGCCGTGCAAATATCAAACTCTGCCTAAAAAGTCCGGGAGCTTGACGCCTTCAACGACACCAGATCAGACCTGACGTCCCTAAATTGCAAGACATTCGGCGAGCTATTTGGGCGCCCGGTGTTGCTTTCATTTGTCCTATTGCAAGAGCTACTTCCCACAAATCGTCTTGGGGGGCGGCCTATTTTCTTCTTCGGCTTCAGTCCGATGGGACGTCTGGTTCCGTCATCTCCGGCAGCACTCTGCTTAATAGTCAATCGTCAGTACAGCTGAACAGTAACGACTACCCAGGATCGGGGCTGTTTCGGCCGTTTCAACCATTGTGGAAACTACCAATACAACTCTCAAACGTTGAATCCCACAAGCATCACTGGATTTATTGTGCTCACCGGTCTCCTCTAGCTACCTTTTCCCCCTTCTGTTTCATTCTTCCCCCTGCCCAAACACAAAATCTGGGGACTCCCATATCTTTCTCCCGGTGGGCTTTACGCATGCGTTTTCCCTTCTGCGTTTTTTTTCTTAGTTTCTTCTCCTGATCTATCTACACTGCACCAAGATTCTCGCCATAGAGTGGCGTCGACATTTTCTGGTGTAGAGATAAACCCAGCTTTAACACGACAGAGGAATTAAGATAGACAAGACCCGGTCTGGTTTCTGTGGTCTGTCTAAAGAAGGCTAGAGGCAAGGAGCGTGCAAATCGACAGACTGCGCGGAACCTCAACCAGACTCGTCAAGGGAGCAGATGAAGTCGCTTCAACAAGATCTACAGACATATAAACGCCCTCGCGACAATTGACGAGATTCCCTGAGGGAATTGATCACTATCTCGGAAATTTCGGAGCTAAAAGAGTCTTGACCGTTAACACGACGACGTTGTCGACCAACCGATCGTGAAGATGGATTTGACTTCGCTTCTGAACACCACTGCTGCAAGAGGAGCAGTGGGAGGAAAAAATGACGAGCCTTTGACGGAAACTGTCCCCACCCCATCAGCTGCAACTGCAGGCAGTACGGCACCCTCCAGCACAGCGGCCACGCCTCCGCTAGAGCAGACATCGCCCCAGAGGGTGAGCGAGCCGAGAACAGGTAGCCGCAACCGAACACCTTGGGATGCTGGCGGCTTCTCTCTTTCCAGGGCACTAGACGCCAAGCAGCTGATGCGGTGCTCTCCCGGGGCGGTCGCTCCTTCCGTGGCCAGCATCTCACCGTTTGGTGACATGTCTTCGCCCCAAGAACCGATAGATCTCGGAGACTCCAGCTCAAAGGTCTCCTCACCAAGACACAAGTTCTCAGATAGCCGCAGCAGCTTGTCTTCTTCACACACTCTTTCCTCGTCAATAACCTCGCTGTCCCACTCGAGATTGTCTTCTTTGTCCACTGTCTCTGAGAGCCAACCTCTGACAGCTCTGATAACCGACTTCTCACATTTGGAGACCCAGCCGCCAGACTCATCTATTTCCTGCTACGTTTCCCCATATATACAGCAGTATTCTGCATTATCACACACTACAGAAAGCAGTGAGGATTTTCGGCTCAAGTCACCGACACCTGTCCGATCGAGATATAGCCGGACATACGAAGGCTCTCCTGACCGGAGCCCGACTTTACCGGATAGAGCCCAATCACCGTCGGATGCCGTGCTGATTTCAAGAGCCGCAAATGATAGCAGTCGTCCTTCTCTTAATTTGCATCACACAAGGTATGTTATGTTATGCGAGTGAGTATCGTGTGGCAACTTGAGAACAATCAGATACAGCCCAAGTGGGCATCACAATGACTTCAGCATCCCATTCAACTTTTTGCCACCACCTCCCTCTTTGAATCTGTTTCGATATACAGATAGAAGTCAGAACCAGTGTGCTACTGACTCACTGCTTCTGGCTCGATTGCTCGGCCTTTCTATTCGCCACTTCTATATACGCGAGCCTTTTCCTCTTTTTCTGCATCTCTCTCTACCAATATTCGCTACCTTCTCACTTACACTCCTGTATGCATATAATACACCCAATACTCCCTTTGACTAGTTCTATCATTTTATCCATTTGCCGCTTCCCTACACGATCGCCATCTTTTCTTAAGCTCCTGCCCATGCCGGTTTTGAGTACACTACTGTAATCCGTTAGATTACGAGCAAAGCCGACCAAGGAGCGGAGAGCCAAAAACACAATAGTGCGAACTGGTTGAGGGAGTTATCAAGTTGAGGCTGAAGTCGCGGGCAGGATTCTGTACTTTCCGAGTGGAACGTTATCTGATCATTGATACAACACACGAGGCCAAGGTCGAAGGTCGAGGCTTACTTTGATGCAGGTTTAAGAGCTCACCTCCCCATACACGATCAAATTATCGGAGCAACTACCTTCAGCGTAGTGGCTCAACACGGCGTCACAAACGAGCAGCTTCTGCCCCGGACTTCCCATCTATTGGTGCCTCGATTTTTGACCCTCATTTCCCAACCTTTGGGCCCATTCCCGAACCTACTCCTTCGCCATCGCAACATAGTGACGTCAACGCAATGGATCGCGAGATATTGATGTCTGTGAGCTCGGCTACAGATGCCAGAGCAAGATCGAGCCCTGAGATCTCATCGACGGAACAGAGCCCGTCCTGCGAGTCGACACCCACAAAAACCAGCCCCACGACGGGCGAAGCTGGGCCTAGCCAGAGCCGGCCCTCCGCAGACATTGCCGAAGAAGCATTTGTTGATTTTGAGACCGCATCGGCGTGCATGTACCGCGGGGACTGCCAAACCGGCTCACAGCTTCGAAAGGCAATTTCACACATATTTGGACGGAACAAGCTGTGCACCCGTATGATTCCGACAGGCGTTTGGGTGCATTACTGCAGGAAGCACTACCAGCGGACGCGGTACCGAAATAGTGGTGAGTATCCACAGAGACAGATCGGACTTGTACAGGAGCAGGTGAAACGAGTTCAGGCATGGAGCGATTGCAACACACGCCGGGGCTCTGGGCCTATCCTGAAGGATTGGTCATTGTCAGTTCGGAAGCGCGAGCAAATGCGCTTGGACAGCAAGCTGGCAGCAAACGGAAAGAAGCGGCCCTTCCAAGACGAAGGGGAGGGAGAGGAAGATGAAGGTTTTGACGAAGACCGGGCTGATCTGAGCGGCACAGCTGTTCCGGATTGGGTAATTTCGCGGATCGGCGATGGCTATTCGACATCTGAGATTCTTACGGTTGTTGAGCGTCTCAAGGCGGATATCGACCAAGGCCGCCTGCAGCAGATTCCGGACATTGAGATACTGCCAAACATTTCTACGGAAGACAGGAGCGACGATGGGACAAACGCAAAGAGGAGCTTCGCCAAACGGCGGGCCACTGGTTCTCGCAGCAACGTCAATGGGGCAGGAGGCTCAGGCGCTGGCCACCGTCGATCCCAGTCAGTCAATGCTGCCGGACTCTCTGAGAATCATATGGCAACGCGCCGCTGCAGCCAGCCGAGCAACACATATATGCCGCCCCGGATTCTGCACAATAGCGAGCTGCAGCAACCGCTGGACAAGCGTCAGCGCATTGGCGGAGAACGAGCGGACCGGCATGGGAGCACTTGCAACTCAGAGTCGTTTGGCTCGCGGACATCATTGCCACCCACCGGACCCCTATCTCGTCCGAGCCTGGGGAGCAGGATGCAGCTTACTCATCGGCCAGCTTTCGGCGAGATTCGCGAGAGCCGCGCAGAGGCACAGATTTATCAGCCTACAGAAAGAATCCGATTCGAAACAACAGCCAGTGACGGCAATATTGGCCAACAGCAACAGCAACAACAGGGACGTGGCGCAGACCTGTACGAACACGAACGAGGATATGGCATCAGCACGGCAATGCCTGTACCGTACAGTTATGGGTCATGCTACGACCACGAGCACCAGCAGGCAGGGCCAACTTCTTCAAGATACGGCATGCTCCCGGCACCAAATCCATTGCGACACGACGGTGCGTCTGTTGCACAGCGTCTGGAATCATCATCATATGCGCTGAGCTCGGCAGCCGACCGACGTGGGAGCACGCATCAGCGGTCTCAGTCAGAGGCTATGTCCTATCACCACATGCCGTCATCGCACGACGCGCGACCGACATCGTCTTCAGGGTTTCCGCCTCTACATTCTGCTCCGGCAGGCCTAGGCGCAAATACTATTGCTAGATTTGGTCAGGACGCGGCCGAAAAGGCTTCTTTCGGGTATGGCAATTACCAGACCCAGAACAACGGCCAGGGTGGTCAGCAGCCATATGGCTATGCGAAAGAGGCCGACCGCTACGAGAGATATGACAACGTTCGGCTGCCGCCACTACAAACTCTTCCGCCGCCCCATTCGCATTCGCACCAGCGCTACACATCCTCAGCAGTGGGCGGCGGCTTCGGAATAGATCGGAAGTATAGAACGGCAGCAGAGTATCCGGAGTCGGCCAGACATGTACGGCACCAGAGTTCGCCGGTGGTTCCGCGGCTGTTGCCCTCGCCCATGGAAATTGGGACTGCTCGGCGTCTGCCGGACTTGGGAAGGCCACTGTCGCCTAGGCCTTAGCTGTTCTCTGTGCCTACTAAATCATATTCATTTTCATCTCTCGTCCCAAATTTGCGATGGGCATGAAAACTAGGCAGATACGAATGACGACAGGCTAGTCTCAAGATAGAGGAGGCGTTTGGAAACAGGTCGGTGGATTTGGAGTTCAAAAACGATATCCACAGAAAGGACATAAACTGTGGGAGAGGCAGCTTGATCCCTGGAGGACGATGCTTGCAGTTTCTTTTGATTTTATCGGGGCCGGGTGTTATCCTGGATAGCGGGAAGTGTCTTCACTCTTGTTTCCTTACTTTGTGTGCGAAACTCGCCGACGCGATGGGCACTTGGCTGGAGGGGTTTGCGACAGATTTGCATTGTTTTTTGTATTGCTGAAGTCATCTGACGATACTGTCTCTTGGGAGGGACAATGAAGAAAGTTGTTAAGTGTGCCTACGTCCGTTTCTGAAAGTGCATTGAATGTGTGAGGGGTTAAGTGTTCTGGGCGGGTGAGTTTCGGCATTGTGTCATTGTGAATGTGATTTGTCCAGTTTTTGTGAGGGCAGAGTGTCAGCATGCTCCGTATGTTCTTCAGAGAAAGATCATTTAGCGGCAAGGCACTCCATGTCTTCAGATGAACCAGCTTTGCAGGTTGGAATACGCAGAGATATCTTGACCCCACCTGTCAGTCCTTGTTCTATTGCTCCGTATGGACATTCGTTCTTGTTATCAGCCGCTAGGCAGTCTTATTGCTGAAACTAGGGAAAGAGGGCCTGTGCGGAGCCGGCAGGTGCAACCGCTACGCTGAAACGAAGGCAGCCTCGGGAGGTAGCCCTCCTTTCCTTCCCAATTCATATTTATCCTGCATATTTGGGAGAATGTGCCTGGAATAGCTACGATACTGCGAACGATGGTGTCTCCCACGTTGTACGTCGTGGCCACGACGGCGGTCCTCTACACGGCCTACTCGATTGCCAGCGGGCTGCGGGCAAATGTGCAGAAGGCGCGCAGCATCGGGCTGCCGTACTTTGTCGTGCGTGAGTTTTACTGGCGGCCGTTTGCAGATGGTGACGATGCTGACGAGGGAGAAAACAGCGTGCTTGCCGTTCAACATGCTCTGGCAGGCAACATGCCACATATGGGTGCCCTTGATCAAGCTGCTGCCGGCGCGGCTGTGGCAGGACTGGCTATTGTAGGTGCTTCTCTGGATGTCGTGATGAGCTGCTAACTGGCCAACGCTGACATCGAGGTGGGTAGCATCCTGCAGCCGGATTGGGGATACCGGTTCCAACAGGAGCCATTTGAACGGCTGGGCGACTCATTTGTGGTAGCGTCGCCGGGGGGTATCGTGCTCTTCACGCAAGACCCCGGGGCGATCCACGAGATTGCAACACGGCGGGAGCACTTCCCCAAGGCGACGAAATTCTACCAGGTGCTGGAGCTGTTTGGGCGGAACCTGCTGTCGACGGAGGGGGCGGTGTGGCGGCTGCACCGCAAGGTGACGAGCACGTCGTTCAACGAGAGGAACGCGGCATACACGTTTGGCGAGGCAGTGCACCAAACACAGAGCCTGCTAGCAAAGTGGGGATCGGAGGACGGCACAATCATGACGATCGAGGGCGACACGATGAAGCTGGCACTACACATCATCGGGTACGTGGGCTTTGGGCTGCGGTTCGTGTGGCCGGGTGAGAGGCTGCCGGCGGAGGCGGACCTGCGGCTAAACAAGTACGGCAGCCTGGAGCCGCCGGCAGGCCACAGCATGACGTTTGCGGTGTCAGTGGAGCGGGTGCTGCATCGGATTATCCTGCTGCTGATGCTGCCGGGATGGCTGCTGCGGGCGCTGCCGTTCCTGGCGACGCACGAGGCATATGAGGCAGGCGACAACTACAGGAGGTACATGCGGGAGTTTCTGACGGAAAAGGCGGCGGCAGTGCGGGCAGGTGACCGCGGCGAGGGTGGGATGGACATTATGGGACAGCTGGTGCGGACGCAGCAGGAGGACCGGTCGGGCGAGGGCCGGTTGACGGACGAGGAGATCATCGGCAACGCGTTCGTCATGCTGGTGGCCGGCCACGAGACGACGGCCAACACGCTGCACTTTACGCTGCTGGAGCTAGCGGCCAATCCGGCGGCTCAACGAGCGTTGCAGGCCGATATTGACCGGCTGCTGGGCCGCGATTCAGACCCAGCCACGTGGGACTACGAGGCCAACATCGGGGCCATGCAGACGTCGGTGCTGGGCGCGGCCATGAACGAGACGCTGCGTCTGATGCCGCCTGTGGTCAACATTCCCAAGTGGGTGCCGCCGGCGATGGGTGGCCACCAGATGCTGACGCTGGCCGGAGAGCCCCGGGCGTTGCCGGCGGGCATGACGGTCATCCTGAGCGTCATCACGGTGCAGCGACATCCGCGGTACTGGCCGGCGGCTGGAGCTGACGAGAAGCCGGACGTGGATGACTTTGTGCCAGGCCGGTGGTTCCGGGACGGCGGGGAGGACGAGGACCAGGACATCGAGGAGCACGAGGGTCCAGATGCACAACTGAAGCGAGAAGACAAGGCAACGGCACAAGACGCAAGAAAAGCCGAAAAAGCCGAAATCGCCGAAGATGGCCCGGGACCCGATCAACAGCAGCCGTTTCGGCCGGTTCGAGGCAGCTTTGTGCCCTTTTCCGACGGAGCGCGCAGCTGTCTCGGCCGTCGTATTGCCCAGGTTGAGATCCTGGCTGCGCTGGCCGTGTTGTTCCAGCGCCACAGTCTCGAGCTGGCCGTCGACGACTGGGCCGACGACGCCGCCGTGGCCGCCATGGACCCATCTGCCCGCTGTGCCCTCTATGCCCGCGCCCAGGCGCGCGAGCGCGAGACGTTGCGTGGCGCCCGCACCCTGTTGACGCTGAAGCTGCACGGCGCCGCGGCCGTGCCGGTGCGGCTTGTGCCACGGGGCGAGGAGCGGTTTGTGCACTTGGTGGACTTGTAGGGGTAGTGGTGATACTCCGTAGAGATGTCGACATGTCGGCTTACTCAGCATTTCAATAGGGCGGTGACATTGTTCTACGAAAGGAGTCGCGCCTTCCCAGTACAAAGGTGCACGTGACAGAAGCACTGCATACTTGGACTTGGACTTTGACACCATTGCTCGTTGTTGAACAAGTCCAACACCATCGAACAACGACCAGCTCAGCTGCCAACGACGCCGTCACTTATTGGGCGGACTGATTCGACGCATGCGGAACCCAACGCCTAGCCAGCAACTAGCCCTTCTCGTCTCTCACGCGCCACCTATATTTTAGAGCCAAACTACCCGCATTTCCGGGGGAAAACGCGCAAGGACCAGAAAGCAAAACAAAAACAAACCGCTGATCGACCGGCTGCCTGCTCATTAAGAGCCCCCTCCCTTTCGCCACGACGGCCACGTACACTGTGCAGATACACAAATACACATACGCACATCGCGCATCGCACACCGCACACCGCACATCGCACATCGCACATCTGCACATGCACTTGCAGAGCAGCAGCAACAGCAACATTGCCTCTGACCCCAACCATCGTCTGATTTCCCATTCGCCAAAATGACTTCGTGGCTGCGCGCGCAAAAGAAATCCGAGCTCGTCGACATTGCCGAGACCATCGGCCTGAAAAAGTACGTCACCTGATGAGCGGGCGTTTGCATGCGCTCGTGCTCGTGCATCGCCATCGATATCGATGTTGATGTTGATGTCGATGTCACGACTGTCGTGGAAACGGCATCGCTGTTGTTCTTCTTGCGCGCGCGTTCTCATCAGTCCTCGGGCGCGTCAACACAACTAACACGTCCAACAGTGTCGCGAGCTTGAAAAAGGCTGACCTCGAGTCCTCCATCGACGAATATCTGACCGAGAATGTCTCGCGCCTGTCGTCAGATCCCAAGCTGGCGCCCTACTACAACACACGCGGCAAATCGGGCAGCTCGCCCATCAAGCGCGAGCCTGTCGAGCCCAAGGTGTCAAGACGCCGCATGACAAAGTCAGCCCTGGAAGAGATCGTGGCTGCCGAGTGCGTCTTTCGGTCTTGTGTCTTTTTCGCAGCGGCCAAGAAGCCAAAGTCAACTAACTACTCTTGCAGTGACGGCACACCGGCCGGCCGATCGTCCGCTCTTGCTCTCACCCGCACGCCCGCCCGCACGCCTGCTCGTGCGCTGTCGTTTGCCAACCGCATCGCCATGCCCTCGTCTCCGGCTGAAGTCGTCCAGGTGGTCGATCGCGGCGCCGTCGCCGTGCGCGAGCGCGTCGTCTCCATATACGCCGACTCGGGCATCACTGAAGTCACTCAGGTGACGCGCGAGTCGCTGTCGACTGTCAACGCCATCATCGGCCTCGTCTCCCTGTTCGAGTGGTTCTTTCTGCGCCCTGAGCTCATGGCCAACCGCTACGCCTTCACCCTCCCGGCCATCGGCTTCCTCGGCACCAGCGACTACCCCGTCCAGACGCCCGACTTCAGCGTGCTGCTCTCCGCCACCTTCTGGTCGCCCCTCCTCGTCTGGCTCTTCGTCGGCACCCTCGCGCCCGCCCTCTTCGGCTTCTTCTTCAACCTCTCGGCCGCCAGTGGCAGCCACCACAGCGGCCGCGGCCGGTCGCGGCCTTTTTCCAGCGCCGAGTACATTGTCGACCCACTCACCTTTAGCGTCGCCAAGGCCCTCCTCGTCTTTGTCGTCCTGGCCCAGGGCGCCACCTTTGGCGGTTGGGTCGACGGCTTCTCGGTCGCCCGCATCAACTCGGCCCTGTACGGCGGCTGGAAGGGAGCCCTCGTCGGCACTGCCATCACCGGCCTGGCTAGCCTCTACGATGCCGTGTTGCGCAAGTAGGCTGAAAGGGGACCGGGGCTACTTCTTTTTACGCTTTTTGCTTTTTTTTGCTTCTTTGGCTTCTCCCACGGCTTTCACCTATCCAAGCTGTCGGGGGAGTATGACCAACGGCGTATAGGACAGGGCATTGGGGCGTTGTGGCCTGGGCTTCCCATCTTCGCCTTTGGGAGAACGTGTCTTGTGAGCGGCTTTGCCACAGCACGAGACCTTTTTTGTGCAGCCTCTTCTCGATCATCTCTCCTGGGCTATGGCTTTTGTATTTTTTGTGGAATTGTCTTTCGCTTGAAAGACTCATGACTTTTTTGTACAGAAATGACGTGATGCCGGCCTGAAGAAGTGCCTATTTTGGGCACCTTGGAGGTGGAGTTGGATACAGTATCATACCACGCCACGCCGGTCGGATGACTCGGACAGGAATGAAGGGAATGTGCGGGCCAGCTTTACGAGATGGACATGTATTATTTTTGTTGTGCACTTTTGGTTCGTTGTCGTGCTCTCTCACGAATTTGAGTCCTCGTATGTCGAGCCCGTCACTTTATCAATTTGATGCAGAACGAATCTAGCGAGTCGTCTATGCATGTACTGGTAGCGACGTCTGCACTCAAGACAGGTGGCCCTGCATCCAAAAGCACGCTTTGCCTTGACAGTTGGCTCGGGCCGCTGCATGACTAGTGCACAAAATCCCAGGTCCAGGCCTTCATCGGATATTACGAGGAATCCGAAGTCCTGCATGTCTCAATCTCACGTCACAATCGCAGCTGCTACGGACTGTATGTACGAGTACGGTTTTACACCCCTTTCTAGTTTGTTCAATGTCTCATTAATATGTAAACGGAGGCGATAATACGCGACCAAAGGAGAAGCCATCCAGTCATCCTCGTAGACCATAGAAGTCGACCCCAATCAGAGTTAAATACCTCGAGATGACAAGCACTGTCCAAACAGCAGAGTACCCCAAACAACATCTAGGGCTCGAGAACAGAATAAAAAGCAGCCCCCTGTCAAGGGTGAACGAAGAAATGGTAGTGTGTCCCGGTACCTGTCCGTTACCGTTCTATGTTGCGTACAAGATTAGGAGGAGGTAAAGAAGAGAAAATACCAAACAAGGCAAAAAAAAAAACTAGGCACCAAGCCGCTATCCCAATAGTGCTGTAACTCTAAATCCCAGAAACGCCCCGAAAAGTGGTCGTGAAGCAGGCAGACGCAAAGGCTGGTGTATATGCTGTGCATGTGCAAAGGCATTGCCGGTTGTGTAAAAAGGACAGAACTGGTCGTGTCCACTAGGGCGATGAAGGCGAGACAGCCTCGGGCTATCATGGCAGGATCTCCTCAAGGCTCTCAAACTTGATCGGATGCACGAGGACGCTGCGCATGCACATCCGTCCACTTTCGCGCATCTCCTCTCCAGGCCCACCCCCGAGACCTGACAGGCTCTGGGCCATGGTATCGTTGCTCTTCAGCGGCTTCGGCGCTCTTGGGTCGTCGAGAGGCTGCAGGAATCCCAGCCAGCGGCGCCACATGCGGCCAGCGAAATCCGAGTTGTAGTACCACGTCAGGCCACGGAAATAGTGTTCATTGCTCTGGTTGAAGGGCGAGTCACGGCCGGCGCCCGAAGAGTGATCGGGTCCCGCGTTGAGGGCCCGCTCCATCGCAACCAGCGGCCAGCGACGGTCGGCATAGACAGGGTGCGGTGCGTAAGCCGCCTTGAAGCCCCGGTGCAGCGCAATGGTTGGCGGGAACATCTCGGCGAACATGCCGTGGTGCAGCCGCCAGGTCTCCTCGTGCATGGCAAAGAGCAGGCGGCGTGAGAGGCGGGAAGCCGTGATGATGGATGTGCGACGCGGCGGCACAGCAAAGTCTCGGTTGTAGCCCGTGACGTCGTTGGCAAAAACCCAGCCCGAGTCTTCCGAGTCGAACAGCGGGTTGAGCGTGATCAGGTCAGCCGGCTCGCCCACGCCACACATCGCCGGGATATCGGTGTAGTTGTTGTTCCGATCGGCAAAGAAGGTCCGGCCAGAACCGGCCGTCGTGGCATTGTGGTCAGGGCTGGTCCGATTGAAGCTGCTCAGCACAGCTCCCTCGCATCCTTGTGCCGGAAGCGGTGAGATGCCGCGCTCCTCGTCGCGCGTGGCAGAGCGGCCGGCGAAGAAGACCTCGCCCAGAATGGAGGGCCGGCCAGCTTCATGTGCCTCAGCGTCGACAAGCGCGGTGAAGTTGTCCCAAGAGCCGTGCAGAGCAGGAATGTAAAACTTGGACGAGCGGTCCCAGATGCGACGGCGTTGCTGCGCCTCTGCCCACTTGCCGAGACGGTCAAAGAACTCGTAGTAGCTGCCCAGAAAGCGCATGTCCATTTCCCAGTTCCAGTAGTGGGCGTACTCTGGGTGCTGCTGAGCAAAGTGCTGCAGAGCCAGATGCGGCGAGCGGTACACGCCATAGATGTCGTTGTCAGACGGGTTCTCGAACACCGGCTGGTAGTTCATACCGGGATACAGCAGCCGCATCTGTGCCACAGACCAGAGAGTGACCAGGCCGCGGAACTCGAGCGGGACGTTGTCAGCTATGACGCGCTCGGCCGTCTCCTCATCTGCCCAGATAGGCAGGTTGTCATCGCGGGTGTCCATCAGGATGTGCACGTCGTATTCGCCACCTGATTGGAGAGAGACTTCCGCGATTAGGGCACGGAAGTTGATCACAGCGTGCGGCGTCCATTTGTAGCCGGCATAGCAACGAACCACGATAGCTATCCGTTCCAGCTTCTGGAGCGGATTGGGGGGCGGTGTTACAGAAGAAGCCTCGGCGGTTTCGGTCGCATTGGAAGCTGTGACAGGCGAGGCAGTCTCCTCCTGGCCCCTCTTCATATGCAGCTCGCTGCTCATGTGGGCGTACTCGGTGGCACCAGATATCTTATCGTCCGCAGCGACGAAGCGTTCTGCATTCGTCTGATAACAGCGCTTCTGTGCATCCGCCCAGTTGACGTTCGAGTAATCGATCTTGCCGCTGGAAGATGCCGCCCAGATGCGCTCGCTTCCCTCACGTTCAACGTCGAGACCCTGGCCGGATCCGCCCTCTTCTTTGCTGTAACCCATGCCGTAGGGGCCATAGCGACCATAGCGTTCGAAGCAGACATCGTCGCGCAGGCCGAGCAATTTGTGCGAGCCTAGGAGGGGCTCGGGCTGGTTTTGTGGTACGCCTGCGTATGCCCAAATGTGCGGCACCGGTACCAACCCAGCAGCATCCAGATAGCAACGGTGAACGGGATAGTACTTGGCGCGATAATCGGACGAGTTGTAGTCGGGCTGGGCGTGGAAAGGAGTCGGATCAGGGAACGCCGCGTTCAAAGGTACAGTCGCAGAGGAATCCGTCTGAGGGGTTGGCTCGGTGCCGGAGAGAGTGTCGTCAGCCCTCTTCGCGAGCTGCTCTCCCGTGACAGTTGCAGTCGAGATCTCTTGAAGCGCCAGCTCTTGGTCTTCCGCCGTCGGAAACTCTGCGTGGTATTCGCCAATGGGCACTAGCGTTCGGATGCCATTGTAGTAACCGTTGAGCCTGAGATGTTAGCTGGTCCTGACCGCGTGACTGACCGGGAAAGGGGGGTCCTACCGAGTGTAATTTAGCCAGACGGCTTCGGCTTTGGTGCTGTCAGACGATCCTGCATCTGGAGACGGGCGGAAGCTGAACGCCTCAGGGTGTTTGTGCTTCCCGACCACCAATGCTAGTATTAACAAAGCGACCAGAGCCGTCCCCCATACAACAACACGTCGGTAAAAGTAGTTGCCGAGCAGCAGACGGGGAGAGGATGGGGGATTCGTCCTGGAAGAGAGGGGAGAGTAAGGAAGAGAGATGCGGGATTTTGGCAGCCAGCGAAAAGAAGACTTGGCGGCCTCGATAGCGGAGGTAGCGGCAGTGGTCACGACGGGCATCGGCAACAGAGAGACTCGGGACGAAGAGAAGCTGGAGAAAGTCGACGAAAGGCCCGAGACGCCGGTGGACGGCTTTTCTAGAATTGAAAAGCTGTTGCGTCGACTGGCAGTTTGGCTGGAGGAAGAGCTGGCAGAGCTGCTACCAGATGTGACAGCGGCTGTCTGATCCATGGTGATGTTATAAAGGCAGCGAGACAATCATTCGAAAGTGGCGTCTGGGCAAAACCGGTGGTGGCGAGAGCGCTGGTGAAGGCGCTTGACCTAACGAAGGACCAATTATTCGAAAGGGAGAAAAAGGCACATCAGACGAGAAGATGAAGCAGGAATGTGAACAGTCGTCGAGAGTGACACTGGGTGCAGACCAGATCTGTGAAAATCCGTCGTTGTGATGGGTGTGGAAGAGTGAGAAAAGACAAGACCAAAGTGCAAGGAGAGACGACGGCAGCCGAGAGGCTATGAAAAGAACGAGTGAGGAAGAAAAAAGAGAAGAAGAAAAAGGCAGCAGACAGAAAGGCTCTAGAACGAGTGATGGCCAAGAAGAAGATTCAACGAGAAACGATAGGAGCCGAGATAGCACGCTAGACTGACAAGAGGAAAAGGGAAAAAAGACAGGCGACAATTATCTGCAGATTAGAACCCTCCTTCGAATTGGTTAGCACTACGGAGTAGTTTTGGCAAGCCCCTAGCTAGTGCTAGTACCCGCACCACCTATTGCAGAGCGCTGTGCCCCTCCCACCCATCCCCTGCATAAAATGCCAGGGGACGGTAAAGGCGTGGGGTGGAGTTGTAATCAAGCGAGCCAGTGTCTCAAGCTGCCAAGCTTGGCCATTGTATTTCCCACTTCGAACACTCCGCACTAAACATCTAACATACGGAGTACTATGTTCGTCTGGACGGATAGGAATGGGCAGGTGGCGCGATGTGTTTTTTACTACGTATGTACATACAACGCACTGGTATGCATCTTATCAAGATCCCGTCGTACTGTATCATAGTATAGAGCACACGACTGGGAAATCAGGCGCCAGCAGACACGATCGTGGCTGCAGTGATAATTCTCGCAGGAGCGATAGGGGGGTTGTTTCCCCACCGGCGCCATTTCGACAATAGCGGCAGTCGCAATTGGCCAAGCACGTGTCCGGTTGAATCCGGCGATGGAAGAGACGCTTGCGCCCTCTAGCCTAGGCTTTCTTGGTTGTCGCATTACGCTTCCGGCCGTTGTGACGTACGAGTACGAGACTCCGTACGTATACAGCGGTTAGATAGGCAGCGTCTGCAAACAAGCTACTCTCCGAGTTTTATTGCCAGTATGCGCCTCTTTGACCCAGAGGGACAGGCACGGGGAACAGTGCGGCATAAAATAGGGGCTGGGGGCGGCCCAACCGGAGCTGGAATTCTATTAGTGGACTCCTTTTTATGGAGATGCTTCATGTACACGTGACTTCACATCCGGCTGTCCGTTGGTCGGACTGTGCGATGCCAGGAATACGGCTTTTCACGGATGGGGGATGAATGGCTGGAACGGCAATGCGGCAGGACGGACAGTGTGCCTGCTACCGTTCTGACAAAGGCGCTGCAAGCTCCTTGGCTGGCTGTCAAATCTCGTCTCACCCGGCTTGGCGTGCCAAACACGATCGCCCTGAGGTTCAATGAGCAAATCACATCTCCGAAAAAGCACTTGCTACATATTGTATCTTATGTACTCCGTACCTAAAATAGGACTGCTCGGCTGGGAAGCATTCGCCTAATTCTAAATTTCCAATAGCCCCATACGTTTAATCATTACCCGTTTTTATATCCTGCTCCCCGGCTCTATGTTATGCATGTGTAATTAGTACAAGTACTCCGTACGGAGTATGGTGCTTCGTACTCCGTACCTGCTCCGTACTCTATACTCTGTCCCCACACGTCCTGGGAAGAGCCGCCATACGGCCTGTCCGACCTCTGGCCACATCAGACGGCCGTGCCGGAGGGTTCGCCTCTCCGCGCCTGTGCCCGGTTGTACTCGGCCCTGCGCCGCTCGTTGCGCCAGCGGCCGACGCGCTCGCGCCACTCGGCGCCCCAGTGCACGGTAGCCAGCAGGCCGAGGTCGCTGAGGACGAGGAAGGCGGCCGAGATGGTGCTGAACCAGCCGATGCCGATGCTCTTGATGGCCGGCAGGGCGACAGCGGTGCCGACGCAGGCAAACAGGTAGCGCACAAAGTAGTTGCCCGAGATGACCTCGCTGCCATGCTCAGGCATCACGTCGAGGCAATACGTGTTGAGGCTGGGGAAGCAGAACAGCTGAGCCACGCCCTGGAGGAACATGGTGATGACCACCAGCGGGATTCCGCCGACGGCTCGGTCGACGCTCCAGCCGTAGATCAGCATGCAGGCCGGGATCACGATGCCGAGAAAGGGCAGCGCCGACCGCAGCCGGTCCTCCGGAATGCGCACGCCGCCACGCCGCACAATCCACTGCCGCACGACGTGATCGGCATAGCGCCCACCCACAAACGTCCCCGTCACGTAGCCGCAGCCGGGCGCCAGATAGAACAGGCCGGCCTGCAGCGGCGTCGTCAGCCCGAACCGCGGGTTCAGCACGTACGTGATCGGTGTCAGCAGCGAGTATTGGTTCCACACCAGCGACGACGACGCCATGCCCGCCAGCATCACGTTGGGGTACACGTACAGTCGGATCACCCGTGCCGGGTTGACCATCGACCACAGCACCCGCGCCTTGGCCCACGTCCGCAGGCCGGCCAGGTTCCGGATCTTCTTGTGGTGGATCGTCTCCGGCATCAGCACGGCCACACCCACGAGAGCCAGCCCGGCCAGGGCTGTCTGCAACCAGAAGATGACGCGCCACGACCGGAACGTGACGATGATGCCGCCTAGCGTGCTTATGTCAGCAACTTGGGGGAGCCACAAGGAAGCACCTCACTGACCGATAAAAGGCCCCAGAGCCGGGCCCGCGAGCGTCCCGGACAGGAACCAGCCCATGCCGGTGGCCCGCTCGGTCGGCCGGTACATGTCGCTGATCGACGCTGAGCCGACCAGGATAAAGGCCGTGCCCTCGAACGCGGTCAGGATGCGGAAAATAAAGTACGCCGCAATGTTGGGCGCCAGCGCCGTGCCGATGCTGCAGCCGACAAAGAGCACGAGCGTGCTGAGCAGGATCCAGCGCCGGCCGTACACCTCGCTCATCGGCCCCCACATCAGCGGCGACATGCCCATGAAGAGCATGTACAGCGCATTGCTGACGTCGATCACCGTTCCCGTCGTCTCGAACTCGTCTGCCACCTCGGCGATGGCTGCCAGCACGGCCGTGCTCGAGATCGGCGCCAGGAATCCGCAAAACGACAGCAGGCCCACCAGTGCCTGCTTGTGCCGTGCGCTCAGCCGGTCGTAGAATGAGTCGGGGATCTCTACAAACGATGACCACGGCTGCGCCGGCTGGTCTGCCCCCTCGCCGCTCACCGTCGCCCTCACCGTTGCTGCTACCGACATCCGACTGGTGGCCGTCGCAATGGGCGCCAGCCGCGGCCCCTCGTCCAGCGCCTGACTGCCGCTGCCGCGTCCAGGGTCCGGTCCTGAGCTCGATCCCAGCGCTGCCTTGGTCTGTCCGTCCGATGTGGTCGACGACGCCGATATCGACGGCGATTCCGAGGACTGCGACCCCCGCCGGCTCCGGCCCAAATCCCCTTTTTCCGTCTCCGTGTGTCGAGCTTGTTTCTTCTCGCCGTCCGCCTTCTCTAGCCGGGCATCGACCTGTGTTTCTGCCGCTGCAGTCTCTGGCCCGTTCTGCTTCTCTCCGGACATCTCGTGACTGTCCGAGTCCAGCTCCGGGGTTTGGGCAGCCTGAGCCGCTGCCTTTTCGTCGTGTGCCATAAAGGAGGAGATCGAGGAAAATAATAATAAGGGTGGCGGGCCTACGTCCTTGGGGGAAACAACATGTCAAGATATGGCGTCCCTTCTGTTCCCATGACGGGTTGAATTAATCTCGTATACTCTTCGTTTGCTCCAAGTACATGACGGGTCCAGAGAGGTATTAAAGAAAAATGGGAGGTAGAAAGGAGAGCTAGAGCTGTCCGTGCTATGATGCAATATGGTCGGGAAAGCATGCGCAAAGGCCAGAGAAAGATGCGACAGTAGACATCCTCCAGCCTGTGTTGGCCGGTTCTAGTCCGTAAGCCGATGCATGATAGCACTAAAAGCCAGACATGACTAGGAATCGTCTTCCTTGCCACATTTCCGTGACCATTTCCGGCTCCACCAACAAGAATGAAGCTTTACACGGCCATAGATGCCATGCTGTCAGGCCGGACTGGCCCCGAACAGCGGTCTGGTCATCCTCATCCCTCCCTGTATCTCTGGTCAACGTCGAGATACGGCCGCTGTCCGGCCGAGAACGGTGGTGCAAAATTGTATAGGATTGGGCCTATGGGGGCGAGAAACAGCCAGTAGGAGGAAAACGCAAAGAGCGGTGGCCCTCCGCTCCCTGTTCGGTGCCGTTCCGTGGCCGATGTTCAATGCGGCAAAGTGTCTCTTCGGCCGACGTGGCACAAGACACCATCCAAAATTTTGCATTTTCCTGCAATCGGATTGGCCAGAAACGTGACTCAATACGGGCCCCTATTTTAATTGAATATGACCGGACCAAGCGAGCATTCCTCAGCAGAGTCACCCAGATAAGGGAGCCCGTTATTCCACTTATTCGGATTTTTCCGTGCCATTCACACAACAAGCTCAGCGCGAGTACGGAGTACAGATCGAGTTTCTATCTTGGCCACTCACCGAGTCTTTACGATGGGTCGTACACAGCATAGATCTCCGCAGTTCGGCGCCACGTTTTCGTTCTAGCCCTGGCGAGAAGGCGAAAAGACGCGGCGAACGGCTTGCATCGGCCGGGAATACTAGCTATAGCGCAATGTCCCTGCCAGTCACCGCCTTCTCGTATGCTCGGCCTGGTGCAGAAGCGTCCCGGCAGTACTTATGTCACGTGACCAAACGAACGGCCAGGGGATCGTAAGATATCGACTAAGCGACGATGTGCTGGGTGGATCACATACTCCGTACATGTTATTAAGGGGCGTGTGTGAAGCCGTCAAAATGAGGGAAAATAGAGTATACGGAGTATAGCATTCGCTTCGACAGGGTGTAACAATACTAGGTAGAAGAACGGGCTCCATTTCGCCCCTGGCTGCAACATCCTGTTATCCACGTCCGCAAATCGGTATCATTGTGCCCGCTTCGAGGAAAAAACAGAAAGAAAGATAAAGCGGCCAAAGCGGCCACTGCAGAAGAAAGACACAAACAGGGAAAGCCGTCAAGGAAAAGCAACAAAAGGCAGAACTCCCGGAAGATCAAGAATGGCAGAGGGGAATGAAATACCAAGCAATTATCAGAGCCCACACAGCACAAAGAAGCGGGCCGCCCAACCCTCCTCCTCGCCATACATGCCGCACCACGTCTTGCTGCAGTCTATCGGGGCCGCCGCGTCCCCTAGCGCCACGTGCCTTCGATCGGGCTCTGCGGCAAGCTCCGCACTCCGCTCAGATCCCCGCTACCTGTACGTCGCAGCGCCTGGGTCATCGTCTCGATAGCCAGCTCCCCGCCGAGCAGCGCGTTGCTACCGGTGCTGCCAACTGCCGACATCGTGGGCGACCCCACCGCCGACGAGTATGTCGATCCCATCGTCGCCTTGCGGCTCGGCGGTGACAGCTCAAGGCCCTTGATCGACCCGCTCTTGCTCGTCGGCGGGCTCGTCGCCGTCGCTGTCGGGGATCGCATTGGCGACGGCGACCGGTTGACGGCAGTGCTCAGCGTCGTCAAGCTGGTCAGCCCGGCCAGGTGCATAGATTCGTGAACGCTGCCGCTGCCGCTGCCGCTGCCCACCGACAGAAGCTGCTGGTGCTGGTGCTGATGCTGTTCTGCCTGCACGACATCCGCGAACGAGATGAAGCTCAGCCGGCGTATGTCCGTGGCGTCAAATGAGCCGTAGTTGGACGCGCTGTCATCCTTGTCGACGAAGCTACTGGCCACGTCGTCGACCCAAGCCCCCGTGCTGACGCCGCTAGCCGCGCTGGACGCAACTGGGGCCGCGTTGCCCATGCCAGCCACAGCCATCACCGCCGGCTGGTGGTGAGCGTGTGTGATGATCTCCACCGAGTCTGGGTCTAGGTGGTCGTCCGTGATGACTTCGGACGATGCATCCAACACAGACGGGATGCGGTCCTCAGTTGTGATGTGCGACGGGATGGCAGGCGAGTTTGGTACCAGCAGCGCGCTCTCTTGCACGTCACGCTCAAAAATTTGCGACCCCGCCGGTGACGACACTCGCGGTGACGAGGACAACCCTGCCGCAGTCCGGCCGGGCGAGGTCGGCAGCACGTAGTACCCATGGCCAAAAGAGCCACCGCTAGTACTGCCCATACTGGCGATACTGGCACCCATATAATTCTCCGCCTGGAAGGGCGACGATGGCTTCCGTAGGAGCGCCGATGGGCCCCCGGGGGTTTGAGGAGGAACTACCGAACCCGTTGCAGCGCTGGCGTTTATGTTTAGCGTTGTTTGGCCTGACATTGTTGTTGTCGAGGTACCCGCAGATGCAGATGCAGCCGCGGACGCGGATGGAACTGATAGAGACGTGGCAGATGTTTCGTCGCCCTTTTTCTTGCCAAAGCCAAACAAGCCGCGCTTCTTGTGTTTTTTGTTGTCGTCGCTGCCGGTGGCAGACTCTCCACTCTCTTCTTTTTTGCCTTTGACGGACGGCTTCGCCGACGTCAAGGCAGCAGTGACTGGGGTGTGCTCGAAAGGAGGTGCTAGCACATGCCCTTGGCTGCTGGTACCGCCAGAGAGCGGCGCAGACCCTGCCAGGTTCATTCTGGGAGGTCGTATGGCTCTAACGCTGCTCTTCGTTGCTCGTTTCGCCGACTCGATCGTCTTCTCACAGTTTGATTGCCGTTTTATGCGTGTCAATTGTTATAAGAAGTAGTTATCGGTGCTGAGAACGTTAGATACGGGTCGCCCTAGCAGCTGATGGAATGTGACAACGGTAAAAAGGAGTGTGGAGATTGAGGTTGCAGCGCTGTCATTTGCTCGTATACTATTACTTCGCCCTCACTCTGCCGCTGCTGTGGCCTTGATAATCCCCAGGGCGGAGAGCAAGAATGGACGACCGTCAGGATGTTTGTCTGTGCTGTTGTTGTTGGCCAAAAGCAGGCATCCGGCGGCGCGAAAATGGAGATGGGAAGGGGAAGGGGTTTTTGCGCATTGTTAAAATTGACTTACCAAAAAGCTGCTGGAGGGCTGAACGTATTTTCAACACTTTTGGCACCGCAAAACTCCTCGCATACGTCTGTCTTTTCGCGTATCTCAGACAGCGCTTCCTATTATTGCGACACTTATGCCCTAGCTATACCGCGCAGAGCCCTGACATTGAAAACGGTCCTGTCGCTCAACCGTGTCGCTTTTCTGTTCGTGGGCGATGACGACGGAAAATGCGGGAGCGTGATGGATTGTGGGTCGGTTTACTCGTAGCGCCGCCTACCGAAGAAACAGAGCTAAGCCGCACGTAGACTTGCGGAGGGATGATCTCCTGGCTAATATATCCTTGCCCTCTTTTTACGAACCGTTGATTGATTGATTGATAAATGCGCAGTCGACAAGAGTAAAGAGAACAATGATCACGGCGTGGAAGACGACGGTCTCAATACCCGTCGTCGCTTCCGCATTTGTCTGCTGTTGTTTTTCTTATGCTCAACACGTGCTGCATACCTTTCTGGGCGGTTTGCGGGATTTGGCGTTTGGACGTGCAAAGTGTCAGCAGGTACGCTTTAGCTTGTATCTTACCTTATTACGCGCAACCCACTATTAGGTAACCACTATAATCGGAACCCACCACCGCGCTCCGAACGAGAACTCCAGGGAGCACTAGCGAAGATAACATGCAACCCACTGTGGGAGCCATCACTGAAGCAAAAAGACCAAGGCAAGATACAGAGATGGGACGGCCGATAGCGAGCTCGCATAAGCGGCAATGGCGTGAATGTAGATATGTCTGTCTCGTGCGAACCAGGAAGCTCTTCTACTCCTCTCTGCTCCATATAGCATCCTCTTTGTACTGCTGTCGGCACTTCAGACTAGCTTGATATCAGAAACAGGAGTGGCTTGATCTATATATGCCTACCGTATGTTAAATTTGGTGAACTCGAACGGCAAAGGCCTTCGGCCGGAATAAGGGCCAAAAGTACCACTGGGTGGCCAAGAGCGAATTGATTTGCCAGTGCATCCGGATCTACTCCGTAAGTGTTTCGGCAAGTCTGGCATAATGTTCCAGTATTCGGCTGCCCAGAAGTAGTGGGAGAAAGATCAGATTGGGGTTCCCCCTCTAACCTATAGCGAGAAGGATATGGGCTCGTGCTTTTGAAATTCCTCAGAAGAACAACGATTACCGAAAAGTCATCGACCAGGAGTGAAGCGTTGACAGGCCGTCCACAATTGCAAAGGTGGGTGCTGAAAGTGGTGACGTCAGAGGTGCGTCCTAGAATTGTTTCGCCGCCTCCACGTTTACGTTTTGGCATGCGGTATGCGAAGTATACAAAATTATAATACATATAAAAAGCCACCTTATCAGCGGGAAGTCCGGCATGGCTATTTTTCATCCACAGCCTCATATTTGCCTCGTTTCCAGCTTTGCGGTGGTCGCCAGGGCCAACCGACGATCCCTGCCTTCTCTGATAACAAAGGTCATCCATACGCCCTGCGCATCACACGATGTCGAAGTGTAAGCTCCAATGACCACTAGGAGTGGCGCAGATGGTCCCTCCAGTCCCTTCTAGTGCCCTTTCAGACTTTACAGTGTGCTTCTTGGCTGTGGGGATGGTCTGCTCTAGCAGAAGTACTGACAAGCCGTTTAGATTATCCCGTCTGTTGCTGTTCTTGGCTCTTATATGAGTACTGCGTACCAATTTACTTATCATAGTTCTAGTTGAACCCGTTGCTTTCTAAGTCAACAGTTTGTGTCCGTAGTGTTACTTAACACGTCTATCCACACTAACTTGCGAGGCATCGCGGTCTTCTATATCTTCCGCGCCCCATTTTAAACCCACAATTACCATGATGGATTAATTAGGAAGCATATCATGCGTAAAGTGTTGCTGTACTCCGTACATCATAGAGAAAGATTGACCATAATATTTTAGAATTTACAATTGGGGAGAATAAAGGAGTTGGATATCCAAGTTTTTAGCACCAAAAGCTGCTCTTGCATGAAACCCATATGGCATTGCAACCACAAATATATTGGTAAAAGTTACCCAGTTTCGTAATTTACCATTCTCTTGGCTTCAGTAAGCGGACACTGAGAAGCGTTATTTTCAATTTTTCTTCGTTTTTGCTTTAACCAGGTAGCTTCGTACGAGATTAACAACCGCAAAAAGACAGCGGGCTTTACTAGACTTGACGCACACTTTCACAACTAAGTGGAAAGCAAGAATATGCATGGCCGTAGTTGCGTCCCCCAAACCAAGGTCGGCTCAATACATGGCCAGTATTACCCCTACACTTTGTCATTCTCGACAGCACACAAATGTGTTTTATCATTAACCTGTGCCCAGAGTAAGACCCCGTGCAAGACAGCCGTATCCAACTGCCCGCCCTGTAAAGTACCACATAGGGGTTGCAAAATCTTGCCTGAACTCGTCAATGATCGTCACGAGTTATCATGTGCTTCAACCACGCCCCATTTACACTAAACACCACCTCCCAGCCATGGCTTGTCGTTAAACAGTCAGAGGGCACTAGCATATGATAATGCGCTAAAAACAGGGGTTTATTCCAGATTAAGAAAGAGCATTGGCTCGATCGTTGCTGGCTGGGCACCGCTTCTGCTTGTTGTCACAATGACTCAGCAGTAGGTTCAAGCTCCACTTGTAGGAACCGGCTGCTCCCGTTGCTGAAGGCAACAAAATCAGCTATCTTCAATTCGCATTTATTTGCATTTCACAGTCACAGGCAGAACATTCGACAAATAAGTCTGCCTGCTACTCGTCCACGTAATTGGCCGTCCTTCAAAGGCACTTGTTACCAAGTCTATCGATCTGGTTCGACTGCCACCTAATATGGCCAAGGCATTCTTCCAAGTTATTCCGAACCTGCCGCTTTATGAGGCGAAGTGAGGCGAGCAGGGTACACGTGCATCTAATGGCAGCTATATCACATCTGGCAATACTCCACTTTCGTGAGCAGAAGAGGTCACTTCCAGAGCCTTGTGTACAACATCATGGCCGCCACCAGGGGCCGCAGAAGTTGGCTATGTTGTCCCGCCTTTGATGAGCAATGTTCTCGAACATAAATAGACGGGCTTTCCATCTTATAATCCGCCCAAACAATGAAGCCATGCGATTGAAAGCACCTCTCGGAGTCCATACATATTTTTCCCATCAATTTCAAATTTTATCCCCCTGCAATAAATTTTCACATTTCAAAAGATGTCCCATCCATGGTCTCAATCCCTGAACAAGTATTGGATACCTAACAAGGACATCCACAAGAAGGTCATAACGGCTCAACTTCATTCCTACCTCGGCCCTGAATCAACCGTTCGACCTTACACCAAGGATGTATTGCCTGCTCCTCCCAAAGACTTTGTGTCAAAAAGTTGCAAGTATGCTTGGTTTAACTTTTTATTAAGGGCGAAGATGGATTCCTCATCACGACAGCGGGGAGTTGTCTAAACGACGTAAGTCATTAAGCGTACCCTGTTCATGATTTCGAACTGGAAATGTACCAGGCTGTTGCTCGTTCATTCTCAGCTTACTCTTGCTGCTAAAAATATAGGATCAAATCGATGAGATCTGCAACAAATCCAGCGAGAAATGGGACCAAATGACCTTGGAGCGCTGCCTTGATAGGCCCGACTTTAGAGACCTCAAGCGTCCTTTGCATGTACCCGTGTTGATTTCAAAAGCTGTTGGTAAACCGTACTCCCCGAACGATTACTCGCTATATGGAAAGCAACATGAGAATTCCCAACAAAACGTGTACCAGGGTAATTGGGACCATGGCTCTTACAGCTACAACGGGGATCGTCATCAAAGATGAGATTGTGTATACATGTGCGCCAGTTGGGTCTGGGAGGGAGGGCACGTCAACTTGAAACCAGGATCGATTTGAACTGCATATCAAAGATTTATATAGCAACCAATTTGAACAATTCACGTCCGGATTACCGTTATTATATCATACTCGTTGAAAAAGGTGGCATGAGATTATATGCGGTACGACGAAAATACGGAGGAGCTCAACACACGAACAGCAATCTAACAGAAGCTGTTTTCTGTACGATCGAACGATTTAGAGTCAAGGAAACAGAAGAGAGGGAAAGAAATACAAGCTACATACTACATACGCTAGAAAAAAAGGCACCGCACCTCGAAGCTGATACTTTACCGAGCATAGCTATGGCACAAACATCTCACTTTTATGCAGGTTTTGGAGTGCGATCGTAGTACCCATACACAACCTAGCTAAGAGAAATCTGAACGAGCCCGATAGCCACACGATTGCACGCAACGCAAAAGATAGGTATATATGACCACCATACTCCTGGCGGCTATTATTCACTGCGCTATATGCTAAAACAACACAGCCACCAAGGACGCGGGATTGCACGGGTATGATTGACAGGAAGCAGGTGCATCGTCAGGCGGCCTTTGGAGGCACAAGCCGCCAAGGATACCACTGGTTCGAACCCCCCCCATAAAAAATACCTCCATACAGGCAATTTATGTATCGACGTTAGAGGCCCAGTTGCCAAGACAGCGCTCATAGTCCTGGATATCCAGTGGTCCGGTGGACCAAAGGATAAGGGCTTGGACATGCACATCTTTGCATTTCGCCTCCCTGGTTGGGAACTTGGTCGACTGTGCCGGTACAATCCTGTTGACGTATCCGATCACATTGACCCACTCACCCACCTGCACCTGGTTCGCTGTCAGCGTTTCCAGGAGCAGCCGGACGTCCACAAGCGCGCGATCTCGTGATGCCTGAGGATACTCGTGCCTCAATGTCAATACGCCCGGTGCAACCGCATATGACATCACGCTGAAATCGCCAAAGACGCATTTGTCAGTCCGGTGTTCCAAAGTCAGCATACTTGTTTCAAAGCATGAAATATGACTGCCCGAGTTTTGAAAATTCGATTTATAACAAAACGACTAGCTTGCCCAAATACACAAGACCATGCCGTGGAAAAGCATTCAAATTAGACAGAGGAGAGCATAATTTACCATCCAAGAAATCTGACCTTATCGCCCGGGCGTTTGGAAGAAAGATCAGATAGAAAGCATATTTGGGATGGTGGTGGTCCATTAGACATGGCTAGTCCGTCTCGTCAATACCGAGCCCTCCCGTTCATTCTTTGTTTATGCCAAGATATGTTTCGACGATAATATTTATGCGGGGTTCGGGCTTAAGCATTGGAAACAAGAATCTATTTTTAAGTCCGACGAACCGTATATCTGCGTAGGTAGCGAGTGAAAACGAACAAGAGACGGCAGTCGTCCGGCTTGTAAGGAAGGCAGCGATTATCTCGAGTCATGAGGTCGGCGTTGAGCTAAAGTGGGCATTAGTAACCAAGTCACGTGAGTGAACATGGCCCGAATTTTTGTACGGTGGGGTTGCCCAGATGTCCGGCACGTGGTTGCTATTTAGTGGCAGCCTGCTTGCCAACTTGCATCATCATTATCTTCACCTAGCAAGGAGCTTTTTCTCAAGCAACGCGGTAATTTACGCTATCGCCAGTTGGGAGACTTGTTCTTCTGGGAATCTACAAAATATTACTCTATAGGGCGTTCGACAACACTTACGCGTTGATACTTCTGGCCGGTATAACTACGAAAAGACAACAGGTCCCGAAGTCCTCCGAAAAACCAGCGAACCTACGAGTATCGAGTCCACCGTTCCTCGGCAGCCGCAGCCACAGCGGTGCCAAAAAAGCCAAAAATACCGCGAACAAAGCCTTACTGTCTGGCTATATTCAGCCCAGAGGCTAGTTTTCGGAGAGTGGTGGCAGCGTTGTCGTCGAAGCCTCGAGTGATACCCCTCACCAGCTCTGCCCCTCCCGTAGCGGTCGATAAGAACCATCCAGAACAATGTCGGGCGTCTGGGGCTGGTTCGGTGGTGGCGCATCCGCACAGAAGCGCAAGGACACACCGAAGAACGCTATTCTCGGATTGCGATCGCAGCTTGATATGCTACAGAAGCGAGAAGAGCATTTGCAGAAGCAGATGGACCAGCAGGATGCCATTGCTCGAAAGAACGTTACAACAAACAAGTCCGGTATGTGCTGTAGAAGAAAGAGAAGGTTATCGGGAGATATGCGATGAAGGCGGTGGCGAGGGAAGATCCGCAGAGTATACAATATTGTAGCTAACCATCGAAAAGCGGCGCTGGCGGCACTACGGCGCAAGAAGGCGCTGGAGCACAGCCTGGAGCAGACACAGGCCCAGATAGGCACGCTCGAGCAGCAAGTCAACGCCATCGAGTCGGCGAATATCAACCGGGAGACACTGGCGGCGATGGAGCGGGCGGCCGCAGCCATGAAGACGATCCACGGCAACCTGACGCCGGAGAAGGTCGACGCGACGATGTATGTTTGGCTTCTAGCCCTACCTCTTCCCGTCGGTTCTCTGTTAGATTGGAGTCGTCTCGCAATTTTGCTCCTACATACTTACATGTCTACCAGGGAGGAGGTCCACCTGCAGAACCAACTCAGCGAGGAGATTGTCACTGCCATTACGACTAGTACGATTGGAGACCTTGTGGATGATGCCGACCTGGAAGACGAGCTGGACAAGCTGCAGCAGGAACAGCTGGACAACAAGATGCTTGAGACCGGAACAGTGCCAGTGTCGGACGCCATCCACAGGCTGCCGGCAGCAGCAAACGGAGAGAGTAAGATTCCCCCTTGTTCGCAATACCCCTGGTTCTGGTACCATTGAGCCACTGTCTAACACAATACCAGTCAAGAAGGCTGTGGAGGAGGACGACGAAGAAGCGGAGCTTCGGAAGCTGCAGGCCGAGATGGCTATGTGATGTGTATGCATAAGCACTGGCGAAAGAGATGGGCTGAGACGAGATTGGTTAAAGGATGGGCAGGTGTTAAACCCCATGTTCTCTCCCACCTGCGTATCATCATCACGGGCGTGGGATGGGCCGAACGAGTGCACCCCACTGGCTCTACGGCGTAGCGACTCTTCCTCGAACACCGTCCTCTGTTGTTACTCGAGCGGAGACGGTACTGACATTACGCCAGGGTAGATAAGAGCAAACGCCAATGCCGAATATGGCGCCCCCCCTCCCTAACTTGCTGTTCTTGGGCAGATCCATTTTGGAAGGAGATCACGATCTTATCGGTTTGAGGCAGTTGGCGTTGGCGTATCTCAAGGATTGCATTTGCTTTGTTTGTCTGCTGTTTTTCCACTGTCTATTTTCGGGACTTGCCCATTCTGTCGTGCAAGGTTGGGGGTATTTCCCGACAACCACTTACCCTTTTTGTTTTAAGTAACTGGTGTATAGGGCAATAAAGCCTTCAAATAGAAGATGTGTGGGATGTGTGGCGGCTGCCAACGTAAAAGGTCGCTGGTGTGGCTGGTGCCGCCCAGCCTTCTGACGTTCTCGTAGACGCTACGGAGTGGTAGCATTGACGCTCTAGCACAAAAGGCCTATGCATCACCACAAATACTCTGTAAGGCAACTTCAGACAAATGGGAGTGAAGCGGCTTCGCTCTCACCGTCGTTTTTCGTCCAACCCCACTTGACAAGGGGGTCCACTACGACGTATGTCCGCCTCGATCGTGCAAATCTCTTCGTGTGTTTCAATCTGGTTATCCACTTGTATTCACCGCAATGCTATCTATATTACGGCGTCACACCGCTTCTGGGCCTCAAGCCGACCCACTCACCGAATGAGGCTACATACGACTCGTAGTATCAGAAAAAGAACTAGTACGGAGTACTCCGTATCATATGTAGCTGACAATTGGCAAGATGCCTTGGGCAGCGTCAAGCCCGGTTTTGTTACTGCCTGCGTCTGCCTTCTGCTTACGACTTCTCGTACTGCGTTTCAAAAACACCTTACCTTTACGTAGTGAGACACTTCCTAATTGGTGGCAGATCGTAGCTGCGGCCGCAATAACGTGGTTGAGGGAAGAGGCCGCGATGTCTTAGTGCCACTTTTACTGTGTTGATGCCTGACCTGGAAGTGCTGGAAAAAGAGGCTTGCAAGTTGCAGGCTTTGCACATAGGCCTGCAAGCTCGCAGCGATAACTAGTCCAAACCCTTGCGGTAGTCCGTACACCCAAAAGCAAACAAGGCCCGGGAAGTCAAGAAAAAAAAAAAAAAAAGCACGCCGCATCTGGCAAAACGTCTCTGTGGGTCACTTCCCCAATTATCTAGCCTGTCGGTCTCCCATCCACCCAACGGCAGCCGTGGGCCGGTCCACCGACTGGTCGGTGGCAATTCATGGCCTGTCTGACTCTTCCAAGTTACTCTGTATTATGGAGTACAGAGTATGTAAGATACTACGACGTATGTACGGAGTACGAGTGCCGAAATCTTATCACATCCTCGTACAGAATAGTAAGATATGTGTCGTATTTTCCCTCAGCCTCTGCCCGTACATACATAGTACGAGTACGATGTCACATACCTGGTGTCACGCCTGCAGTTTTTTTTTTATGTCTGCGGCAGTTTCTTTTTTGTTCTTTTTTTCCCTTTTTCGTTTCCCTTCTTTTCCTCCTTCTTCTCTCCTTCCGCCTTTATCCGAACGAATGACATCAGACCGGTGATATTTACTGCCCAAAGGACTTTTGTGTACCGTCCTTGCCGCCGCAACATGCATGGTGACCAGGGCCCTTGTCGATGTATGACGCTACTCGACTCAGCACATTACTTTAGCATCAACCGGTCTTGAAAATACACTACCTCTCGTAAGTTACGCAGTATCGGTTCGGCTGTTCTTACTGATTGTCGTTGGCTCCCGGCGACCGCTGGAATGCGCCTGCTCAACGTGGAACTCGATAGGCAGGGTCCGTCTGACTTGGCCGACCGGCGACACGTCGTGGAAGGTGCCACGTAGCATACCCCCGACGTACGATATGGATATAAAACATCTTACGGCATTGTGCCTGCCACAGGAAGGAGCGCTCTTGCATCTTACTCGCGAATCGTAGGGTGCAAGCCCACTTGATTGCGCCTTTTCTGCGTTGCCCCTCATTATTCTCCTTCCTCGTGCCGCCTCAGATTGTCTTTTCTTTTGTCGGCCACCTTCCCTGTCCCTCTTTTCTGCTTTCTCTCCCGTGCTCCACAATGCCCACCTCACGATCCACACCACACCATTATTTTCACCCGCTCTGCATATACAAGTGCGAACCATTGAACATGCATCCGGCCGAGTACATTTTGTGTCTTGAAGCATGGCTCGTATCTTACTATGTGCTGCATTACGGCGCACAATAAACCGGGCAGTTCACGAGGCACCTGCTCAGCTTGGGTTATTCCATCTCTGGATCCCTTTCCCGACCACCCCTACCCTTACTTTACTGATTCTCTCCGACCCTGCTTTACCTTCACTACTTCTCTGTTCTCGCACGAGTGTGCCGTTCAATGAAAAATATCTGTGCAATCGTGACCCCACAGCTCCTGTATTGCGCCATGGTTCCGTCTGTCGATGCTCTTGCATCTCGTTGTACGCCTTGTTCAAGCTTCGGAGTATGTCTAGTGGCAGGTCACTTGTAGACAGAGCGAGGTGCCAGTAGAGCCATGGCTGCTTCGGTGGGTCCATGGTCAGGTTATCCCTGTTCCCCTCTCTGTTTGTTTTTCGAGCCCCCCTCCTTGATCGATCTTCTATACCTTGTCTAGACGATCGTGCCGGGCCCTACGAGTACAAATCTTATAGCTGCAAGTACAAGCATCATGCCGTGGCTGACTTCTTCTGCAGTCCAATGACTTTGTGTTGGGCACCCATTTTGATCCGACTTGTACTATTGTTGACCCGCACGTACTTCTCTGTACTTAGTTGCATCTGTGAACATCACTGCTTCTGCTTTCTCCCTCATCTGCCCGCGTGATACTTCTATCCTGCTTTTCACCTTGACAGCGAACAGTTTAGAACTGGGTCCGACATGGCCCCATTTCTATCTTAATACACCAATGAACCGTGCGCACGATACACATTCGCTCTAATCACTTGAACTTCGAACCTCTTCAAAGTGGCTCGCTTGCAGCGTGGGGTATCACCTTCTGTTTAGACCAGACTTGATTGGAGGTGGGTGCATAAAAGGACCCGCCTCATTTTTCTAGAGGCAGCTCGTCGGCGTCTTCTCTTGGTGTGGACTGGGGTGAAAGCGCGAGAAAAACAGAAAAAAACAGAGAAATTGAAAAAAAGAGTTCCCCTCCGTCGGGACCTTCTTCGTCCCTGTTTACCTATTTCTGTTTCTCAGACTTTGCAACCAGTGTTTCTGTCCTCTCTGCTTCCCACTTACATCTCCATTTTCACATTTCAGCTCCCACTGCACTCCGAGGAAATCAGCCTCAAGGAGCTAGAGCTGTTCGAAGTAGAGCAAAGCAGCAAAGCTGCACACAATTGTATTTTTGGTTTATACCCATTGAGTCCCGCGATATCGTTGACTCCCATCTGCAATCATCCCACTTGTTTCTAATACCACTCCCCTGCCATTCCCACCTTACCCTGTGGTTTTTGCGTTGTTATTGTCGGCAACTGGAAGATCCACTTCGGCAATATACTGGGCCTCCCATCGAATTTTTCATTCTCGTTATACTGTACCTACTGGAATATTGGACAGAGATAGTAAGGTGCCTACTTAGAGCACCTTCAAACATACAGACCAAAACCTCTCTTCAAGGCTGTCTGGTAGACAGGTCCCTCACACCAGACTGAAAGACATGGCGACTGCAGCTGAAGGTGGAGTCTTGTTCAGCGAAGAACGGCTGTTCAATCCTCAAAATATTCAAGTTGCCAACTACGATATGCCCGATATCGCAAACTTCAACAATGTCGAATTCTCAAAGGAAATCAACTCTGAAGAAGAGGACTTTGAGGAGGAAGATCTTGATATCGACGAAGGCACCCGAAATGGACAGCCTGATGTCGATACCGAAGTGAGTATCGAGTCGGAAGAGCCAAAAGCACAGGACCAAAATGGCAAGGACAAAGAAGCCACCAAAATAGAGGGTACGTTTTCAGTGGTAAATATCAATTTTACATGCGGAGAGTTCAGGACTGACGCTGACACGAACGAAGATAACGACTCGAAACCGTCAACGCCCAAGAAGAAGTCAAAGAAGTCAGGCAAAAAGCACAAGAAAGCTGCTTCTGTCGAAACCGAATCTGAGAAGACAGAGTCACCAACTGAAGAAAAGAGTGAAGGTGACGTCAAAGCGAGTCCCAGCGGGAAAAAGAAGAGCAAGAAGAGCAAGAAAAAGAAGTCGAAAACCAGTATGCAGTCAGAGTCCAAGGCTGGCAGTTCGACACTCGATGATTCTACAGATTCGGCAGAGCCGCAAACCCCGGAGCAACAGCAAATACATGAGTCGAAAGACGTCGCAGCTGCTGCCGTGACAGCAGAAGCAGCAACTGAGGCAACAAACGGAACCGAGATGGCAAAGGAAGTTGCCCCTGCTGTCGTTGAAGCACCTGTTACCGTCGAGCCCGCCACTGAGGCTGCCGCTGAGGCAACTACTGAGGCTACACCTGAAGAAATCGCCGATTTCATTGTCGAACCGGCTATCGAAACTGCCGCCGAGACTGCCTCTGTAGAGCCCCAGGAAGACGTTGCGCCGACCAAGGATGCTTCTGCAACAGAGGACCCTTTGGCTGAAACTGCTATTGCTGAAGCAGAAGGAGAGAAAGAAGCTAAACCGCAGGCAACTTCTGGCACTGAAGAGCTGAAGAAAGAGTCTGAAGTGAAGGCGACTGCGGGACCCGAGTTTTCCGAAGCTGAACAAACGGCACCAACCGACGAAGCAAACGGCCTCGCAGAAGACACATCCGCCGTTGTTGCTAAAGAGCCAGAGCAGTCGAACGTTGACTCCGAGGACCCCAAAGTGCTGGAAACAACAATTGCGACTGAAACCGATGTTGCGGCAGATTTCACCATTGCTGAGATTGCGGGTGAAATTGAGGAGACGTCTGACTCGCCAGCTCCCACTGAGTCTCATGTTCAGGAAGCAACCCCAGAATTGACAACAGACTCTGCCAAAGAAGAGTCTGTGCAGGAAGCGCCCAAGGAGGCAGAAGATAAGCCTTCGGAGGCGCCCACCAAGACCGAATTGGTAGAAGAAGCGCCATCATCAACAGCGGTTGAGCCAGAGGAGCATACTGCTGAATCAGCATCTACAGAAGTGTCCACGGACGCTGTTGCGGACGAAGAAGCCAAGAAGTCTACGGAGACGGAAACCGAGGCCGAGGCCGAAGTTGAAGTGCGCGGCGAATCTAGCGCAGCGGCGCCAGAGCTTGTCTCGGACGCGGCGCCCGAAACTCTCCAATCTGAATCTGAAGCTTTGGAAGTTGTTCCCGAGGTTGCTTCTGAGGCCGTGGTTGAGCTTGCTACCGAAGCTGCTCCTGAGGTTACTCCTGAACCCAAAGTCGAGGCTGAGGAAAAGCAGGAAGAGGCATCGACTGAGAAGGCAGAGGAAATTCTGGCTGCCTCGAGCCAGGATGTCGAGTCTGCCCCTGAAGTCATGACTGAGAATGAAGCTGTGACTGAGAATGAAGCTGTGGCCGAACCTGAAGCCATGGTCACGCCTGAAGCCGCGGTTGAGGTTGAGTCTGCCCCTGAAGAAGTCGTGACCGAGCCTGAAGCCGTGACTGAGGTTGAAGCTGTGGCCGAAGCCGAAGCCACGGCCGCGCCTGAAGCCGCAGTTGAGCCTGAAAGCACCCCCGAAGAACTCACGGGAGCCGCGGAAGAGACTGTGAAGGAGGCCGCCGAAATTGAAGCTCCTGTCGAGACGCCTACTGAGGAAGATGCGGCTGTTCACGAGGAAGCAATCGAACCTGTTTCTTCTGGCGGCAAAGCTGTATCTGATACTGCACTTGTGGATGAATCGGACGGAAAACCAGAATCGGCAGAATCAGTTGCTGGGCCGGCCGAGACAGCTGAGGAGAGCACGGCAGTGGTAGAGACTTCTGAGGAAACGACGGAAAAGCCCCTGGAGGATGTCAAGGAGCTAGAGAAGTCTGAAATGGTCGAAGTCGAAGCTGCCGCAGCAGACGGAAAGCCTTCCGAAGCGGCTGAGAAAGATGTGGAGACGACTGACGAGGTTCCCGAGCCATCAAAGGAGGCCGAGGATAGCCCTGAAGTTGTCGAAGAGGAGGCTACAACGACAAGTGACGAAGCAACAGTGTCCACCGACAAGAAGGAAGAGACGGATACCGTTTCTACTGCTGATGAAACTGAGAAACTTACTGGAGAAGTCGCCGAATCCGAGCTGCAGGTTGTTGCTGAGCCGGTGACCGAAAAGACTTCCGAAGACGAAACCCCCGAAGAAAATCCAGCACAGGAATCAGTTTCCAAGACCGAAGCCGTCGAGGAGGATTCTAGAGAAGCTGTCGCCCCTGTCTCCGAGTCTCCCATCACAGAAAAGACCGAAGCTCCTACTGAGACTACCGAGGCAGTCCTAGTGGACGAAGCTGAGACTGCCCTTGAGGAAGGCAAGGCTACACCTGTGGAAGAAGCTGAGGCCCTTGCGCCAGTTGAAGTAGCTAAGGTTGAAGCTGCTCCCATCGAGGAGGCTGATGCTGAGGCTGCACCCGCAAAGGAAGTCGAGGCTGAAGCTGCTCCCACAGAGGAAGCCACCGTCAAGGAGGTCGAGACCGCACCTGTCGAGAGTGTCGAGTCTGAAGCCGTTCCTGTGGAGGAAGTCGAAATCGTTTCAGCTGAGGAGGCGGTTGAGACCGCTCCTACTAAGGAAGCAGAGACTGTTCCTGTTGAGGAGGACAAGGCATTCCCTACTGAGCCTGTCGAGACCGAGGCTGCCCCCGCCGAGGTGACTGAGGCCGAGGCTGCTCCTGTTGAGAAAACTGAGGCCACCCCAGCTGAGGAGGTGGTTGAGTATTCTTCTACTAAGGAGGTCGAAACTGCTCTCGTGGAGGAAGTTACAGCTGAGGAGGTCATCGAGGTCGCCCCTGTTGAGGAGACAAAGGCTACTTCTGTTGAGGTGGCTGAGACAACTCCGGTTGAATCTGAGGCTGCCCCCGTCAAGGAAGCCGAAGCTGCACCTGTGGAGGATATTGCAGTTGATGAGGTCGTTGAAGCTGCCCACACCAAGGAGGACGAGGCTGCAGCCATTGAGGAGGTAAAGGCTGCCCCCGTTGAAGAGGTCGAGACCAAGGCTGTTTCTACAGAGGAAGTTGCAACTGAGGAGGAGGTCGCCCCTGTTGAGGAGACACAAGCTGCTCCTGTCGAGGTGGCTGAGACTGCTCCGGTTGAGACTGAGGCTGCTTCTGTGGAGGAAGTTGCAGTCGAGGAGGTCGTTGAAGTTGCTTCCGCTGAGGAGGCCAAGATTGCAGTCGTTGAAGAGGTTGAGGCTGCCCCTGTTGAAGAAGTTGAGACCAAGGCTGCTTCTACAGAGGAAGTCGAGGTTGCTCCCGCCAAGGAGGCCGAAACCGCAACAGTAGAGGAAGTCGCAGCTGAGGAGGTCGTTGAGACTACCCCCGTTCAGGAAGCCGAGACTGCTCCTGTTGAGACAGAGGCTGCTTCTGCAAAGGAGTCCGAGGCCGTTCACGTCAAGGAGGCCGATATTGCTCCGGTGGAAGACGTTGCGGTCCCTGTCGAGGTTGAGACTGTCCCCGTGGAGGAGGTCGAGGAATCCTCCGTCGAGGCAGTTGAAGCCGAAACTGCTTCAGCAGAGGTCGACGTCGCACCCACCAAAGAGGCCGAGACTCTGCCTGAGGCTACACCTGCCGAGATAGTCAAGGCCGAAACTACTCCTGTCGAGGTGGTTCAGGAAGCCCCCGTCGAGGCAGTCGAATTTGAAACTGCACCTGCTAAGGAAGCTGAGACTGCATCCGCCGAGACAGCCGAGGTGGAAACAATTCCTGCCGAAGGGGTCGAAGCTGCCCCAGTCGAGGCCGTTGAAATTGAAGCTGCTCAAGCAGATGAGGTCGAGAGTGTTCCTATTGAGGCAACCGAGGCTGTACCCACCGAGACAGTCGATTCCGAATCTACTCCTGTCGAGCAGGCCAAGGAACTCCCCGTCGAGACAGTTGAAATCGAGTCTGCTCCTGCGAAGGAAGTTGAGGCTGCATTTGCCGAGACAGTTGAAGCCGAGACTGCTTCCGTCGAAGAGGTCAAGTTGGTCCCCGCTGAGGCAGTCGAATCCGAAACCGCCCTTGCAGAGACCATCGAGGCCGCAGCCGTTGTGGAGGCTGAGACCATTTCTGTCGAGGACATCAAGGCAGTCCCCGCCGAATTCGTCGAGGCTGAGACCACTCCTGTGGAGGAAGTTGAGGCTGCTTCTATCAAGGAGGCAGAGGTTACCCCTGCAGAAGAAGCCGAGGAGGCCCTTGCCGAGGAACCGAAGGTTGCCACCGCAGAGGAGGTCGAGGCTGAAGCTGCTCCTACAAAGGAAGTCGACACTGTTGAGGAAGCTGAGACCGCCCCTGTAGAGGAGACAACAGCCGCTCTGGTTGAGGTAGCTGATGTTGAAGCTGCTCCCGTTTTGGAAGCTGAGGCCACTGCCGCCAAGGAAGTCGAGGCTGAAGCCGCCCTTGTGGAAGAGGCTCCTGCTGAGAAGGCCGAGGCTGCTCCTATTACGGAGGCCAAGACCGAGACAGTCAAGGAGGTTGAGGCTGCTCCTGCAGAGGAGCCTAAGGTGGTTTCTTCTAAGGAGCCCCACTCGGCCTCAGTGGAGTCTGCGGCAGCATCTGTGGAAAAGCTCGAGACCGTCCCTGTGGAGTCTGTCGAGGCTGCTTCTGTGGAAGAAGTCAAGGCTGCGTCAGTCGAAGAGACCGAGGCTGCGTCCGCTAAGAAAGTTGAAGACGCCCCGGTAGAGCCTGTGGAGGAAGTCGAGGCCACCCCTGAAGTTGAAGCCCCCGTGGAGGTTAAGGCTATTCCTGTAGAGGAAGCCGAGGCTGTCCCAGCGGAAGAAGCTGCTTCTACCGAGGAAGCTGAGGTCACCCTCGTGGAAGAAGTCAAGGTCACCACCGAAGAAACTAAGGCTATCCCTGCTGAAGAGGCTGAGGCTGCTCTTTTTGAGGAAGTCGTTGCTCCTGTTGAGGAGGCCACGGTCACACCCACCAAAGAGACTGAGGCTGTGCGCCCCAAGGATGTCGAAGTTGATCCTGTGGAGTCGGAGGAGGCAGTCGAGGTTGCTGCTGTGGAGGAAGCTGAGATCATCCTTGTCAAGGATGTCGAGGCTGCTCCCACGGAGGAAGTCGCTGCTCCTGTTGAGGAGGCCGAGACTACCCTTGTGGAGGAAGTTGAGACTACCCTCGTAGAGGAAGCTGAGACTACCCTTGTGGAGGAAGTCGAGACTGCCCCTGTGGAGAAGGCTGAAGTCGCCCCTTTGAAAGAAGTCGAGGCCACTATTGTGGAGGAGACCAAGACTGCCGTTACAGAGGAGGCTGAAGCTGCCCCAGTGATCGATGTTCCGGTGGCCGAGGCCGAGACCGCCCCTGCAGAGGAAGTCGAACCTACTACTGCAAAGGAGGTTGAGGCTGCCCCGGCAACAGACACCCCCGTGGTCGAGGCTGCTCCCGAAGCTCCTGCTGCAGTGGAAGCCGAAGCGGCCACAGAGAAGCAACTAGCAACAACGACAGACGAAGTCAAGACAACAGACACGGCGGAATTCACCACAGCCGACAAGATTGCAGCGGCAGCTGCAGCGGTAGCCGTGGCAGCGACAGCTGCAGCAGCAAGCGCAGCCACTGAGGACAAGAGCCGGAGTATTAAAGGTGAGGAATATTCCCAATTCATTGCTGATCACACCCCCGAAGGCGAAGGAGCCAGAGAAGAGGAGGAAATGCACAGCCCAGAAGAGAAGGAATTCGAAGAGAAGGAATTCGGCGGCTTCCCTCGGAACGACGAGCTTGCGGAGAGTGATATGAGCGACAGCGGAACTGCTGCCACATCTGTCGCCGATGCTGCCAACCCAGAAGGCCTTGTTGAACCAAAGGGCATCGAGAATGCAAAGGAGGCAAGCGTCTTAGACGTTGTCGCATCAGAAGAAGTAACGGTTAACACCGCCGTTGTGTCAGAGCCTGAAGCTGTCTCCTTCTCAGATGCCCCGATCAACAAAGAGGTGGAGGCTGTCGAGCCGAAGGCCTTACTGGAAGCCGCTCCAACAGAGGTGACAGTGCCGGTCTCCAAATCTGGCAGTGAACTGCCAGAGACATCAGCCAAGGAGATCTCTGCAGCAGACGATGTCCAGCCCACTCAAGAAGCACCTCTACCAGAAGCCGCCAAGTCTCTTGAAGTTACGGAACAGCCCACTGCGGACGATGCCAGCGAAGAGGTCGAAGAGTTCGAAGAGGCCGAAGAGGCCGAAGAGGCCGAAGAGGCCAGAGAGGCCGCAGGCACTTCAGCTGTCGACACCGACAGCGTGGCGCGGGAAGAAGCGTCAGCAGCAGCTGCTGCTGCATCAGCCGCCGCGATAGCAGAAGGTGATATTCAACTGAAATTCCCCGGGTATTCTGCCCGTACCACATTAGAAACAGGCCTTGTCGTTACTGACGATAAGCCTGAATCTAGTTTGGCAACAACCAGGGACAATGAAGGCGTTCCAGAACGGATTCCTGCAGATCTTTACGATGATGGGAGTGGTTGCGCTGTTTCTGCCGAGAAAGATGTTCTTATTTCTGAAGCGGTAGCTTCACAGCTAGCCAGAGATAAGGCCGAGGGTCATGTTCCTGCCATCGTGCAGGAAGGGCAGGTCCTAGTCGAGGCTGTTATCGTTGAAGATCAGGAGACACCATCCGAAGCAGTTTTGCCGGAAGGCTCAGACCACGTGGACCACCATTCCCTGCCTGCCAATGCCGTGACAAGAAACCAGAACGCAGTTGAAGAGAAAGATGTCCGAGAACGGGCATTATGGCAGGATGCAAGCGTTGTTGGTGTCAGCTCTGCAGCTTTCAGGGATGAAGAGCAAACGACAGCCATCAGAACCCCCGTGGCGATGTCAGAGCTCGAGCCCGCCAAAGTGCCGACTGATGCTGAAAAGGCTGCTGTTCCTGAGGTCGAGACTGATGCTGAAGCAACTCCCGAATCGGGTGTTGGAATTTCTGTCGTTGTCTCGGCCGCTATGGTGACCGAGGATACTGCTCAGAATGTCGCTCATTATGTTGCAAACACTATGCCTGCTGTTGCGATGGAACCAGCTGAGGCGGTGTCTGGCCCTGTCCTTGCACAATCTTCTGAAGCCGGCCTGAGAACTTCTACGGACGCCGAGGACGGTGATGCGACACAGTCGGTGGAGCCCAAACCTGTCGACATTGAGCCGGCTTCCGGGTCTTTTGAGCCCAAAGCTACTGGATCTTGTCTTGAGGATGACGCTTCTGAGATTCAGACTTCTGAGACTGCTGCTGAGGCCGATCCGATCGAACTGGATGGTATTGCGAAAGATGTGCCTGCTGTAGTTGAAACTGCCAACTCCGATGATTTTCCAGACGACAGCACGACTTCACGATTTGAACAAACTATACCGACAGAATCAAGAAACCAGGCGGCACCAGCATATCCTGTGGTGGAAATCGCGCAAAAGCCAGCTTCTGACGAGGAATATGTCCTGGTCAAGGCCGTTGACGAAGCGGCTACTACAACCCCAGGACTAAGGTCGACTGTTCCCATGATCGACATTCCCTTCAACGACTCTGTGCCCGCGGTCAATGTAGCGACACTACACGATACCTCCAATGCTAGAGAAGAGCCAGAAAGCTCAACGTCGGCTCGTGAGTTGCCTGCGTTTGAAGCTGGCATAATCGAAGAGGACAGTTTCGTCGCTGTTGATGCAGCAGGCAGCAGCGGGCAGTGCGATGACGCTCCAGTAGACGAGTCTTTTCAAGAGGAGACATTTGCAGGGGTAGAGATTGCGGCAACACTGAGTGGTGTTGGATTGGCTGAGATGGCTGGTCACTCTGTAAGCAGCGAAGATGAACAGCGCCCTCGTTCAGCCAGCTCCATAGACATTGGATCATCGGGCGAGCTTGTACTCCCTGAGGATGTTCGATCGATCAACTCGGGACTCGACTCTTCGCAGGTGCTCGAAGAGCAGACCATGCTGTCAATGTCCAACAGCAGCGGGAGCCTTGTCCAAGACGCCTGGACAAGCTCCAAAGACGCGCTCCAAGCGCCGACACCGACAGTCGTGATTCCAGATCTGCAGGATGCAGTAGCCATGGGGCTGGGCCGGGTACGGAGTAATGGGTTGGAGCGGGAGCTTTCGGGAATGTTTAAAGATATAGAGGAGAAAATCGCGGCAGTGGTGGTGATTTATGCAACTGCAGAGGTGCTGAGTCGGCCCGGATCGCCAACAACAGCGGAGGAGATGGAAAGAGCAGAAGGAGTGAATGAGATAACGGGGCAAGAAGAGACAGAGCAGGCGTGGGGGACAGCCGGAGCAGAAGGGAGGAAGTGGAAAGGGAAAGGGAAAGAAATTGCAGGAGCGGCAGAAGTGGCAAAATGGATGGCAGAGACAGAGGGAGAGGAGGATTCCCCGGCGGCCGAGAAGAGGGGTTTGGAGGGAGAAAGCGCACTGCGCGATTCTGTAGCTGACCTCTTCGCAGACGAGAAGCTACGAGGAAGTTCCTCGGAGGCAGTGCCCAACATGATGGCAGCAGGAGCAGGAGCAGCAAGGAGCTCACGGCCGCGAGGAGAGCACTCTTCTTCTGGCCACCATTCTTACTACAGCAGCCGTGAGGCAGATCGGGATAACAGAGACAGCACGACCGGTGGAGAGATGCCGCGACACGGACGTCGACACCGGCAACGCCCGAGCAGCAGCAGCCATTCGGTGCCGTCGGGATCGGAGAACTCACAGCCGAGGGCGCCGGCGCGCATAGCTGGCGGCTTCTCGGGGCAGAGCGGCCAGAGCTCAGGTCCGGTGTCAGCTTCTCGCAGGTCTTCGTACCACCGGCATCATGGAGAGGACAGAGATCGGGAGAGAGAGCGTTTGAGAGAGGGGGAGAGAGATCGAGAGAGAGATCGGGAGAGAGATCGGGTGAAAGAGCAGGAGAGAGAGCGGGAGAGAGAGCAGGAGAGAGAGCACTTGAGAGAGCGCGTGAGAGAGCGGTCAGAGAGAGAGCGTCACGAGAGAGAACGACCGGAAAGAGAGCGTTCTGAGAAGGAGCGCCACGAGAGAGAGCGTCACGAGAGAGAGCGTCACGAGAGAGAACGGGCGGATGATGAAAAGGAGCGGCTGCTGCGCGAAGAACAGGAGGCTCACGAACGACGCAGAGCCGAGAGACGGGCGCGGAAAGCGCGAGAGGAGAAGGATAGGGAAAGGGAAAGGGAAAGGGAGAAGGAGCGAGAAAGAGAGGCGGCAATGGGCGAAGGCTCATGGGCTCAAGGAAGCAGACGCAAGGAGCCAGATGTGGACAGATTGCCGAGAGAGCGACACGACGAGCGACGGGAACTGCGGCATTCGTTGAGCAACCGGCATTCGTCCGGCCATCGACACTCGCGGCCATCAACAGGCGATGCCAGCACGCCAGCTGCCAGCACAGCATCCAAAGACACTGATGTGCCTCCGATTCCATCGACGGTGTCGAACTCGACTTCGGCGTCGAGGCCGTCGACCAGCCGCAGACTGGCAGAGCCCGGCTTTCCCTTGCGAGACAGCATCGCTGCTACTGCCGAGAAGAAAAGGGTGTTCCGGGACGGAGAAGAGACAGTGCCGATCAGCTCCGACAGCCGAGAACCTGTCAGGCGCTCAGGCACTCTCCGATCGAGATTTGGATCGCTCAGACGGCCCAAGGACGACGGCGAGATGCAACCCAGCACGAGGCAGCCAAAGAGCAGCAGTGACCACGTACCGACGAGCCATCGGCATAGTCGTCACCCTAGACAGAGCGTAGAGGTCGAGCGTCTGGCTACAGCTGTGAGACCGGCTTCGGCTCGGGTTTCACTCCCAATTCCAATGCCGGTCTCAACTGCAACATCGCGACGCAGGAGGACGAGCGACGCGCCAGCAGTTGATGTCTCAACTTCAGCTACAGCAGCGGCAGAGGTGCACGAGTCAGAGCCCAAGGAAGCCAAGATGACGGACGAGAAGCATCGCAGAGACCGGCTGGAGAAGCGTGAGCGCAAGGCCAAGTCCGACAATGAAAAAGTCAGGACGGATGGCGAGGGCAAGAAGACGGGATCAGGCCTGCGGGCCATGTTTAAGCGGTTTCTCCATTGATGGGACGCAAGCTGATTTGTGACGACTACAACTTACGAGAGCGAGCGTTGTTTTGTCTGAGTTCCTGTTTCCTGCACTTTCACATCTCCACTTTCTGTACTTTCATGTCCCAATTATGTATTGATGAACCTGCCGGGTCATACGGCCATATTAATGAACACGATGATACAATAGGCAACATGCAAGGAGCTGCTGTGTCAGTGTGGTCCAAATTCAGGTCAAGTTCCGATCCCGATCCAGATCCAAACCGATTCCAAACCGATTCCATGCGATCCAAAGTCCGATCCAAAACGTCGTGACCAAGGAAAATGACGACCCAACGACCAGCCTCACGACTCAACGGGATCGCGCAAGAACTCGTAGCCGTCCTCGGGCGGGAGCACGAGGGCGGAGAGGGCGAGGCCGGCGGCGCAGAGGAAGGCGATGGTGGCGCTGGCGATGCAGAAGATCCAAGAGATGTCGAGACGCCAGCCAGGCACGAGAAAACGGTCGTCGCGGTCGCGCAGAAAGGCGACGGTAGCGCCAGCAAAGACGTGCAGCAGCGCGGCGGCGGCGAGCAGCAGTCCGAGCACGCGCCAGCCGCTCTCGCGCTTGAGCCGACCGCCGGCCATGACGACGACGAAGCCGACGAGCGCCGCGAGCTCGACCACGAGTGCCAGCGCCATCATGAAGCCCACGCTGCGCCATACGCTGCAGAAATATTGCTGGCCGGCGCCGGCGCTGCAGTCACGTGACGTCTGCGGAAACGGCCGGCACGACGGCACGGCCTCGGACGAGCACGACCGGTGTAGGCCGAGGGTCTGCCAAAAGGGTTGGGCGCCGCTGCCAGGGGTCGGCGGGACGGCATAGACGACCCAGCGGGGGACCAGGTTGGCGGCGATCGTCATGGCCGTCGCTGGGAGTGTTAGAGGGGAAGAGGAGGGGAGAGAGGGGGGAGAGGGGAGAAGAGGGGAGAAGAGGGTAGGAGAGAGGAGAATAGACAGAAAAAGAGCGAGAAGAGAGGTAAAAAAGAGGAACAAAGTGAGTAGAGTAGAAAGATCGAAAGATCGAAAAATCGAAAAATCGAAAGGTCAAGTACTCACCAGCAGTAAAGGTCACCAGAGCAGTGCCATAGACAGCAATTCGCGTCATGTTACAAGAAAATGAAAACCCGCAACTTCGATGCTATCTGTTCAGTCAAGAGTTGAAGCATCTGATCACAGGAAAGAAGTCAACACCCCAACTACGTCAACACTGCCAGAAACCGGATGTGGTTGCCTGACGTCGACACATTGCGATCTGCACTGCCACAGTTGTTGCGCCACGCCGTGTGGCGCTCAGTGGTTCTGATGCCTGAGGCATCAATATGCTTACATAGCACACTGGCAAGGGGCAACCCACGCAAAGACTTCCTTTTTCTCCTCCCGTCTGCGTCACTACGCGTCTCTGCTCCCCTCAATTCGTCGTCGTGTTTGTGTTGGTCTCTATACTGTACTAATTCGTTTCCTCCCTGTTTCGTTTCTGTCCATACCCTATTGTTGTATTCGTCCGCCGCCAACATGACCGAAGCGGAAAATTTCGACGACGAGCTCTTCGCCGACTTGTCAGTGAAGTCCCAAGCCGAGTTCCTGCTTTTTCCGATGGGGCACAACGGCTGACCCACGTTCGCAGATACGCCGACGATGAACCAGCCGCACCCAAGGTCGACTCGGGGCTGGCGCCGTCGACAACGGCTGCGGCCACCAACTTCGCTGCGGCGCCCGTGTCAGCTTTTGCTGCCGCCGTGGAACCAATGTCGCGGCAGTATGACAACGGAGGCAACGAGCCGAACGGCGGCGACTACGACGGCGCGCGAGAAGAATATGACGATGACGATGACGAGGTGGACTTTAACCTCGGCAACGGGAGCAGCAGTAATAACAACAACAACGGCGGCGGCAACATGAACAGCAACATGAACAGCGGCGGCGGCGGCGGTCAGTCGCACATGGAGTCCACGCCGCCCGTGAGCAGTAGCAATCCGTACCACGGCGGCGGCGGCTCGGGTGCCCCGTTTTCGCGTGGCCCCAACTCTAAGGAAGATGGGTGAGTACTGTGCTTGATGCCTTTCGTTTTCTCCTTCTTTCCTTCTTCCGTTCTTTCGTGGCCGTGAACAGGCAAGGCAGCAGAGTGGGAGGAAGGGTAAGACGACGTATGGACAGCACTGGACAGGTGAGGACCGGCTTGGCGGATGATGGGTAAGGCAAAGACTTGGGTATTGGAAGCGAACTGGTGGGCCAGCAAATGAAGATCATGCAGAGGCCGACGCAACCGCCGAGCAGAGAGAAATACAAGGCATCGCGTCAGAAAAGCCATAGCGAGAGTCAGAAAGAAAAAAAGAACGAGATTCTGCAGCACTCTCGTGCAGGAGAAGCACGGGAGCCGCAGGGGAGCTTCGCACAGGCGGACAGCGGCTAGCATTCGAGAGACAAGTACTTAGCTTCGCGGTAGCAAAGACTTGTAAGAGAGACAGGACAGACCCAGACAGAAGCCATAAGAGAGAGAAGTCAGAGAGAGAGACCGGCGAGACCAGGAAGACCAGAGACAAGAAAGACCCAAAAGTCAAACGGCAAAAAAGCCAAAGCGTCAAAGCTCGGCCTGATTCACGGTGCTGTGTTCGTTTTCCCGCCCCAGAAGCGACAATGTGGCCGTCTGGCTCTACTCCTCTTGTGCTTGATCTCGTCTGCCCAAGCTCAGCTCACTCTCACCTCGGGCGGCGTCTTCTGTCCTGGCCGTCTCCCCAGCCCACCACTCGGCTGCCAGCGCCTGACCTCTTTGCCGCCGCTATCGCATCGCTGCCGCCATGGGCCCGGGCAGCTTCTCAACGGACAGCTACATCCCGCTAGATGACATGGACGAGAGCGGGAGAAGTGAGGTGCATCCTGAGGACACCGGTCGGCCTCTCCTGCTTGCCAAAACACAAGGGTCGGTGGTTTGCTGCTGCTGCTGCTGGGCTGCTGCTGCTGCTGGGCTGCTGCTACAGCTATTGCTATTGCTATTGCTATTGCTATTGCTACTGCTACTGCTACTGCTACTGCTACTGCTACTGCTACTTCTACTGTTATACTCTTCAGCACTGACTAGATGTCATCGTGAGGCTGGGCGTCGGCTCGCGATGATCCTGTGACATGACTCGGACTGCCCGACTTTTGTGCCGCCTCTGTCCTGAATGTTGTCTTGTTCTGCTTGCTTTGCGTTTCCTGTCTTGCTTCTCCTTCAACCCTAGACATACAATTCGCATGCTAACCAGGCCAGGAAAATGTTTATCGGAGGCCTGAACTGGGAGACGACAGACCGTAAGTCGGACAGACGTGTCCACGCACATGGTGAAGGTGGTGGGGGCTGACGATGACAGAATCGCTGCGCGACTATTTTTCACAGTTTGGCGAGGTGCTCGAGTGCACAGTGATGCGCGACAGTGCGACAGGCCGGTCTCGAGGGTTTGGCTTCCTCACGTTCAAGGACCCGAAGACGGTCAACATTGTGATGGTCAAGGAGCACTATCTGGACGGAAAGATTGTGAGTGGAGGAGAGGGAGAGAAAGGACGAACAGACAGACTGACTTTGGTGGACAGATCGACCCGAAACGAGCGATTCCACGCGACGAGCAGGAGAAGACGTCCAAGATCTTTGTGGGGGGCGTGTCGCAAGAGACGACGGACCAGGAGTTCAAGGAGTACTTTGCGCAGTTTGGGCGGGTAGTGGACGCGACGCTTATGATGGACAAGGACACAGGGCGGCCACGCGGCTTTGGCTTTTTGACGTTTGAGTCGGAAGCGGGCGTGGAGGCCTGTCTATCGACGGAGCTGGAGATCCACGGTAAGGCGATCGAGGTGAAGAAGGCGCAGCCGCGCGGCAATTTGCGGGACGACGACGATGCCAGCCGGCGTGGAGGACCGGGCAACAAGTTCCGCAAGGGCGGATACGGCGGGATGGATGAGCAGGGCGGCAGTGGCAGCGGCAGTGGCGGCGGGATGGGCCAGCAGATGGGGGCGGCAGGTGGAATGACGCCGCAGGTGATGGCGCAGTACTGGCAGCGGATGCAGCAGTACTTTGCGATGATGCAGCAGCAACAGGCGATGAGCCGCAACATGGGGGGGATGATGAACATGGGGGGCAACATGGGAGGGATGGGCGGGATGGGAGGAATGGGAGGAATGGGAGGGATGGGTGGAATGGGGATAAACCCGCAGATGATGCAGATGCTGCAGATGCAACAGATGCAGCAGATGCAGCAGATGGGACGAGGCGGAGGTGGTGGCGGGCCGGGTGGCGGAGTTGGAGGGCCTGGAATGAGTCCGGCGATGATGCAGCAGATGCAACAACAGCAACAGCAGCAACAACAACAGACAGCAGCCAATCAGCAACAGGCGGGCCAGGGAACGCAACAGCAGCAGCAGCAACAGCAACAGCAGCAGCAGGCGGGACAGCAACAGGCGGGCCAGCTCAACTTGCAGCAGCTGCCGATGGGTGGTGGCGGTGGTGGAGGTCCAGGATCGGTTGGCAGCAATGGCAACGGCAGTGGCAGCGGCAATGGCAGCGGCAATGGTGGTCCCGGCGGTCCTGGAGGAGGCTATGGCGGTGCGCCGACGTCGTGGGAGGGCATGTACGACGACGTGCCGCAGCCAGGCATGGGTCCGGGTGGACGTGGCGGCGGTGGTGGTGGTCCCGGATTCCATCGGAACCGGTCGCAGGACCCGATGAATGCGCCGCCGGCCAACGCGCCGACAGGCCCGAAGAATGCCGGACGGCCGGGGGCTAACTACCGGGGCGGCGGACGGGGTGGCGCTAGCAACCGTGGCTTCCACCCGTATTCACGTTAGGAGCCGTGGTGGTGAGAAGAGAGGTTGTGAGGGTGAAGTGAGGGGGGTGTGAGAGGAGAGGAGAGGAGATGAGGAGAGTGAAAGAGATAAGAGAGTGAGGAGAAGATAAGACGAGTGGAAATGGTGTTCTTAGAGGTGCAGAAACCGAATGAACGTCGTCATGTATGATAGATGCTTCAGCATGCTATTACTTGATTTTGCAGTTTGACCACTATATGTATACGGAGTACTGCCTCTACTTGTATCTCCTCGCTCACACCAATTTCGTAAACCCGCCGGCTGGCGGCTGCAGCCAGTTGCGCGCATCATAAGTCGGGCCGTCACCCTCGATGACGTGGAAGGTGTAGATGATGCGGCCCTTGAGTCCGACGTTCTTCTCGCTGCGATGCAGAAGGTTTCCGTGGATGAGGACGAGCGAGCCGGCCTTGACCTCACCGAGGACGTACTGGCTGGCGTCGGACTCGCATTCGGGGGAAATGAGGAGGGAAGTGGACGTCTCTGCAGGCTCATCTGGAAAGTGCCGGCCCGTGTTGTCGACGAGATGGGTGCCGGTGTTGGGGCCGTCGCGACGGACGAGACGCTTGCGCACGGGCGCGCGGCGATGCGACCCCGGCCAGAACGAGAGGCAGCCATTGTGGGCGGAGGCGTCCTCGAGCGCGTACCAGAAGCCGACAGCACTGGGCGGATCGGTGTAGAGAAAGGTGCTGTCCTGGTGTGGTGGCACGGCCCCGCCGATCTCGGGCTGCTTGCAGATGACCATGCTCTGGAGGCAGCGCGGGTCGCGGAACCCGAGGCTGCGGGCGATGGGGGCAACCGGACGGGCTCCAGGAAACGGCCCGGACGAGTCAGAGCAGCCAGACCATGTTGTGGTGGCCGTGACCCGTGCAAACACCTCGTTGCCGCCGTGCAGATAGTGCCCGATCTTGTTGACGGCGGCGGCCTTGGGCTTGGTCAGACGCCCGGCCCCGTCAAAGGCGTCCGCCTCAAAGAAGAAGCGCACCTGGTCGCCCGAGCCGAGAAAATACGCGTCGCCCACGTGGCCCTCGCCCGAATCGGCTGCTCCGGTCTCGAACCGCGTCATCGGGTGGCCCTCGAGCGAGAAGCCGTCCAGCAGCCGGTGCGTCTCGGCCAGCAGCGCCGCCACTGCTGCCGCCGGCAGCGCGTCCGCTACAATCAGGTAGCCGTCACGCTCAAACGCCGCAACCTGCTCGGGCGTCAACGCACCGGGCTCGGGTCTGATGGGGGTGGTCTCGCTGGTCGACATCTTGGTCATGTGTCTGGTCGTACCTCGTCTGGTCGTACCCCGTCTCGTCGTCTCGTATCACTCTTCCCTAGTTTCTAAGCCGAAACAGACCGATTGAACGACACCAGCCAAGCAACAAGATCAATCTCACGATTTCTCGATACTTCCGATACGACTGGACAGATGGACTGAAGTGGCGCTTAAACCCACGCTTTCCAGACCGTGTGATTGGCTGGCTATGCTAGTTGATTTTCGCGACCGTGGGGAAGCTGCAGCCGAGCTCCTCCCCTCTTTGCCATCGGAAGGCTTCTGTCTTTTTTTCAGACACGATCGCCTTCACTTCTTTTGACCGCCCCCCTCCACCCCCATCATGTCCGGTACACACCCCGCGCCGGTCTCGGTGCGTACCCTCCACATCGCCGGCATCCTGGTCGACATCTACGGCGTCGACGAGCTGCCACCAGACGTCCAGGCCGTCACCGTCCTGTGGCTGCACCACCCGCGTCTACGTGCACGCGACGACATGGCCGCCATGGCTGCCCAGGCCGTGCATGCTGCTGCCCGCCCAGTGCCAGTCCGATCCTGCGTGCGCAGCGTGCCGGCCTCATCGCGGCCGCCTTTGACCAGCGCAACCACGGCTCGCGCGCGGCCTCGGACCCGGCCAATGACGCCTGGCGCGAAGGCAACCCGCGCCATGCCCAGGACATGTTTGGTCTCGTCCGCGGCACTGTCGTGGACACGAGCCTGCTCATCGATCTGCTCGGCGCCTATGCCGAGGACCTGTTTGCCGGCCTGACTGCCCCCGACTCCGTCTGCATCGCCGCCCACATGGTCCTCGGCGTCTCTCTTGGCGGCCACAGCGCCTGGCAGCTCATGTTCGACGACCCGCGCGTCTCGGCAGCCGTCGTGGTCATCGGCTGTCCCGACTACATCGGTACGTCCTCTTCTGTCCCTCTGCCTGCCCTCTGTCCGTCCTCTTCTCGCTCACAGACAGCCCTCATGTGCGATCGCGCCCGCCTCTCTCGCCGCCCATCTTTTGCTCGTCCCGGCTCTGAACCCGGCTTCCGCTCCTTTCTCGGCAGCTCCGACTTTCCCAACGCTCTCATCCATGACGTCTGCGCCCACGACCCCAAGGGCCGCCTCTTCGGCACCGCTGAGCTCCCGCCATCCCAGCAACCTGCCAACACCGATCCTGCTGTCGAGAAAAAACTCGTCGCCCTCGTTAGGGGAAAACGCTTCCTGCTCTGCTCTGGCGCTGTCGATAAGCTGGTGCCCTATGCCGTCGGCAAACCGTTCGTCGACGCCTTCAAATACTACGCCGACACCCTGCCCGCCCTGCAGCTGATCGTCCAGGACCGCATCTACGACGGTGTCGGCCACGCCTTCACTCCCGCCATGAAGGACGACGCCGTCGCCTTTCTGCTGCGCTCCATCGAGCTCCAACTGGCAGGCGAGCCTGAGAGCGGCGCCACCACGTCCAAGATATAGCCTTATACAAAGACAAACACTCTCTCGGGTTGCGCACGTGATTGCAATTTCTCAGTTTCTTACTACACTTGAATGCTGACTAATCAGAGGCTGGTCCTTCGTTCCAAGGCCGCAGCCCGTCTTCTGTCAAAGCCTCCATGTCACCGCCGACGAAACGCGTCTGCAGGCCGCTGCGCCGCCGCTCGTCCTCGTGTGCAAACAGCCGCTGGTCGATGGCCCAGGGATTGCGGCCGCGACGTTTGCCCGCCAGCAGAGAGCCGACGCCGTGCGGGTCGACGGCCCAATGATCCAACACGTCGTGGGCACCCTGCATAACAGCTTTCTTGTCATCCGCAGGCGCCGTGCCGCCAAACTCAGCCGGCAGGTTTGGCGGGTTAATGCCGACGAAGCCGATGCGTGTGCGCGGCAAAAAGGCAATGGCATCGGGCCCGCAGTGTCCATCAACGAGACGGGACTGCTTGAACGCATGGCTGACAATGGTCATTCGGGCGGGCCAGACGGCGTGTGCGCGCCAAAAGGCCACCAGACTGAAGAGGATGTTGTAGTAGGAGTCGAGTGCCTGTTCCTCGACCAAGATCCGCGGGTGGAGCTGAGATGCCACGGTACCACTCTCGTCTTCACCCGACTGCAGCAGGCCAAAGTAGCCGTTGGCCGCGGCCAGGTTGGCATAACTGCGGCCTTCTGACAGCGGCGTCTCCTTGCGCGTGGGGCCGCTGAAAGCAAATTAACGACAGGTGCGGACAGAGACCCTCGGCTGGCGACCTACCCCGAAAAGGCAATGACAGCCTGCTCATCGTCGGCCAGGACCTGCAGCCCGGCGCGGATGTGCTCGACAAAAGTAGGCGTCTCGCCGGCCTTGTAGCTTTCGATGAGCCATTCGGCCTCGTCGTGGCCGTGACGCGGTCCGCCTAGCCAGATGCCGTGGCCACAGACGATGACAAGATGATTCGGCGATGCCATGACAAGCATCGGAGATCGTCTTGTTCGCCTTGTTGCAAGCTGTTCGTTTGACAGTGGCAGAATGAGGATCAGCGGTGAGCGTGTCACGTGACCTCTACAGTCCTGTCTTGCCGCTGGCCTGGCGCAGGAGTCGCAGCGTGTCCGAGACGAGATACAGGCTGCCGGCGATAACCACGGGATCCGTGCTGTCGCGGTTGCCAGACACGGCCCACTGCAGGGAGGCTGTGAGACCGGAGCTGCCAGACAAGAAGCGGTCCTCGGGCGCCACGCCGAGCGAAGCAGCGCAGTTCAGGATAGACTGTGGATCGGCAGGCCTGACCCAAGGCATGCCATCGACGGGGCCAAAGACGAGGGCCGCGACACGATCGCCCGGACGCAGCAACAGGCGCAGCATGGAGTCAAGGTCTTTGCCACGGGAGGCGGCTATCAGCCAGGTGACGCGATGGCCGGGGCGGAGATGTCTGTCGACGTAGGCAGCCAGCACCTCGGCCGACTGCGCGTTGTGGGCTCCGTCGAGGAGAGCGGGCGGTGCAGAGAGACCGGTGGACAGAAGAGGTGCAATGTCGAGGCGCTGCAGACGGCCAGGCCAGCTGACCTGGCGGACGACAGACGTGAGGAAGTCGGCATCATGGTCGGCCTGGATGGCGATGCGAAAGGCGGCATAGGCACAGGCCAGGTTGGACAGCTGGTGCGGCTCGAGGGCGAGAGCGTCGGTGACGCCGGGCGGCAGCACGGAGAGGGGATCTGCCCAGAGCAGGGAGGCAGTAGTGGTACGGGCGTGAGCCTCGAGGACAGGGCGGACCGAGTCGGAGGTTCCAGAGGAGTCGCCGTCACGATTGGCGATATTGACGACACAGGGCACGCCCGGTCGCATGATGCCGGCCTTGTGGGCGGCGATGGCGGCCGTGGTGGTGCCGAGCATAGTCTGATGGTCAAGGCCGATGCGAGCGATGACGGTAGCGACACGATCAGCCGTCATGGCCGTGGTGGCATCGAGAGCACCGCCGAGACCGGCCTCGATGACGGCGACGGCAACGCGCGACCGTTGGAAGAGCTCGAAAGCGGTGGCGGCCAGCAGCTCAAACTCGGTGGCACCAATGGCGGCATCACGGTCACGGCGCCGCACGGCCTGCTCGGCATCGAGAAAGGCAGCCTTGTCGACGGCACGCTCATCGACCACGACGCAGTCCCAGCGGTCGACCATGTGCGGCGACGTGAAGCGACCGCACGAGACGCCGCGAGCATGCAGCAGGGCCGACAGATAGGCACACACAGAGCCCTTGCCATTGGTGCCGGCAACGTGGATGGCACGCCACGTGGGCGGCGGTGCGAGCTGGAGAAGGCGACTGATCCGTCCAAGGCCGAGTTCGATCATGGTGAGGTGGGTGGTGGGTGGTGGGTGGTGGGTGTAGAGGGGGTATTGGTGTGGTGAGGAATCTGAATTTTAGGCGAGGCTCTCGGGTGCTGACTAGCGCTGACTGGCTAGCCTCAGGGGCCTTGCTATTGGTCTAGGGCGGAGCTTAGCTGTGACGCGCGCTGTAGGCGGCGACAGCGCTAAGAGGTGGCAAGACAGTAGGCCGCAATTCAGGCAGAAAAAATATTGTGAGATAGCTTGTAGGATAACCAAGAGTGCAAGACAGGCGAGAATCGAGTGAGACCGAGATCGAGATCGAGACCGAGATTGAGATCGAGACCGAGATCGAGACGGACCCGAACACCGTCCCTGCAAGACGCCTGCAACGAGCGACACGGCGCGGCAGTATGCCTCCGAAAAAGGGCAAAGACAAGGCGGCAGCGGCGGCAGCAGTGGCAGCGGCAGCAGCAGCAGCAGCAACCAAGCCGCCGTCCAAGTCGTCGTCGGGAAAGAAGAAGAGCGGCGCCGTCTCGACGATCGGGTCGACGGCGCCGGCTGACAGCGACTTTATCGTCTTCACCAACTCGAACAAGGAGAGCAGGCCGAAGCCGGTCAGCAAGATCGTCGTCGCCGGAGGACCAGAGACGGCGGCAGCTGATGGTCCTCCCAAGCCGACGGTCAAGCAGATCATCGGGGGCGCGTCCTGGACCGGAAAACTGCCGGTCAACATGTTGTCGGAACACTGCCAGAAGCAGAAGTGGGACAAGCCGGACTACGACGTGGTGAGTGATGTGATGATGTGGTGATGGGGCTTACTTTTCTGCTCCTTCCTATTCTATCTCTTTCTTTTGTTCCTTTGTTCCTTCCTCTCTATACTCGTTCTTTCCTACTCTCTCTCCCCTCTCTCTCTCCCCTTTCTCTCCTCCCTTCGATTCCTTCTCTTCCCCTCTAACTCAATCAGCGAAAAGTCAAGGATGGCTTCTCTGCCTTCGTCTCTCTCAGCGCACGCAACAACAAGACGGGCGAGGTGACACGGTTGGAGCCGTTCAAGCTACCGCCCAGCCATGTACACCTGGCCATCCAGCCGACAGCACTGGAGGCTCGACACTTTGCAGCCACCTACGGGCTCTTCCGGGTATGCAGCATGAAGAACATGCACATGACGCTGCCACCGGCATACAAGAGCCTGTGGCGCGAGTTTGGCACGCTCAAGACACAGGACGTGCGTGACGGCCGGGCGTGGATGTACGAGGCCGACCCGTTTCTGGCACTCCGGGAGCGCGAGCTAGCCAAGCAAACGGCCGAGAAGAAGCGACAGGAGCAGCAGGCAGCACGAGAAAAGGCAGCGAGCCGGGACGGGCTCGAAGGAACGGGAGGACTGCGAGCGGGAGGTGGCAGCACCGTATCAGGAGGTACAGGACGGGGCGAATCGCGGGCCTGGTCGAACAACGTGCCGCGGATCGAGATGGGCAGCAAGACGCGGACGAATCTGGAGGATCTGCTGCGACGCGGCTCCATATGGAATCCACAAGGGGTAGTGCTGACAGCAGCGGTACAGCGCGGCATCGTAGAGGAGCTGGTGAAGCTAGGGTTCCGGCCGAGCCACGTGGAGGAGGCGGTGGCGCTGTGCCAGGACCGAACGGAGACGCTGGAGTGGCTGTTGGTGCACGTGCCGGAGGACGACCTGCCACGATGGGCGCTGCCGGAGAGCTACACGGCGGGCGTGTCGGTGGCAGCGACAGATCTGCGGCGCGAAGCGGCCATCGTGCGGCTGGCACAATCGGGCTATGCGGTGGACCTGTGTCGGAAGCTACTAGACGCCAGCGACGGCGACGAGGGCCGGGCAGCCGCACGGCTGCAGGCGGTGCTGGTGGGGGGCAGCCCGGAAGTCGAGGCTGAGGTCGAGACAAACGGGCCATCCTCATACGACTCTGCAGACGAGTGCTGGGAGGCCGAGCTGGCCAGCCTAGAGTCGGTATTCGGGGCCGAGCAGTTCCGACGTGTGTCAGAGGCCGTGTGCGAGATCCAGCTGAGCGGCGTGGTCAACGTGGTCCAGGGCGAAGCACGGCCGGTGGCAGTGGGCTTGCAGTTCCGGCGAGCAGCAGGCTACCCGGCCGAGCTTCTGGTGGCAGTGGTGGCACCACAGCTGCCGGCATACATCCGACTGAGCATCGTGCGGCAGGTGCTGGCACAGGCGAATGTGGGACTGCGCGGCGAGGAGATGAAGATGTACTTTGTGGCAGACTGGGCACAGCAGCACATCAACGCCATCATCGAGCGGCCCGGACGGCTGAGCGACATTGCGGCGGCGGCATCGACAGCATCGGAGGCGACGGGCGACGGCAACCGGACGTCGTCGCTGGCAGCAGAAGCAGCACCGCGCAAGCGGACACCCCGACACCCGAGGGCAATCGCGTGGGCAGCCGACGAGAACTCGCGCCAGGACTGGCTTCGGCGACAGGAGGCACCGGGCTACCAAAAGATGCTGGCGCAGCGACGGCGACTACCGGCCTGGGAGGCACGCGAGGCAGTAGTAGCAGCCGTGCGGATGCACCAGGTGACGATCATTGCAGGTGAGACGGGATCAGGCAAGTCGACGCAGTCACCGCAGTTTCTGCTGGACGACCTCTACAACCGCGGACTCGGCAGCGCGGCCAACATTGTGGTGACGCAGCCGCGGCGGATCTCGGCACTGGGGCTGGCCGAACGGGTCAGTGAGGAGCGGTGTTGCAGTGTTGTCGGCGAGGAGGTCGGCTACATCATCCGGGGCGAGAGCCGGGTGTCAGGAGGAGGACGGAGAGGCGGTGGTGGCAGCGGCGGGGGGCGAACAAACCAGCGAACGGCCCGCATCACATTTGTCACGACCGGTGTCCTGCTGCGACGACTACAGGTGTCGGGCGGCCGGCCAGAGGACGTGGTGGCAGCGCTGGCCGACGTCAGCCACGTGGTGATCGACGAGGTACACGAGCGCAGCCTAGACACGGACTTTCTGCTAAGCATCCTACGCGACGTCTTACGGCAGCGGGCAGACCTGCGGCTGGTTCTGATGAGCGCGACGCTGGACGCGGCCACGTTCCGCGACTACTTTGCGCGCGATGGGCTCTCGGTGGCCTCGGTCGAGATTGCCGGCCGGACGTTTCCGGTCGAGGACCTTTACCTGGATGACGTCATCCGGGCGACGGGCTTTGGTCTGGACGGAGCTGGGAGGAGAGGAGGTGGAGGCGGCGACAATGAGGCTGACCCGGTGGCCAAGGCGATCCAGCAGCTGGGCAGCCGGATCAACTACGGGCTGGTGGCCGACACGGTGCGAGCGATCGACGAAGAGCTGACGCGGACGAACGATGCCGGTGCCGTTCTCGTCTTTCTGCCGGGCGTGGCTGAGATCAACCAGGTCTGCGGGATGTTGGGAGGAGGTCGTGGTGGTGATGGTGGTGATGGTGACCGAAAAGACTCTCTCTACATTCTCCCCCTGCATGCCGGTCTGGAGACGCGCGAGCAGAAGCGGGTGTTTGCGGCCGCACCGACAGGACGGCGAAAAGTGGTGGTGGCGACCAACGTGGCCGAGACATCGATCACGATCGACGACGTCGTCGCAGTCGTGGACACGGGCCGGGTCAAGGAGACCAGCCTGGACGTACAGACAGGCATGCGACGGCTGGCCGAGACATGGGTATCGCTGGCAGCGGCCAAGCAGCGACGCGGACGAGCCGGAAGAGTGCGGCCGGGCCACTGCTACAAGCTCTACACGCGCGCCCTCGAGAGCCAGCAGATGCCACCACGACCAGAACCCGAGATTCGCCGTGTTCCGCTCGAACAGCTGTGTCTGGCCGTACGAGCCATGGGCATTGCTGACGTGGCCGGTTTTCTAGCCCGGGCTCCATCACCGCCAGATGTTGCCGCCGTGGACGGAGCTTTGCTGCTTCTTCGGCGGATGGGAATCCTGGGAGGAAACACGGCCTCCAACACGCTCACCTCGCTCGGAAAGCTCGTTGCTGCCATCCCTGCCGACCTGCGCTGTGCCAAGCTGATGGTCTACGGCGCCCTCTTCGGCTGTCTGCACCCATGTGTGACCATGGCGGCCATTTTGAGCAGCGGCCGTGCCGGCGGTCCGTTTGTGTCGGTGCCGCCCGATCGACGCCAGGAAGCCAAGGCTGCCCGCATGCGCTTTGCCGCGCCCGGAACAGCGGCCGACGGCGACCTCTTGACGGACCTGCGCGCCGTCTTGCGCTGGGACGACGTGGTGGCCGAGAACCAGAACCGTGGCGGTGGCTATCGGTATGGAAACAGCGCCTACTCTTCTTCGCGCCAGGTCCGCGCCTTTTGCGACGACAACTTTCTCTCCCAACAGGCCCTCGCCGACATTTCCACCACGCGGCAGCAGCTCTACGACGCCATGGCCGACATGGGCATCCGGCCTGAGAAGACGTCGTCGGCTTCGTCAGCTTCGTCCATCAGCTTTCCTCTCTTGCGCGCCCTCACCGCCGCTGCCTTCAACCCACAGATCGCCCGGATCCAGCTGCCCGACCAGAAGTTTGCGGCCAGCGTGTCCGGCACCGTCGCCCTCGACCCAGAGGCTCGCACCATCCGCTACTTTGCCCGTGATCATGGCCGCGTCTTTATCCACCCGAGCAGCACCCTGTTTGACAGCCACGGTTTCGGCGGCCGCGCCGTCTTTCTATCCTACTTTACCAGCATGGCGACAAGCAAGGTGTTTATCCGGGATCTGACACGTGAGTTTTTTCCTTCTCCTTTTATCTTTTTCTTCTCTCTTCTCCCGCTAACCTTCCAGCCTTCAACGCTTACACCCTCCTCATGTTCGCCGGCGACATCGACCTCGACACCCTCGGCCGCGGCCTCATCGTCGACGGCTGGCTGCGTCTCCGAGGTTGGGCCCGCATCGGCGTCCTCGTCTCTCGTCTGCGCGGCATGGTCGACCGTCTGATTGCCCGCCGGCTCGGCCAGGGCGACAGCGACGACGACCCCGACCGCGATGTTCCCCCCGACAGCACCGCCGACACCGAACAGATCGACCGCGATATCCTCAAGGCCGTCGTCAGACTGATCGAGCTGGACGGCCTGGACTCCTGATTCGGCCTGCGCACTCACATAGAATAGATTGCCTGGAATAAAAGGGACAATTGCCAGCATTTCAACGTCGGTCACGTGCCACATCTACGAACTCCTCAATCACTTGAAACTGTTTATCTGATTGTAAAGGAATGCCCGGATAGCCGTCAAAAGTGGCACAGCTGCGAATCACAAACTGCCTCGTTCTTTCTTCAGCACGTCTTACTTCCAAAAGCTTCCTTGCGCATCTGCCATCCGGCAACCACTTGGCTGCCGTGCCAGACCCGCCAGCTCAAAAGGCCCGGTCATCCCCCAATCCGGCGCCGTCTCGCGCGAGGGCGAGCATCTGTGACTCTGCCATGCACTGGCAATGGCAGGCAGTGCTCTCCCGGCATCGTGCAGCAATCGGCGCCGTCTCTGTCTCGTCGGACTCTGCCACAAGGACACTCCGACCGTAAGGCTTTGTTATCTGCCTCGCGTATATAGGGTTGGAGCTTTAAAGCTACCATTCAGACCCTCTATCTCCTACTTTCCTCCCCTCCGCTGGACATCTGCTCCTTCGTGCTTCCACTCTCTCGCTTCGGGCTGGAGCTTTCAAGCTACCATAGGGCCCCATCGTTGTGTCGGTGCTGTCGCGATGCACACGCTCAGCCGGTAAAAAAAAACATTAAAAGCCAGTAACAAATATGATCAAACGCCGATTCTCACTGGTGACTAGGGTTTCTCGGGAAAAGGGGAAGTGGGTACGGTGTTGTGTGTGGGAATTGGAGTGTGTTTGGGGTGTGCATGAAGCCGTTCTGTGCTCCATTGCTGCTTCACATGTCCATCGACTCGCCGCCGTTTGCAAAGTTGAAGCCGCCCTGACTGCCGCCGTTGGCTCCAAAGCCAAACGTGCCGTTGGGACCCTGGGCCTGGGCCGGCGTCTCGTCCGCCTCGTCTTCGTCCGAGAAGTACTTCTCGATGATGTTGTATGCCTTCATGTAGATCTCCTCGTTGGCATTGGACTGGCAGTCGTGGATCTTCTCCATTCCGCCGCACTCTTCGATAAAGAGCGCGTACGTGTTGATGGCATCGACACCTTCACCGGCTGCCTGGCGGTCCAGCTCGCCCACCTTCAGGATGTTCTCCAACCCGTCCAGCGCCACCTGAATGATCTTGTTGTCCGGGCAGGCCAACAGGTCGCACAGCGGCTTAATGCAGCCCTGCGCTACCAGGTAGCGGATCTGCTCCGGCTTCTGTAGCCCGCCAGACGTCGCGTTGCTGATGGCCCAGCACGCCTCTTTCCGCGTCTTCAAATCGCCGTTTGACAGCAGGTGGATCAGCGGTGGGATGATGTTGGCATCGATCACCGCCTGGATCTGCGCCGAGTTGCCGGCCGTGATGTTTGAGATTGTCCAGCACGCTTCCTTGCGGATGCCGTCCTTGTTGGAGCTCAGCAGCGACAGCAGGCACGACAGCGCGCCGCAGTTGATAATCACCTGCGTCTGCACGTCGTCGCCCGTCACAATGTTGCCGACCGAACGCAGCGCCGGCGTCTGCACCGACGTCGATGCGTGCATCAGCAGCTCCACGAGCCGCCGCGGAATCCCGGCCTCGATCACTGCCTGGATCTTGTCGTTTGACCCGTCCGACAGGTACGAGATCGCCCAGCAGGCGTCGATGAGAACCTCGTCGTCCAGGCTGTACACCAGCTTCGAGAGCACCGGCAGGGCCGGTTGAATCTATGCTGGTCAGCTGTCGTTCAATGTCTCCTCTTGTCTCCTCGCACTTACAGTGTTCCAGTCCGGCTGCGGCGTCTTGCCACGGCAGAAGTTGCTCAGCGTCCATGTCGCGTTGCGGAGCATGCTAAGCTTCCGGCTGTCGCCCAAAAGTGCAAGCAGCGGCTTGAGCGCTCCACAGCTCAGCACGTAGTCGCGGCACTGCGGGCTGTCGCCGGCAATGTTGCCCAGCGCCCACACAGCCTGCTCGCGCACATCCGGCTCCGGGCTTGACAGCAGCTCGACAAAAATGGGCACAGCGCCGGCCTCGATAACCACCTGCGTCTGTGTTGCCGACCCGCTGGCAATGTTGGTCAAGGCCCACGCCGCCTCGAACTGCACCAGCGTGTGTGGCGACCGGAGGAACTCGACAAACCGGCTGACAACGCCTGTCTTGATCACCTCCTCAATCGGAGGGTTCCGCTCCTTGGAGAGCAGTTTCCGGAACTTGGTCGTCGCCTGGATCTGGAGCTCGATTTGGTCGGAAAACACGCCCTGTACCATCTGCGGGAGGTCCTCGTTCAGCTGTCACACCGTCAGTACATGTGAGGCTGAGTTGCAACCGGCAGTAAAATCAATAAGAACAGTATCTCCCAACAGTCAACTCTTACCTGGGACTCAGTCGGAGCCGTGTCATCGTCGCTGTCCGGGGCCGCACCAAGCGACGCACCAGGCCGCTGATCACCACTGCCAATACCACGGCGCTTGGCCAAATTCTCCTCGCGCTTGGCTTTGCGAATTTCCACCTGCTGCTCCTCGCGACGACGACGCAGCTCCTCTGGCTTAAATGTGTTCTTCGCCTTGAACTGCGTCCGCCGATGCTCGGGAATGTACCGTTCCGCCATGGCTGAAAGCTGGAAGGGGGTTGAGGCTGGTTGATGTGGTGTGTGTTTTTTTGCTTTGTTTTGGTTGCTCCGCCTGGAGGGGAGAGCCGAGGAGGGGCGAAGGCAGGTATGGGAAGAAGAAAAGGTTACGATGACCCAGTAGAGTATCGAGGAAAGCAAAGCCGGCCCCACGCAGTACAAAACTTGAACGAGCAGAGGTAGGCTCAAAAACGGGCAGATCTCTACAACGTGTTTTGTTTTGGTTGCAGAAAACGAAGAAAACAGAAAAAAAGTGAAGAGGGGGGAAATATTAAGACTTTCTTAGGTGGAAACGGAAAGGGCGCTTTTTACACTGTGGAAGAGAGAAGAAGGAGCCGCCCGCAGTGGCCACCCGGAGTCAATGAGACACTGTATTACCAGCTCTATTTTACGCTGTAAGACAGTGCGCATTTACTGCTGAGTGGGGCCATAGTGGGGTGCAAACCAGTCAGCCAATCTCTTCTTCGGGCCTGACAAACAAGGCATCAATTATATATTCTTCTGATCACGTGATTTCGAGCGGCGAACCGCGTCCCATTTAGATCGACGCGTCTACGGACGCGATGTAGACAGAAACGGGCTTGCAACCCGATAACACCCCAGACCGCATCAGATGCCTCACCTCATGCTGGGGATACAAACTACGATCTAAAACAGAACTTCCGAGTGACATTTGAGGCATGCAAAAGGGCGATGGCAGTGGCCGTAGCGTCAAGCCCAGGAGGACACGCCAACGACAATGGCCTCGATCCTGCGTCTGCGTCTGCGACCAGCCGTCCGTTGCCCAAAACATATACACCGATGTCCGATATCCTAAACAGAAACACCGGCCTTGGCGTCTTTGTCAATGTAATGGGTCTTGTCAAAGACTGTCGGCTTCCAATGACCATCAAACCCGGCCGTACGTCGTTTCTAATATCAGCTTTGATACTTTTGGCTGACTTTTGTCTGCCCTCTCTAGAAGTCAAGACAACTTTGAAACTATACGATATATCTTTGCAAGACGATTACGCCACTCTTGCTCTACACGTATTCGGTAAAAATCGAGAGGAGATGCCTGTAGTCAGTGCCGCTGACGTCGTGCTGATTCGACAGGCAAAGGTGGGCTCCCTTTTTCCTCCCGCTGCCATGCATGGTCACTAATGCTCGGTGCTCTTACTTGTGCAGGTGCAAGATTATGGGGGGGTGAGATCAATTGTGACCAATTTCTCGACTACCATTTGCGTATATGCGGCCACCAAAATCCCTCTAGAACCAGAACTGCCGACTTCTGCTCGAAGACCACCGACATGGAATCCAACTCAGAGCAAAAAACCGTCCACGCCGGAAGAAAGCAAATACGTCTCATGGCTCTTCCACCACATTCAAAAAACTGTCATTTTGGAGCCAGTCGAGTTTGCTATAGAGGCGGCAAAGACATTGAACATCGCAGACAAATTCAGCACCCTGAAGGACGTGACGGATGGCAAGTTTTACAATCTCATCGCCAGGGTTGCGCACAAGCCATTGCCCATCCACGATTATGTAACACTGTGGATTACGGACTACACCGAGAATACCCGCTTCCAGGACTTCGACGTGCCCGACGGCAAGCCTGGACAGAGCACACAGGTGGGCGATGCACATGGCTACCTGAACAATTCCACCGCCAATGTCAGCAGCAAACTGTTGTCGGATTGGACTGGCCCACGGGGGAAAATGAGCATGCAGGTGACCTGCTATGAGCCCCATGCAAGTTACATCCGAGATTACGTGACTGCAAGCAATTGGGTAGAGTTGGGAAATGTTCAGGTCAAGATGGGTCGCAATGGAGCCTACCTCGAAGGCTTTATGCGGGATGACCACGCTTACGGAAGTCCGATCCGGGTCAGCTGTATCGAGGTGAATCCGGGGGACAGAGATTCGATCGACCCGCGACACAAAGCCGCTTTGCGACGGTATCGAGACTACAAGGTCCAATGCAAGGTTATGTCCCAGAAGAAGCGGAAAGCCGACGGCGAGCCAGCGCAAAACAAGAAACAGAACAGGGCCAAGGAGCAGCGGGGGCTGCTGCGGTCCAAGCAGTTTGGCACAAATGCCCCCGGCGACGACGGGAACGGACAGCTGCCCGAGGGGATGATGGCACCAAACCTTAACAGTAGCATCGTGTCTGAGAACCAACACCGGGCGATCACGAGACTGGCGGATGCGCTCGAGCCTTTCTGTTGCCAGACAGACACGGCTGACCAAAAGGCAGCAGGACTGTTGCCGCTGCCGTTTGTAAACGTCAAGTTCCGCGCGCAGGTGCGTGTTGTCGACTTTCGGCCGTCACGTCTGGAGAGCTTTGCCGTCGGCCGACGACCCCATGTGCTAGACATCCTGTCGGACTACGAGCGCGATACGGATACCGGTGACAGCAACGAGGACAGAGCGACCCAGCCGGGAGCGAGTGGCCGTGCGCGTGTCCCGCTGGTCTGGGAGTGGCGGTTTGCCCTACTGCTCGAGGATGCGACGCCGTCCGCGACGCCGTCCGCGACGCCGCCCGCGCGCATCTGGACCGTCGTCGACAATGCCGGGGCACAGATGCTGACGGGCCTGAACGCGTGCGACCTGCGCTGCAACGTCGACGCACTGGACGCCCTGCGCGAGAAGATGTTTGTGCTGTGGGGCGATCTGGAGGAGAAGAAGCGGCTGCAGCTGCGCGCCAAGCGAGAGGCCGAGGTGGCCGCGGCTGCCCAGCGGCAGAAGGGAGAGCAGAAGAAGCGGGAAGAGCAGAAGAAGAAGCAGCAGCAGCAGAAGCAGAGAGCGCAGAATGCAAAGCCCGGACAGACATTTCTGCCACCACAAGACTCATCCGACGACGAGTGGCACGACAGCCAAAAGGGCCGGCAGAAGCCCGACACAGCACAACAGCCTCAAACAGAACTGCCTTCACGGCCTGTGGAGGATGATGACATTTCCAAGACGGTCAGCAATCGGCCGTTTGTCTGCTGTGTGTGGCAGTATGGAGCCAAAGATGCAGGCGACGAGAACAGCAACGGCAAGCGCACGTGGAAACGCATGTTTGCGCTGTTTGGGACAAAGATAAGCGGTTCGTAGGGCCCTAATGGACGGGCCCTGCCTTCTTTTACCTTCCGACACTGTACATGTTGCCAAAAACTGTTGCATCTAGCCAGTAAGACATGTTTTTCGTTTCGCTCATACTGTAGCAAGGGCTTCGTATATGGAGTACAGGTAGCTGGCATCTGCTGACTAACCACCCAAACTGCCGCATGAAGAAACTCAGGTCCATTGCTGCCAAGGCTTCCCGCCGCGATCCCGTATCCATACATGAGAAGAAACAGAGGTGGAAATAGAAAACTAGATGCAAAATTGATACACGTTTTGTTCTTGAGAGACTCAACAACAGATCACGTGCCATCAAAGGTCGAGCCGAGGCAGCCCGACAATTATGCTTCCCTTAATCCCCAAGAATACTGTCATCATCGTCGTTATTACCGCCCTTGTCGCCGTCGTCCTCCTCGTCCTCCTCGTCCAGCGCCGTGTCCAGCAGCTCTCTCCGTCGAAGATCCTCCTCCGTGCCCTCTTCCGGCTCAGGCGTGGCAAGCAGATCGTTCAGCTCGTCGTCGTCCAGATCAGCCGCCGGTGTCGGCGCTCCAATCAGGATTCCATGGTCTTCGCTGGCATCCATGTCCAAGTCCATGTCGAGAGCATCGGCTTCAGCCTCAACACCAGCATCCGCATCAGCACCAGGAGTCGTCAGACGCACGCCGCCCGCTTGTGGCTCCTTGCCCTTGGCTGTGACCCTTGCCTCGCCCTTCTTCCGGCCGTTTGCCAGCAGCACTTCGCTGGCCTTCTTCTCGTCCAGGAACGCCACAATCTCCTTGTAGCTGTGGCCCAGCTTCGTCTGGTTGCGCAGCAGACGTCGCCGCAGCTTGCCCGCTTGTGAGCCCGAGCTGTCGAGTACCCGCGCCACAATGGCCATAACGTAGTGGCTGGTCAGGTCACAGAGCGATCGCTCGGCCTTCATCTCGGCCGCCTGCCGCTCTTCTGCCGACTCTTGCACCTCCTCGTCCTCTTCTTCATCCTCGTCATCCAGCGGATCCTCGGCCGGATCCTCGTCTTCGGCCGGCTCGTTCAGCGTCCTCTTGCTCTTCTTGGCAAACGACCGCTCCGCCGCGTCCAGCACCGACACCAGCTCCTTCACCAGCGCCGAAGGTATCTGGTCAATCAGCCGGCCAAGACCGACATACTTGGCCATCGTGGCCGGCTCGTTCAGGTGCTTGCGGAGACTGGCAAATAGCACGTGCATATCGCAGTACGAACCGACCGCGTAGAGCCGCAGATCGTCATTGTATCCGCGCGAGGAGAACGTGTGGATCACATTCTGGTTAAAGTCACGCTTCAGAATGGACAGCCGATCGATCGTCGTGCTGAGCACGTCCGCCTTTGCCTCCACAGAAAGGACAATCGCCCGCATCTTCCACATGAAGTAGAACTGGCAGGCTGCCATGGCGTGCATTGTCAGACCGTCCTCGATGTTATCGAGGTCCTCGTCAACTTCCTCAAATTTGCCGCGGCGTAGTGTTTTGACGAGAATGTCAATGGCCGGTGACGTCGACTCTGTCCCGGTTCCCTCCTCCTCCATTACATCCGTGCAGTCGGAGATGGATGCAAGCTTGCTGATCTTGAACAGCGTCACCGACAGCTCTGTGGCCAGCGATGCCTTGAGGTTCCGGCGTGCCGAGAGCTCACAAGACTTGTCAAAGTTGCGGAGCGAATTGATGTTTGCCTCCCATAGCGCTGATACCCTGCTGTCCACAATCTCTTCAAGCTCATCGTACTGACGCGCGTGCAGAAGGGCAGCAGCCGCCTCGGAGACGACTGCCATGTCGGCGTGGCGCGTAAATTGCGTGCAGACCTCGTCCAGGAGAACTTCAAACGTGGAAGTGTCCTGTCGCAGCTGCTGGAACACGGCGAGATCAAGCGACTGCTCCAGCCTCAGAACCGTGACCGCCGTGCTGGGCTCGGCGCCAAACTTGCGAAGCAGCCTCGGCAGTAAGGCCGCCAGCTGCATCGCTGCTGCTTCTGTGTTGTCGGCTGCTGCCTGCGCCGTTGCTGCCACCGATGACGAAGAGCCGGCATGAGCACCGCCGTCAAACCGCCTGCGGAGGCGGCCTCCCTGGACACCAGAGGCAAGAGTCGCCTTGGCCGCTGCCGTGAGGATCTCCAGCAGCAGCGCTTCCTGCTTCTCATCTGGCGCTACGGCAGCCCGGAACGTCGTCTCCGTCGTCTTGGACTTGTTGCGGCCGCGCCCTTTGGTCTCCACGCTGTGATCGTATAACAGGTAGCCAGCCAGGATGTCCCAGTCTGCGACTTCGGGAATCTTGTCCACCAAGACCTGCGTAGCCAGGGCAAGACGGCTTGTCTCCGGAGCAACAGCACCAGTGACCTCCGCAGCAGCATCCAGGCCGTAAGTGTGCTCGGCATTCTTAGTGCCAAGACCCAGCTGCACTTCGTACCCGTACATGGTGTCTGCTAGGCTCTTGACGTAGATCCAGTCGCGCCGGGGTGTGTCCAGCTGCCCGGTTCGGTTCTGGCCCTTGCCAAAAAGCTCTAGCATGGTCTCTTCGCCACCCACCTCGTCAAGCTTGATCGAGGCGTAGTCCCGGACGCAGTCGGCAAAGTAGTTGACCACAGCCTTCCGTATCCGCACCTCAGAGTCGAAAATAAGCCGACCAACCTGGTCGATTTCGTCGGGATCCAGCAGCCCTGACGGTCGGAGCTGTTCTGCAACGCCGATAGCTGTCACACGAACACCCAGGTCGGCATCCTTTGTCGCCATCTCGATTAGGCGGCCGCGGAAGCGGTCGATGAAGTGGCCCATTTTGCCGGCATCCCGCTTGAAGACCCGGCCCAATTGTCGCAGCACCTCCTGGCGAGTGGCTGGGTTCCCGTCTGAGAGCATCCAGCCTAGGTAGCGTAGGTATTCGGGCTGCCTATAGACAGCAGGCAACAGCCAGACCCAGGAGCCAAGCGCCTCGATGCATTCTGTCCGGATGCGCGGATCAACGTCACGGTATCGGTGCACAAAGACAGTGTCGAAGAACTCCTTCATCAACTCAGCTGCACGTTCCCGGTTCTTGCCAGCTTCGCGCAGGCTGGCCTCAAATGCTGTGAGTCTCGGGTCCTTGCCCTTTGCCCGGCCGTTCCGTCCTTTCTGCGTCTCAACTTGCTGCGTCATCTTGTTGATCCGCTCATCCAGCTTCTTGGCCACATCGACCAGGCCGTCAAGCATAGCCAGGGCAACAGTCGTTGCGGTGTGGCGAAAGGGGCGGAGTGTGGATGACGATAGCGATGCCACCCATCGGACCACGTTCTCCATCAGTTCTGGCTGTTTGTAGAGAACTTCGGTGTCGTGTAGCACGTTGATCATCGACTGGAAGAACTGCACAAGAAGCTCTCGGAATGACCGGGATGACCGCGACTTGGCAATCAATGGATACTCGGTAATTTTTTGCTGCATTGGGGGAGAGAAACGGCTGTCAGCACAACCTGTCCATCGCTCTACACGCACACACGTCGGTGCCGAACCGTAGTCAGGACGCCCTTACATCTTCGTATATTTCTTGTAGCTCCGTCAACCGGTTGGAACAGTTGTCGGGGTCATTGATGTCGTCCTCTGTCACGTGGTGGTCGCATCCGGCAGCAGAGAGGATACAGTTGATCAGGTCGGCAACAGAAACCTGGTTGCCAGCCTGGTACTTCTCGTACCATCGGGCAGCAACATCTGCGCTGTTGTCACCGGACGAAAAGATATCGGCTATCACAGAACGTCAGCAAACGCAAGCAGCGACACAGCGACACAGCGCCAGCGACACGAGAGGCACCATACCGTAGAGCTCGCTCCCATGATCGCCGTCCACCTCAACGGTGACAGCAACCCGAACCGTCTTTTTCGGCCGGGACGGAAGGCTGGCTGCGTGGCTCCCATTGAGCTTGGGTTTCTTGGCGGCGCGCTTCACCGACCGTGGCGGTGCGCTTGCTTTTCTCTGAGAGCGTGACCGTCTCTTTGCTCCGGACTCGTCTTCGTCGCCGTCGTCATCGTCGTCATCGTCATCGTCGTCGTCGTCATCGGCTGCCTCGTCGCCGTCCTCGTTTTGGCTCATGAGGTCCTCATCTGCCGCATCGGCTTCATCGTCGCTGTGCGCCAGGCCGTCGCCGAGCGAGCGCTTGCGCTTGGCTGTCGGGACGGCATCGGCCATGTACTTGGTCGGAGGCCGTACAACGCGTCCGGACCGCCGCTGTGAAGCCGTCGTCGCGTTGTCGTTTGCGACGACAGCTGCGCTGCTCGTTTCTACATCGGCCATCGTCGGTGGTGGAAGAACGACACAGTGCAGCTAAATACAACAAGGAAGCAGTGGTCGCGCGCAGAACGCGCGCAGCTGGATGGTCAGCGAAGAGTGGATGGTGGGATTTGGGTGTTGAGGGGTGTGAATTTCAAATTGGGAAAAAAGGGCGATGATGCACCAGAAAGATGGATCGGTAAATAAAAAATAAAACAATAAAAATAAAATTGTCGCGTCGCTCGTGGCAGGCGCGACTGCTCCCCCCGTTTTTGAGGGGGAAGGTGCAATTTGACGCTTTGCGTGTGAACGGTCAGTTTTGGTGCCTGAGGCACGGACAATGTTATGCTTTCAGCAGCCAGTTGATTACGATGATCTTTGCACCCCGCCCATGTGGAGCCCATTTTACAGGGGTATTGCTAATTAGTCCTTGTCTGTCTAGGCCAAATCATGCGGCAACATATCCTGCAAGTACGGAGTACGCATACTATGTAAGGCTGCTCGGACGGTGGAAACCCCGAAACACCCAACATGCAAGGGCTGGATGCTGAGCGAGGACGTCTTTTCTATTCTGTTTTTCTGTGGCTTGGCGAACAAATCCATCCCAATATCCCCGTATCCCTCCTAGTTGCTCATAATCGTATGTTTAGTTAGATGTGCTTTCTTCGTTGCACCACGTGTGCTCCGTTTGTCGTGAGACTGCTGGGCAGCTCCTTTGATTGTTTTTTTTTGGTTGCACGGCAAAAAAACAGGGCTGAATAGTAGAGACTGAGGCCCATCTTTTCTAGTCTTGAACTAAGATGTTGATATCTGGGAGAGCCAAATGCCTTAGACACGGTGGTCCTACATTGGGCAACGGCTTCTCATGCCAATCGCAAGACCACTTTGCCGCGTAGATGTCCACTATAGGCATTTCCAAAGGCCTCCTCGTGCTGAGCCAACGGGAAAGCAGAGTCGAAGGCGGCCCTAGCCATCTCTGCTTCGATCAGATCCGTGATGGCCTGCAACTGTCGGCTGTTGGCCTCGACATTGAACCAAGCACTGCGAACATCCATCCCGACGCCCGATTCGGGCCTGAACTGGTCGGCTGGAGCCGCCACGCTGATGACGATGCCGCCGTGGCGTGCACGAGTCCAGGCATAGCGCAGGACATCGCCGCCGACGCAGTCAAGCACAAGGTCGTACTTGTCTCTGCTGTTGTTTCTGTTTGCCGCATAGTCCACCACGCGGTGGGCCCCCAGGCTGCGGACAAAGCCCACGTTTCCCTCCCCGCAAGTGGCCGTGATGTGACCGACACCAGCCAGCCGGGCCAGCTGGACGGCCCAGAGGCCGACACCACCGGCCGCAGCGGTGATGAGCACGCGCTTGGTAGCATTGGCGCCACAGCCTGTAATGCTCAGCGAACGCTGCGGTTGGTGCCATGTCGATGAAGCTTGCGGCGGTATGGAGGGAGGAGCAGTAGTAGCTGCAGAGAGTGGTGTCTGTTGTCTCGGCTGTGGCCTTTCCGCGGCGACGGCGATCGGTCGTAGCGAGGGCAGGCTGAGGCCGCCGTGAACGAAGAGAGCCTGCCAGGCCGTTAGAGCCGATAAGGGCACCGTGGCCGCCCTCCTCCCAGGAGAGGTTCTCCGGCCTTTGGCCCAGTTCCTCTGTCAAGGCGATGGTGAACTCGCGCGCGTTTCCCTGGCGAGCAAAGCTGGTGCAGGCGTAGACTTCGGTGCCTGGCTGGAAGGGTGACGTCTTGGGCGCTTCGACTACGGTGCCGGACATCTCGTAGCCGGGGATTGGGGGCACTGCTGCAGCTGGTCCGAGCCAGCCCAGTTCGCCGATGGTCAAAGCCACGGCGTGGACCTGGATGAGGTGTTCGTCAGGGCCTTGTATCATCGGCACTGGGAGGAGGCCCTAAATAAACGAGGGTGGGAGGGCCGGGTCATGGATGAGGGGACCCACGATCTTGCGGACGTCATCGTCGTCCTCGTCTTGGCCAACAAGTCCCATGGACATTTTTGTCTCTGTATGTTGCGTATGGCTGCTCAAGGTTAACAAAAACTCAACTCAGTCAACCGTCAGGCTGTTGACGATGATACGGGGCAAGGATGTGAGAGGAAGACGAGGAGAGAAGGAAAGGGAGTTGGGATGAGAGCATCGAGTTGGGAGCAGAAACGTGCGAGACATATCTCAAGATTTATTTGCGAGCATACTATTTTGTCTTTGAATTTGCGGGGGGCGGAAGCGACGAACAAGTCTTATTATATAAAAAATATTAACGAGCACACAATATGGGGCGCTCCCAACTATCGGCCGGAGAACGGGGGGAAGTGAAAGGTAAGCCTTGCTCGACACACCAAATACAACCACCGTCCAGAATCGCTCCTTCCGGTGAGAGGAAAGATAGGTAGCTATTAGGGAGACACAGGGAGACACAGAAGGAGCTCTGGAGAATTACGCTGCGCCAACCGGTATACATCGAGAGCAATATTCGTCGGGTTCTGGATTTCCGCCATTAAAAGCGGGAAACGGAGTCGAAAGAAACCCAAGAAGAGGTGCAATGTCCAAGAAAAAGAAAACTCATGTCTTAGGATGGGGTCATTAAACGGGAGCGATCCAACACTTATGGCTAGTGACAACAAATTCGAGGTCTGCATAGGGACGATCCCATGCCAGCGGTATTCGGTCCGGCCGGTCCTATTTCACCGGAGGAGGATGGCGCAGACACGATTCCAAGACAATTATGAGTGGACAAGACGAGAGGACATGTCGGACAATACATTGTCGACGGCATAAAAACCTGCCAACCGTCAGTAAGCTAGGTGACATGGTGGAGGACGGGAAGAGGACGGGGCATGGAGTAGATGTTGGGTGCCAATGGATAGAGCAACAGGAAGAGCAGCCTCCCTGCAGTTGTTTACTTTTCGTCATACCGTTGCTATGCTGGAAGCCGTGGAAGCTGCCGTGACAGCTGTGGTGGCTGCTGTATTTTGTGACCTCTGGGGACCTCTGGTGGAATTGCCGGCTCAGACAACGCCTACGTGGCACAGAAGGCACGTCCGGTCAGACGCAAAAAGCAGCCGCTCCTTCTCTCCACCTCTTGCAGAATCTCGGTTACAAGAGGGGGTTCGCAAACAAGACATACCAAACACAGCCTTGTCAGGGAAAGGCCGACGTCGCAGGGAATACAAGAGGGGACGGAAAGAGGTATTTGATTGCGCTCTTCGCCACGTCCTCTCCTCCACCCAATGACCGTCCGTATTGGCCATGGGAGAAGACAGCAAGAGACCACAAGCACGGCAGCATACTATTGGTCATTTCTGGCCTTTTTAGCCTATTATATTTCCTATCCAAATTGGCTGTGCCAATTTACTTATTTACAGCTATATATTGATCTACTCTAGCCTTGTCCATTCTTCCGTATCTCACTCCGTATTACTCCTGTCCGCACACGACAGGCATTTGCTCCCATGTCTTTCGACCGGTCAATCGAGACGACCCACAGCTGCTCTCCCGCGCTGTCGCATGGATCGACGCTTCGCCAAGACGCTCTCGTGCGCCCACGCTCTACAGCAGGGGATCCCGCTCGCTGGTGCTGCCGGTGACGGCCGCGCGGCCGCTGTCGAGGCCGTCGGCACCGTCGCCGTCATCTCCATCGCTGCCGCTGCTCTTGTACAGGACAAAGTGCTGGACAATAAAGAGGATGTCGTAGAAGATGGAGACGTTGCCGAGCAGCAGCTTGACGGGGTTGCCGGTCAGGCCGGACCAATCGCCCTGGCTGTAGCTGTCGAGCAGCAGCTGGACGATACTGAGCACGCCACCGACGGAGTCGAGGATGATCTGCACGATGCTCCAGCCGTGCGTGCTGCGGTTGCGCCAGTTGGCCAGCAGCTGTGGCGAGTACTTGATCAGCGTGATGACGAGCTTGACGTAGCCGAGCGCGTACACGACGTCGAGCCAGGCCCACGCGCCGGCCGGCGAGCCGACGGCCGAGCCGCTGTGCTCGTACAGCACCACCGCGACGAGCCCACCGATCACGGTGACCGAGCCGGCCGCCACGAACAGGATGAAGCGCGACGGCCGCCGGCTGACACCCGAGCCTGGGCCGGCCGCAATCCGCCACCAGGTCGGCAAGAAGTACTGCGACACCGTCACGAGCGAGAGCACAAAGGCGTGCGATGCAAAGGCCACGTCGTTGAAGGCGCCCGTGGGCGCGAGCCCGTGGTGGCGCGCCGCATATTCGCCCCGGACGGTGGCCGAGTAGCGCAGCGCCAGGTTGGAAAGCAGGTAGGCGAGGAAGCCTAGAGAGACACAGTACAACAAGCGTCAGTGCCGGTCGGCCACCGAAAGGAAATCCAGAGATACCTAGAGTGTTGATAAACGGAAAGTCAATCGTCGTTCCGCTCGTCGACCGACGGCGCGCATTCAGCGTCGGCTGCGGGTAGAAGGAAAGCGACCAGGCGAGGGTGTAGACCCAGCCGCACAGGCTGGAGACGGTGCCCAAAACATCCATGGCTGCTGCAGCACGGCCAGTTGGTCGGTCTTTGGTGTGTGTCGGGGCAAGGAGGGATAAAAGACCGGCAAGGGGTTGCATTTTCTCGCCGCAGCCTAAACACATGTGAGTACTCAGCCGCTGCGTAAGCCCCTCTAATTCTGCCTGCCGATTCGACCATTTGCCATTTGCCATTTGCCATTTGCCATTTGCCATTTGCCATTTGTGAGTGCTAACTAAGCGCCCCGAAGCGGGAGCGCATACACCGCATAGACACTAAGACGCCTAGCAGCAACTCGTGCCCCCGCGCCTGCCGTCTACTTGTCTTTTCTATGTGCAGAAAGGGTAAAATATAGGAGAGAAGGAAAGGACGATGGACAATAAGAGAGCGAGAGAGGGGATGTGAGAAACAGCACAACGGATAGCCACACGCGAAAGAAACACAATCAAACAGAGAAACGACAACGATTTGTCGCTTGTATCCTAAAACGCCGGATGCCATAACATCTTACCAGGGCAACAGATTGCCTTTGTTTCCCCCTCCCTCCCCCTCCCTCACATTTTGTCTGCCTTCTCCATACATGCGAAATGACCGAGAAAGCCGCCCAGGACGACAAAAGATCATCCGTCTATCATGCCCGGCCGCTCAGGCTGTTGGGCAGTGACTGCCAGCCCTTCTGATCCGGCAGTCGCAGCTTTCCAAAGTTCTCGTCCAGGTCCAGGATGATCCGGAGCGCATTGCGGCTGCGAATCACCGGACTGGACGCATCGACTGCGCCAGCACCCGACAGAAGCAGCTCCTTGTTCTTCTTGTTGCTCTGGCCCGGATACGGGAGATGGGTCTGCAGCACCTCGTACGCCGCCAGCGTGAAGCCGAACTGCGGCGACGACCGCAGGATGCGTGCCGGTCCGCCCTTGAAGAAGGCCTTGAAACCCTCCTCCTTCCAGATGGTGCTGGCAGCGTGGCGCAGACCCGTGTACTGCGTGTCGCCCTTGCGGGCCTCCACCTGTAGCCGGGTCTTGATCACGTCGCACGGCGTTGTCAGGTATGCAGCCGGCATGCCAGCAATGGCGCCGGACGTCAGCAGCTGCCACACGTCCAGCTTCTTCGTCCTGGACTCGCCGAACAAGTCCTTCTTCAGGTGACTGTACGTCGGGAAGTAGATGCACGAGAACGGCACGTCACGCAGCAGACACGCCGACGCACCCTTGTACAGGCCCACCAGGCCCAAGTTGCGGATGATCCACATGGCCGACCGTCTGGGTGCACCCTCGACGCTCTTGGCCACCTCGCCCTGCACCTGCAGGCGGATCTTAACAATCTCCAGCGGGTTCGTAAAGACCTAGGTGGATTAGTATGAGAGGAAACAAGTCAGAATATCAAAAGATCAGAAGAACAAATATTTGAAACTCACCACTTGACAGGCACCAGCACTACCACCCGCCAGCATTTCGTGTCCCACCCAGATGCTGCCATCCTTGCGCGTGAACCAGCCGCGCACCAGATCGTTGACCGTCAGCTTGATGGCCTTCTCCGGCGCCACACCCACGAGCTGCGGCAGCACGCCCGAGTACAGGCCCAGGAAGCCCTCGTTGCGCACCACCTTGCGGAAACAGTCAATCGAGTTGTTGTACAGGCGCTCGCCCGGCCGTGCATCACGCTGGTTCTGCATGCGCGTCTTGACCAGATCGATCGGGTACACCATCAGCGCGCCAAACGCGCCAGCTATGCTGCCTAGCCCGAAGTTGTACGCCGACTCGAGCGCGTCCGACAGGAATGACCGGGCAGCCGATCGCGCCTTGGGCTGTCCGGCGCCCGTGCCGACCGCAGCAGCAGCAGCTGCGGCCGAGGACAGATGTGCCTCCTGGCTGCGCCATGATGGGTCGAGCACCTTGGCAAAGTCAGCCAAGCCCAGCCGGCCCGACGGCTCGTCAATACTGGCAAAGTGAAAGAGGATGTCGGCCTCCATGGGCGTGAAGAGAGAGAAGCGCGCAGTGCGGGCAGCCTGGTTGAGGAAGTCGGTGCGCGTGATCTTGCCGTCGGTAGCCTTGGCACAGGCGCGGTGGACGATGAGCTCGACGAGGTCCATCTCGGTCACCACGTTCTGGAACGCCCGTACATTGGCATACGAGACCTTGCTGCCCTGGGAGATGTTGCAGAGCGTGTGCAGGTGCGCCAGCAGATGGTCTGACAGCTTGTGGCGCGCCGTCTCGACGATGATGCGCTCAAATTCCTGCGGCTCAATGTAGCCGTCGCCGTCACGATCGAGTAGCTGGAAGGCCTGGCGTATGCGCTCGCCCTGCAGGCCGCGCAGCATCTGCGAGAACTGGGCGTAGTCCAGGTCGTGACGCTTGCGCTTGTCGCCAATGTACAGCCGGGTCCACTCGCAGTCCCAGTTGAACGGGATGCTGTCGGTGCCCTTGTTAAGCTCGTACAGCCGCCGGAAGTCGTCATAGCGGACGGTGCCGAGGCCCTCGGCGTCGAACAGCCGGAATGCGATCTCGTACTCGGCGTCAGGCTTGGCCAGGATGTTCTCAAAGTACGCCCAGTCGGCCAGGGACACGCGGCCGCGACGTTGGCGGTCCACCACGGGAAAGAGAATCGTGTACTGCTCCCGCTGGATTTTGTGCTTTGGGCGGGGTGTTAGAAGCGAGAAGAGGACACTCCGAAACAGTCCACTGAGAACGGGGGATGCTGCAACTTACAAAGTCCGAGCCCTCGGGCGCGACAGCATCGAGAAACTGGTCGAGTTTCATGAACAGCTCTCCGGTCTCGGCATCCTTGACGGCATGCTTGAGGAAGCGAATTCGTGTTTGCGCCGACAGCTGCGAAGATTTCTCATGACCAATCAGGCCCTCCGTGATGGCCTCCTTGACCGTGGACGTTGCGAGCGACATTGTGGTAGAGGCCTGCGAGGTGAAGGAGCACCATAGGAGTTGAGTCAGTGGTGGCGGTCAGTTTTATTTCTAGCATCAGGGGCACGGACTGCCTTCCCCGTTCACAAAAAAAAAAACCCAATTAATGGAATATAGGCTAAGAGGGAAAGCGGGAAAAAAAGGAAAGAATGGAGGAGGTCCCAGTTTTAAGATAGCGCGTGTGGAGCAAAGGAGGGTATGGACAGAAGTCGCAGGTAGACGCGAGGCCTGTGAAGGAAGAGCGGGAAAAGCAGGAAACTGGATTTATGGCCGGCACCACGAGAGGACAGTCTGTCGTCTTGACAAGCACAGCAGAACGGGCAGGATAAGAAGCGTCTGTCTCTCCCGGCTGTTTACTACTCGGGCGGTGTCGGGGTTTTTTTTCTGCCCGCCTATTATAATTCTATAATAATTGGCGCGGCCCCGCGCCGTCTTCGCCCGTATTACGGAGTATGAATAGCGTCCGTTGCGTCTGAGCTTCAGCTTTTTTCCTTGCCAGGGGTCGCTAAGAGGTCTTGTATGACTCAACTCGGCCAAAAATCTGTCAACATCTGTCAACATCTGTCCATAATACGTCGCCTGTCCAGAGGCAGCGCGTTCCGCCCGTCTAATCTGGTCATAGAAAACACACGACGGACAGCCATTGGAAGCGAGGGCATGACTCGGCTCTTTGGCCATGGGAGCATCCGTAAAAGCGCTCGTTGTCCTCGTCATACGGAGTACTATCAGACTCGAGATTCCCACCCATGTATGGGCCATCTGCAAAAAGCTTGGACCACGGCCTCCCGACACTAGCCTTTCGACCGAATGCTGACCCCTTTCGTTGTGACGCTCCTGCTAGCAGGGCGAAAGGAAGCTGCAGCGCGACAAGGAGGTGACGAGTGACCGCCCACCTGCATGATTATGCCTCGTATCAAACATAGTACGGAGTACGGAGTACATACGTACAATTGCAGTATGCGCCGTGTCGTGGGGGCTAGCCCGTGTCGACTTGCCCCATTAGGGCTGTTTGGAGCAGACTGCTTCCCCGGAACACTCGGACGCTGCAGCGATAATCTGAAAAGGCAGACCAGAGGATGCGATGCATTGCCGGGGAACCAGGAGCTGAAGTAGACCCGTGATACATGCTCACTGCTGAGTACCATGTACATCCATGTAGGCGTAGCCAGTCATCGGCAGCGGTGAGGGCATCCACCCGGAACTGTTGCAAGATTCGGTATTCGGAGATAGGCCGTTTCTTACGAGTCGCTGGTTGGTGCGGATCCAACTTCCGCTATATTGTTTCGGTGCCTGCCGATCGGAACGTCTCCCTCTGCACGGAGATTGTCCACTCACCCCCGCGTTCTACGGAACAGATACAACGAGCAGGTTCACAGAGCTTAGTGCACCGAGTCAGCATCTTGATCCTCTCGCCTCAAAATAAACAGCCTTGTATCTTATACCATAATACTCCGCATTTGGCATATTGATGCGATAACTATAGCCTGCAATCATGACCATTATTCAACTCACAGCTTCCATCCCCACACTATCCCACTTCTTGCTTTCGCTATTCCGCATCCTCTTATTAACCTGTCTCGCATGTCGCGCTTCCCTATGCCGAGCAGTACTGTACAGAACTTCCGCTCCTTTATGCCCGCCCTAGCGGCACGAGCCGACATCTTGGTCCCTACCGCTCGCAGCCCTGGATCTATTCGCTAAACGCCGTCCGTAATACCTCCCAAATGCAGTATCACCTCTCCCCTACTCTCTCTGCATGCGACGAGAGCCGAGCCCGAAAAGCGCAAAAATGACTGAAAACAAAAACCGACGACAAACAAAGAAAAGGTACAGAACTATCGTGTCTCGTAAGGTCGTCATAAGAATAAGACAGCCAACACAGACGGCCCAGTACGGGTGGTTTCTTCGAGGACAACTGTGCTGGGTAACAGAAGAGTAAAAACAAATGATGTGAGACGAAAACTGATTGCCACACAAGCCAGGAGACCGCACAGTGAGCATGCTTCCGCAAAATGCAAAAATCTCAAACACGCGGAATAAATCCACTATTAGATGGTGTTCATGTCCCAATCGAGTAGCCGTCTAAACAAGGCGATATTATGGTAGGGAACGAAGAACTGCCAATCTGCCGGGTTGCCGACCGCCATCGGCAAAGCCCTTGGCACCGGTTGGGACTCGGGATATTGCATTTAGTCAACAAGAACAGCATGCATCTATTCAGCTTTGCGCTTGAATCAGTATGTCCAGGTGATTGGAGCGGAGCGGTCCAATGGAATCGCTCAGGTTGTCGGTAAACGAGTCCGTCAGTGACGACCGTTGCCGATGCATGTGCGGAGGTGGCATGGAAAAACCTCTGCGGAGCTCTTCCTCGACAAAAATGGATGCTTTCTTGAACTTGTTGCTGGCGTACTTCTCGTAAACAGCTGCATGGTGTGCTTGTGGATCTCGGCAGCAATGAATCATCACATTGGCCAATGGCCGGACCTGGCCCCATGTGTAACCAGAATAGTGTGTGTGGGCCATAGACTGTATGATGCATTGTTAGCACAAGCTGCAACAGGCAAAAATAGCACGGGTGGGCGTCAAAACAGGAAGAGCTCGAGGGACTTACCCAATCGCCTTTATGCAGCATGAGGCGGGCTAGGCAGTGAGATCCGGCAGCCAAGAAGCTGGCTGGACTGGCCACGAATCGTTCGTCCAGAACGGCCACCTCCAGGAAGTACTTGGCCAGAGTCCGTGTCTCCAAGTCGTAATCGTCGGCCTTGCTAATGCGACGAAGAAAGCTCATGGGACCGGGCCAACCAAGCTCAAAGCCAAGCATACTAAGCATGAAGCGCTCGGCTTTGAGAATCTCGTCCGCAGTGTAACCGCCGTCGACCATGTACACGATCTCCTGAATCGACGGACAAACGATCTCCTCGTATTTCGCTGCGATGAAAATAGCTGTGGCGCCGACCAGTTGCAGCTTGTTCACGGACACGATTTTGGACGACAAAAACCGGTCAATGTAGTTGACCGTCAAGAATAGGGTTTCCGGCAGCAGATTGAAGCGTGCGTGGACTTGAATCAACCACTCCATCAACACGGCGCGCATCGACCATTGGATCTCCGTCTGCATGTCCATATAGTGAGGACTAGGAAGCATCTTTGCCTATTCATGAGTCAGTCTCTCATAGTTTCCTGCAGGGAGAAGAGCAAAGAAACCTACCTCAAGCTCCCGCATGTAGTCGTTGATGTCCTCTCCGTATTCGGCGACCATACTAATGTCCCATGCTTCGTCGTCGATCTCCTCGGGAGTAAGGGACGCCTCGACAATGGACCGGGCAAGATCCAACTCGTTCTGGATCCTAGCCGTCACTTTGGGCATCATGATAGTTGTCGAGCCACCCGTCGTATTGTCGCCTAGTGAGCGGAAAGAGTGAGCGGTTGTGTAGCCCTGCTCCTCGTAAAAATCGCCGTCGTCCTCCCAAGGCTCTTCTGCTTCAGCGGCACCACCAGTTGGAACTGTGGGAACTTCTGAGAGAAAATCCAGATGTTCTTCGTCCGCCGTGTGAAATTCGCTCTGAGCCAGTGGTGCCTGCTCTAGTAATTGGTGAGCCCCGACTGCCACATATTCGTCATGGGCCCGAACATTGCCGGTATTGTTGTCCGAAGCAGGCATCACAATTTTATTGATGGCTCCAACAGCGTTGACATATGGTGCATCATCGGCATCGGCGTCGTGAAAGTCGCTTTCACTGAGACCATCGAGCTCGAGACCGGCAGCAGTCTTGTAGTCAGTGAAGACGACAACATCCTTCAGTTGCGGACGGTCTTCCGGAAGCCGGCTCTGGGTTCGGCGTAGAATCTTCTTTTGCACCTGCTGGTCCAGTGCGCTCTTAAGGCAGGGCTGGCTCTTGTGCTGCCGTGGGCTTTGCTTGGCCCTATTGGCGTTGCTATGCTGGGCCAATGAAGCTGACACCGGGTAGTTGCCATCCACGAGCGTAGCGGCAGTGGCATGTGTTCCGGCTACCTTACCAATTTCGTTGCTGGTGCTGAAGACTACGCTGGTCTGTTTTCAAAGCACCAATTTGGGACTTTTCATTGTGCGTCGGCTGAGGCCGCACAATGTTTGTGTCTGCCGTGGCCAAGGCAACAACAGAGCCGCTGATCTTTGCGCGTTGTGCAGGTGCCAGAAAGCCGGCAGATTGAGCCGTGTTTTTCTTTTTCCGCCAGTAGCAGAAGGGACCACGGATGCGGTGTTGCCCGCAATTGCAGTGGATTTGAACCCAAAGAAAGCCATGTCAGGAACAGACCTCAGGACATTGCTGACATCCCCAAAAGCTGTCCGTTTTGCGTTGGGTCTGAGGCCCTCTGCCGCAGACTTGGCAATGGGAACACCGGGAGCCTTGTTTCGTTGGTCCACGCCAAAGACAGCAGGAATCATATTTTCGTTGTTGGCCTGGCCGAAGCTAGGCTGTGACCGTGAAAGGCGCTGAGGCTGACGCGGTGAAACCCACTGGTTAGCCCTTGTTCCATGATGTATCTCATATGCGCAATAAAGCGTTTTTGCAGGTGACAGCGAATGCATGCGATCGGATGGAGTGGGTATATGCCAGCAATCTAGAGAAAGGACAGGGGGGACGCGACAGAGGCACCCGTCGAGAAAATACAGATGTGCAGGGACCAACAACGCGGATCTGGTAGTAAGAGTAATGAGAAATGAGAAGGGGAAGGGGTGGGTGGGTCAATAATTCAGAAAGTCGTGAATGGCATGCGAAGGAGGGACCACAGGGTAGTAGCAAAGATATTGATACAAGCGTACTTGTAAGCCTTGTAATTCCACCAGGACCCAAGCGAAAGGAGGGCAGCGATCGGAAAACAAAAGCGGGTACATTCAAGCACCGCATGGGAAAAAAGAGTTAGAGAAGCTCACCTTTGCATCCATGATTGGGGAAGTGGATTGAGAGCTAGTATAGATGAAGTCGTGCGAAAGCAGATACGAATTGTCCACCCTATAGCTGTAGAGCTGGAGCCCACTAAAGCGGAGGAGTGATGCTGTGAGGAATGCTTAATCGTATTGGCCTTGCTAATGCGTACGTTAGGCTGAGCGAGTTCGCGGTGCTATTGTGGTAAATTTGTGAATGCTGAGAAAAGTGGTGGGAAAGCTTGAGCTGATGTTGACATGAATTAGACGACCGAGTCAAGTCAAAATAATATGCCGAGAAGCTGGGTAGGAAAATAGTCGCGTCCTCTAGGCGCTATGTCTCCGGGGAGTCCAATGAACCGGCGCAAGTGTAGTATCGGTTGGGTTTTGGTAGATTGGGAAACTGACGACTTTTCCTGAAGGCGAGATTCTTAGCACCGACAAGAAGAACAGAGGTCGGAGTACAAGGGTGTAGTAGGACGGGGGTAGAGAAAGAAAATTGAAAATGGAGACGAAAGATGGGCGAGTGAGGGGAAGATGGGGGAGGAGGGGAGAATAAGAAGAACGGAGTAGTGAGAGGGAACAACAACAAAACAAAGATAGTTAGAGAGGGAGCTGGAGAGCGAAGCTGTGCAGGAGTGGGGATTGCCTGGCGGGACAACAAGGATGCTTGGTTGGGAAAGAATTAAGAGAAAATAAATGGGGTCAAGGAGAGTCTGAGCTGACGTGAAGGAGACGGCCAAAAGCAGGCTGGACCCAGATGGGCGAAAAGAGACAGACAGGCCAAGCGGAAGAGGCAGTCAATGGAGGAAGGTTGGCGGCCAAGGGAACACTGATGGTGCTCGAGAGAGAGGGGGAAAGAGGAAGGCCAGACAGAGCCTTCTTTGTGATGGCGGTTGTGAATGGGAGAGTGAATTGGCAAATCGCCCACAGCGCAGGAAAAAATGAAGAATACAGGGCAATTTGGCGAAGCAAAACAAAGAAGGTGCATGGACGGGGCGTGGAACATACCGTGGCTGCGGGTCGCGACTGCCCTGTTGGGAGAGGTACGGAGTAGAGGCGCCGAGAAATGTGTTTGCAGCGTGGATGGATGTCGCACCTGAAGCGGCGGGTTTGTTTTGATGTAGTTTTTGGGCCAGTGCTTTGCATGTATGCTGTTGCCGGGGCGCCGATCTGCGCGTGTTTTCAACGGCAAGGACGGGTGATGCACGCAAAACAGCAGGGGCGAGGCGGAGGAGGGGAATTATGTTGTGGGATGCGATGCAGAGTGGATGTTGACTCCTCTGGCAGCTGCTAAACACTGCACGCAGCAAATTGGCGGCAATGCAGGCAGAAGCGCAAGGCATGAGACGTCTCCTCTTCCTGCATCGGGGCGTTTCTTTGTTTATGAACTGTCTTTGTTGGCGAATCGGATTGGCTCACTCGTTGCTGTGGGCTAAGAAGAGGATACCAGTCCTACCCGGGGTGTATCATGTGGCGCACAGACTAGGCCATTAATATGTGCGCGATAATATGGGCCACGGCGCTGGATATTAATCCGTGCCGGTGACGTTTTACAATGTACCTCTGTATCCTACCCGGCTATCGCAACGTGCTTTACCCAAGATGAGCTAGCGGGCCCCGCTTGGCGATCGTGGCTGCTTACAAGCCCCTCCATTTATGGCGCACGGGCCACTGCGCGTCTTCTAGAGCTTGCTGTCTTGCAAAAAATGGGCAGCCAACAGCGCACAAAGTGCTGTGCGGTAGAGATTGTTAAACTGATGAATTGTGCGACTCTTTGCGAGAATAAGGGCTCTATTTTTATGTGGACAAAAGTGCGTTCTGGGGGCATGGTGACGCGCTGTTCCATTACGGGGTTCCGGCCGTTGGCCGCTGCAATTAAACCGCCAAATTGACACGTCATCACGTGATACGAATTGACAGACTTGGCGGAGCATTGCGCTGTTTCATGCTGGGCGCCTGCTGTCTATGCCTAGACTGATTGGCTGCGCAAGCGAAATTTCCCCTCCTTTCCTTTTTTTCAGCAGTCGTGCGCATCGTCTGTCCTTTTGGATGAAGCGGCGAAGCCATTATGCTATATCTGGTGTGATATATGCCCGACGAGACGAAGGGGGCAAGGGACGAAAAGGAGAGAGCGGTAAGAGAAAAGGAAAGAATCCCGATGTTGGAAAAGGAAAGGCGTCCCCGATCAGTGGCGCCGACCCCTCCCCGCTTTGCTTGGTTGGCGCCCGTCTTTTGCGAAATGCGGCATTGGGCGGCCAGCTGTCACGGCCCGGCGCACCTCCACCCCCTGTACTTATTACATTTTCCCAGCATTTTCGGGGAGCCAGTCAGGGCACTGGCGCATTCTCGTGTGTGAAGCAGAGGAGGAAATGTTTCGCGGAATAATTGCGGGCCATTGTGGTTACCTTTTTTTGCTTGAGGGGAAGTTGGTCGTGACACTGCATATTTCATGTTTCCATCGTGTCTGTCTTGCCGGGCTGCTCGCTGCAGCCTAGAGGGGGGGTTGGTTGGTCTTGTTCTAGGCCGGTTTGCTTTGCCACATTGTGGCCGGCTGGACAGCACATCATGCCATCGGCCGTGGACACGAACAGGCAGAAAAGTGTGCGCTGTCGTCACTTTTCCGACAGATGCGGTGTGGTGCACGAGGACGATTAGTTGGCTGCATTTCGTTTGGAGGTTTCAGCGCACACATGGAGGTACTTGGCGCGACGAGGCGCAATCGGCGGCAAAAGGGCGAAATGAGCGGAAGGCGCATGAGGGAGCGATATAAGCTGGCCGTTTCAGCAAAAGAGGACAAAAAGCTGAGGGCGAGAGGGCAGGATGCCGGATTAAAAGACGATAAAAGTGCCGCAATTTCCCCTCGTTCGCACGGGGAGAAACAGGCCAGTGGCAACTTTGACAGGAACTTTTTTACGTGTTTCTTTTGCCCCATTGGGCCGGTGGAAGAGCAGGGGAGCGAGCGGTTTGTGTGCGGAGCGCAGAATGCGACAGAGGGGGGAAGGAGAAAAGAGAAAAGAGAGAGAGAGAGAGAGAGAGGGAAGGACAGAGACAGAGAAAGAGAGAGTAGAGAGACAGAGAGAGGAGAGAGACAGAGGCAAAGGAAGGAGGAGAGAGAAGAGAGAGGCAAACGGAGAATCACGCATCTCGCTACGCAATGGGCATTGGGCAGCCAATATGCAAATGCGGCTTTGCTGGCTGCCCATCTACGCAGATATACATAGTGCTATGTGCGACGACGGCAGGCGCAGGATCAATACCGATCGTTCGCGGGAAGGCGGTGACGGCCAGACACTCCACCCGAAGCATCCTGGCTGGCTCGTCCGTCCAGACGCCCCATCAAGGTGTGTGCGAGTGTGTGTGGGCGTTATCCAGGCGCGCGCGCTGATGGGCATTCGCGGTCGATCCCTTTACGACGTCGTATGCGCAGGCAGGCGGTCTGCGTAATTATTGCAAGAGAATGGATGCGATCTTTTGTTCCTTTGGCGGCCGAGCCAGACGGTGCCGATCTGGAGCCAAAGGCACCCGGTCGTAATTCCTACAGTGGCAAACAAAGGACAGGTAGAGCGGACGGCGGAGAAGAGAGAGAGAGAGAGAGAAAGAGAGAGAAAGAGAGAGAGAAAAAGACAGAGAAAGAGAGAAAGAGAAGCTAGAAGCGAAGACGAGCTAGAGCGACGATTCGCTAAAATGTCGAGAATTAAAACAAATCGCAGAAAACAACAAACAGCAGGGTCATGCATGCGGTCCTGATTCGACAGAGACGTCGCACCTGAAACGGCCCTGGCCCAACGACCCTCACGGCCGCGTTCCCCGACGCTTTCGTCGTCTTTTTGTGTCGTCTCCATGGCGCCAGAGTGGTGCTTGTAGGGCCGCTGTCTGCTCGTTCTGGCTTCGTCGTGCTGGATGATGAGCTGGCAGTGCGGCCAATGCGTGGAAGCCGGCTGGCCGCCATGCAGGCTGCTCTGCCAGACACAGGCGATGGGGCCCGGACAATGCGCCAGCACGGATGGCAGCGTGAGAGGGTGCTCGCGTACTCTGTACTATTCCCCATAGGCACCACCGCATCTCCACATGGACCACGGAAGAGGTCCCCAGCACGCTCTCGCCTGCCGATGCCGCGACGGCCATTCCAGCCTCCGGCAACGAAGCAGAAGCGACAGCATCATCAGCAACAGCATCAGCAACAGCATCAGCAACAGCATCAGCAACTGCGACAGCAGGCCGGCGGCCATGACAAAGAGCCCCCTCGGCTCGCGAGACTAGCGATGCTGGTTGCGCCAGGTCGACGCCGCCGCGTCTCCCCTAGCGACCCCGTTTGGGCCTGGCTCGCCAGAGCCACCGGCATCCATCCCTCTTGTCGTAACGCAGTCGCCCATGCGCCTTGCGCCATTGGTCACCCACCCTCCCGCCAGCTCAGCCCCGCTCGCTACGGAGCAGGACTGTGCATCCAGGCGGTGGTGAGGAAGCGGATGGCCGAAAGAGCAGAGAGCAGAGGCCAAGGCAGCTGTTGGCCGACTGGGCGCTTCCGCTCTCGCAGGCAGGCTGGAGTGAACGGCGTCCGGCGCTACCATGTAAGATACGATGTTCGCCAGCGATGGATCTGCGCCGGCTCGCCAAGAATGGCCCGTTTCTCTACATTGTATCTTACATGACCATCGATCTTCGACCTTGCGCGGCCCTGCTGATGCGCTCCCGCGCTCGACGCCCCATCCTCTACGGCTGCGTTCGCACACAGCGGCGCGGTGCTCCCGATGATGTGCTGTGCCAGAAAGAAAGAACGGAAGAAAGGAAAAGAAGTAAAATCCGCTGGCCATCGGTGTGCAGGAGACTGACCAACCCCTAAAGTGCCTGAGCGCCAGCACTGTCCTCAGCAGGCAGGGCCCTGGACGAGGTGCCTCGAACGCCCTGTAGTGCCCTGTAGCACCCCGTAACCTGTACTGGCTGGACTGGCCGGCTCCACCTAAAGGCGAAGGAGCGAAAAAATACCCACCTTCCAGGCCAAGTCAAACCCTTCTCTCTTTTCCACTCTCTCCAGGATTCCTCGCCAACACCCACCCTCGACCATCGGGCACGCAGCGACAACCAATCTCTCTGGTAAGACGGTCGTGCCTCTCGCCCTGTCTGCCGGCCTTTCTGGCATCTCGCCTGCCATCTTCTGCCATCCGCCTGCTCTGCCCGTGCTGATTTCCCGCCCGCAGGTGCAGGCATTTTCTTCTGGTGCATTCTGGCCAGAGATCTCCCGTCAAAAAGCCATCGACCTCGGAGTCGCCGCCGTCAACACTGCCAATACCGTCCCCTGCTGCGTCTGGTATGTTTCTCCGGCCCTCTCCCTGCACGCGATCATGGCTGCATGCTTTTTCCCGTCTTTCTCGCCGTCCCGGCCTGGATCGGTGCCGTCGTTGGCTGCGGCTCTCCGCCCAAGTTATGGCCCACTGCCTCCCAAAACTGCCCGTGGGCTCCCTGTCACCGCCGTCTTCTCCCCCCTTCCCGACTCGCACCTCGCCCTGGCCGAGTCCTCTTGCTCGCACCTGCTCTGGCTTCTTCGTGTTTTGCTGACGTCGCTGCCATTCTGCAGAACCTGCCAGACATCGGTCTCTGCGCTCCCGATCTGCGCCGGCCTAATCCGTCAGTCTGCCTCTGCAGAGGAACCGCCCACACATCAGAAGACGAACAGACTCAAACACATACACCTTCCCTCTTCCACATCCACTCACACACACGCACCCACACACGTAACTTCCCTCAAGAAAGAAGACACGGGGAAGACCAGAAAAAATAACAGTCATTTGTTGCGCTGTATCCGGAAGAAGCCAGAGCGGAAAAGAGAGAAACAGAACACGAGACTCAGGAGAGGCGGGCACTGAGAGTGGTCGCTGCTGCTGCCGCTGCTGCTTGCTGGCTGGGCCACTGTGTCGGCCCCAACCGCTGCTCATCTTCATCGCCGCTGCCATTTCGACCCAAACCGGCCCATTCACCTTTCCCATCTCCCCATCTTTCCCATTGTCCGTCGGCCGCTCGTGCGATGGAATACAACCATACTGCCCACAGCCCTGGGACCCCTGCAGCCATGTCGGCCACAGGCGCCACCCCACGGCCGTCTGATCCCAAGACGGTCCGCTTCCAGCTCATCACGCCCGACTCACCGCACACTACCGCCCGTCTGCCAATGCGCGTGCAAATCTACCCCCACGATGCCACAGACTCCATCGTCACCACGGTCAAGAACTTCTACGGGCTCTACTCGAGCCCGACCAGCTCCAAGGGCGTCAGCTTTGAGGACGAGGCCGGCAACACCATGATTGCTCGCTACGAGAACTTCCGCGACAACATGGTCGTCTACGTCCGCGTCATTGAGGAGCCGGCGCTCTCGCCCAGTGCTTTTGCCACCCGCAGCTACCGTTCGCCGCCTGCTGTGGCCGCTGGCGAGCACTACGACGAGCAGGCCCGTGATCTGGATGCTCCTTACCACCCGTCCTATGCTCCCCTGCATCACCACCACCACCTCCACCACCACCACAACGACGACTTCATCTCGCGCCCCGGCTCCCGCACTTCGCGCAAGCGTAGCCTGTCGCCCAACAGCGCTCGCGGCCGTCGGAGCGACTCGGCCAGCACCAATTCCAAGAACCGGTCGCGCTCTTCCAAGAACCGCGGCATCGCCGGCAACGATGCGTACGGTGGCGACAGCCTGAACGGCTACACTAGCGGTGATGGTGCGCCTGGCTCTGCCACCGGCCGTATCAAGGAGCAGCAGCCCATTGGCAACACCGAGATCAGCGTCGAGAACATTGTCGAAGGCGGCCGCCGCAAGAGGGCCAAGTTTGAGAGCTCAGTATGTGTTTTGCGTCTCTCCATGTCTCAGCTGTCTCAGCTAACTCCCCACTCTGCAGGAACTGCCCTTGTTTGCTCCGCCCCAGATGCCTGCTGCGACTTCCAACCCATCTGTCTCGCCTGCCCGCCGTTCGGACCACCGGCCGTCGCTCCCCTTTGTCTACCCCGGCCAGAACCCGTTTGCCGGTGCCGGTGCCCTGCACTCGCCGCAGAGCCATCACACACACTTTGGACAGAGCGGCATATATGCTACTCCCGGCTCGGACGGCCGCCGCACGCGTGCCAGCATCGGCTATTCGAGTGTCGGTGCCGGCATGGGCGTCCTTCCCACTCCCGATCCGACGGTCAGCTCCGTGTCGGAAGAAGACAAGGATGTGGCCATGCAGCTCATGCGCCTGGGCGAGATGTCCAACTTCTCGTACGGCCGTACGTCGACCTCGACGCAAGACGACACCTTCAGCGGCAGAGCAGATGCGGCGTCGTCCACGGGCGCCACGAGCGACTCGGACAGCGACTGTGACTGCGACAGCAGCCTTGGTGGCGGTGATTCGGACGATGCGCAGGTCAAGCGCAAGCTGAAGCCGGACGTGGACGGCATGAGCCGGAAGATCTACCAGTCGGTGGAGAGCGGCTACGGTGGCGACATTGACGTGGACGAGAAGATCAAGTCGCCCGTGCCGACGCCGGTCTCGGTGCCAGTGCCGGGACTGATGGCCGCACCCAAGCTCAAGAAGACCACAGCCAAGACAGCATCAGCCTCCAGCGGTGGCGCCGTGAAGCCGCCACGGGCACAGACGGCGAAGCCGAAACCAAAGACGGCCAAGGCCAAGGCCGCCGGGAGTTCTGCGGCACAGAACGGGAGCAAGGCGAAAAAGACGAACGCCATTGCCCCGGGCGTGCCAATGTCGCCGGCATCGATGCCAGCGTCACGGAAGCTGTCGGTTGCGTCCAACGGCGGTGGCGTCCCGATTGCGGCAGCGACGGCTGCCAGCAGCGGTGGTGCCGGGGACGAGGATATTGCGGACCTGTCAAGCAAGCCACGCTGTCAGCGATGCCGCAAGAGCAAGAAGGGCTGTGATCGCCAGCGGCCCTGTGGTCGGTGCCGGGATGCCGGGATCCCAGCAGAGCTCTGCATCAGTGAAGACGAGGGTAACGGACGCAAGGGCCGCTATGGCCGGCACATGGGCGTGCCCATTAAGAAGGACACTGCTGCTGGCGCTGACTCTCCCATGCAGCCGCCGCCGCTGCCGCTGCCGTCTGCCGCTGTTGCTGCTGCCGCTGCTGCAATCTCGGCTTCGGCCGTGTCGGCAGCCGTCTCTCCGGCTCAGTTGCCCCAATCGGTCTCGCATCCGGCATACCAGCTGCCCCCGATCAGCTCGCTGGGCCAGCTGGGCCAGCAGCAGCCGCTACTGCAGAAGTCGCTGTCCTCTCTTCTTCCGCCGGCCCCGATCTCGGCCACACCCATCCTGGCTCCGACCATTCCCGCCATGGCCATGGCGAGCGCCGACAAGAACAAGAAGCGGAAGCGGTGATGTCGGCTAGGTCGCATATCCCGATATGCGCATGACGTATGTACACGCACGCAAAGCTGTTACTGTTATCCTTTTTTGTGCTCTCATTGTCTCTACATTTGTTGTCTCGAAGTGGCAACGCCCTCCATTTGATCCGTGTGTCTTGTGCGGAACGGCGAGGTGTTTTCGGTTTGCTTGCTCTTTTTATGTGGTTGTCTTTCTATGCGGTCCACGGTTGGACGGGGTCATCATACGAGAGAGAGTTCCTGGGAATATGGTGTTCTCTCTCTGTCGCATTTCCCTCTGGTCCATTGTCACTCCTTTACAAGACGAGCAAACGAGGAAAGGGTACGGATAGGAGTTTTATGAGGGCGGAGGCTGGTGTTTTTTTCTTTTTCTTTTTTCTTTTATCTTTTATTTCCCTTTTTTAATGTGCTGCGCTGTTGTTTCCTACTTTGCTGTTTCACTTTTTCGATTGCCACCTTTGACAAGCGATCTCCTTCCCTCGCTTAGAGGGATCATTGTGATGCAGGGGTAGTTGACACGAGGAAATAGCGCGGCTCTCCCGCGCAGTACGAAGCGCGCAGGACAAAATGTCGTCCCGTCCTCCCAAGAGGAGGCAGATACATGAGGGAAACAGGAAGGCTAAAAAAGAGGGCGAGGGCGAGAGTGAGGGCGAGGGCGATGGCGCGCGGCGAAGAGGTGGTCAAAGTGAACGATCACCAAGAGGATGGACATGCAGAGTTTCAGGCTGCTGGCTCTCGCCTTGTTGTTTGTTTCCTACGGGTTGTCCGGATGGGATTGGCAAAGAAGTGAGGGAACTTGGCAAGGGATCTCCAGCTTCCCTGTCTTGTTGCTCCTTTTTGGTTGGCACTACAAGTATTTCCTTTATTTCATTCTTCTCCTGTGTTGTTGTCGAGTCTGGGGCCGGCAGGGATCAAGCTTGTTTATCCTCTAAAGTGTGACTGTATTGTTTCTCTGCTTACTTGCTCTGTCGTAACAATTCGTATTCTTATGCGTGGTTGTGCGTTTGTGCTTGGGCCTCGAAAACCAGGCCGGAATGCAACCTTTTCTAAAGATACGACAGATCTCATCTTGTACGGAGTACGGAGTATTGGGCTGCCAATGCGAACCGCCATGGCCTTATATGGGCATGCCCAACCCGCCGTCCCGGGCCACTTTCTACCCCTTCGTTGGGCGGCAGCAGACAGTAGAAGGGACGGAAAGGGGTCCCCGGAACAAATTCGAGGTTCGGTGAGCGGACATGCCGCCGTTGTCGGCTAGGACACGCAGCAGCAGCAGCAGCAAGGTGTGATACAGAGAGTACATAGTAGAGACAGAAGCGAAACTGTACGAGCACGTCGGGCGGACGGACGCGCATCGTGGAAGGGCAACAGATGACCCTCTCCACCTGTCTGTCCCCTCTCTTCTGCTGGCCCCAGTTCTTTCCCGTTTCACCGCTGTTCAGCCAGAACGTGCTGAAGGACAGCCTGCGCACAGGCAGTACCTGGACGGCCGCCTGGGCGACGGGCAGGTCAGGCGAGCAGCTGACGAGGATGGGCAACTTTTGACAAATTCGGCCGAGATACTCGCACCAGTTGGTGGAGAAGACGTTTTTTTTTTCGTTTTTTTTCTTTTTTCTTGTTTACTTTTCGTCTACTCCGTACCTCGTAAAACTTGCACAAAATAGTACAGAGCACAAAATCAGACAGCGCAGAGGAGGTGGCATCCCGCGCACGTGGAGAGACAGAAGCCTGGTGATGGTTGCATTTTTGGTCGTCTGCCTGTAGTATGGACATCACGAAGGCGGCGAATGGCACAACGGACAGAGATAGACTATATGTTCCAAAGAGGATACGTCCGTTTCTGGAAATATAAAAGCGGGTACCACTTAAGCTCTTTGGCCTCAGAACTCTTTAGGACTAGCGCTATCGAAAGTACCCTGTACTCTCTAAGCGGCCGCATGGCCAGCTTGTACTTTGTATTATCGCATTTTTATTCGTATTTGTATTTTATTTTGCCACGGGCATTCCAAGGTTTTCTGGGCCGTCGCCCAACGCCATTCCCATCCGCCATTCTTCCTCTTGTCCATCACAACGTCTGCATCGCATCGCACCCCATCTATCTCATCGTGAACATCATTAGAAGCCTCTCGCGAACCGAGTCGCTTGTCCGTTTTTTTTTTTATAACTACTCCATCGCTTGGAGATTCCAAAAAGAGCACCCAGGGCCCAGCGGCGGGGCTCTTTTTCCCTATTTTATATATGTATTAATATTGAATTGGCAACTTCTGCTATCCTCGTGCCCTTTATTCTGTGGTCCGTGTCTTTTTTTCCCTTCTTAAAACTGCCAGCCAGCGGAGTTCACGATGTCTGTACGGGAAACGCGTGTCTCCCGAAAGAAGTGGCTATTGTGGGCGTGATATTGCTGCTTTTGCTGTTTTTTTCGTATTTTTTCCCGTTTTTTCCTTTCCCGCCTCCCGTCTTCCCCTGCAGATTCTATAGCCATGCAACATTGCTCCCCTTTTTCTTTCCAGAGTCTTTTTTCTGGCTCTCCCCCCACCGGCAACCTGCCATCGCAGCGCGGATCGTTGCAGAGTTGCCGGGACGTGTTGGCCGGGACCGCCTGCAGGATTTCCCTTGAGCACGTCTTCCTGTCGGTCCGGCTGTTAGGCTCCCATCACCAGCTTATTGGTACAAACATGGCATGATGCGGAGGCGAGAATGTTCTGGGCCGGAAACCAGTCATAGGCCTTTCTTCCTGACAGTTCGTCGCACGTTGCTCGTCTCATCCTTGGATTGGGGCGGAAGGCTCGCAGCCGGTGGTGGTGCTCTTCGTGACTAAGTGTTGACGGATGCCCATCCGGCGTGCCATGATCATAATCTGTATAACAGATCCATTCTCGGAATGCTGCTAGCTTTGTTTTTTTTGTGGTCCCTGGCGTGTTCTACGCTCCCGCCCCTGCAACCATCAGGACGCGGGCGCGATGGCTAATACGACCGGGCGAGGAGGCAGACAAGAGCCTCCTGGGCGAACGACACGGTGAAAAGAGACGGGGAAAAAACGAGGAGAACCAGGTGGTCTGTCGGCAGCAAGACACGGTATCCACGTCCGCTGTTGCCGGACGAAGCCTACCGGCCAGTGTCGGTTGAGCGTGATGGTGGGAGGGGCCATTTTGCTCGTAGCGCATGGCCGCGCACAAGTGCCCTTTTTTTTTTTCCTCTCCTCTGGTCACCGAGCTCACGATGGTCGTCTGGCTAGCTGTTGGGGGGGGTGTTGGCCGTCGTAATGGCCAGCGGTGCGCAATGCGAGTACTCGTACGCGTGCAATGTGTGCGGTGTGTATGCACGGTGTGTGCAGCATGTGCAGCGTGTGCAGTGCGCGATGCGCAGGCCGGATGGCGTTGTCAGACACAGAGAGCAGACCGGTGAGCAGGCTGGACCGGATGCATCGACGACTTCTCGCCTGCGATTCGCTCAGAAGTCACGGGGATGATCGGGGTGAATCAAGGAAAGTGCTCTCGATGAACCGATTGCTCGGCCGGCAGTCGTGCCTTCCTCCCTTGCTGGCGTGCTCTTTCCCCCTTTCTCGTTGCTCCCCTCCTGCTCTTCTCCTCTTTGTCCTGCCTAGTGATCTCCTCTTCTTTTTTCTTCGTCTCCGCATACCCCCTCTGCATCTCTAAGCCAACCCCTCTTCCTCCCACCATCAGGATGGTACGGCGAAGGCCGAGACGACCTAAGAGAGAACGAAGACCGACAACGGGGATTGCGTGCCCAGGTGATGTGAAAAAACTGGACTCGATGGAACAGCGCAGTCATGACGCAGATGCGGTGTGAAGACGCTGACGGCAGCCGGGCCCCGAGAACAGTACGACTACGAGAATTTTACAATGGGTTGGTGGCAGGGATGGAGAGGGAAAAAAAAGACCAAAATAGAACGGCAAATGCTGGAGAGGCAAAATGGGGTTTCAAGCACGTGAGGCGACAGTGCATCGAGCAGAAATCGATTTCACGATGGTGTCTCAGTCACGACGCAGGCCGAAAGAACGAGATGCAACGAGATGGAATGGAAAAGACTCGGAAGGCCGGCTGGCGTGCTTTCGCGCCCACAGTCTGGGCTATCTTCTTCTTTACTGTTCTTTTGCCCCTGGAAGGGTCGTCGCAGGCCTGCTCCACGTTAGGGGCGGGTGAGCCCTATAGCTAGCGGACTTGGGGAAAGACGTGCGCGAAGGTGCAGTGCCGGAAGCTCAGGCACGGCCGTCCAATTCCAGACCCAAAGAGGGAGTTGGATGCAGGCAGGTGAGTCCTTTTTTCCTCGACCTCATCACCTTCTCCCGGTCTTTTTCCTATTTTTTCCCAGTTTTTTTCGTCTTTTCTTCACCTGGGGTCGTCATTGCCATGCTTTGACCGCTAGCAGCTCCGACGAACGGCAGCGAGCCGGGATTATGGATCACGATAGCTTGACAAGACAGAGAGAAAGCATGACAAAAAGAAACGAGAAAAAATGGGGAGAAGGGCCCAGACTGTGCATCTCCATTTTTTACACGACACGCCCGTGGTGTCGCTGGAGCAGGCTCGTCAACAACGTTACTCGATACGAACGTCGACGACGAGCAGGCTCTCTATAAGAGAGGGCGGCCACGATGCCGGGCAGACGGACAGGAAGAGAGCAGGCACTCGAACACAGGCATCCAGACACCGAATTGACCAGACCAGACAGAAACAACACGCAGCATACACTTACCAAAGCCTAGATAGACGTGAGAATTCAAAGATACTTATTGGCACCCAGACACTCTTCTGCACCCATCTCGTTCGCTTTCTTCTTTTCCTTTATACAGAGCAACACCCTTCCGATCCACTGCAATGGCTCTTGATGCCAATGCATCCAACAGCTTGCTGGCCCAGCTGACCGAGGCACATCTGGCTCGGATGGATGCGGTCGACGAGACAGGCGAGGCTGGTCTGCCGGGCGGACTGTACCAGTCGATGCCGGCATCTGCAATGGACTCTGCACTGACACTGGCAGCCAGCCAGCCAGGGTCGCCGCTGGGCGAGAAGGAGCAGATGGTATCGCCGCTGGACCGGGCAGGCGCCCAGCTCGAGGCGGCTCCAGATCTGGAGGCACAGAGCAAGACCAAGGGCCCGGCCGATGCGTCGGCCCTGACGGCCTGGTCCCAGGTGGCGGCGGCGTTTCTGCTCAACGGCATTGCCTGGGGCACGCTGTCGATGTTTGGCGTCTACCAGCTCTACTACACGCAGACGATGGGTCTGCCGACGGGAACAGCCAGCTGGGTTGGCTCGCTGCAGACCTTTATGACCTACTTTTTATCGACCGTCTCGGGCCAGCTTTCGGATTCGGGCTATGCTGTGCCGACTGTTCTCGCCGGCACGCTTCTTGTGCTCGCCGGTGGCATCTGGACCAGCTTTTCGGCCGCCTCGCTGGCACAGCTGTTCATCTCTCAGGCCGTCATCACTGGTGTCGGTCTCGGTCTTCTCTCGGCGCCACCACTGCCGTCCATCAGCTACTATTTCGGCCCCGACACGCCGCGTGGCAACAGCCAGGCCCTTGCCCTCGCCATCTCCACCATCGGCTCCAGTGTCGGCGGAGCTGTGCTACCGGCCATCGTCCAGTACCTTCTGCCGGCCACCAGCTTCGCCTGGGCTGTCCGCTGTGCTGCCCTCGTTGCCCTCGTCGCCTGTCTCGGCGCTGCACTGCTCATCCGGACTGTGCCGACCGAGCCCAAGATCAAGCCCAAGGCCGAGCCAAAGGGCCAGGATCAGACGGAACAGCCTGCTGGACCCTCGCGTCTCTCTGTCTTCCTCGACCAGATTGCCGATTGGAACGCTCTGCGCGAGCTGCCCTTTGTCCTCTTCCTCGCATCCACCTTTTTCCTGTACTGGGGCCTCTACTTTGGCTTCAACTACGTGAGTCTTTGCTTCCTTTTTCAGTTTCGGCATGTGCCCTCACTGACCGCCACAGATGAACGTCTACGCCGAAAAGATCCTCGGCATGTCGTCCACCAACTCGACCCTGCTGCTCATCATCTCCACCGCATCGGGTATTCCGGGCCGTCTGGTCTCCGGCCTGCTCGCTGGCTACTATATGGGCGCCCTCGACTGTCTCGTCATCATGTCGTGCTTCAGCGCCGTCAGCATTTTCTGCTGGCTCGCTGTTGAGAGCTCGACTGCCGGCATGTACGCCTTTGTCATCTGTTTCGGCCTGGGCAACGGCCTGACCCAAGGCGTCTGGCTGGGCTCCATTGCCGAGCTCATGGTGCCCCCCAAAGCTGATCCCGTGTCTGCTGACGCCAACGCCAACGCCGCTGTCGATGCCACCGCTCGCCCGCTTCCTCGCATCGGCGCCCGCTTCGGCATGGCTTGCACTGTGGCCGCTTTTGCCACCCTGATCGGCGGTCCGACCGCAGCAGCACTCATCCACAACGGCGGCCACACAGCTTCCGACTACCACGGCGCTATCATCTGGTCCGCTGCCGTCACCATGGGCAGTGTCGTGATCACTGCCTTTGCCCGCGTGTCGGCTGTCGGATGGAGCCCTCGGGCCGGCATCGACAAGAAGGCCGCCGATTTTGCCGCTGCTTCTGCTGCTTCTGCAGCTTCTCCGTCGGCATGAGCCCAGAAAAAACTCGCATTTCACGCATTTACGACTAACGACCTTTTCTTTCATCTCTGCTTATTGTTTGCTTTCAGCATTAGACTCAAAAATTGGTGGACCCCAAGAAATGTATAATGTTTAATGGCATGTTGGGGGGATGGCTTGGGAAAAACAGAACTCTTATGACTTATGAGGAATGGACTGCGATTCGGGATTTGGGGATTATAGGAAAGCCAAAGAGCAAGAGGACGGTTACCGGATATGGCAGTGATTAAATCGAACTAGCTTCCGTGTCGGTTGCCATTTACAAGCTTGAATTTCGTCTGTGACTCGTTTTCCGTACCGTCTATGATAATGCCCAATACTCCTGGATATGTCGGCTGCTTCCCGCTTTCCGTGGCTCTCTGCTGCGTTTGTACATTGGAACCAGATAACTGCTGAACATTCCTTTCCATTCTTTCCTGTCTTTCCCATCTTCTGTTAGTCTCTTATCCGACCTGGACGGTGATCTCTCAACGTTCCTTTCCTTTCCTTTCCTTCCCTTCCCTTCTTTCCCGTCTTTCCCGTCTTTCCCGTCTTCTGCTTCCCTCTCAGTCGACCTGGACGGTGGCCTCTTCCTCCTCGTCCTCCTCGTCCTCCTCGTCCTCGTCTTCGTCCTCGTACATCTCCAACTCGGCCGGGTCCACCGTCCACTCGGTCTCGCTGCTAAACACCGGCACCAGGTTGTATTTGCCGCCCACCGGCCCCATGCCAAACGCGTTTCCACCGGCGTTCTCGGTCGGCTGTCCATCGCCCACGTTCGGCTTCTCGTCTGCCTCTTCCAGCAGTACTGCCGTCGTGAGGAACTGCACGTCCGAGCCCGGCATCATCTCGTACGTCATGCCGCCCCAGCTGAGCTCGGCCCGCCCGGACTTGCGGATCGTCAGCGTGCCGAGGAAGCCGCCCTCGCCAATGTCCGATGGCTTGCGTCCGTCGTTGTCGTTGCTGTTGTCACCGCTGCCCGTGAGATCTACCGCCGCTGCCGCTGGCACGCTGTCGAGCATCACCACGTCGCTGTGCTCGTCCGGATCCGGCTTCACGACACCGCCCACGTGGCTGCTGTTCTTGATTGTCGGACTGCTCGGCTGGAAGGGCTGCAGCGACGGCAGCACCGGCGGAAACTGAAACAGGAACAGCCGGCCCTCCCGCTGCGGCGCCTCGGCGGACTCCTGCTGCTTCCGTCTCTCTTCTTCGTCGTCGGCCGCAGACTCGTTGGAGTGGATGGCCAGCGGTGCTGTTCCCGAATCGCGCGGCGGGTCAATGGCCAGGTCGTGCAGCATCGCCTGCAGGCCCTCTTCCACCATCACCTCTTCCGGGTCCTTTTCCTTTTCCTTCTGCGGTCTCCGCTTCTTCGTCTTGACCACACCACTGCTGCTGCTGATGCCGCCCTCTTCTCCCTCCTCGCCGCTTGGTCTTTGTCCGGCTGCTGCTGCGGCTGCCGCAATCTCCTGCCGCTTCTCTGCCAGCGTGTCAATGTCCGTCACCTCAATCTCCTGGCCGTCCGGTCCGATCAGCTTTACGCCTCGCTGCGTCTTAATCGCCCGGGACCACACCTCGTCGTCGTCGGCGCTGCCACCCGTTGTCGTCACGTCGCCGTTCCCGATAAACAGATCGGAGCCCGAGTCGTCGGCCTCTCCGTCGTCCACCGCGTCCCCTTCACCCGCTGTCGCCTCGAGCTCATCGGTCGCTGCCACCACCATCCCCGTCTCCCGGAACTCCTCCCGCTTGATGCCCATCGGCAACAGCTGTGGTATCTTCTTGCCCGAGCTGGTGCTGCTGATCGTTTCGGCTGCGAACTCGTCCTTGACCGCCACGTCGTCGCCGTCTGCGTAGTCCGCCATCCGTCCGTTAAACATGTCCGTGTTCAGCCGCAGGTCGACCTCTACCGCCGGGCCAGAAACCGAAAGAAACCCGCCAGAGCTGGGACCCGACCCTCTGCCACCGCCGCCAAAACCACCACCACCACCGCCACCGCCACCACCGCCGAAGCCACCCTGTCCTGGTCTGCCACGGCCTTGAGATACTGCAGAAGAGAGAGCTGTCAGAGAAATGTTCGACAACCAAAAGGGAAGCACAAGCACACCGAGGCTGCCTTACATGAACCCGGCATCTGCGAGAACGGCCCGTCAGGCGCCACTGTCCGTCTGATTAGACCATCACGGCCACCAGCAAAATCTCCCCGGCCACGACCACGACCTCCCCGACCTCGACCCCGGCCACCTCGCATCCGGCTCTCTCTCCGTCGGCGAGCATCGTCCACTGCTGCACGGTCGAGCAGCTTCTTCTCTTCCTGCTCCGCGAGAGCCTTGCGCTCCTCGTCTGCACGCCGCACCACCTTCGGCCGCAGCTTAAATGACCGGCTCCCGGCTGTTCGTGTTGGTACCAGTGTTGATGCTTCTGAAGCTTCTGTTGCGCCTGCTGCTTCAGAAGCTGCTGTCGGCTCCAATGCAGCGGCAGGGCTGCCTTGGCCGGACGTATCATCGCTGTTAGCTGCCGGTGTGGCTCCGCCGCGAAGAACCCTCCTCGTCCGCGGAGGCATGGCTTCTGACCTCTCTGACTGCTCTGAATAGACGCAAAGAGAAGTAGGAGATGATACAAAATTGTCACCTGACCATCAACAGTCGTTCGTCAAGCATCAGAATGCAGCGTGAGGAAGGCGCGAAGAGCAATGGTCGTTTTTTTTCAAGCCGACCCCACAAAAGACAAGTGTGAGGCGCTGCCCACTAATTTTTATAGCCCGAAATGTCATACTGTATACATAAACGCTCTGCACACTGTCTGTGGGCCAGAAAACCAACAGCAACAATGTGTGAGCAATACCCCGCACGGCGACTCGGCGGTGGGCCACGAGCTGCTGGAAGCTGAATTACCACAAAATCCCATTCGCCTTATCCTCTTATCGGCAACATCGCCATTTGTCCACGCTGCCTTCAGGGAGGCTATTCCGGGCAAACGGCCGCCCCTAATGCTTTCTGCACAGGTGGCATTGATTTGCCCATGAGAGAGGCCTGCAACGAGCGTCGCCCGCTGCTCTCTTGCCCTTAGGCTTCCGATTCAGCAACTCGGCAATCCGGCCAGATTCTGCAGAGCCATCCGACAGTTCATCGACACATCGGCGTGCTGAATGTCTCTCAAGCCCGCCCCACGACCTGGCCTGCACATGGCCTCTCCCTTTCCCGCGTCCAGCTCCACGCCGGGAACGGGGCGCATCGTCGTCGGCATCTCGCCCAATGGCGAGCCCAGTGTCGAGATCCTGTCCTACCAGTACCCGCTCAAGCTCCTCTCGCCTTCGTCAGGAGGCGGCGGCAGCAGCGACAGCCCGAAAAGGAAGAGTGCGCTCGTTTTCCTGCTGTCGTACGGCGGCGGCCTCGTGGCTGGGGACCAGGTCAACCTGGCCGTCGAGATGCGACCGCATGCGCGCCTGAGCCTCGTGACCCAGGGCACAACCAAGGTATTCAAGGCGCCGCCCGTGCAGCCGTCCGGCTCGATGGCAGATCTGGTGGTCACCCGCCAGAACCTGGAGATGCGCGTGGCCGCTGGAGCGGCACTCTGCCTGCTCCCGGACCCCGTGCAGCCGTTTGCCGACAGCGTGTATGAGCAGCTGCAGGTGGTGCGGCTGGCTGCCGGCAGTCGTGACGGCACAGAAGCGGCCTCGTTGTGTCTGCTCGACTGGGTCACCCAGGGTCGTGCGGCTCGTGGCGAGAACTGGTCTTTCACCCGGTGGCAGGGCCGAAACGAGATTTGGGTGGAAGAGCAGCTTGACGATGCGAGCATCTCCAAGTCCCGCCTTCTCGTTCGCGATGCCGTCATTCTAGTGCCAGAGATGATAGATGGCGGCCTGTCCGCTCTGGCACCGGCTTCGGATTATGCTTTCCCTCGGTCGACCGTTCTCCGCGACTCTATGCATGGTCTTGCCGTTGTCGGCACGCTCATTCTGCGTGGGCCCCTGGTTGAGGCCCTCGGCCGCTTCTTCCTCGCCGAGTTTGCGGCGCAGCCCCGCCTCGGTGCTCGCGACTTTCACGAGTCTTCCGGGCCAGGACCGGCTCTGGAGCCCGCCGTCTGGCGGGCTAGCCGCCTGCAGCTAGAACTGACCCACGGCGTGCTGTGGTCGGCAGCGGCCGTGCGCAGCTGCGTGGTCGTCAAGTTTGGCGCCCGCTCCGTCGAGGGCGGCCGGCTCTGGATCGGCGGCATGCTGCAACGAGAGGGCAGTGTGGCCGCCGTCTTCGGCGACCAGGCGCTCATGTGCGTGCGGTGACGTCGGCAAACACAAAACAGTCCGACGGAAACACAGGCACGTATCAAAAGCAAATCAAAAGGCAAATCATTGCATTGTTTCCAAACTGTTTGCGAATGTCCTGCAATCGATGCAAGCTGTCCCCTGACGCCAAAATATGTATGAAAGAAAGCAAAACAAACAAGTGTTTCGTGAGCATCATAATAGTACACTTTCTAACCTTGTCCGATCCCGGATGGACAAGGAATCGTCCCTTCTGAAGGGACTTTCCTCCAGTCTCTGGCGGTGCGCCCGCACCAATGCTCCTCCACCAACTAAGTCGTAATGGTGTTAAGCTCAGGGAAGTATTGGGCTATCTTGTGAGGATCTCCAAAGTTGTTTCTTGGGGGCTCGGCAGGTGTGGTGGGCGTCAACGGCTGCTCTTCAACATGCTCAGGCATGACCGCAGTGTGCTCCATCTCACTCAAAAGCATGCGCTTCTTCTTGATATTGCCTTGTGCTGGCTGCTTCGACGGTAACAGCCGGGCTGGAGAAGCCAGAACCGACGCAGCTGGCAGACCGTCTGTAGAAGTGGATGTAGAGTTGTTGTTTGAATCCATTGCATGATGTGACACGTTGTTGGCGGTCGTTGACGAGAAGTATGGTATTCTGGGCCGGTTGACGATCGTTGCATCGGGTACTCGTGCCCGCAACATGCTCGTAGACATGGACGAAGCATGCGCTGGCTTGTGCTGGTCTGTCCCTGCGACCGCTGCTGGAAAAGAGCCGCTGATGCGACTCGGCAGCAGCATGTTCTTCTCATTGGCCACGAGTCCCTTTGTCTGCACAAAGGCTGCTGACCGCGTGTGCGCCGGCCCGCGGGTAGAGTACGCATCCCGGATTGGGTGAACCATGACCGTCTGGCCGTGAATCGTGAGAATAGAGTTTGTCGGAACATTGACCCAGTTTTCTGTACCAAAGCACCACCGGATTAGTCACATGGCTCTCTGAAATCACCGGCAGAGCGTCCCGACACCAAAACCCACCTCTCTCAAACGTGAGCGGCTCGCTAGCCACGAGAACAACATCGGCACCTTTATCCCGCCGCTCCATCTTGTAGTCCTTGTCGTCGCCCGCCGTCGGACGCTTCTCCCACTGGCTGCCAGAGGAGTAATATAGGCTGGCCGCCTGGTCGGTAGTGCTGCTAACATAACGAGTGCAGATGACGCTGTGACCGTCCGAGAGGGCAAAGTTGAGCAGGCTCCGGGTGTCCACGTTCTCCGACAGGATGGTGCTTTCCGGGATCTGGTCGATGAGCTCGTTGATAATGGCAATCGTGCGCAGCATAGCCTTGCGCAGAAGTCCGGGCCCGAAGCCTTTCTCAGGCTGGGAACTGGGACTGGCACCTAGCCGTTCGAGCGTGTCGAGGAAGAGGGCAAATGCCCATTCGGTGTCGGTGCCGCCCACGACGCTATGGTACCACTTGTCTGCTAGACGCTCGGACAGGCGACGCTTGATGTATTTCCAACCGCCGAGCGAGCCGTTATGCATCCACATCAGACTGCCATGAGAGAACGGGTGACAGTTGGTCTCGCTCAGAGATGAACCGGTAGCTGCGCGCACGTGGGCGAAAACGAGGCGAGACGCCGTCTTGGTGGCAATGCGCTCGAGATTGGGGCAGTTCCACGCAGGGATCGTAGACCGGAACAGGCAGGGGGCCTCTCCAAGCTTGGGGTCGGTAAACCAGCCGATGCCGAAACCATCTGCATTGTTCTGACCACGTCGTGTGTCCTAGAAAATGGGTGAGTCAAGAGTGAGGCATGGAAGCGACGACACGGTGGAGGACATACGATCCGTAAGCGAGAATCAAACGATTGCCTTAGGATGGAATGAGTAGGGTCGAGGATGAGTTTGGAAAGCAGGATCTCGTCGCTGCCCTTGTAGACCTAGAAGGAGTATGGTTAGAATATGGTGTTCGCATTGCAGGCGGTTGCCAGAAGCGCACAGAGCTCAAGGCATACCAAGAAGCGGCACATGGTGAGCGGGTCGCTGCCAGAGCTTTAGTGGCCGACTCTATTGGAGCAGTCTTGGAAAGGGTACGATATATTGCCGAATAAAACGAAGGCTGCGCGATTTGGTAGGCAGCAATAAGCGATGGAGGATGAAGGAGGGGCGAGATTGTGAGCAGTGGAAAGATCGACAAGGAGGAAAAGAAGGAAGAGGTGCCTCTTTGGATATACTTGAGAGAGAGAGACACGCGATGTGAGAAAAGAGAGAGGAAGCTGTGACAGTCGGTGAGGATAATAAAGGGAGAGAAAAGAGTCAGACACGGGATGAGGCAAGAGCGAAGTGTGGGCCCCCTGACTCGTACAGAACATTTTAGTGCTCTTGTTGCCAGCTGGCACTGCCGGTCATAGCTGCATGCGGTCGCTAGCGGCTGCCGTATTTCTGGCGACCGATACTTGCTTTGCAGGGGTCGGTGTGCCGTAAGGCTGAGGCGTTTCAGCACCATCGCCCCTAAGTGATGCCATTTTAAAGGCGAATTGCGACATTTGCAATTTCGCTTTCAGACTTGAGTCAGAAGTTCCAAGATGGTAGCCGGACCAGCCTTAGCCAGCTTGGCCATTCTGACAGCTCGTAGGCCACAGCATGTCTCAGCAATTTCAGTGACCTTCTAAATCTCTCCATGCTGCCCTCTGGCGGCTGTTCGCTCCAGTCGATTCTTTCCCTCTACTCCCTCTCTGCACTTGCTAGTGCATCTCGCAAGATGACATGCTCGCATAGGCAGGCGAGATTGCCAAGCCACAAATACTGTCCAGGGGAGGGGGCGGCCTTCTTGTCGTGCTCATACCACGTACAGACTGCCGCACGAATTTGTACCCGTGTGACTGGAACGGCCCTGTTCGCCCCTACATAAGACGTACTTTGTATCTTACGTCTCCGATATGTGAGCAGAGCTCCAGACTCCACACAGAGTGCCACTGCAGGAGGCATACCCTGGCCCTGCTGTCCACCCTGCTTGGCCACAGAAAGGTCCAGAAGCTGCTTCAGAACTGCTCTGGAAACCTTCTGTGCAACACAGCACAGCTCGCAAGAGCGCTTCCGCGACACGCCAGCCGCAAGTCACACGTGGGGCCAGGTGTACACACTGCATAAACCAAGGTGCAAGAGGTACGAGTACGAGTACAAAGTTCTTTGCTGAACTTGCATTGTGAATTATGTTAGTGAGCATTCGGTATCACGTGACTACATGAGACTTCACACGTGATTATAGGAGGGGCGAGCAAGCCACGGTCAAGCTTTAATCCCCCTCAACAAAGTGGCGGTGATAGCTGAAATTAATGCCACACAAATTCGCCATTCGTCACCGCAGCATTTGCAGCGAAAACGGTCGCTGCTAATTTTTTTGTTGTACGGTCCCATACGACGCCGTTCGAGGATCGCCATATAATGCCCATGCGCCTCGAGTCGAATTAACCCGTCGACGTCTAGTCTGCCGCCAACCAAACCGGGGCGGAGCTTTCTTCCAACAGGCTGAACCGTTGGGCCACCGCCTACAGATAACCAGCAATCCCCATTTTACCTCGACTCTTTCTATTTTGCCCGACTCCTCAGTCAAGATGAGTGCAAGACGTATTGCGTCCGGGGCCCTGGGGCCTCTGGTACGCCGCAGGGCCGCCCAGATGGTCGTCCGTTCTTTTCACCAACGGCTGCTACCCGTCGGAGGATTACAAAGGACAGACATATCTATCCAAGCGGCACGGAAGCACATGCGATTCCCAATCAACGGATACCACAACGCGGTGATCTCGCGAAATGCCTCATTTGCTCGCCTCATTCCTAAGCTCGTCATCAAGTTTGCCCGGGTTCCGGCCATGTTTGGTGGTTTGCTGATAGGAGGCGCAGCTTGGGTTCAGTACCAGGCCATTCGTAGGTGACCAGACGTTTCGGTCGGAGGCGGGAGAGGCGATTGCTAACGCTGGCACGCAGAGGTGGGAAACTCGGCCTACGACATGTACAGGACCACCCGGGACGGGTTGACAGAGACGGCAACAACATTCTGGGACGGGGCGCTCAACATTGCGAATCAGACAAAGCAGGGATGGGAGAGCACGAAAGAGCATATGGAGATGCCTGAATGGATGCAAAAAGTGCTGAAGCTGCACGAGAAGATCGGAACGGGCAGCGAGGGTCCTAATGGCAGCGGTAAGGGCCCGAAGGAGAGCAGAGGTGCTGGAGCAGCCGGAGCAGCAGCCGGAGCAGCAGCTTACGGATACTCGGATGGCGGGGACGACGACGAGCCGCGGGCGGGAACAGAGAGCGGTGCGCGGGACGATCAGATGATGCTGTTCATTAAGAAGATGATTGAGATCCGCAACATCCTGCAAAAGGTGGGCCAGTCAAGCACGCTGACGCTGCCGTCGATCGTGGTGATTGGCTCGCAGTCGTCGGGCAAGAGCTCGGTGCTGGAGGCGATTGTGGGGCACGAGTTCCTGCCCAAGGGCTCGAACATGGTGACACGGCGGCCGATCGAACTGACGCTGGTCAACACGCCCGACTCGAAGGTGGAGTACGGCGAGTTCCCGGACCTGGGGCTGCGGAAGATCACGGACTTCTCGTCTATCCAGCGAACGCTGACGGAGCTGAACCTGGCCGTGCCGGACTCGGAGTGCGTGTCGGACGACCCGATCCACCTGACGGTGTACTCGCCACATGTGCCGGACCTGTCGCTGATCGACCTGCCGGGATACATTCAGGTGGTGGGCCAGAACCAGCCGCTGGAGCTGAAGCAGAAGATCTCGGAGCTGTGCGACAAGTATATTCAGCCGCCCAACGTGATCTTGGCCATCTCGGCCGCAGACGTGGACCTGGCCAACTCGACGGCGCTGCGGGCGAGCCGGCGGGTGGACCCTCGCGGTGAGCGGACGATCGGGGTGGTGACGAAGATGGATCTCGTGGACGCGGAGCGTGGAGCGTCGATCCTGCTGGACAAGCAGTACCCGCTGCGGCTGGGGTACGTGGGCGTGGTGGCGCGGGCCCCGACCTCGGTCGGCGGTGGGCTGTTCAAGAAGGGCGGCAGCGGCAATAGCCTGATGCGGCAGATCTCGAAGAACGAGGAGGCCTTCTTCAAGGCGCACCCGCTGGAGTTCGGGGTGGGGACGGAACTGGCGCTGGGAACGAAAACGCTGCGGCGGAAGCTGATGCACGTGCTGGAGCAGACGATGTCGGCGAGCTTGCAGAGCACGACAGACGTGATCCGACAGGAGCTGGAAGAAGCCACGTACGAGTTCAAGGTGCAGTACAACGACCGGCCGCTGTCGGCGGAGTCGTACCTGGCCGAGAGCCTGGATGCGTTCAAGCACTCGTTCAAGCAGTTTGCGGAAGAATTTGGGCGGCCGCAGATGCACGAGCTGCTCAAGGGCGAGCTGGACCAGCGGGTGCTGGATCTGCTGGCACAGCGGTACTGGAACAAGCCGATCGCGGACCTGCTGCCGGCGGTAGTGGAACTGGATCCGCTGTCGGAGCTGCCGAGGGCCGACCCGGACTCGCTGTACTGGCACCGGCAGCTAGACGCGTCGACGTCGCAGCTGACGAAGCTGGGGATCGGGCGGCTGGCGACGAATGTGGTGGCGACGAGCATTCAGGCCCACATCGAGCGGTTGATCGCGCAGTCCAACTTTGCGAGCCATCCATTTGCGCGGCAGGCGATTGTGGACGCGGCCGCGAGCATTCTCAACGACCGGTTCTACAGCACGAGCGACCAAGTGGAAAACTGCATCAAGCCGTACAAGTTTGAGATTGAGCTGGAATCCCGCGAATGGGAAGGCGGCCGGGAACACGCGGCCGTGGTGCTCAAGACGGAGCTGCACGCCTGCCAGGACGCGATGAAGCGACTCGAGGGCACTGTCGGTGGTCGTCGCAAGCTGGGCGAGGTCATGGGATTCGTGGACCGGGCGAGACGCGGCGACGTGGTGGTGGAGGGTGAGGGCCGGAGTGGTGCCGGTGGCTACAGTGCAGCTCTTTTGCAAAAGGGTGAGTTTTGGGTGTTTTGGGTGTTTCGGGCTTTCTCCTTTCTTCTTTTCCCCCATTGTGCTAATCCCCTTGGCAGGACGTGAAGCGGTCTTCCTCCGTGACCGGGCCGACATCATCAACATGCGGCTGCTGGCAGCCAAGTCGAAGCAATGCCGCAGCATCAGCAACAAATACTACTGCCCCGAAGTGTTTCTGGATGCGGTGGCGACAAAGCTGGCCAGCACGGCAGTGCTCTTCCTCAACGTGGAGCTGTTGTCGGAGTTCTACTACAACTTCCCGCGCGAGCTGGACCAGCGGCTAGGCCGTCACCTGAGCGACGAGGAGATGGAGCGCTTTGCCAAGGAAGACCCCAAGATCGGCCGCCACTTGGATGTGATTCGACGCAAGGAGCTGCTGGAGCTGGTGCTCGACAAGATGGAAAGCCTGCGCCAGCTAGAGGGCCGCGAGAAGGGCCGGCGCATCGGTGGCAGCAGCAGCAGCAGCAGCGACAAGAAAAAGGGCGGCAGTCGCTGGGGGCTGTTTTAGTTGAAGCCGGGCTGTGAGGGCTATGAGAGCTGTGAGCTCCATTGCGGTCACGTGGAGCGAGTCAATCTCCACTTGCCTCTTATAGATAACGATATGGAGTTCTAGGCGTTGTATATGTCTTTCTGATTCTCTTTTCTTTTTGTTTTCTGGGAGAAACGCTCTCTTGGTTCGCTCGACTCGTCATCCGAAGAGCGAGCGCCAGTGGAAGCCCGCCTTCCCGTCGAAAAGCATGTATCGTGTATTTAGTACATAGGAACAAAAATACCCTCCTCGAATCGCAAGCACTGCTGAGTCTGGGATTGCCTATTAGTGGCCGCTCTTATCTCCCCGTATCTTCCGCAATGGCCGCGTCTGCCTCTTCCACATTTCGCATGACAGAACCCCGCAAATCCGCACCTGTACACAATCCAGCAGGACAGGCTGCCCCGCTACAAAGAGAAATCCTATCTGCGCCGTTCTCGAAAAGACATTCCGTAACAAAGCATTACCAGCACATATGTTGCCTTTCTCTCTAGTCTTGAGCGTCTTACGTAATCAATCAAGTCGGGTCGGTAAAAATTGAAGTGGTTATTTCCAATACGCTTAGCGTTGTTGGTCTTACTATTCTGTACTAATAAGATATCTCTCGTGGAAACAAAGCCACGAAACCAACTCCGAGACAACACCGAAGCCTCGTCAAGCCAGCAGCCAACATGCAACTCGTAACCCTAAGCTGCTGTAACCTCAACCAGTGGGCACTGGACTTTGAGGGGAACACGAAGCGCATCATCGAGAGCATTCATGAGGCCAAAAAACAGGGCGCAAAGCTGCGTGTCGGCCCCGAACTGGTGTGGTCTTCCCTTTAGCCGATGCGCGATGACGCACATCAACTGACCGTGACCTCTCTCTCAGGAAATATGTGGTTACGACTGCTTGGACCACTTCCTCGAGGTAAGTCTCTTCCGGGCATAAATTTTCCTGTAGGACAACGAGAGCATATTCTGACTCATCATGTCCACCAGGGTGATCTGTATCTGCACTGCTGGCAGCAGATGTACCGCATCCTCACGGACAAGTCGTGCTATGACATCCTTCTAGATATTGTGAGCTCTGTCCAAGGCGATTTCCTATCCGCTGTTATCTGTCGGCGTCTCACACGATAAACTAGGGCATGCCGGTGATGCACCGTGGCAACCGTTTCAACTGTCGTGTGCTCGCTTGCAACGGAAAGATCATCCTGATCCGGCCGAAGCTGTTCCTCGCTTCCGACGGAAACTACCGGGAGAACAGGTACTTTATTGCCTGGCATGGTCCGCGCCATGTGGAGGAGTATTATCTTCCACCCATGATGCAGGAGCTTCAAGGTTCTATCAAGATACCTATCGGCGATGCTCTCATCAGCACGCCTGATACGTGCCTTGGAGCCGAAACCTGCGAGGAGCTCTTCACAGTGAGGCAACCCTGATCCCGCCGTTCGAGTACCAAACTAACGCGTCCTTCCATAAAGCCAAACTCGCCTCATATCGGCATGGGCCTGTCAGGCGCAGAGATCTTCACCAATAGCTCTGGCTCTCACCACGTATGTATATGAAGCACCGGTCCTGGCGAAGGCTGCACGCTGATGTCTTTCTTTACAGAACTTGAGGAAGCTGGACATCCGCATTGCCCTCATCACCGAGGCCACACGTAAAAATGGCGGCATCTACTTGTATTCCAACAGCCGTGGCGCTGGTGGAGAAAGACTCTACTATGTGAGTTTGGGGATTTTGACCTCTATCAATCTGAAGTAACGGTTGACTAATCCCTGTTCCTAGGACGGATGCTCTATGATCATCGGTAAGTCTTGTCTATGCGTGCGACTCTTGACATTCCTGCTAATGTTCGATTTCAGTGAACGGAAACATTGTCGCCCAAGGCAGCCAGTTTTCTCTGGTAGGAAATCGCGTATTTATTTTCCCCTTGCAGCCATGGTCGGGCTGACAGTATTCCGTTGGCAGAAAGACGTGGAGGTGATCACGGCAACAGTTGACCTCGAAGAGGTCCGATCGTTCCGCTTCACCCCGTCTCGAGGTATGCAGGCCATGCAGGCGCCGGCTTACCAGCGCATCGAGGCCTCTTTCAGCCTGTCGGACGACACCCTGGGCCTCGCTCCGACCAAGACTCGTCCGGCACATTATCACCTTCCCGAGGAGGAGATCGCCCTTGGGCCAGCATGCTATCTTTTCGACTACTTGCGGCGCTCTGGTGCTGCAGGTTTCCTTCTGCCGCTGAGTGGCGGCATCGACAGCTGCGCCACGGCCACCATCGTCTTCAGCATGTGTCGGCTTGTCATGGCTGCTGTCGAAGAGGGCAACGAGACGGTGATGGAAGTTTTCAAGCGCTGGTGTCGGCATGCCGAGACCCTCCCCAAGACGCCACAGGAGCTGTGCAATTGCATCATGCATGTGAGTCTACCGATGCGTCGCGACAAGTCCCTGAGACTTATGCTTACACATGGCATCCAGAGCATCTACATGGGAATGAAGACACAGTCTAGCAAGGAAACGAGGCAGCGAGCCGAGACACTTGCCAAAGACATTGGCAGCTATCACACGGACATCAACATAGACGACGCATTCCATTCATTCAAGGGACTCTTTTCTGGTGCGACCGGATTCGATCCGAAGTTCAAGGTTTACGGCGGTGGCAACACGGAGAACCTGTACGTCTGCATACCTGCGTTTATGTTTTCCCCCTCCCCTCTTCGCTTGCTTACATTCTGTAGAGCCCTCCAGAATATCCAGGCACGTTCTAGAATGGTGCTAGCCTACGAATTCGCACAGCTGTTGCCAACTGTCCGATGGGGCGAAGGTGGTGGAGGCCTGCTTGTGTATGTATCTCAGTAACAATCAAGTGATATGCTGATGCTAACCTGTTTTCGTGCAGTCTCGGTTCGGCAAATGTTGATGGTAAGAAAAACAGGGTTGCCTCTCGTCTGTATCTGTCTAACCGTCTTTTTAGAATGCCTGAGAGGCTACTTAACAAAATATGACTGCTCGAGCGCGGATGTAAGTTGTACTTTCTCCCATGCGTTGAAGTCTCAGAGTCGTGGTACTGACTGGTTACCAGATCAACCCGATTGGGTCCATCTCAAAGACAGGTAGGAACACCGGCTTTGTAAGCATGTGGGACGCCTCAGCATGCTGACACTCCTCTGGGCAGACCTGAAGCGATTCATCAGGTGGGCTTGGAAGGAGTTTGATCTGGCTATCCTAGAAGAGTTCTTGGACGCCGTACCTACGGCCGAGCTGGAGCCCATCACCGGCGACTACGTCCAGTCTGATGAGGCCGACATGGGAATGACTTACGATGAGTGTACGTTGTGCTCGTGCTATACGCCTTGTAGCTCTGCTAACATATGCCTTAGTGTCGACATTTGGAGTTTTGCGCAAGGAGCTCAAGCTCGGTAAGATGAGCACCTATTTCCTTCCCTGGGATTGTGAGCTGGCCATAGCTAACAAGAAGATCTAGGCCCTTACTACATGTTCCAGAAACTCGTGCACGACTGGAAAGAGGAACGCGGCCTTACGCCACGGGAGGTGGCCGATAAAGTGAAGAGATTCACGCACTTCTACTGCATTAATCGCCACAAGATGACCACAATGACGCCTTCAGTCCACATGGAGAGGTAAGTTTGTATTGTGAAAAAGGCATAGAAGAACGGTCGCTAACGTATTTCTCATCACAGCTACTCACCCGACGACAACCGGTTTGATCACCGGCCATTCTTATATCCCCGCATGTGGGACAACTGGGCCTTCAAGATGATTGATGAAGAGGTCGAACGGCTGGAGGCAGCAGAAGAGGAAGCGGCCGCCAACACCACAATCTAAGTAGACAGAAGCAGACTAGTAGAAAAAGCATCCCTTGCCATTTATTTAGACGTCTTTCCATTGGCCAATTGAAAATATGCGCTAATCATGTTGGGCTAGCTTATAGGGACGCGGTCAGACGTCCCGGCATCATAGCCTAGGGCACGACCAGCCAATCAGAGTAGGGAAAAATTCGGGTCCATTTAAACTGCAGAGGCGAAAGGGGAGAGAGATGCTGTGAACAGCGACTTTCATTCGGCGGCCTCTACTTGCCCCCGTCTCACTTTGGGCTGCCTTGTCTGGTGTGAGCGGAAAGCTTATGCGACATTCCGTCCTTGTCAAAGGGTTGCCGACGATTGGCGCTTCTAGGACTCGGCAAGGCATATCACCTGTGACGACACTTTTATCCTACAGAGAAATGCCGGCAACAGCGGCTTTGACACCGCCACGGCGATCGACGCGCGTGGCCTCGCTGGCCCGGTTCCGATACCGCGAAGATGCAGACAAAGAAGAAAACAAGGACGATGGTGTCGACATCAAGCAAGAGGGGGGTGACAGCGACGACGACGTCAGCAGTCTGTCGGACTTGTCCTTTGGCAGCGACATTGAGGATGCCATAGTGGGACCCCGACGACGAGGGGGTGCTTCGAGCAAGACGAAAGCGGGCAGTGCAAGAGAAGAGGCGGTGACGGGCAAGCGCAAGCGAGCAGCCACGACGACGACGACGACGACCAGCGTACGTGCTCTGCCAGACCGGAAGAAGCAGACCAAATCTACACGGGAGCCCGACGAGACGGACAGGGGCCGGGTCAAGCGCGAGTTAGAGGGCGACTCTTCCGATGCGGACAATACAACCAAGCCGCGGCGAGTACGCAAGCCAGCGCGCGTGATCCGAGGCGTGGCAGGCGTGGGGCAGGACAAGGTAGAAGCACCGACGGACTGGGAGGAGGTGTACGGGCTGGTGAAGGCGATGCGACAGGCGGGCGGGGCGGCGGCGGAGGCGGCGGTGGACACGATGGGGTGCGAGCGGCTGGCGCTGGCGGATGCGAGCGCGCGCGACCGGCGGTTCCACACGCTGGTGGCGCTGATGCTGAGCTCACAGACCAAGGACACGGTCAACGCGGTGGCCATGGCCCGGCTGCAGGCCGAGCTGCCGGCACACCGACCGGGGGCACCGGCCGGGCTCAACCTCGAGAACATGCTGGCGGTCGAGCCGGCCGAGCTGAACCGGCTCATCTGGCAGGTCGGCTTCCACAACAACAAGACGCGCTACCTCAAACAGGCGGCCGAGCAGCTGCGCGATCGCTGGGACGGCGATATCCCGCCGACGGCCGACGGGCTCATGGCGCTGCCCGGCGTCGGACCCAAGATGGCCTACCTCTGCCTCTCGGCCGAGCATGGCTGGAACCGGGTCGAGGGCATCGGCGTCGACGTCCATGTTCACCGCATCACCAACCTATGGGGTTGGCAGCGCCCCGGATCGCCTGCCGCCAAGACCCCCGAGTCCACCCGGCTCGCCCTCCAGAGCTGGCTGCCCCGTGACCGCTGGAAGGAGCTCAACTGGCTGCTCGTCGGCTTCGGCCAGAAGGTCTGCCTGCCTCAGGGCGCCAAATGCGGCGTCTGCACCGTCGGCCTCCGCGGCCTCTGTCCGGCAGCCGACCGCAAGAAGGTCGCCGAGGGCCGGCGCCGGCTGCAGGAGGCCAAGGATGTCAAGGATGTGGCAATCAAGGAAGAAGCAGTCACACATCAGGTAACAGTCAAGGAGGAGCCAATCGAGATAACAGTAAAGCATGAGGACGTTTAGATCGGACAGTCCTCGGCAAGTATACCCATATTCATCACACCGAATAATCCCAAGCAATCACATGGCATCATTCTCTTAATCCAAGTAATCGCATACCATTCTATACGAAAGTAAGCGAATGCACACTGTGCAGCTTAAAGTCTGTCGCTAAGAAAACCAATGCTTCAGCACTGCTTCCATAAAAATAAAAAGGAAAAGGAAAAAAAAGATTGAATTCCAGACTAAATCACAAAAAGCCAAACAAGGGAAGCGAAGGGATATGCTGTCGCCTCGTCCTGCCCCATCGCTACCCAAGCCATACACCGACGCCGTATTCTGTTGGTATGAGATAAGACAAGAAAGCTAGAAAAGTGCCAGGTTCGAGATATTAGAGAAAGGACAGGTCTGCGTGTTGTAGGTACGGTGGGGAGCCGAGGCGTAGGAAGGATCTGGTTCTGGTCGAAAGTGTGTTTTCCAGGCTCTGAGCACTGCCCGTCGCAGCCGCATCGAGAGACAGGGGAGCCGGGTTCGACCATTCCGGGCGGGCAAGACTCTGGGCGCTTGACACGCCGAGCCGTCTGCCCATCTCCCGTCAGACAGCTTGGGTCGTGGCGATTTGTCCATCTTCTGGCGTCTAGCTGGATACACGCAGAGCCAACTCCACTTCTGTTCTCGGTAGGAAAGCGGTTGACGAGACGCGCATTTCGACCGTCGCAAGAGAGTGCAAGTTGTCGGGGACTTCGGCAGGAAGGAAACACACACGACCGGACACGCTTTAGACGCCCCTGATGACGTGCGTCCGCTCGGACTCGAGTTGCGCTGCGTTCTGCTCGTGTGCCTCTTTTTTGCACTGGCGACAGGTTAGCTGCAGGAACGGGAAACGGAACGAGGAGCAGTCAACGGAACAGGCACTCACGTCCTCGAGACCAGAGCATTTGTGATCCTCTAGTAACCGATGGCGACCGCAAAAGTGGCCGTTGCAAAAGGCACAGTCGCCAGCAATGCGCTGGGCGCCTTCTTTGCAGTCCTTGAAGGAGCACTTGATTTTCCGGGGCGCCATGGTCTGTATTGTGACTGCCGCGATCCGAGGCTGGCGACAATAACGTGTTCGAGGAAGGAAGGGTGGAGAGATAGTGGTAAAGGCGACAGAGAGTGGTAGGAAAAGAGGATAAGGAGAGGAGGAGAGGAGAGGGAAAGAAGAGGAGAGAGAAAAGGGAAAGGAGGCGGACGGGAAGAAGACTTGGCTTGGGTGAGTCAACGATAGGGGGGGAGAGTTGGGAAGAGGAAGAAGATGAAAGGAAAGGAAGGAAGGGCAGAGCCAGCGTATGTAGTTGGGAAAAGGTTCACGTGGGTCGCCTGGCGGAGCCCAGGAGCAGGTGCTGGTTCAGGTTTCGCTTCAATTACGGAGCACTGGTTCTTGTGGTAATACCGGGCCGCGACCCAAAGCGTATTGGCTACGACGTTCTCCGTATTACGAACCATGCAATACATACGACGTAGAGGGCGCCTGGGCTTCCCGCCAAGGAAGCGGCGGCAAGGGGAAACGTCAGCGGCACCATCGCTCCTGCTCGCTCTGGGCGAAAAGGGGAGGGAAGGCAGGAGAAGAACGGAAGAGGCAAGCGCAACCACGTAACGCGGGTACGGAGTACATGCGCACTACTATAGTATCTTAGTAGTAGTAGAGCGAGTACGAGCATGGGATGACGGCTGCCCTATTTTGCCGCTAGCCTATGCGCCAGCCAGCGCAGCCGCCAGCAATCAACCGCAATCAGGCAGGAATGGCGGGCGTGCAGAGAGGCAAGGCTCCGTTCTCGGCGGGGACAGGTCTCTCACAAGGCAGCGGCGCCATTACGTCGTGCCATCCGCCCAGAAAGGCCCACACCGGTACATGGTATCTAGATAAGCCAGCCGGCTCCACCTGTGGCCAGCTAGCAACGAAAGCCTCCGGCCAGCCACACAAGGCCACCTGTCCCACGGCCAGAGGGCCAATCGCCCTGCGAGTGGCCAGCATTCGTCGGGACCGCCTTGCTCTCGCCTTCCTGTTGGGCGGCAATGTCGGACGGGTCGGGTTTCCAACGTAAACGTACAACACGGCGTGTGCTCTTCGGGCCACCATCAGACTCCGTAGTCCTCGTATGCGAGACGTGTCAGACTCTTGGCCCACGGACGTCTTGTGCCACTGTGGCGATATCACCACCTTCTCGGATGCTCTCAGACTCATTAATATTTTTTGTATTTGTTGGCCATCTGCAGCCTATATCATCAGCACTCCGCATCCGCTTACAGCTTGCGCATATCCACCACGGCACGGATGCAGTCGCCTTGCTTCATCACCTCAAAGGCCTCGTTGATCTGGCCCAGCGTCTTGCGGTGCGTGATGAACTCGTCCACCTTGAGCCGGCCCTCGAGATAGTCGCCCACAAGACCTGGCAGCTGCGACCGGCCCTTGATGCCGCCAAATGCGCAGCCTCTCCAGACCCGACCGGTCACCAGCTGGAAGGGCCGCGTGCTGATCTCCTGGCCCGCCGCCGCCACGCCGATGATGATGCTCTCGCCCCAGCCCTTGTGGCACGCCTCCAGCGCCGACCGCATCACCTGCACGTTGCCCGTGCAGTCAAACGTGTAGTCGCAGCCGCCGTCTGTCATCTCAATCAGCTTGTCGACGATCGTCGTGCCCTTGGGCAGCGCCAGCGGGTTGACAAAGTCCGTCGCCCCAAACTTGCGCGACCACTCCTCCTTGGAATTGTTGACGTCCACGACGATGATTTTGCCCGCCTTGTTCGCCACCGCGCCCTGCACCACCGACAGACCGACGCAGCCGGCTCCGAAAATGGCCACGTTGCTGCCCTCTTCCACGTTGGCCGTCACGCGTGCTGCTCCGTAGCCCGTCGTGATGCCGCAGCCCAGCAGACACGCACGGTCAAACGGCGCGTCCTTCTGGATAGCCACCACCGAGATGTCCGCCACCACAATGTACTGCGAGAACGTCGACGTGCCCATAAAGTGCAGCAGATCCTTGCCGCGCGCCCGGAACCGCGACGTCGCATCCGGCAGCAGACCCTTGCCCTGCGTTGCCCGGATCTTGCCGCACAGGTTCGTCTTGCCCGATTTGCAGAACCTGCACTCCTTGCACTCGGGTGTGTACAGGGCCACCACATGGTCGCCCGGCTTGACGTTGGTCACACCCTCACCCACCGACTCGACAACACCGGCGCCCTCGTGGCCCAGGACCACGGGGAAAGCACCCTCAGGGTCCTTGCCCGAGAGCGTGTACGCATCTGCAACTGTCAGTCGTCCTGCAGTCAAACAAAAACAAAATAACTGATGGGCCGAGTCATACCTGTGTGGCAGACACCAGTGTAGTAGATCTCAACTCGGACCTCGTGGGCCCGAGGCGGCAGCACCTCAATGTCCTCGACGCTGAGCTCCTTGCCAGCCTCCCAGGCGATGGCCGCCTTGCAGGTGATAGTCTGCACAAGTCAGCGCTGTCCAAAGCCCCGCACCTGGTCGAATCCTTGGTTGTTGTCTCTTGAACCATTGTGTGCTGCCCCCACCAATTCTAAGCTTACCTTGCCGACCGTAGAAGCCATTGTGAATAGGGGTGTCCAAATGAGTATGATGTGTTCGATTAAGAAGAGTGGTCTGGGAGGAAAAAGGAGAGGAAAGGGAGTAATCGGAGAGGGGAAGGGAAGCTTTATTATAATACCCGTGAGTCCCGCTCTGCTTTTATGGCGTCCCTCTCTAAAAAGGAAGGAAAGGCAGAAAATTCGAAGCTTCGGAGCTCTTCCAGGCCCTGAAGAACAACCGGGAGGTGGGGTCGCCCGGCATTCTGAGGCAAGCATACAGGCTACCCCTCACCACTGTCCGCTGTAGAGAGCTCTTACGTCATCAAAGCGTTCGGCGATATCGCGGTATCTACGGAGTAGCGCTGTGGCACTCAATCGCTCGGGATTTCGCCCGTATTTCCCCAGTCTCCATGAATTTTCCGGTGTTGAACCGCTCGCTGGCGTCAGCATATCCGTAAAACATTTTCCAGCCCATGCCGCTGAACAGTCCCTCTCATTCGCTCGATAAAGGCAGCACAATTTGCTTTGTTCGCTAAGTAGGCGCAGCCAATCGAATTCTTTGATCGTTTAGTTAGCTACAGGATCGTCCTGCCCGTGTCGATCAAACTCTGTAAGTACTTGCTAAGGATCCCGTATAATAGAGCAGCCTTGCCAACGCTGCGAATTGTATTGCTCCACGTGATTTGTTCGTTGACGCACGCTTTTCAGAGGTATGAGGCCAAAGAATGGCAATGCAACAAAGCTGGGCTCCTATCTATGATATCGTACAGCCACCTCCAGATTACCACGGTCGGGCAATGCATGGGCACCTGCTTCGAGACTCACCGGTCTCAAAACACGTCAACGGTCGAGTCAGATAGCGGATCCTTGTCGGGCCTCAGGTGCCTGAAATAGTTATCGCGCCGGTGTCTGGAAGCTTTGGCCGTAGTGCATCCGCCTTCCGACAGTAGTAGCAAGGCGCACTCGCCCCACGAAACTACTTTGGGTAGTACGCTCAGCCCGTAATAATGCTTCGCCTCGTTACATGTGGTATTTTCTGGTCGATAGAATGGCCGCTAATCAACTCACTGGGGTGCAGCGAATCCTGTCGGTTGTCGGAATCTAGCTCTCTGCATTTCGCATCAACTCGGATATCATTATGATTGGTCTGCCACTCTGTATTCGTAGTAGTAGAACAAACCCAAAAACAAAAAAAAAAGGCTAAAAAAAATATTTACCCGTTTTCGCACAATTAGTTACAGCCAACCCATCTTTATCTTTAGCTCTAGCTGCCACATATATTAGCAAGACAAGCTGGGATGTGGCACCAATATAATACGTCACGGTGCTCATGATGCTCAGCTTGAATGTCTTAAATGGCACGCCCGGACTATACGCTCCAGCCTATCCATGCTTCTGTTGTGGCTCCCACAATTGGGCTGCAGTCATCGGGCAGGTTATCGTTCAAGGCTGTAGCCAACAAGTGGAAACAAACACCTGTAGGCATGTGTTTGGCGCATGTGATATTGTTTAAGTGGACATGATATGCTTTGTGCTCGGGTGTCGATGCCGTGTGAGCTGCCATAGGCGTGAGCTATTGCTCAAGAACAACTTATGTTTATGCGTGGCAGAAGCAGGATCATATGACCAAAAGCAAGGACTACGGACTGACTACGTCCAGACCGTGCGTGTTGCCTGGAGTCTAATCGCTGACCGGTCCACGTGAATCATACTTTCAAGCACCAGTTTAGCATCCCTGTGGATACGACTGCCCTTCATAGGCGAGGCTTTGATCCATAGTCTACTATAGACACTGTGAAGAAGTGCATGTATGGTCATACTCTAATAGAGTCATTGCAGCTAAGGCTGGCTTCGCCCCAGCTGGGATCTTGCTGGCCATAAGTTGTTGTGTCTAGACAAGGGGTGCAGACCGAGCATTTTTCCTACCTGCCGAACTAGGCACCATGCCTGACTGACGATGATGGAGCCGTGAGGCAGTGAATGATCTTGAGCAGCCCGATTTCCAGGCCATGGCTAATCCTTGCCGATAGTGACTCACCCGTTCAGCAACAATTGTTCAATGAAGTGCTGCCTATTTTCTAGACTATAATATGGAGGCCACCCACGCAACCTTATAATGACGAAAAAGCAGCAAGACTAGCTAACAATTGCCGAGACAAAAGCAACATGCAATAAGGAGAAGAGTCTCCGATACGCTCGCCACATTTTTAGTTCCACCTCAGCAGGTGCTTCAGCTCATATCTTCGAAGCAGCTTCAAGGTACACGTTAGACGAAGGCGAGTTTTTACGATATTTCGCCATCGCTAGGCAGACGCATCTTGGTGACCCCGTATTGTGGCTGAGTGTGGCGAAACACGGATTTAACTTTTACCGGTTCCGCTATTAAAAGAAATTTGCTTCTGTTGATGCCTCACAACCTCAGGCTCAAAAAGCCGTTCTCGCGACAGACCAACCGCTGAAGATATCGTATCTTATTATACAAACGAGGGGCCTCCTGGCGGCGTCGGATTATAATACCTGGGGCATAAAGCAACAGAGCCTCGCTTTCCATTGTCTCCTTTCTGTTTCCGGTTGTTTTGTCGTTTTTGCACTTGGCGATCTTGTCCTTCACCCTCCTCCAACACGTCTTTCCGGCTTCGATATCTGGACATACTGGCCGAGGGCAATTATATCTTCATTTTTTTCATTATCTGTGACGCGTCTCTCATTTTTCACATCCTGACGCTATGAGTATCGTCTTCGAAACATCGCGCCAGGCTCCTTACCTTGGCGGAGAAGACAGCTATCCGCCCATCGACCAGGCCGGCGACGAGGTCGAACGGTACGACGAGGAGGCGGTTGGAAACAATGTCGGTGTTGGCATGAGCGATGTTGGCGATGTAAGCGAGCTTGCTGCAGCCGTGGCCGGAGGCTACCACGCGCCCGACTCATCCATACTCGAGAGCGAGTCGTCGCGTCTCGTCGTGGACGAGGTCGTCGGAGCCGGAGAGGATCACGACCATCACCAACACCAAGTCTCCGCGAATATGGCAGCGACAGCTGCAGCAGCCTCTGCTGCGGCCCAGATGCACGCCAAGTCCAAGGCCTCGGCGCGGAGAGCATCGTATGACTCATCCATATCGCCTCCACATTCCCTGGGTGAGGCAACATCGTCCATCCATGGATCGCGAATCAAGCCTATTCCCAAGCCCGACCGGGACATCTACAGGAATCCAAAAGGAAAGTTCCAGTGCACATGGCCCGACTGTACCGAAGAAGCCCAGGAATTTTCACGCAAATGCGAGTACAAGTAAGTCTTTTTTCGCCTCTTCTTGTTTCTCGTTGCCACTCGGTCTTGTCTCTGCGCTTCCATGTCTGCCTGATTTGTCCACACCGGCTGACTTTTTCTAGTAAGCACATGGATAAGCATGAGCGTCCCTACCGCTGCACAGCCGAGGGGTGTGAGAAGCTGCCTGGATTTACCTACTCGGGCGGCCTGTTGCGACACGAGCGCGAAGTTCACAACAAGCATGGAGGGCCGCGCAACCCGCTTCACTGCCCTCACCCCACCTGCAAGCGCCATGCAGGCAAGGGCTTTTCGCGGCAGGAGAATCTCAACGAACACCTGCGGCGCGTGCACACGACTACCGGCAGCAGCGTGGTCGGCGTCGACCTGCCTATGGATAGTGGCAATGCGCTGTCTGGCCTGGCCGATCTGCGGCCCTTGGCAGCTGTTGTGGATGCATCTGGACATGGGGGCAACCCCACCACGTTGTCGGCGGCAGCAGCGGCAGCAGCAGCAGCAGTCGTGTCGGAAGCCCTTCCGTCCTCTGTCATGCGTGGCGACGAAAACGACGACGACAGGGCAATGGAGGGCCTGGGACTGCTGACGGGGCATTCGCAAGTCCAGGTGCACCCAAGGAGACGCAAGCGGACGGCGTCTTTTCTGGGCGATGTCGAGGGCGATCACGGCCACTACGATCTGCGAGAAGAAGTCAAACGGGTGCGCCTAGAGAACGAGGCACTGCGACGACAGGCAGAGCTTCAGAACGTCCGGATGGCGGAAATGACGACGCAGATCAATCAGCTGCAGCAACAGCAACAGCAACAGCAACAGCAACAGCAACAGCAACAGCAACAGCAACAGCAACAGCAACAGCAACAGCAACAGCAACAGCAACAGGCCTGTAAGACCGAGGCATCGACCCTGACCGACGTGCTGGCTTGAAACTGCTCCCCCACCAGATAAATCTCTCCTTTATCAACCACCCACTTATATCCCCTCCCTTTTTACCCACAGTATGCCTCGTTTCTTGTACTATTACGACCACAACTTGCATTGCACGGGAGTCTGAGCCCCACTGGAAAGAGGACTTTTTGAATGGTCAAAGCTGAACGGTATGAAGGGGTGGGATTTGTTCTTGGCCGGTCTTCTGCTCTTCTGTTCTCTGTCTTTGTATATTCTCTTCTTTTCTTCTCACGATGATGCCCGTCAAAGAATAACGCTATTTCCTGCTCTGAAGCACCAGCCGAATTCTGGTAATTCGTCTGTGTTCGAGTTGTTTGCTGGTCCTCGCCCCCCCACTCCGTCTCTCACTTTCGCCTCCTCAATGTCCGATTCATTTACAATCCAGGGATCCTTCACAGGATAAGTACTATCACCTTTACCACAGCACATACCTTCCAGTACATACGATTGCCCCACTTTGGTTAATATAGAAACGATATGTAGGATACTTGTACACAGACCGAGAAAGGTTAGACTGAATGCCACTAATAGTACAAAGATTTAAGCACAACCGTGAAGTGGAAAGTTGATATGGCGATCGTTCCCGTTCGACAACACCAGTGGCTCTATACATGCTTGACTTTCGCGCACATGTGACGTAGCCGGGTGGATGCTGCCACCAGTCGGCGATCGTTCAAGCTTTTCATATGCGTAGTGTGTCTCACTTGCCTTTTCTTTTTCGCGTTTCCAACCATAAACGATCCCCTGCCATGACAACCCGTGCTCGTGCATATACCACGCCATGCGCCTTCACACGTCTGCCTAAATCCCAAAATATAAGCGGACAAATAGTCCTTATCGTAGGTTGGGCTGGCAGCCCTCCCTCTGGGAAATATCGGGCGTCTATTATTTCCGTGAATAGACGTGTTTATCTCCACGACGAATTAGAACGCCTCTACTCCGTAGCTTCAAGGAGATAACACGATGAGCAAGATATGCGCCAGACAAAGCAAAGCCACTGGCTAAGCACCTTTTGTCTTTGGCTATATTGTATCTGATACCATACTAGTATGTACTCGTATTATACGCACTCCCTAGACTCAACCAGAGCCAAGCCTCACTTCTCAAAGCACATGACCGCATATCGAAACGAGCCGTTGCCGTAGCCCCGTCGCATGGCCCGGAAGGCCTGCAGAAAGGCGATGCCGTCGCGGCCCTGGCTCAGGGCAAACGCCCACAGCGAGGGTTTCTGCACCAGATCCCAGGAGAGGTCCCTTTTTGCGAAACTTCGCATCAGCATGTATGTACAGACCTGTCCTCTGCGCGCTCTACTTACCAGGTCTTGCTCACGTCGGCACTGATGTCCTTGGGCGGTGCATGCACGCGCAGGCCAGCGCCCGTGGCTAGTGTCACGTAGTCGGACTGCGTGCACAGCGGTGGTAGCAGCATGCCGTCCTCGATCGGCTTGATGTCAGTGTCAAAGGCCTTGGCGGACAGGCCCTCGGCCTTGAACCAGTCGGCGAGCACGAGCTTGCCGCCGGGTCGCAGCACGCGCTGGGCATTGCGGAAGAAGAGGGCCTTGTCAGGAAAGTGGCTGAGGGCCTCGCTGATCCAGACGACGTCAAAGAGGCCCGTGTCCGCAGTCCCGTCCAGGAAGTAGTCGCCCATCTTCTCGGCGTCGAGCTCGAGGAAGCGCACGTGGCCCTTGCCTACGGGCTGAAAGTCGTCGTCATTGTCGTCGTCGCCAGCAGTGGTGCCTGCAGACAGGCGCTTGGCGATCTCAACCTGCCGCGTCGAGATGGTGATGCCCGTCACGCGGCAGCCCAGATCCGAGGCCAGACAGCGCGACGTGCCGCCAACGCCACAGCCGACGTCGAGGACGTCGAGGGCGGCACTGCTGCTATCACCCACACCTGAGATGGAGAGAAGCAGGCGGATCAGGTTCGCCTGCGCCGTCTCCTTGCTCTCGCTGGCCTTGGACTCATCGGTCGGCCAGTAGCCGTGATGGATGTGCTCGCCCCACAGGCTGACATAGTAGTCGCTGGCCAGGTCGTAGTGCTGCTTGATGCGCGCCTTGAGCGCCTCAATTGTGGTGTGTGCCAGGCCCAACTGTGTATCGTATTGCCGGCTGAGGTCAGTCGACTCGGCCCCGTCGGCATTCGTCGGTGCCGGTGTCGCTGTGGCGGCTGGAGTTTCCATAGTAGCCATTCTGTCAAGCTTGAGAAGGGCTTGTGGACGAAGTCTCACTGCTCTGTTCTGTGCTGCTTCTCTCGTTTCAGACAAGTTGCGTAATGTAACGTTCGCTTGCTGTTGGTTGTTGGCCATTGAGGAAGGCGGGGAAACGTGCTGCCTTCATGGTCTATCTTCGATTATTACGCGTCCCCTCGTTTTCGATAAGAAGCCGGAGTGATTAGCACCAGCAAGCCAGACGACACCTTGTGATGTGCTCTCTAGCTGGATTTTCTCATTAGGAATGTGAGAGAGCAGGCGAGATTGAACTCGTCAGTTCCCATTATCCGCACAGGGCGGTCTTCCCTTCACATAGCAGAAAGGCAGTGTTGTACGGAGCACTCCCGTATAAGCCGGTCGTTGGAGAAAGAGGCTAGTCCCGATTGAGGACTGACGGCACAAGCGACAGCTGTTTTGAGGGTTTCAACTCCATCTTCATGTTATCCGAAGCCAATTCTCCGGACTCCCGTCACGCAAACATGTCTGTCAACGTGTTATGACAGAACGCCAGCTGTTCATCCAACATGTTTTGTATTTTGTGCTTATTAGTCTTCCTCTCGATATCCGTGGCTTCTAGGGCCCTTCGTTCTGGTTGTCTGTTGTAAGTACGATGGGCACAGAGGCAGTGCAAGCGGGTAGGATTGTCGTAAGCACCAACGGTGGCAACCAGAGGCCTTTGTTGGGAATCAACGGCTGCTTGTGTCCTAACGAGTACGAATACTGGTGCCACTATTAGTGGGGATCACGGCTGTCTCTGTCCAACGGGGAAGGCGCGAAGAGCGAAGCAAGACCGATGACGACATGGATGCCACAGGCTGCGAACCGCAGAGAAATCAAAAGAAGCCACTGTATACGAGAGACCATAGGACAGGCCGCAAACCGCTCGCTGTCTCGACTCTGTCTTGTCTTTCCTGTCGAGACGGCTAGGGGGGCGAAGCCCCTCGTCCACGACTACTCCGCTACTCCGTACATTTGCAAAAGGGGACCGTCGTCGCCGGACGGAGTCCGCTCGACCAAGCGAATGCAGGCCCAGACGCCAAATACGACGCAGCCCCGCTCTAGCGCCCCAGTGCCCCAATGAGCGCTGGGTCCAGCTTATGAGGTTGTCTGCCATCTCCAGCTATTAGTACACGGAGTACGCTGTGCAATCCCACACCAACACCCACACTAGGCCCTGATTTGTCTCGCCCCACACGGGAATTAGCATCCAGCCGTTGGGAGGCGGCGCAGGGCCACAGCATTAGAGGAGGAGATGCACTTACGACCATCACATCACGTTCTGCCGACGGAGTGGCCGCCTGACTCTGGACATGTTGCACTTTGGTCTTTCATTTGCCTTGAAATGCGGCTCACCGCTCCCCATCTTCATTCCACCTATCCCAAGCTTGCCTGCAGTTTGCCCGACACTTGCTATTCTTTGTGCCTTGTGCTCTATTTCAAAGAACCTTCTCCCTATCTTTCAACCTCACCACGATACCTCCTTGCTGTAGTTCGATTGTTTGTCTACTTCCCCGACTTCTCCTACCGTCAATCGAAGACCAGGGGCCTCTTCGGTAGACGGCTAACCTGCAAAGAGACAACCCTTGTCAGCCTATTGCGTCTTATCTTTTCCCGCGCGCTTACACACTTCAGCTTCTGTCCCAAAGGTGAGCCTCGTCCACTGGATCTCGTCGTGCTGTTTTGAGGTGTTTTAGTGTTCCTTTTCTCCCCGCACTCTCCTTGTCGGGCGTTTCGTCACTGCTGTTTACCTTTATGCACGCCTCATCCCAGCCCAAGCTGCACATACTTGCCATTGTTTCGATCTTCAGTGTAGACAAGGGGCCTGGCTCTTTGATTATAATGAAAGAAACCGAAAGGCCAATCAACTGTACCCCGCTCACCGTGGGCAGAGGCGGTCGGCTGTTGGGTCAGATTCATCGACAAGGCCGTAGAATGGTCCTTGCCTGATCTCTTTGTTCCGAGCCCTCTTTTCTGATCTCCTCTTTGTGATTCCCCCCTTTCAGCTCACGCGGTGCTCTCTTACCCGTAAAAATGAACGATTCCCAGCTGTCTTCATTGTTCTTCTGTCTCTTACCGTTGTCTCCTTCCATCACATCTGTTCATATTGGCATCGTGGTATTCTTACCTTCCATTCCATTTACATCTTCATAAAATACGACATCCCCACCCTCAACGCATTCTGACCAGAGGGAATTGCCAATTTCCATACCCCTGATTTATGTTTGTCTTACTCCAACATTCATCCGGCCTCACTATTTAAAAGTGTACCTTGGCGGTCACAGAAGACTAAGAGCATGCGCAGATTCTCCAAAGCCCGAACGCAGAGTTGGTCCACCGCAAGCATCAACGCCATGGAATCAGCACCTCGAACCCCGACCAAGCCCCAATCACGGGGCTATTACACCGGCTTTCCGGAGCCATTTTGCGGCAGTCAGTTGCGATGCCCTCGGGTCCTTTTTGTGTGCAGTGCTAACGCGAGGCTCACAGCTGGAAATACGACGCTGCGTCACCCCGACGCCGATACTTCGCCCAATGCATCCATAGGTTCCGGCGATATCGACGTCAACAGGGTCTTTGTCCGGACCCGGCGAAACTTTCTCAGCCGGCACAAACACACGTCCAATCACGGCAAGATATCCGCCTCCGACGCCGAGAAGTCCACGCTATATAGCAACATTCATGCACTTACCAAATCACGCTCGATTCGGTCCTTCCAGCACGGGAGCGATGACGAGAGCAGCCGCTCGTCATCATCTGCCCACAGCAATGCCGCCTTTCCAGCCATCGTCGTTACCCCGGAAAACAACGACAAGCCTCTGCCGCCCACGGCATCTGTCGCTAGTCACGGGAGCGGAATGCTGCGCAAAATGAAGGCCCACAACCAATAAGGAAGCTTTGAGAAACAAGACCACCCACACACGCATCACGGCCAGCACAGCGGCCGACACATTCCCTGAACGCGAATTCACACCAAATTTCATTTTATATCAGAAGAGAAGGAAGCGGCAGATACGGGACTTTGGACTAGCATAAAGGGTGGACACGAGGACAATTGGCGCTCGTCACATTGCCGGAGCATCGGCGTCTTGATATTTTTTTTTTTTTTTTTTTAAGCTGGCGACGATCGCCCAAATAAATCCGGAACAACTTGCTGCAAAGCAGATTAACGACACTGACGACGTGCTGGACGGCACTTTACTTATATAATACGTTCAATTGTATAATCGATTGGGCGAGTCAAAATTGCGGCGTCTCGTTCTATCTGCAGCTTTTACTTGGATTTAGGTGCAAGCCGCTTGTATTTGATTGAGAAAACACTCCATATTCAAATTGAAGCTATGTATGCATGGAGAAAACACGATAGAACACACCTATCCTGTAAATACCGCACTGCTTTGGTTCAACCCTCTCTGCGGCCGGCTCAGCTGCCGCGGTACGTGGTGTACGAGAACGGGTTCAGCAGCAGCGGGACATGGTAGTGCTGCCCAGGGGCCACGCGGAACGTCACGGCGACCTCGGGGAAGAAGGCGTTGCCGACGCCATAGTAGCCGTCGACGTCGAAGCGCAGCGTCCAGGTGGATGGCAGCGGCGACGTCGACCGGGCCGCAGCCTCCTCCTCGGCCTCGCCGAGCACGTCGTCGAGCGTATAGACAGGCACCTCTCCAGACGCGTTGGACGACGAGTACGGCAGCCACACGGTGACGCGGCCATCGTCGTTCGTCTGCGACTCAAACACCTTGGTGGCACCGCCGTGGTAGTGGTGGCCGCCGGGTGCTTCAATCGTGCCGGACGCCGTTGCCGGCGGCTGTCGTGGCGCCGTCAGCTCGAGCCGGACGCGGACACCACGAGCCGGACTGCCCTTGGACGTGTCGAGGATGTGGCAGGTGATGCGCTCTTTCGTGGCCGCCATTGCTGTCGGCTGTTGTGGAGAGAGAGAGGGAAAGGTGGTAGCTGGTTCGTGGCTCGCGGTTCGCGGTTCTCGGTTCTCGGTTCTCGGTTCTCAGTTCTCGGCCAGGCTGAGCAGAAAGTGACTCGACACTATTTATAGGCCGGGCTGGAAGACTAGTCGGCAGCCTGCTGGCTGTGCTGGATGCCGTCTGCTCGCGGAGTCCTCCGTCTGCCGCCAGCGCAGTCTTGGCGGGGTTGAGCTAAGCTGCCCTCTAGAGGCCTGAAGTGGGCCCTGGAAAGAAACTAGCAGAAATGCGGCCGTTTTCATGACTGGCTGGTTACATAATCTAAGCCTAACTGCTATAAGCACTGTACGGAGTACGGAGTAGGCCATAGCTGTATGACAAGTAAACCCCACCAAGCACCGAATGATTGCTCCGTGCTTCCAGTTACTTCTAGAGCTTTGGACATTGCCTCGTCTTACGGCCTCCGTCTGCCGAATCCGGTCACATTCGTCATTTGCGGAGAAAATCTGATCCTCTTACTTCCTCAGCACTCTGATCAATCGCCATCTCCCCCCGCGTCTGCGAGTCCCTCATTCTCAATACATCACCACCCCGCCACCATGGCAGCTCTGGTCAATCTCGACGACGACGATGCCCTGGCGCCGACCCTGCAGTCCATCCTCGACCAGCGGTCGCTGCGCTGGATCTTTGTCGGCGGCAAGGGCGGTGTCGGCAAGACGACCACGTCGTGCTCGCTGGCCATTCAGCTGGCCAAAGTCCGCCGCAGCGTGCTGCTGATCTCGACGGACCCCGCGCACAACTTGTCGGACGCGTTCTCGCAAAAGTTTGGCAAGGATGCCCGCCTGATCGATGGCTTCACCAACCTGAGCGCCATGGAGATTGACCCCAGCGCCGGGTTGCAGGACATGATGGCCGGCATGTCGGAAGGCGACAACAACGCTGCTGCCGGTGCCAACGGTGGCATGAACAGCATGGTGCAGGAGCTGGCCTTTTCGGTGTGTTTTTTTTTTCTTTTTCGGATCGTTTCCCTGCAGCGTCCCTCGGGGCTTCATACTAACAATATACTGCTAGATACCTGGAATCGATGAGGCCATGTCCTTTGCCGAGGTGCTGAAGCAAGTCAAGTCCCTCTCGTACGAGACGATTGTGTTTGACACGGCGCCGACGGGTCACACGCTGCGTTTCCTCCAGTTCCCATCGGTGCTTGAGAAGGCGCTGACCAAACTGAGCCAGCTGTCGGAGCAGTACGGCCCGCTGCTCAGCGGGCTTATGGGCGGCGGGGCTGGCGCAACGCTGCCCAACGGCCAGAGTCTGACGGGCATGATGCAGCAGCTCGAGTCGCTGCGGCAGACGATTAGCGAGGTCAACGCGCAGTTCAAGGATGACGCGCTGACGACGTTTGTGTGCGTGTGCATCCCCGAGTTCCTGTCGCTGTACGAGACGGAGCGCATGATCCAGGAGCTGGCGTCCTTTAGCATCGACACGCACAGCATCGTCGTCAACCAGCTGCTATACCCGCGCAAGGGCTCGCAGTGCGAGCAGTGTAACGCGCGCCGGCGCATGCAGAAGAAGTACCTCGACCAGATCGAGGAGCTCTACGATGACTTCAACGTCGTCAAGATGCCGCTGTTGGTCGAAGAGGTTCGCGGCAAGGAGAAGCTGGAGAAGTTTAGCGAAATGCTCATCCACCCATACGTTCCGCCAGACGTGTTCGACGGGTTGGACGAGAAGGCGGCACAGTGATTAGAGATGTATGAAAGGATAAGAAATACACACGTGCAAACACAGCCATACACATCCGGCCAGACGATGATCACGTTACCATAATGCTGATTCTAAACAACCGTAGAAGCAACGTTCCGTCTGTGGAAGGGACACAACCGGAAACTATCGATCAATACAGAAGGAGCAGGTTTGTTTGCAATACGTGGCACCTGCATATTAGTCTTATAACGGAAGGCGCAACGGGACGTGACTATGGCTAAAATGGGAAACTTTCTGCCTGATTCACACACAATTCTAAAAGACATCGAAATGCCCTAGGACAAGCAACTTACTCCAGATGGATGCACGCTTTCGGTGGATGCCCTGACCTGTCTAATTACCAGTTTTTATCTCGTTATATAACCACACGCACACGCAATCACGACGCATAGATAAGTACAAATACAAAATCACACATCTCACCGTCCCTCGACGCTCGTCTGCACCGTCACTTCCCATCGCAGACTGTTTCCACGACCATAGCCCTCACCCAGGCGGTTTTGGATGACGCGGGCAACACGAGTGCGCAGCTGGCGCAAGGCTCCATCGTCACAGCCACGCACGACCCGCAGGCGGAGATTAGCCATGCACAGGCCGTAATGAACCTGCCAGAACTGAGCATCCTCGACCCGTGCAATTTGCGGCTCCGCAGCGATCTCATCGAGAACAAAAGATACGCTACCACCCAGATTTCCGTTTGCCGTGCCGGATGGTGATACCGGCTGGGGCTTCCCCGCAAACGACATCAGCAGCATCAGGCCCTGGGCTGTGGCCAGGCGGGCGCCCAGCAGCAACATGGAGAGCGCGATGGTGGCGCACAGTAGGCGATCCAGCCACGGCTGCACGGCCACAAACATGAGCGGCAGCACAAGCAGGACCAGCGACACGCCCAGTGTCAGGAAGTGGAACGGGTTGGCCATGGCAGCCGGTAGACCGGGCATGCGGGCGATGATGGAGGCAATGATAGAAAAAACCGAGGACGGGGTGGATGGAGCAAGAGAGGCCGGCAAAGGAGACGAGGATGACGCCTCACCAAGGTGGCCCTTCTTACCGGCAGTCGAGACAGCAGAGCGGGTGGATGAGTATGGCGGGACACCGTGCTGCAGCAATAGGGCGCGACGGATGCGGGCGTGGTTACCAAGGCCATAAGCACTGACGAGAGTGCTGGCAAAGGCGGCCAGAGCAGGGATATCAACGGTACCCGGGTGAACATACCGGGTGTGGTGGCCGTGGCCGTCATGGTGGTAATGGTTCTCGCCGACAAAGCCACTACCATCGCCACGAGCAGCAGCAGTAGCACTAGCAGCACCACTTGTGTTGGCTGCAGCAGTGGCAGCCTCGAACCAGTCCTTGAGGTCGTGACTGAGCAGGTCGAAGCCGCCAAAGACGAGGAAGATGCTCATGGCGAAGCCGGTCAAAACCTCGGCGCGACGCAGACCGAAGGGATAGCGAATGGTGGAGCGACGCCAGACCTCAAAGTTGCCGAGCACATCGACAGCGACACACACGGCAGCCGAGCCGACGTCGAAGAACACGAGGTGTGACAGAGCCGTCAGGGCCAGACTGTCGCCACTGCCCTCGAGGGTCGCACACAGAAACACAAAGACGGCGACGGCCCCGTGGCAGAGACACCAGTACAGCCGAGCCCGCTGGTCGCGCTGCATGCTGGACCAGGCCTCGCGCAGCGTTGGCAGCGGTAGCGATGCCGGCAACACAGGCGGCGGCCGCTGTGGAGGCTCCTGGAAGATCTGGTGCTGCGCAGACACGCTGCTGTGCTTGTAGCGATGGCCACGACGGAGGCCGATATTCTGGCAGTGTCAGAGCAGCGATATCCAGGAGGGGAGGGAAAAGGGGAAAGCGCGACATACCGACTTCACCGACGACGTGGATATGTACTCGGTCTGGAAGTTGAAGGGATTTGCCGCAGGCGACGAGCCGATGCCGTTGGTCGGCGCCGTTGTGGAAGTCGAGCCCGTCGAAGACGTTGGGATCGGCAGCGATGAGGCTGATATATCACCAGCTTCTGAGCCATCCCTCATGGCGCTGCGAGGCGGTCGCACAAAGCTGGTTCTAAAGGCGTCTGGACTGAGCAGACCCGCCGACGAGGAGGGCGACGTTGACAGCGCTGGATAGGGCGTTGAGGAGGAGAGGGAGATGAGTTGGGGCGAGTGGCTGCGTCGCAACAGGGCGGCATCGTGGGGATGGATCTCGTCATACTGCCGCTGCTTCTGGAAGGGAGTCAAGGCGTCGTCGATCTCGATCGGAAAGCCGTCCTCGTCGCTCTCACCGTCAGATGTTGGCGCAAAGACAATAGACGGTGTCTGTGATGGCAACTGTGCATGTGCTGTCGTCTGCGGTGGAGCGTCGACGCGGGCGGACGGTGGCGTTGTTTCGGACGCCATGTGTGGCAGAGGGAGGCGAGCCGAAGGAGGGATAGATAGGTCGAGCGTCGAGGATAAGGGAACGGACGACAAAAAGCTGTGTCAATTGACGAGCTGTTGCTTTTGGCAAGTGGCAATCACTGGTCCTCGGCCGGCACTATCTCATTTTGGGTTAGTGCCGTTTCTGGGGGCTTGCAGCAGATCTCCAATGCGGTCTTTCGTCTGACGGCCACATCTGATCGTCTTGTTGTTTGGCCCCCAGATTTCCGGGTTCCGCAAAACACGCATAAGTCACATGACAACCCCCAGAAAAGAGCGAAGCGCGAACAACCAATGCATTGGAGTGGACTTTGTATACTACAGTGCTGTATCACGGGGCTCCAAGACCAAATGAAAGACAAGGCAGAACTGACCATCTGATTTTGCAAAGAACATGCCGCAACAATTTCGCCGTCTATGACAGGGTTGAGGAAAAGAGAAACATAACAGAAAAAAACTAAAAAACGAAATGTCCCCCACGATGCATGACTCGGTACATAAATACACAGAGACGGGAAGGACCAGCGACAGGAGATTCGGCTCCGCCGTGTCCATCTCTCCGGCTCTCTCACTCGCGTTTTTCTCAGCTGGCCGCACCGTACGCTGTGCTGTGAAGCTTCTTCTGGGCCTCACGACGTGTGCGTGTCAGCATCCGCATGGCGTACTCGTACGTCATCATGGTGACGGTAGCAGCGGGCACAGCGCGCATCATGTTTGTGCCCAGGCCGGCGTAGAAGGCCCGCCAGCCCTCCTCGTGCAGGATGGTGCGGAAGGTGGTGATGACGCCGCGATAGCGCGGCTGAGGCTGAGGCTGTGATTGTGATGGTGGTTGTAGTTGTGGCTGAGATTGTGGCTGTGCTGTGGTGTGGCTGGGGGCAGCCCCGGGCGGGAGTACGTCTCCGGTGCCGGCGGCTGACATGCCGGTGGCCAGCTGTGTAGTAGAGGCAGCGTGTCCAGCACGCACGGCAGTGGCAGACGGACGGCGCTGAGTCTGCAGGCGGGTACGGATGACCTCGTGCGGATAGGTCAGGCCGCTGGCGAGGACCTTGGACAGGATGGTAGCAGACAAGACACCGATCCACTGGGGTGCGGCGTCGGCATCATCGGCACCGTCGGCAGCATCGGTGCTGGCAGCACTGCCCATGCCGTAGCCGGTAAACTTGGTCTTAAAGAACTCGTAGGCCGGAAACTGGACGGCGACGTGGGTCAGACCTAGCAGGGCCGGGGTCAGGCCGGAGTAGAAGGACAGGACGCCTTCGGTGGTGTACATCTTGCGGGCGGCATCCATGGTGGAATGGTAGTGCCAGGGCATGTGCAGGGCCGGACGCGACGTCGGGGTGTTAGCACCGCGCAGCAGAGCGGCCGCGAAGCGGTCATGGTCGTGGCTCGGCATCTGGGACATGAGCCGAGTCTTGATGACCCAGATGGGGTTCGTGACGATGGTGCTGCTGCCGCCAGCAACGAGCGACGACCAGAAGCTGATGACATAGTTGTTTTCTGAGAGGTTTAGGGGGAGGAGAGTGAAAAAAGGAGGGGAAAAAACCACTTACGGTACCGTTCACCCATCCATACCTTGCTCTTGTTGTAGACCGTGAACCAGACAGCCCACGTCGGCAGGTAGCCGAGGATGATCGGACCCAGGCCGCGGTACAGGCCACGGACACCCTCGTCACGCAGGATGACCTTTGCGGTACCGACGAGGCCCTTGTAGATCATGTGCGACTGGTGGCCGGCCTGGCCGACAAAGGCACCCTGGGCCTGCAGCTTGGTCTTGATGACGTCGAGCGGGCACGTGACGACGCCAGATGTGAAGCCGCCGACAGCGCCGGCGAGAGCGTTGAACTGCGCGTCGGACCGGAGCAGCGCCCAGCGCTCGAGGCTGGTCATGGGGGCTGCCGTAGTGGTGGGCGGCGCGAGCGAGGTGGGAGGAGGGGGTGGGGGGGGCGAGGAGGAGGAAGACGACGGCGTCGGAACAGAGCCGACATGTGCTGACAGCAGGGCCGATGGCAGCGACAGCGGAAGCGGCCGTTGTTGTGAAGTCGTCGGTGGCAACGGAGACGGAGACGAGCAGAGCCGATCAGCGGAAGAATGCGACCGAGCAGCGGATGGTGAGGCTGGCGAGACGGGTGCGGCTGATGAGGTCGACGGCGACGACGACGACGACGACAATTGGCCGGCTGCAGTGGATGTGGTGGGTGCAGTGTCAGCAGCAGCAGCAGCAGCAGTGTCGACAACACCGGCAACACCAGCAGTGCAGCCGTGCATTGACATGCTGTGCGTGGACGGCAGTAGTATGGTGCAGCGTTTACAGAGAATCAGAGATTATTTACCAGAGCGATTAGTGCTGCGAGCGGAGTGCTGGTCTGTGATTAGACGTTTTTTTAGGCTGAGGCGGTAAAAGAGCTATGTGCCGTTTCGCCAGCGCAATGCAGAGCCAGTCTAAAAATCCGTCCAGCCACAGATTGGAGCCGTTTACGGTGCTGATAGAATTTCTCTCACGAAGCGTCGACATGAAAAATGCAACGTGCGGCGCCTTGAGTACTCGCACTGTAAGTATTGCATTGCATTCATCACCAAGATAAGCAACGCTCCAAATCAGTTTCTGCGCGGGGCAAAGCTACGTAAAGGTCACATCGCAGAATGAGCATGTCTAGTTTTCGATCGAAAACACATAACGCCAGATGCTGTCTGTCCTGTACCAGCCTTACCCGAGCTGGACAATCCTCTTTTTCCCGTCTGAAGCGACGCAAAGATAACGGAGCAGGCGGACTTGTACAGCGCTTAAAGGGCATTGCGAGTAGCCGTGTAGGTGACGATGAATAATGAATGGCACTGATCCGCTCTAGAGTCTCGGCGTCGCCTTCCTGTTTCGTTAGCTATCCCCCAAACACCAATCACAGGAGGCCATCTTGCCATGGCGGTGCACGCCGTGAAACATTCCAGCGTGTGACAGCGCTGAAGGAGGAAAAGACAGTCTGCAATATGTGGGGCGCAGTGTTAGTCCATCGTGGGGCAGTCGCCCCCCAGGACACATCAATGCAAATTTGAAAGTCCGCGAGATCGCCGAGACGCCTTTCTCTCTCACCAATTGTTTCTCTACTCTCCCCCCAGACATCGAAGCCTTCACTCCAACCGCCAATTGACGCACCGGCACGGGTCGTTGTCTCCTGTGGACCGGGCATCCGAAGAGCTCCCAACCATGGACAAGATCACGGACAAGATCGCGGGCCTCAGCCCCAATGCCTCCTACTTCTCGCTCGAATTCTTCCCGCCCAAGACGGCGATGGGCTTTGCAAACCTGCGGGGCCGCCTAGACCGCATGGCTCGCGCCCTGCATCCACTCTTCGTCAACGTCACCTGGGGCGCGGGCGGATCGACAGTGCAGAAGTCGCTCGAGCTGGCCGAGATCTGCCAGCGCGAACTGGGACTGACCACCTGTCTCCATCTGACGTGTACCAACATGAGCTGCGACCTGATCGACAAGGCGCTGGAAGATGCCAAGGCGCTGGGGATCCGGAACATTCTGGCTCTGCGGGGAGACCCGCCACGGCCAACAGAATACGCCGACAGCGGCAAGACGTCCGCAGCCGGGGAGATGGCCGACGAGACCGGCTTCTCCCACGCCGTCGATCTGGTGCGCTACATTCGTAAGCAGCACGGCGACTACTTCTGCATCGGCGTGGCCGCCTACCCCGAAGGCCATGCCGAGGAGAACCATCCGCTTGGCCAGAGCCTGGAACACGACCTGCCCTTTCTCGTCGAGAAAGTTCACGCCGGCGCCGACTTCCTCATGACACAGCTCTTCTTCGACATCGAGGCCTACGAGCACTTTGAGACCACGCTGCACCAGCATCCCAGCGGCGTGTTCGCCGATATCCCCATTATCCCCGGCCTCATGCCCATCCAGAACTACCAGATGATCAAGCGGACCACCAAACTCAGCCACGCCCGCTTCCCCGACGGCCTGATGGCCCGGCTCGAAGACGTCAAGAAGGATGACGAGAAGGTGAAGAGCGTGGGCGTCGACATCCTGAGCGAGCTGGTCGAGCAGGTCAAGACCATCAAGCACAAGACACAACCGGGGCGGCCCACTGGCCTTCACTTTTACACGCTCAATCTCGAAAAGGCCGTGGCCTTCATCCTCGAGCGGACCAACCTGATCCCATCGACAAGACCGGCTACAGCACTCGAGGAGGTCGAGGTGGCCGTTGTGGACGACGCCTTGGCCGTGCCGTCCATCCGCGTTCACGGGGCCATCACCATGCCGGCAGTGCATTCTTTCGAGCGGCGCCACTCATCGATCGGGTCCGATCCACGGAATCGCGTGATCGTGCCTGGTCCCTCCGCTTCGCACCCGGACTACGAGACCACTGCACTCGAGGCAAGCGTGCCGGCCGAGCCGGTCAACACCCGGGCTAACACGCTGGCCATATCCGAAGGTGAGGGCGTGCTCGGCCGCGAGGCCACCTGGGACGACTTCCCCAACGGCCGCTGGGGTGATGCTCGCTCGCCAGCCTACGGCGAGATCGACGGCTACGGTGTGAGTCTGCACATGTCGGTAGGCCAGGCCATGAAGCTATGGGGCCGGCCATCGACGGCGGATGATGTCAGCCAGATCTTCATCCGCCATCTGCGAGGCGAGCTCTCGGCGATTCCGTGGAGCGAGGAAGAATTCAACCCGGAGACCGAGACGATCCGCGACCGGCTAGTGAGTCTCAACAAGAAGGGCTGGTGGACGGTCGCGTCGCAACCGGCAGTGAACGGCCTGGAATCGACAGATGCCACGTTTGGCTGGGGCCCTCCGAACGGCTTTGTCTTCCAGAAAACGTTTGTGGAGTTCTTCCTGCCTTCGGCAGACTGGGCAAAGCTGCGGAGCCGGCTCCAAGAGCCGGCCGTACGCGACAACATCTGCTTCTACGCAGCCACGGCGGCAGGAGAGCTTGAGTCATCGGATGCCGACAGCACGCAAAATGCAGGCGACGGCTCGGGCGCGGTCGGGGAGGCCAGCACCCACGCCGTCACCTGGGGTGTGTTCCCGGGCAAGGAGATCGTCACGCCGACGATCATCGAGGAGGTCAGCTTCCGCGCGTGGAGCGAAGAGGCGTTTGGCATCTGGAAGGAATGGGCCGGGGTCTATCCCAAGGGTTCTGACTCGGCAAAGCTGCTGGAGAGCATCAGAGACGACTACAGGCTCGTCAACATAATCCACCACAACTACATCGACCGGGACGCCTTGTGGAAGCTGCTTTTTGACTGAAGAGCCTGGTTCGTGGCCGAGAGGAGGCCGGAGAGCAGGACAGTTCACCTAGCAAAAGGGACGGATGGGATGGGCCAACCGATGCATATTTGATTGCTTCACCACCCAGAAGGGGCTCCCAGCCTTCTCGTTCTGGATCGGCCCTGGCTGCATGCCAATTCAAGGGCAGCCTCGTCGCGTTTCGTTGGCCACCAACGAAGTCCGCCTGGTGACGATTTATTCTATATACACCGGAACCGACAGAGAATTGAATTTCCCTTCCTGCTTACTGCGCAGTCCGCCGTCCGCCTGTTTTGACAACCGTGAAATACAACAGACAGATATAAAAAGATACAAGCATGGGGTATTTGTACACCGAGCCACAGTGACAAGCGCCCTCCAGTCATCCGAAGGCGCTCGAACACGGCGTGCGAGCCGTGCCGACAAACGACAAAGGGAATACAAGGTAGTAATATGTTGAAGATGCAAGGAAAAAGGAAGATGCGATGGCGAAGACGTGCCAGACGTGCCGCAATCAGATGGCGCCCTCGCTCTCGTAAAACGACTGCGACATCGACTGCGAGAACGACTGGCTAGTGCTGGACGAGAAGACGTCGTCCTGAGCCCAGGAGGAGGTGCCGACATTGAATAGCTGGAACGAATCGGTCGGGTTGCTATGGCTGACAGAGGGGCCGAAGCTCTGCCAGCTATCAAAGTCGCTCGTGGAGGCGATGACGGCCGCGGCAGAAGCAGCAACGGTCTCGGTCTTGGGTACCTTGAGCACCTTGGAGGGCGTGTTAAGGATAAAGACACCGTCGTCATCATCGTCGTCGTCATCGTCGACACAGAACACAGTGCGGCCATTTGGACCGGTAGTGTTGTTGCCTGCATAGAATCTCCCGCCGGCCTGCTGCTGCTGATGCTGTCGGACACCGCTGATGTACTTGATGTCGGCAACGGGAGTGTCGTTCTCGGACGGCGTGGAGCCGGAGCTGACAGCGGGCGTGAGGTCTGGCACGAACGAGGAGGCTGCGGACGTCAAGGCAGCTGTTGCCGACGTGGGCGTCATGGGAGGCGCAGGCGACGAGACTGGCAGCTGGCTCGCAGGAAGAAAGGCAGCCGGCAGGCTTCTTGACGTGGGAGTCGGTGTGGCGGTGGGCGTCAAGTCCAGCTGTTCATAGTCGACGTCATCGCCCAGGCTGCTGCTGTCCTCTCCATTAGAGAAGACGGGGTCGTTCCTGAGCTTCGCCACGGCGGCGACTGTGTTTGTCCGTTTTGTCGGCCGGGCGGCAGCATCGGTAGCACCTGTGGCGGGCGAAGTTCGGCGCTTGAGCGAGGATGCCGCAGTGGATTTCCGGCTGGCGGTCGGGGCAGTCTTGCGCACAGTCAGCGGGCTCTCGCCCTTGTCGACGGCGTCACGCAGCGCCTTTGCGTCTTTGCGGATGCTGCGGAACTGGAACTCGATGCCCTGGGGCGTGGATTCGCCAAAGTACTTTGCAATCTCTGTCGAGGTTAGCGAGAGGCCAGAAGGCGGAGGACGAGACGACAGGGTGCAGGGAACAGGAATGCAGTCCGACAGGTTGAGGCCACTTGCTCTCGTACCCTTTTCATTCACGTAAAAGATGCCGCTCAGCTCTTTGGCATCCTGGCCTTGGGCGACGGCCTTGCGGATGGCTTCGGCCTGCATCTTGACGGGACGGAAGCGGTGTCGAATGACAGACTCGGTCACATCTGAGCCGAAATGCAGTGTGATGGCTGCGATGCGAGAAACAGGCCGCGCAACAGATCAACGGATGCCCAGACAAACGAGACGAGAGGCAAGCAGAAAAAGAGACAAAATACAGAAAATACAGCGAAAGAGCAGGCATGACAGGCGGTGCAAGATCACGGCCAAGAGGTTGACGGCGATGCTTACCTTTGAAGTTGAGCTTCAGGCCGGGATGGCTGGCGATGACAGCAGCGAGGAGCCGGCTCTGCGCCTCGTATGTGCGGAAGTTGGAAACCATGGCAGCTCGAGTAGGTAGACCGACGGGCTTCTGAAAAGGAGGGAAAGCGCAAAAGACGTTGCGATGTCGAAGAGACGATTGTTGATACAACCAGAGAAAAACGAGAGTGGAGGCGGACCGTTTCCGTGGCAATGGGGCAGCACTGAGGAGAAGAGGCAGAGAATCTCCACGAGGCCGTCCCAGTAATAAGTGAATGACGAAACAGTGAGGAGGAAGAAGAAGAGAAAAGAAATACAAAGTTATCTGATCTGCGCTGAAGGAGACTCGAACTCGAAATCGGCCTCAGGACAGTCTGAGAGCCGTGGTGACGCAGATCTGAATTTTCCCTCTTGTCCAAGACCGCAGCTCCAGATGCACAATGCAAGATGCAAGGAGAAAATGGAGCGAATCGGTTTGAGCAAGTGTGGGAGAAAATGGGGTGGCTGGGCTTGAAGCAGCTGGGGCGACTCGGTGGGTCCGTGGAGACGCGTGCCCGTCTGTTAGGGAATACGGCTCTGCATACATTAACCGCTGCCCAGAAACAGGTACCTGCTAGCACCAGCTCACGCGTTGTGCTCGAGCAGCCGAGCCGTCGCCTGGTTTCGCGTTCTGCTCTCTCTGTTGGAACGCGATCCATTAAAGTACCACTTTAAGTGCCTGTGTCGCATTGGCCTATCAGAGCCTGCTAATTAGCGGGTCGCTCCGCTGAATTGTGCTGTTCATCAGCGCCTTGAAATGGCAGTGTAAACTGACAGCAGCAGTACGAGTACAGATTAGAAATGCTTCACAAAATGTCCGTCTATATGCCGAGTCTTTCAACCGGGTCTTGGCCCTACTCTAGATCCAACAGCCCAGAAACAGGTCTAGTGACAGAATTCGTATACAAAATGCAGACAGTGATGCTCTATCGAAACGCGCTGCCCTCTCAGAACACCTTATCCGTGACGGGTGTAGTCGCGGCCGAGGCCGGCCAGTCGTCCCGGTCGCGGTCCTTGAGCTGGATGCTGACGAGGTCGCCGGCGCCGTTGCCGTACACAAAGTACTGTAGCGCCAGGATGGCGTCGCAGGTGGCCTGGAAGAGGCCGCACAGCTTGAAGGACCATGGGATCTGCGTGCGCGACGTGAAGAACCAGAACAAATCTTCATGGCGTCGCCGGCGAGCCAGTTGACCAGGACCGACGGCCGGAACCCGCGGCAGGACCGTGCCTGCGCGTTGGCCCGGATCTGCGGCAGCGGCAGCGTCGCCTCCACCGACAGCCCGACGTAGCCGATGAGCGCCGAGTAGGCCGGGTAGACGGCCGGGAACAATGATAGCACGAGCTCCAACACGACGCACGTGACAAACATGCACAGCAGAAAATGCCAGTACCTAGACAGACAGTCAGCGGTCAGCACGCGGCCAGAAACAGTTCCACTGCACGTACGGTTTCTGCGACCGCCACTGCCAAAAGTTGTATGGCCGCTTCGCAAAAATTCCACCGCCGCTGCTGCTGTGCTTGCCCGGCTCCAGGCCGGCAAACGGCAGGGCGCCCTCGCCGCCTTTGGATGACGGCGCCGGCCGGTGGTCCAGGGCCACCTTGAGAAGAAGCACCTGCACGGCTACCATAATGCACGACTGAATCAGAAGGGCAACGTCAAAGTGTGCGCCGGGATAGTAGAAAATGCTGCGAGAGAAGAAGGAGCGTCAGTTGTGGCCAGACAACAGAGCAAAAGAAAAGGGGCAACCAAGGCTAACAAAGCAAAACCCACCGGAGAATGGATGCCACCAGCATAATCAGCGGAATGTCCAGAGAGAAGCCGGCGCTCGAGCAGTTCCGGTGCATCGACACAACCTGGTCGCCATAGGACAGGAGGGGCGACATCATCAGGAAGACGGGCGCGGCATAGCCGGTCACTGCGGTCAGCCAACCCATGGCTGTCGAGATGGAGGACGGAACGACGAGGGGATCGAGAGGAGCGACGGCGAGGAGCACTTGGGGCGACTGTTGAGGGTCAATGGCGAGCCATGGAAGAGGAAAAGGGTACGGATGAATAGGGGGGAGGTGCAAACTAGAACAGCCCGTTGCAACTCGTTGGAAGGCAGAGACACGCGAAAATGCCTTTGAGGAAAAAAGCGGGGCGCGCATGGTCGGCAGATGGGTCGGTCCGGGATCATGTATTTCACGCCTTGCCTCTTTAGATAATTATGTAATCATCGTTAATCACGTGCTCGGGAACAACAAGTAAGATATGAGCACGCTTGGAGAAAGATGGCAGAAGCCATATGAGTATGTGGATACAATGAATCTTATAGAAGGCTGGGATAAGAAGCCTATGGACCTGCAATCCCCTCTCCCTTTCCTCTCATAGATGCAAAGGGGCAGAGAACAGAACCCATATCCAAAGAGCAACCAAGAAACGCCTATGTATGCAGAAGAAGGCTAGTCACCAAGGTAGCACGGCCGTGGAGGCCGTTAGGTACAGAAAGTCGCAATCGTGGGTGCAACAATGGGAAATAGAAGAAAAAAATGAAGAAGTTGAGCACGAAGGTGGTCAAAGTTGAAACAAAAGAGCCAAAAGGCTAGAGTCGAAAAATCGATGAACAGAAGAACTGAAAACTGGAAAATGGAAAATGGAGAAAGTGAGAAAGTTGCAGTTGTCAGAATCGTCTCCGTCCATCGCCATTATCGTTAATGCATACGCTGTCATGGAGGCCGACAGCATTAAGCACGGCCGTGTGGTTTTCTAAAGTACGTACACTGTTAGCCACACTTCATGAAACAGGAAGAACGTGATTAAGCTCACACGTCCTGCTGCCACGGCCTCATCAACATGTCGTTGTGTTTTCGTGGCAGGTCGGGGTGTGACCGAGGAGGTGGTAGAAAAATGCGAGGGAGATCCGCCGGAGGCGGAGAAGAGGGTGCGTATCGCTGCTGAGAAAGCGCCGGTGGCGAATGCAATTGCGGCTGCTGCTGAGAGCTGCTGCTGCTGCCCCAGGCCAGAGGGGGCAGCAGATCAGCGCCCCGCCCCATTTCCGAAGGCATCAGAGCCGTCTCAGATGCCGATGACGACATGAGGTGTGGCAGCGGACGCGCCATCAAGGGAGGCGATCTCGTTCTGCCGGATGCATAGCCGTCGAAAGATGTCCGTATGCGCTTGTTAGAGCCTGCATCCCGGGAATCCGAGCTTCCTGGCCGCATCATCGTCGTTCTAGGGGACCCCATAGAGCCAGGGTAGCCGAAGGACCATGGCGAATCGACAGGAAGCCCTCTAGACGGCTCAGTCGCACGGCGCATACCGTCAGCTGGCTCGACACTCGATGGGCTCGGCGAAACGTTGTTGCCTCCACGAGGACTGTCCGGAACATCTGTTAGCAGGCAAAACTTGGCAAAACTTGGCAAAGACCGGTAGGGGAAGAAATCCCTGGACAACGTACGCATTCTTGAACTTGCAGACACGGCCGAGCTTCTCGCACTGGACACATCGAGGATAGTCCGGGTCGCATTTGATTTTCTTCTCGCGGCAAGTCACACAGGCAATGGCCAATCGCTTCCGCGGCTTTCCGGCCTTGGTCACACCCCAGTGGGCGGTAACAGCCTCGCCGTCAATCACTGTCTTGCAGTGGCTGCCGTCGTCGTAAAAGTAGCACATGCCTTCGCCAGGCACCTCTGCAGCCCGCACAAATCTTGGGAGAAAATGCGTGCCCGTCCAGATTTTGGGGCCCAAGCCGTCCTTCACAGACACGCCATCTGGAGTCGACGGTGCATTCCTAGAAACGGAAGACGATCGCCCGGAGATAGAGCGCATTGGAGCACGGTAATCAGACCCTGCGCTGCCTCCGTACGGACTGCCAGGAGATGGCTGAGGAAGTGGAGGCGCTGGTGGCGGCTGGTTACGGTACAGCTTTCTCTCGTACTCGCTCGCCGGCGACCGGTCACCCGGTGGAAACAATGGTGCGTATCGGATGTTTTCGGCTAGAGGCAGCTGGTGGTAATGCTGTGGTTGACCGTGGTGCTCGTGTTGATGATGGCGGTAAGGAGCCTGTTGCGGCTGTGGTTGCTCGCGAACTTGGGAGTAGGCCGAACCACCTTCCTCTTGCCGCGGCCACTTGCCCACGGTGACGTAGGCAGGCCGGGAGTCAGACCATGGCTGTGAAGGCGGTGGGCTCTCTCGCTGTCGGAGCAAACCTGGCTTGTCCTGTGTTCGGGGCGATACCTGGAGAGAGGCATGTGCTGGTGGCTCCCGTTCGTTGATCTGCCGATCTTGCTGGTGAGGCATCGGCAACTGCTGCTGATGCTGCTGATAAGCTGAAGAAGACGTTCTGTCGTCGGCTGATCTCACAGAGTCATAGACATATCGTGGCTGCTGCGACAGCACCGGGGATGCTCTCGATGTTTTCGCCTGTAGGTTGAGGGGCTTGGAATAGTAGGATGACGGCGAAGGTTGCTGTCGGTCCAGCGACAACGGCGGGGGAGGTGATGGGCCTGCTGCTGCGAAAGGCAGCGCCGCTGTCGGCGCTTGTGCTCGCTCCGGTGGGGACGCATGCAGAGGCTGCACTGCCTCTGGTGGGCCGAATAGGCTGCTCAGCGAGGGCAGCTGCTGGTGCGGGTGGTGCGCACCGCTGTCGCTGCCGAAGAGCCGAGAAGGACCATCCGGATTGCTTCGTGGGATGGAAGCTATGCTTGCCGCTGTCGCTGCAGCCGCTGCAGCCGCCGTGGTCGTGGCCGTGGTTGCAGTTGCGGCCGCTGCGACGGAGCCGACCGACCTTCTCTGCTCTCCAGGCACGATGCCGCTGGCAGACGAAAGGGAGGATGCAGCCGACGACTGTCGCAGTGGCGGATGATCATGGCTGGACATGGGCGGAGAGATGGGCGGAGCTGATTGCAGCCAGGATAAGTCCCTGGGCGAAAGATCGGACGGTCCCGACTTGGGAGAGGCGAAGGACGATGAAGAGGAGCAGCCCAGGCTCATGAGGCCGGGTGGTGTATGCGGAAAGGCCAGATGGTGTTGAGGTTCGAGACAGGAAAGAAGCCCCATTGAGAAGAAGATCGAGATGGCTCGGGCCAAAACTGGAACATATCCGTACTAGGTCGTCACACGTTGGCTGAGCTGAGCAGTTCTTGGCAGCAACGATAAGAGCGTGCAGAAGACAGGAGTCTTTCGTCGTCGTGGTCTTCTGCTCGTCCGAGATGCCAGTGTCGTAAGTAGAGGAAGATGGTGAAAGAGCGAGGAGCGACGGAAGAAGAAGAAGGGGGTGTGTGTGTGTGAGAAGCTAAGCGTGAGAAGATGAGGAATAGCGTGGCGGTGGATGCTCTCGCTAAGGAGATATCCGCCGGGTAAGAAACACTGTTGAGCGGTGCAAAGGACAGCCTGAATGTCCCCGCGGCTGTTGTTTCTTCGCCTTACACAGCAGCTGAGAAAAACACAACCTCTACGAAAGAATGGCTCGGACTCTTGACTTGCTGGCCGTCTCTCTCGCCTGTTTTTTCTTTCGTCAACAGATCCAGGCTGTCATTCACCAGCGGCAACCCCTTCCTTTGCAAATAAAAAAGGAAGAGTTTAAGAAGAGAACAATGATAGCATGAGTGGAGCTAGAGAAAACTGTGTAGTAATTTGAGCAGCAGGTTGTTGGCCGGCCTCAAGACGACTGCTTATAGGGATGGTGTTGATGGTGGTGCTGTGAGAATCTACCCTGCCGCACGGCACGGTTGATCGGTTGGCCGTTTCGGTTGGCCGTTCCTCCAAGGGTCGTTCCTTTGTTATGCGCCGAGACAGTGCAGGGCGAATCCACAATAAGAGAATGCAGTTGCCTTCACTCCAAGTAGGGAGGGGGTGTGGAAGCTGCAGAGGGGGTGGGCGTAATCGGCAGAAATATTCCTTAAATGGTCTGTCTGTGTGATTCTTGTCGTTGACAGGCGAAGGCAACGCAATGTCTCCCGACGTTGTCTTCAGCAGAGGATTGGCCGGAGGTGCACATGGGTGAGTGGCAAAGCGTTGAAGAAGGAAAGTGGATGGGGGTTGGGTCTTGTATGTAAGCTGTTCTCAAGCAGCATACCGTACATACAAGATCGTCCAACCCAGGCCTGCTCCTGGCACTTGAACGGCTAGTGAGGGTGGGTGTATTGGCAAGAAAGAGGAGGGGGGAAACTGGGTCCACGGCAAGGTATATGAGATATTGGTGTTGCGGAACAGTGTTGATGTTAATTGCTTGCGTATTTGCCGTACTCTCTGGCAAGCATGCATGCACTCCTCTTGGTGCGGCTGCTTCACCCGGTAGCATATGTGGGCAGGCTGCCTGGAGCCACGCAGATTCCAGGGGCAGTGGCTGCCGTTGATGCGATCTCCAGCAGCCGACCGGCTAGTGCTCGCATTTGTGGATTTGCCAGATGCTTTGGGACAGCGGTGTCATTCTTTATTGCTGTGCCACTCCTGTCTAATACGCAGTCGTCGTCAGAGAGGGGCCAGCAATCTGAAAGAGCGGCAGACAGGCAAGTGCACAAAGTATTGGCCTCCGTACTTGTACCTACCCAGAACGGATGAAGTATCTTATATCGTGGTACGGTGCAGATTCGCTAGCACGGCCCACGTTGGATTTCGGCTTGCCCCTCGCCTCATGGGTATCCCTGTTGTTGCATGGCTAGGCGGTTTGAGGGGATTTATAGCAAAAAGGACAAGCGCAGTGGGTAAAAACGACAAGTAAGCTAACAGGAGTACGGAGTACGCAAGTGTCTGTTAAAGAGCAGGGAATGACAAGGGAACAACTAAAAAAATATCTTTTGGTGGGTACATACTATGTAGTACTCCGTATGTTATAGGTAGGGGTGTGATAAGCCGAGGGGGGGGGGGTGTTAAAAAGCAGCAGGCTGACGAACAAAATTGGCGCTGTATACTCCGAGAGCTGACAGTTGGCGCCTGCCGAAATTCGGCCAGTATCGTGCTCGTAGACCAGACAACTCGCTGTGCAGGCAGCACAATAGCAGCACGATCTTTGCCATCGGAACGCAACAGCCGGGGTGCAAAGACCGAGGGGAAAGGGGTAATCAGCAGGGGGTTGAGCACGGTGTGTCCAGACATCCGTTCTCGTATCTTACATGTGGCGTACAAAGCTTGAATTCTGTTCAGAGTGAGGCATAGAAGATGCTGCCTGACAGTTGCTGGTTATAGGCCCGGGAAGGGTGGTACGAGCAAGCAGGTGCAGGTGCAGGTGCACATGAAAAGCGGCGATGCCCAGATTCGGGTGCAGGAGTGCTCGTATCGTGTCTGCCGTGGTGTCAACGGGACTGTGAGCCACGGCGTGTTATTGGCCGTGGTGATGGGACGAAGCGAGCAGCCAGCACCGAGTAAGATTAGCGTCATCCACCGCGGTGGGTGTTGGTTGGCGGTTGACTTTCTGCTGGCTTCATGGTAGGCTGAAAAAAATAGATGGAAAGCACTGACGGCGGCTTGGTGGGCCACCCTGGAACCTAAACGAACGGTTCGAGAGGCTGTGGCCACAAGAGATTGCCAGATCAGAGGAGGATCATGGCTTAGCATGACATTTGCGCCATACCCCTGGTCAACCCATGCTTGTCCATGTGATGCGACTGGTTCTCGACGCCGCACCAGACAGAGAGTGTGCGAGTATTCGGCAGCTGTTGGAGCGGCCGGGGGAGGCTGATTTCGACCTTCTTTTCTTCTTTTCTTTTCTTTTTTTTCCCTCCCGATTTCCCTCCCCACTTCTCTCACACTTCTCACCCCCCCTGCGGCGAGGGGAGGGGAGGATGCAATCAAGCATGTGGGCAGCGTCATGTCGGGCCAGACTTTTCCACAGGTATGAGCCCTAATTTGCACTGTTGTTTCACTCTTCCAGATAGGCTGTAAAGCCGGGCGGGGAATGTGATGGGGGGCATGTCGCAGACAAGGAATGGAGGAACATCAGGACAGTTTGGAAGCAATGATCCGAAGGTGAGATCAAAGGCGCACCCATGCTCTCGTACGAGACGCATGGAGTACTTCGATAAGTGCCGGGGCCAGCGGCAATCCGTACTTGTACTTCGTACTGGCAAGATACTTGTGCGTATGCAGAAGACGCTAGCTGGAGCTGTACTCGTAAGGTGTATCGCTCTCCACTCCACAGCACAAAGTGGTTGTGCAGCCGTACTATGTCCTTTGTTGTGCTGGCGCATTCGAGCAGAAATCCCGGCTGCTGACGAAAGACGGCTCTTTTCTGTCGGTCTTGTTACCCTCGTCGACCTACTCCGGACGCGTACAAGTACGGGACGCACGGAGGCGTTCGTTGCTCGAGCCCGTGCTTGCAGCCGATGTGGCCAATATAGCCATTATGGCAACCGATCAATATAAATGGCAGTACCATTTTTTAGTACATGTCTGTCGGTTGCGCCGCATGGTGTGCTGGGAAATTTAAGGACTCCTCACGTCTCATCCGGACCAGTTAAAAAGCGTCTCAGCGAGTCGGTCCAATATGATCAGAAGCAGCTATGATCGCACAATCCCCTGCATTTCTGCCCGACGAGAACTGTGCACGGCTGGCGGCACGCGACGCCGCCGGCAGCAGATGCATCGAGATACGTACATAGTACTCCGTATCATCCGCCCTATGCTCGTCACCGCCTTCTGGCAAGACACGGCCTCTGCCAACAGCACGGCTGAATTGCATACACAGTACGGAGTACTCCGTAGGACTCTCAACAAGCTGACGACAAAACGAGGGATCGACCAAAAGAGGGGGGGAGAGGGGCAGGATGGAGTCGGCTTGCTGTTGCTATTTGTCGGACCGAGAGAGCGCGAGCACAGGGGTGTGAGGAGGATGAAGAAGAGAGCAGGAAAAAGTTCGCGTCACTGGCTCCGGGAACCCCAGCAAACAGCAGCGGCTAATGAGGAACGGGCTCGGCATGTACTCGCTAGTTTCGATCCCAACCCCGTGGGAAGATGGTGAGCCGAACAGTAACTCGAGATACAGGTCGTCGTAGTGTTCTGCCGCGTAGTCTTGCTGCGAGTGTGATGCTCTGGCAAAAGGACGAAGACGAGCGGCAGAGTGTGCGAACCGAGTCCAGCGTCTAATGGATTAGGCGCTATTTGGGCTCTTCGTGGCAGTTGCCGAAACAGTCACATAGTACGCAACGGCAGGAGCAACTTACTGCAAGCTGGCCGGCTTTTACTGGCGAAGCGCTAATAGCCCACGTCTTCAAGCTCAATATTCTTCTGCTCCGTACGGAGTAGAGCCGGAGATTCGCGGTCGGTGTTCCCTCGTACGAGCGCGCCAGATGCACTTTCCCTATAGGCGAAATGACCGCTTTGGCAGCCTTCGCCTGGTTCGGAAGGAGCCACCAACCGCATCGGGAATGCAGCACGGCAACGTCTGCGCTGAAGCAATGTTTTTTTTTTAAAAAAAAATCTGGCTTGTTGCGCGCTAGCTGCTGCTGCCGGGCTAGCGACAAGAAGGAAGCTGCAGCGCCCAACTCCCCAGCTCGGTCCTTCCCATCAGCGCTACTGTTTCCGCCACACACCTGCCCGTCGCTCTTGCCACCCCACACTTCATCGCCATCGCCGAACTGGACTGCTGAGGCGGCTCCGTGCGGCTTCCTGTCGAACTCGAGCCTCTTGCGCTCTTCTGTGCTTCCCCACCTGTGCTGCGACAAGCCATGTTAATAAGCTGGCTAGGCTGTCCTGCTCCTAGAACTGCTCCAACAGACGCGCTCGTCCTCCTCGGACTCCGTCACGGGCCCAGCACCACACGGAACCGCCCTTCACTGCTTCGTTCTTCTCGTCTCGACTAGCAGTCTACGCACGTTTTCTCCTGTGCCACGCCGGAGAGAAAATGCGGTCGTTGCACGGAATCAGGATTAGTGCGCCTCGCAATCCTGGACTTGCACGGACCGTCAGCGCGCGTTGCACGGTGCTTTACGACGTATACGACGGACTATGCCGCCTTGACACGTCGGTCAGCCGTCTCAGGAAACCGACGACAACCA